TATATTATAATTATTATTATAGTATATTGTTTAGCTTATAAATATATAGTTTTTTATAGGTTTTTTAATAGTTAGGTTAGCTTATTATTATTTTAATATTAATTTTTAGTTATTTTTCTTTTTATTTTAGTAATTTTATATAAAGTATTCTTTTTTATTATAGTTATAATATTTAATATCCTTTTTAAGTTTTTTTTAAATAGTATTAAGTTTTATTAAGCTTAAATGCTATTTATTAGCTATTATTTATAATTAATATTATTTTTTAAAGTTTAACTTATTTTATTAGTAGAAAAAATATATTAAGTTTTACCCCTTTTTTTTAAGTTTATATTTATAAATTTAATTATTAATTTAAATAGCTAATTTTATATATTAAATAAAATTATTTAATTAGTTTAATTTAAATAGTTTATTTTTTATTTTATTTTTTAATTTATTATAAAATATAAAGATTTTTATAATATTAGTATAGTTAATTTTAGTATAAATTTAGTAGAACTTTATAGTATAAATTATAGTAAATTTTTTTTAATATAATTTTATAAGTTTTCTTTTTATTTATTATTTCTTATTTAGGTTTTAAAAAAGTAATTTAAAAGTAAGCTTATAGTTTTTAAAATTGTTAAAAATATTTTAAGTTTTTTATTTATATTATTTAAATTTATTTTTTTTAAAAAAGTTTATAAAATAAAGTTTAAACTATATTAAAGCTTATTTTTTTAAAAAGAAGGCTATATATATAACTTATTTTCTATTAAATTAATTATTAAAGCTATAAAAATACTAATAAGTTTTAATTTAAATAAGGTAAGCTTATAACTATTTTAGAGAACTATTATAAAGGGTTAAGTTAATAAGTTTAATAAATTTTTTAAGTTTAATTAGGGTATTAATAATATTAGTAGTGTTTTAAAGTATTTTAATTTTAGCTTTAAGTTTTTTTATTTTATTATTTTAGCTAGCTTATTTTTAAATATAAGTATAAAGTTTTTTAATTTTTTTAATTATTTTAAAATATTAGGCTTATAAAAGTTTAAAGTTATTATTATTTAGCTTTTATTAAAGGTTTTTTTAAGTATAATTAGAAAATATATTAAAATAAAAATAGTAATTATATAAATTATTACTTAAAGTTTATATAAAATATTTAAATAAAAGTAGTTAAAATATAATAATTATAACTAGTTTTTAGTTAATAAACTTAATAAGTAAATTTATATTTAAGGAATATTTAAAATAGTAATATTTTAAATAATATATAATAATAATAAATTAAAAGCTTTATAGCTATTTTAAATAAATATTTAAATTAATTATTAAAAAGCTATTTTAAGCTAATATTATTTATTAGTAATAAGTATAATTTATATAATTTATTTTTTTAGCTAAAATAATAGGAGTATTGCTTTTAATAGCTTATTTAAAGTATTGCTTATTTAGAGCAATAAGAGTATTAGATTATTTAAATTATTTAAAGTAAAGTATTGCTTTAGTTATTTTAGTTATTCTTTTGCTTTATTATATAATCTATTTTTATTATATAGTAAATCCTTTTAGGCTTGCCCTATTAGCTTATAGGGTTTATTTGTGCTTTTAGGGGATTAATAGTACTCCCCTAGTTTTATTCCTATTATATTTGTAATAAATAAGCGTATTTTATATAGTTTATTTTTTTAGTTTAACTTATTTAGTTTATAAGCTTATTATAATAATTGTAATAATTTATTAAGTTTTAGCTTATTTAGCTTATTTAGCTTACCTAGTAATTCTAATAATTTAAATAATTTCTCCTTATATAAGCAGCTAGTTATATAACCTATAGCTTAAGTAGATTTTGCTTTTATATATAGCTAGTTCTGCTAGCCTAGTAAACCTTTTCTTAGTTTATTAGTTCTCCTTAGTCCTATTTCTGTTACAGTTGTAACAGCTGAGGGAGATAGGTTTTTAAATTAATATTAAAAAGTATAAATTTTATATTATTTAAATAAAGTTTTTAAAGTTTATTATTAGTAAGAATAGTATTATAGTAAATTAAAAGAAAATTAGGGTAATTAAACAGTAAAAAAAGCTTATTAATATAATAAAAATTTAATTATTTTTAAAATTATATAATTTTTATTAATAATTTATTTTTATATATAGTTAAATAATTAAACTGATAATTATTTTAATTTGGAAAGGGTTAAAGTAGTAATGAAGTAAGCTTAAGTAAGTAGTGTTTAAGAAGCTAAAGTAGTGAATAATAGCTATGCTATTTTTAGCTTATTTTTAGTATAGTAACTTAATTAAAGTTAAAATGAATATATTTAATAGTATTGTAATAAGAGTTTTATTTTAATTTTAAAGCAATAGAGCTTAGTATTTAGTAAGCTATTTTTTTAAGTTTATATTAGGGGTAGAATTTAACTATAGTATTTATAATAAGGAACTAATAATAATAGTTAAATCTCTGTGCTTTTAAAAAGCTAAGCTAATTAAATTATAAGTATTATAGTTTAAGGTATTTATAAATTATTAAGCTTTTAAGTTTTTTAGTATTAAGAAATTATTAATTATATAGTAAGCTAAATAGGTTAAGGAGCTTTTTATTTATAATTTTAGCTTTATATATTAATTAAAGTTTAAGAATATTATAGTGAATATATTATTAAAACTATTTAAGAATTATTAAATGTTAAAGTAATAATAAGTTAATAAGAGAATTATAGCTATTTTTTGATTAGTGAAGTATTGTAATGCTTATATTTTAGATTATGCTTTAATTATTTATATTTTAAATAGTATAAAGGATTTACTTTTATTTTTTAGAATATTTTTAATAAATTAATTGTTTAAAGTAAATATAAAAGATTTAGATTTAAAAGTTTATTAATAGTGTATTAAGAATAAAACTAATAGCTTATAGTTTATATATAAGGATAAATATATTTTTTTTAAAAGATAGTTAGTAGTATTTGTAAATAAGTACTTTTATATAAAAGTAATTAAAGACTTGTATTATAGGGTAATATTGGCTTATTTAAGTTATATAAAAATATATAAATTAATAGTTAAGAAATATTAGTAGTTAGAATTTAGTAAAAATATAAATAACTTTATTATTAACTGTTTATATTATTTATTAAAGAATTTTTAAGATAAGATATTTAAGTTATTAAAATTAATTGTTGTTTTTAATTAATTATAGAAGTATATTATAATTAATTTTAAAAAGGTATTAAAGTATAAGGATTATAGCTATAATTGTGCTTTAGTGATTATTAATAAATTATTTAAGGAGTTATAAACTTTTTTTTATATAAAGTTTGTAATTATTTAAAATATAGTATTGTTTTATTAGAAAGAATTATTTTATATTAATAAATTTTTAAAGATTATAGGAAATAATAAAGGCTTATAATTTGTAGTATAGTTTATAAATAAGATATTTAAGATTTTTAGTATTAATTAGTGGTTATTTTTTTTTAAATATTTTTAGAGTGTAGGATAGGTTAAGGTTTTTAATAAGTATTTTAATTAATGGTTAAAGCTTTTTATTAATTATTTTTAAAATAATTAGTATTATAAATGCTTTATTGTAAATATAGTTTAGTAAGTATACCCTTATAAAGTATTAAATAGTGTATTTTTTTTAAGGTTATTTATAAATATAAAATGCTTTTATATTATAATTAAGAGAATTATATATAGAATTTTAAAAATATAGCTATATAGGAAAAGCTGTTATATGCTAATACTTAAAAGATTGTATTTACTTTATAATAGTATTTTAACTTTATATAATAAATTAATAGCTGTGTATAGGATTATATAGTTAAGTAAGTAAATAAGTATTAATAGGAGTTAAATTTTAATATAAGTAATTATGTTTATGTAATTAAGAAGTTTTGGTTTATAAACTGGCTGAGCAATAAGCTAGACTTTTTTATAACTTACTTATTATATAAGATTATAGTATATAAGAGTTACTTTTTTAAAATAAAGGTATTTATAAGCTAAAAGATATAATATATTTTTTTTAGATTAATTATAATTAAACTTTAAAAACCTATTATTAAAGTAAAACTTTAAATAGTTTAAGGTAAAATTAGTAAATAATAAAGAAAAATAAAAAGTTAATTTTTTAATAGTTTTTTATATTTATTATAATATTTTATAATATTAAATATAGTAGTATAGATAAGATTTAAATTCTGAATTTTATAATGTGAAAAGCTTTAAGAATATACTTATATAATTATATAAGTTTTATTAAAAGTACTTTATTATAAAGAGTTTTTTATATTAGTTAGCGGTTTAGGAAATAGCTTAATTAAATAATGAAGAAAATTTGCTTTATAAAAATAATAATTTATTAATAAAGATAAAGGGATTATAAAAGTTATATATATTAAAGAGGTAAAAGAAATAAGAGTTAGAAATATAAGTTTTTAGATTAAGCAAATTATATAACTAATTATAAAAAAGTTGTATAATAGGGTATATAGGCTTTTAATATAGTAGTAACTCTTTAGGTAATTTTTTTTAGCTTAGAAAAGTTAAATTAAAAGGTTATTAGTTTAACTTTTTATACAAGTACCCCCTTTTTTAAGAGGAGAGTAATATAATAGCGCTATAAGTAGGTTAAGTAATTGCAGGTAGGCTATAGTATATAAACTACTTATAGCCTTAAGGCCTTTTACTTTTAAGGCTTAATTATAATTAAAGGTATTTTTTCCTTTTACTTTTTTTTCTTAATAAGATAAGGTTTTATTTAGAATTTTATAATAATAAGTAAGATTTAAGAGCTTTGCCTTTTTTATATCCCTCTTGTGACAATTTAAGACAACATTGTTTAAAGATTTATTTTGCAATTCGCATAATACTAACTTTGAAATTAAACTCAAAAGTTATTTATAATATTCTACTTAGAATCACTAAGCACTCACATGTATCGAATCGAGTGATCAGTGCATCAGCCGTAAGTCTTTGCAGCCCTTAGTTACCTTACCGATTTTCTAATACAATGACTCGCAGCTCCAACTGTCCGCAGAGTTCCCATCGCCCGAACCTGTGTACTTAGCCTGCAGTGGGTACCTGCATATGGGGCGCTGCCGATAGACCTCAGTATGTGTTTGATCATTCGTCCATACAGTCGCGATGATGTCATCCGGCGCTTCCTTTCCCTCGACCCATGCCATGAGGGCAAGAATTACGTCGTGTTTGGCGTCACGGAAGCCTGGCACGCCCGAGACACTTGCTCCGAGGCTCGCGGCCTGGTTAGCACCAGCGATGTACCACGGAGCCTCCATGGTGGAGGGAGTGGACATGCAGTGGCTGTATTGCAATTAAATTTGTCAGCAAACTTGGAAACGCATGATGATGTTCAAGAGAGTCTAGAGTGAAAAGTCAGGCACAAAGAGACCACTCACTCCATGCCAGGAATCAAGAACATGCGGTAGAAGTCGTCCATTTGAGCACCTTGTGGCACAACCGCTTCAGCGACATGTTCGTAAAAGTAGATGCTGCTGCCTGTGGCCAACGTGGCATCTGAAAGGCCGTGATGATGTATGACTTTGCCACCCCGCTTATGAAAGGGTGTGAGATCGAAGTCGTCCGCGGTCGCATTCCCGGGATTGATCTGCTCCGCGAGCTGAACGGTGCTATAATCCAGATCTTGATAAGACCACGACGGGCCGAGACCGAGCAGGTTCCGCGCAAAACCGGACTGATTCTCCAGTGAGGCGTCACCACCGGTACCGATATTGTTGGCCCACGCGCTCTCGGTGCCCAGAAGGTAGTGAGGGAAAATGAATGTATCATTGACGTCAACCCAGTCGCTGTAGATCCTATACAGCGTACCGATCTGGTCTGCATTCAAGCAATTAGTCGCAGTGGTAGAGTTGCACAGCAACGTGAGTGGATTGAAGCGGCATGCCAGGGGGTCGGAGATGATGTTGTCCTCATAACCATCTTGGGGGTCGCACTGTCTGATGACTTCATCATTCAGAGTCTGATACATAGACTGGGGAATGACATGGGATGCGTCCGAAGGGGTATTGTAGGTCAAGGTTTTGACTGCGTTGAGCTGCAAGTGAGTTGTCCACCAAGCAGGAGCACCAACGCTGACGCCGTCATAGTCCTCTGGGAATAGTTCAATAGCACGGAGACCTTGACGACCTCCAACGGAGCAACCACTAAAGTAGTTGTAAGTGGAAGCACTGCCGTACCAGGCTTGTATGATGCTCTTTGAAATGACAGTCGAGCCATGCATAGCTCGCCAGCCCCAGTCGGTGACGGAATCTGGGTTGTTGTATGCCCAATCTGTATCCTGATACGCTCCACTGTGACCAGTATCGGTAGACATGACCGCGAAGCCATAACCTACTCCAGCACCCTAAGAATCCTTTGGGTTAATTCCAAGTACATCATGCGTGATAGGAACTAGCAGAACATACCATGTCAATGTAGTTGATTCCGCCGGCATAGCCACCGTTGCCGACCGCACTACGCCATCACACCGACCTGTCAGTCACCCCACGTGCAAAATCCGCAATTGGTGCTTTCATTTTACTAACAGGAAACGCTGGTTCCATGACTTTGGAAGGAACAGACCGAAGCTGTAGTACGTTCCGGCTTCGGTGGTAGCGTTGACCTGAACTTGGCAAAGAGCAGGCAGGTTTTCTGGTGACGTAGTGTAGGCTTGGTTGCTTTTTGGCACGACGAAAGTCCCGTTCTGGGCGACCTGCTCGGCACTGTAGACAGTGGCCGTGGTATTGGTAGAATCGAGGTATGACTGGAATGATGCGACTGAGCAATTCATAGCAGCAACAGGAGTTGCGAGCGCAATACCGTGAAATACAGAAGTCAACTTCATTGTGGCAATTTGCTTGACTATTAAAATGCATGTAGACAATGGCTCTGACTGAGTGTTGGGGATAGATAATTGCAACGAAGTGTTTGTTTACATATATAATCGCGTGTTTATGTGCAACATCCGCATCTCGACATATTTCGGAATTTTCCATGACACTAAATCTAAGCTTGTCTTCCTGGATTGTTTGCGCAGCGTCGTACTCCGAAGGGGTGATTTTCTCCTTACTATGCTGTATATGTTCATGGCGACTTCGGTGCTTTCTCGGCTGCTCGGCTGCTTTTAGGTGAGCGACTTTGCTCCAAATTGTGCACAAACGGACAAGGATTCTTAGCATCTAATTGCCCTTTTTGGACTGGTGCCTCTGTCCTGTTTTGCTCCAGAGTATACATCATTGCAACGATCACAGGGGTCGGGCTAGCTCCTTGGACATTTCTGGTGGGAGACGGTTCGCTTGCAGAAGATCCTGACGAAACCTTTATTTCGCTAATCTATTCACCTCACCACATCCATACCATCAACTTGTTCCCTCTGCTCGGAATCCGACACTTAGGTCGGCGTTCGCATCAGCCGAGGTTCACTTTCCTCGTCAAATGCCTCAAACACTCAATTCTCTTCCCACTGCTCTGAAATAACTGGGGAAATGTCATGAGCCTGTTTCTATTTCAAGTAAACCAATGATTTATGTCACCACATCCTACATATGTTCACTAATCATTTATTCCCTTATTCGGAATCCGAGACATAGGTCGGCTTTTACACGAACCAAGACCAGCTTTGTCATGCTAATGCCTTAAATTATCAATTCTCTTCTTGTTTCCCTGATATATTTAAAAAATCAATGGGCCAGCATGGCCAGAGACCTGAGCTTTAACGTGACCCACTCATGGCTCAAGGAACTTCACCGAGATGCCCCATGAATGTGCGCCGAGCCTCTTCTATATATCCTTCTTCCGACCCAGATCATAGCCTCGATGGCCTGAATTCTTGTGCATATCATTTGGAGCGTTTGGCTTTGGGCAGAGTCCCTTCCCGACAGCTGCGGCCGCCACGCCTCTTATCACAGGACGCGTGGGTCACGAGGCTGGCTCGTGGGCAACGCGCCGCGCGCAGGTCAAAGGTGACTGTGACACCGTCTCCTCGTCAGTTCGCACATGGGTGTGCGCGGCCGTTGGAAGGACGACTAATGGCTCTGGCCAGATGGTTTGTTTGAGCTTTGTCTTGCTCATCGCCGACGTATCTGCATTCTCTTGGGAAATATCTGCATCGGCCATAGTGACTGTCTTGTTTTCTCGGTCTGGGCGAAAGTGAGGTTGTGTGTTGACACTGAAGTGCGACAGAGTCAGGTTGTGCGGCAGAAGCCTAATTTCGATGGCTGTGTACACCGCTTCGTGCCCCGTCATAAGTGCTCCAGGCAACAGGCTTCGGGTGTTGCAGGCTGCCTAGATGCTCTAGTTGGCCCAAAGGGCCTCGATGTAAAGTCCAGTTATTCAGTGACTTTGAGGACATCACTGACACCACGCAGGGCAAGAATCCACTGTCAGAAAAGGTTGGTCGTGACCAAGGCACCTTCACGGCCACTCTCATTCTTTCTCTCAACATACTTTTACGTCTCACCCAGATAGCCATACTTGGGTGTTTTGCGTTATTGCTGCCGTATCTTACAAGTACAACACACAAGCACGTTAGACAATCTTCGCTCTAGCACAAATTATAGGCGATCACTCTCGTCTCCCCCGTATTTTGTCTTGGTTTCAAGAGCTCTAAAGCCTCGATCGCCTCAGCCTTGCTCCAACCACGAACACAAGATAAGACACGATCGATCTGAGGAACGAGAACCATGTGCCTCTGCCAAATTCACCCATCAACCTGCTCAAAAGATACATCTTCTTAGCGTTGGCACACGCCTCGGAGTCCCAACTTGCTAATGACTTCTCACCCCGCCATACTTTGGCAAGTTCTCGGCAATGGCTCGCAGCCTGGTCAGTGGCCTTGCCTGCGTGCGGACGATATGTCGCCAGCGCGTCCCCCACAAGCACCACATGGCCGTCAAAGAAGCTTGCTTTGCTGCACAGAACATCGCTGACTTTGGTGACGAACGGATTCTTGGTCGCAGACACCAATTCAGCGAACGGAGCAGCCATGCGCGCAACTAGTGGCCCGCGGAAACTGTCCCAGGTACACGGATCTACACTCCCCTGTGGCACAGTGCGTTTGTATCGGCGGCCGCTAGAATCCGTGAAAATCGCCGCCTCGTTGGCGGTTCCTTCGGCCACGTCCTGGTAAAGCACCCAGTTGATGAGCTGAGCTTCTGGCGCAAAGTCGCCGTCGTCTGTAGGAATCACGTAACAAATCATGTAGGTATTCTGACCCATCAGGTTGAAAGAGACTTGACCACTGAAGAACTCGGATGTCGCTTGAGACACTGATGCTCGCGGGACGGCGCCTCTCCAGGCAACAAAGCCTGCGTACTTTTTTTGGCAAGCCAGAGGCGCATGGACCAGCTTGCGGATGTTGGAGTGCAGCCCGTCCGCACCGATGACGAGCTCAGAGGTGATTGAGTGTTCCTCGCCTGTCTCAACATCGACGTAATGAAGGGTGACTGTCCCATTCGTGTAATGGAGGCTGGTTACACGGTTCCCAGTCAGATACTGGGCGGTTCCGTCTCCGGGCTTCGAGGCCGGAGGCGTAGGGCAGGCCGTGGAGGCATAACCGTCGAAGTTGGCACGTAGTATTCGGTACATGAGACCCCAGTTGGTCCAGTACCTGGTCGTGCCCTTATCCGCCTTGACGAGGTTCTCGCGTTTGCGGACAGAGATGAAGTTCGCTTTGCTCTCAAGTGACGTCGTAAGGCAAGTTTGGTCATGTTGACGCAGGAAATCATTCACATTTTCATCAACACGGATCCCAGCATTGTGACTGCTCCTTTCGGATGCACGGTCCTGCTCGAGGATCGTGACGTTGACTCCCTCTCGTTTGAGGTGCACACCGTGCATTAACCCACTCAAGGAGCCGCCGACCTGACAAATCTGTGAGAAATAGCACCGGGAATAGAGCATTCATGTGAATAGTACGGTGACTTACTATGACAACTGATTTGAACATTGTCATGATGTGGCTTTTTTGTCGGGTGGCGGGCTGAGTTGCTCATGGGAAGGTGGAGGAGGATTGGGCTGGGAGAGCGGAAGCCACAGAGGATTGCAGGACAGACCACTCCAGTACGTGTGAAAAAATGCTGTTCACCCACTCAAATTCCCTTTGAGTGAGTGGAAGCACGCTAGTGCATGTTGGTCGAATTATCAGGCATTCCTGGCCGATGATTGATGAAACGACATTGTGTTGGCCCAACACGTGGGTCTCAAAATTGGCAGGGCGGTAATAAGCTAGAAGTATTGTGCATGGATCCATTCAAAAAAGCTTCGCAAAATTCTGTCAATCTCAAAGGAAGGCTTGGATGTCGCCCAGCTCTTGAATGTCTACGGCGCTGACTGCCCTGATGCTGTGGGGCTTCGGAACTGATTTCTACATTTGCTTAAGGTGGATATCGCTATCTTTGAGATCCTGTGACATTTGAAAAAGTCAACAGTAGGACGATGTACGTTACGAAAGATGGACATGGAGGTTTCACGGCATCAATCAATTACTTTGATAAGAAGATTCAAGTCTTTGAAATTGTTTAATTCCAGGATGCTCAGCGGTCAGGGGCCAATGAAGTTGGGAAGACTGACGGAAAGACGAGTGAAAGATGAATGATTTTTGTATGTTTAATGTTCTCCCAGCACGTCTGCCACCATCCCTCTTGCGATTCCTTCTCGTCGATATTGGCTGTACTCACAGTGCCACCGCCTAGCGTCATATCAATCGCAACTCGCCACCAAACTCATATGCTTGCTACTTCACCAAGAACCCAAAAAACACCTACATGTTACCTAATTATTGCGTTAGGCGGTCAACTGATTGTTGTGTCTACGCTGCTCCCAGAAATCCAAGAGCATCCTGTATTCCTCAGTGTAAATCCGCGAGAAGTGCCGCAAATTGCCCACAACCTAGCGATATGGTTAGTGTTTATCGCTGAATGCGCTTATATCACTGCTAGATAGATGAATTTAAGTGCCTTACATGTCTGTTCCTAAAACAGGGTCGTAGTATTCTCATCTTCCGAGCAGTCAGACATTCCGAAGTGAGCGATCATATCTTTGCAAAATCGAATCTACTCACTCCACAACAATCCACGATGATGGCTCCGCACATCCATCAATATCGTGTCGTCTGGACCAACGACCTCAACTGTTCCAAAAGAGTGGAGAGTACTTCGAGATGGAAACGGATCAAGGAGTCAAACGACCCCAACTCACGGTTTAGGAAAGCAGACTGAGCAATCAATGTGCATGTGTCCTGCAACGACCAGACGTTCATTGCCTCCATCAAGAAGCGACGCAAACGGCCCCAGTGGTCCTCCGCGCACCTCAAGAGCACCAGATCCTGAGGCGCGCACGCCGGCAAGACCGTCACAGGCTGAGATCCGCCTGCCAAACTTCACCGGGAACACCAGCTACCAGAGCGCTGCGTACCACGTGTGAAGCTTCAAGGCTGACAAACACGAAGGCGACCGGAGGCCCAGCGGATGACGTGCGCAACTGATGGCGGAAAGTTCCAGCACGTCACGGGAGCGGACATTGGCACGGGGGAGCAGTGGTATTTGCTGACGTCAATGGAGCCCTCACTATACAATCCTATACGAGGCTGTTGGTGGCGAGAACAGCTGTTCGGAGCCTGCGACGGATCACATTTTCAGTGGCTTTGGCGGCTAGATGAGGGTCAAGTATGTTGCCATGTACGAGTCTATTTAAATTCGTTGGTGGCTACACAAAGACTCGGCCATTCCGTGGGCCAGTGGCTTCGCGGGTGATCCGGTCCGAGCGAGTTACACAGGCCGTTCGTTGGATGCGTGACTTGGTGGGCTATTTTCCGAGGGCTGGGTGGCTTGCTTGCTTGCTTAACTGCTTGCCTCTGTGGACGGCCACGAACAACGGCTTGCGCAGGGAGGCCGGCCGGCCGAGGCGGTGTTACACAGGGATTCCCAAAGGTCTGGGACTGCACGTCGGAAACTTCCGAGCGTGTAAGCCGCGAAGCCCATTGGCTGGACATTTAACATTTTACACATTCCTTTCGCACTGCAGCACTCCTGAGGTGTATCATGTTGTGTCAGACTTGATGCGTGGAGGGGGCCAACCGACTCAATTTTCAGCCTCATCTGCATGACTGAGGCGCTGCAGCCCCTGCAGATGACCACTTCTCATCGTGAAAATGAACGACCAGTCGAGGCCCGTTTAAATTTCCTCCTTTTGCCAGATTAATTGTACACTTGCTTTTTCTCGTCTCTATCTAGATTAAGCCACAAAAACGGAACGCACGCCCACGAAGAACAGGCCATTGGCGATAGCGCAGCAGCATTGTCGCCGGCACAGATTCCTCGCGTCAGACTTACGCCGTCCCAGCGATGGCGTAGAAGCACTGTCGCTGTCGAAGTGGCGGGGTAGGAATTTGGAACAGTTTTGGAGGTTGTTGTTCTGCCCTTGCCGAAAACCGTACCGTAGAACCTTCGCACAGACAGCGTTATCCGAACACGGATGGGGTATCATTGTAAGTAAGGAAAAATGCCCACAAGGAAAAAAAAAATCAAAAAAAAATCGGAAATGTTCCCGCTGTTTCCGTAATTACGCCTGGTCAGCCTCGTTGGAATGAGAGCGCCCGTCCTAACGGTGGCGCAGCCGCGCCGTCAGTCTGAAGAGCCTCTAGCCTTGAAGTTTGTCATTGTGGACACATCAGGTGGGCGCTCCATGTGGAACGAGGGAGGCTAGACGTCTTGGTGTCGTCAGGAATTTGTTTATCGCGAATTGAAGTTGAGAGATGCACGCTTTGATGTTGCTGTGGGTAACATGCATGTTGCTCTGTAATCCGTGGTTCGGGGGCACATTGCGCTGCCCCGAGGCGGAAAGGAACCACTTTGTCGATATTTAGCCCACGCCCGAGGCATTTTCAGGAATCGCCGCCTGCATGTTTGCATGAGACTCCGGGACGTTGTTGTGGGGGGGCGGCAGGGGCTGTTTTAACCCTGTCGGCCGAGCCGAATCCTCCCAAAGCCTCGCTGCACCTGTTCGCGGCGGGCTGCGCCGTCCTGGAAGTCATCGGTGGAGCCGTCGCTGCTGACAATCTTCTGGCTCGGCTTGTTGCCAAACACTTGGATGAGGACGGTCATGGCGAAGCTGCTGACTATGCTGACGCAAAGGATGCCGATCATGGCCAGGTTGCTCCGCCGGTACTTGTACGGGCCGGGGGCCGCGTCCTCGGGCCACCCCGTGTACAGGGCGTAGGTGGTCGTGATGCTGCCCAGGTTTCCCAGCCCGGAGACGAGCGCCGCGGCCGCTGCGACGCCGACCTCGCCGTGGCGGCGCTGGAAGATTTCGTTTGTCCAGGTCATGCAGATTGGCACCGTGGGGCCCAGACCGAAGCCCACCATGAGCAGGCCTCCGTAACGGGCCCATGGGTTTTGCAGTGCGAAGGTGACGGTCAGAAGCCCGGCGATCTGGATGAGCACGGCGCACGAGAAGAAGATGGGCCGAAGCCGGTGGAAGCGGTCAGAGATGGGAGTGACAATCAGGATGGCAAAGAAGTCCATGACCCAGATGGGCGCGAACAGCAGGCTGACCTGGATGCCGGTGTACGACGGGTTGATGGAGGCTATGATGACGTTGCCGTAAAGTTGGGTGCCGATACCGACGCCCACGACGCCAAAGTACATCAGCACCAGCGGCCAGAGACGCCAGTCGATCAGGACATAGCCTAAGTCTGCCCATGTCCAGGGCCGGGGATGGTACACTCTCCTGAGATCGTGGTAGTGCACCACAGCGTCCTCCCCTGTGAGCGCCTCAGGTGGTGCGGGAAAGAACCTCATCAGGCCTTTCGTCTCACGCTTCTCTCCCGGAGGAAGAGGCCTGTCGGGAAGCCACCAGAGCAGCGTGAAGCCCAGAATGACAGCCAGTGCGCCATAGATGAGGAACATCCACTGAAACCCGACCAATCCTCCAAGCCCGTCCATCTCCTGGAAGCCAGCACTGACAAGACCGACCACAGCGGCGGAGATCTGGGCGGCGCTGAAGTAATAACCAATCCGCTTGCCGGTGCGGCTCGGGGGGTAGAACAGAGTCAGGTAGTAGCTCATGCCGGGCCACATGCCGGCGATGACGACGCCGAGCAGGAAACGCAGCAGCTTGACGGACCAGGCGGCGCGCACGGCGGCGAAGCACATGCCGATGAGGCCGACGGCGAAGACGATGCGGGCCATCCAGACGCGGGGGCTGAGCCTGCTCATGACGAGGTTGGAAGGGCAGTCGAAGATGACATACGAGACGTAGAACAGGGCCAGGGCGGTGGAGGTATCGCGCGCTGTCAGGTGCAGGACCGACATGAGGTCATGGCCCTGGGCGACGTTCATGGTCTGGGCGAGCCCAATGTTGGAGCGGATGGCGGAGCACAGGAAGTAGAGGATCCAGAAGGCTGGGCAATATGATGAGTCAACAAGTCCATCAACTGTCGAGAGACATGGAGGTGACACAATGTCACATTGTGTGGCACATGTGAGTGAAAATACCTGGGATGATGCGCAAGTCCAGCTTCCGGTAGACTGCCTCGACCCTCTCGACGGGGTAGTCCTCCTGAGGCGCAGGCAAGACCTGAGTATGTGGCTGTTCCACAACATTCTTGGTGTAGTCGTCGTCGCCAATGCCGCCGCCGCCCGTGGCTGGGGGCTCTGGCGCCTTGGTGGTGGCCATACTGAACTGCAGAGCAATGGAGGAGCGTGCTAACAGTTTTTCAGGCCAGGCCTCCAGCTTGTCACAAGAATGAGGGTTCCTCAGGCTCGCCCGGCGCGAATGATATCTATAATGGATGTCGAAGGTCTGTCTCCTAGGGAGCCAGAGATTTTTGAACGCTGCAGAGACTTTAGAGAAAATTCAAGCCCGAGCTCGGACGACAATGAGATTTATTCTCTCACTCAACATTTAGACTGATTCGGGGTCCGGTCAGGAGGGTTATCGGGGTCGCAAAGTGGAGAACGCCAATCCCGCCATTTTGACGGCCGAGTCGGTCTTCGCTCGTTCGCTCGGTTGGGAACGGCATTTCTAGCTGCATGAGCGACCGTGACAGGCCCTTGCGAGAGGTTGAATATTCAGATTTTGGACCCCAAGTTATGTCAGACTACTTTCAGTTGCTTGAATTCCTAATATTGAACTAAAGCACCTCCTCTTTCCACGGATGAAACTGGTGATCCTACCGGTGCCTAGGTACAAATGTAATTTGTTATCTGATCCGATTTTATCAGATCAGAACATTTGGCCTGTGCTTATAGGGTTGGGGTTTTTTGGGGGGGATGGGTTACAAGCTTCGAGTCGTGCAAGAAGCATCAAATACCAGCATCTGATGACAGCGTTTAATAGATTGAGGATTGCAGTCTCAAGATTAAAAATCAGAAACTCATGGATCTCCAACTTCACACACGCACATGAAAAGTTTTGGCTGGTAATAATAATATTGTACCACTGGGTCGTTGCACTCATCACACCCCCCAGATTCAGGCCTCAGGCTGTAAGGCTGAAATGCGACAACCTCGCTTTTCAGGACACAACGCAAAGATGCCTGGCCAGTTTTGGGTGATGTGTTTGTTTGCATTTCCCCGCTTCAAGTCTTCGTCTCAGGTCAGACTCACCGGCAACTTGATCCGTCATCACGAGCTCTTGTCGATTGCCTCGAGGCACTTCTAGCTTGGCAGCACTTTCTTCTCTTCTTCTCCGTGCCTCTCAATGAGCAGGCAGGCCGCGGGACCATGGCTTGGGCTTCGGTGACGGGGCATCGCATCACATCTCGACATCACAGCCAGGCACAGCAGCCTGTCGATCGCCTTCAATACTGAGATGCGCACGGCACGTCTTACGAGGCAAAGTGTACCTTTACGAAAGCTGCCAATCCTAACGGACCAATCTCAGCAGCTCACGAGTCGTCTCGGCGAGACACATGCTCCCGGTCACGAGGTCCTCTTACCTGTGATTCTCTTGCCGGGACCGACGGAGCTGAGTCACCACAGGACTACGCAACGTCCATGCTGCCATGGTACCCCAGTGTGGCTGTTGCCTTGATGGAGCCATCCCTAGCACCCAAAAGGGCACTTCACTGCCCAAGCACAGTCCACAGAAGCGTGTCGACGGAGCCCACCTCCTTCGGCATCGCGCCCCGTCCCGCGGTGGCGACCCGCAATGGATTTAACTCACCACACTGGGAAGACTGGTACGGGACCTGCCTCCTTTCAGTGCTCGTCTGCCTTCCTGCCGTCCCGCCTTGCCGCCTTGGGACCGCGAGAGACTCTGGGCGCCCCTGATTGGGACTCAAGTCTGCCAGCAGCACACACACACAAGCATTGCTGCACAGTACGGCTGTACCACAGCTACAGCTAGAGCTAAGCCAGGCTGCCACGTACTTCAGTCCGTCACCACCTCTGCCCAGTGAGGGCGCCTCTCATCGTCGCCTGCTCCGCTTGTCCAACACATCCCAGGCTACGCAGCAAACTGTCTGCGGCGCAAGAATTTTTGTGGGTTGGGATATGTCAACCACTGCATTGTTGCTGCCTCTACCTGTGGTGAGGCCTCGTTGGGCCGTGGCTTGCTACTGCCGAAGCAGTTCTCTGCCACGGCCCGAGCATGGACGCGCCTAATACTCGCCTCCAGGAGAATCCTTCCGAGGGCCACGGACTGGGCCACGTTGTGTCGGTCCCTGCATACTTAGGGCGCTGGCAAGTGCCAGCAGCCAGGCCGGTGACCACAGGCCGCCACATGGCATTCAGTCTCCATGGTGTGCGTGGCGGTGCAGAGCTGACTCCAGTCCTAAGCAACTCTGTGCGCCCAAGGCATCATGCGGTCCTTTGTTCTTACCATGCCTGTGTAGGGCTGAAGGATCAAAGTCTACCTTCGCATTAGAAGAAGGGATTAAGTGGACTTCCATTAGGAATGGGTGGGTGGGAATGTTGCCCCGTCTGCCTACAGGCACGCCGTCATTTTGCCCAGATGTGAGGTACCTGCGGCAAGTAGTGAGTCACCCTTACTGCCTGCACCCGAAGGCGTCCGTCGAAGAGTCACATCTGCCTAGCGCCGTCTTTCTCCCTCTCTCTTTTTCGTTCTGTCTGGTGTCAGGATTTCTTATTAAAGAACAAAGGGGTTCCCAGCTGGAACAAGCCTCGAAGCGTTGCGTTGTATCGAAACCACTGGCCAAGATGACGGTGGTCGCAGCAACAGAAACAGGTTGCCTGGTTTTGATTCGGTAGTGGCTGAGTTGCCTTATTTTCGCGTTGCATGCGCCCGCATTGTTTCCTCTGTCCTCAACCTCTCATCTTGTCTTATCGTTATCGCCGCTCTAGGCTGCAAGTACCCACGTACCGAAGTACCAAAGTACCCGCCACTTCTACTCCCACTTCCACTTCATCCGGTCTAGCTGACTCAGCAGACCTCGTTCAGCTGTCGCATCCGCGTCGGTCCCGCTGATTGGATCAGATTCGGCCTAAAGCTTGCGCAGCGCAGAAGCTCGTCGTTTAGTGTTTGGTCGACCACCAACGCTTTGTTCCCGCCTGACCGGCGAAGACACACCACGATCACATCATAAATCTTTGTACCACCAGTTTCTATCAGCCTCACATCTGGCTTTATTAATTACTGGACTCTCCCATACTTACTCTTCCAACCGCTCCACGGTCGTTCGACTTCGGCACTGCATCGAGTCCGACAAACATCACCGATCGGCTCTCACGATAATTCGCTCCTTGCATCACGAACAGTCCTCGACCGGCTCCCACTCCTACCCGCGAGGCACCCCTCACATGACTGATCCCAGCGTCACAATGAGTGTCGCCTACGAGCCTCGCTCCTTTCACGAGGACAGCCCGTACGCGCCCGTTGGCGAGAACGACCATGACATCAACAAGTACATCAACGAGGCCAACGTCGCAGACATGGCGAATCTGGCCGCCGCCACCTACGAGCCTGCCAACGACTCCTCGCCAGCTGTCTTTGACCCTTCGCCCTCGCCTGCTCTCGACCTTCATCCCGTCGGGCCTCCTAACGTCGACCCTGCCAACGTACCCGTCAGAGACCTGTCGCCCGCTATCCAAAACGCGTTCAACTCGACCCAGAACCACTCACAACGCATCAAGCCCATAGCGAAGCCCAACCGGGAAGTGACAAAGAGCGAGGACGGGAAATTTATATGCACATGGCCTGACTGCAACGAGCTGCAGAAGAAGTTTCAAAGAAAATGCGAATGGAGGTTAGTGGGTTCTTTTATGTCGTCGTTGTGCGCACTACCGCTGTGGTATAATTTTGCTAACGAACCTTTTCTTCTTTCAGTAAACACATGGACAAGCATGAGCGACCTTATGTCTGCACAGCAAAGGGCTGCGAAAAGATCCAAGGGTTCACATACAGCGGCGGCCTGCTCCGACACGAGCGCGAGGTCCATGGAAAGCACGGCGGCCCCAAGAAGAAGCTTCTTTGCCCCCACGAGAACTGCAAGCGCTCTAGTGGCAAGGGCTTCTCTCGCCAGGAGAACTTGTCTGAGCACCTGCGTCGCGTCCACACGTCTGCTGGCCCCATGCAGATGGACAGCCCCGGCGACAACAACACCGATGATAGCGCCAGCGATGTTGCCTCTGCCGCCTTCGCCGTCATGGCCGGCGTCGCCATGAGCCCCGCAAACCTCGACAACCACTCTGCCGACACGGGCATCAAGCGCAAGCGCAGCCCTGACGACCTGGGCCGTAGCCATGATCCTGACGACGACAGGGACGACGACGATATCCGTGCGGAGGTCAAACGGCTCCGGAAGGAGGCTGCCGACCTGCGCCAGCAGCTGGAGGAGAAGACTAGGTCCAGCAGCGAGATGCAGGCGCAGCTAGCCGCCATCCAGCATGCCCTGGGCAACCCCATCAACCAGACCCTGGGACTCCAGCAAGCACCGGAGCTCTAGGTGGGTTTCCAGGATGTCGGGGCCACACAAGGTGTCGGGCCACAATACCGGGCGGACAGCTGCCCACCAACCATGCGCGGCGGTGAAGTCCGCGGCGGCGGCGGTGGCTTTCAACAAGAGCCGCTTCGCTTTGCCATGTTCGGCACTCAGCTGTGTTACCTGGACGAGCATAATCGGTGGATGCTCGCGCTATGAAGCGGCTGGCGTCTCATCCAGCGCAAGGCGTCCAGCTTTGTTTCTTTTTTCTTTTTTTTTGCAAGGCCATGGATGCGCATCAACGGTGTTCAGGTCAAGGAATTTGTTCTTCTTTCGTTTCTTTTGTTATTGGAGGGATTAACCATGACGGATAGTGGACTGATGGACGGTTTGTGTTCATCTTATCCCAGGATCATTGATGGAGTCTGTCTATCTGTCACAAGGAGTTTGACTAGCGTCTCTGAATTTTTCTGATTTGGTTGGGTGTTTATGAGGGTGTTGGTTCGTGACAAGGTTGGCAAAGCGGTTTCTTTTGGACAGCACAACGACATCCCGCTTTCTCTTTTGTTTCCTCTTCCACATGATGGCGTTCGGGATGGCAAGAGGCAAGGAGTCCATGATTTCATTTGTCACGGTCCTGCAAACTGAGATACCCCCCTGTAGACGAATACACCAGAGCTAGATCTGCTTGTCCTTTTTTCATTTCTCTCGAGCCTCGGGACGCTGGCCGTCAAGGATGTATTCTTTCCGTACTTGGATCGTGTCGATCCCATTCTGAAAGCGGTCAGGGTTTGGGCAACAACATTGACTCAATAACAGACGAGCCGTTGCTTTTCATATCCAATTGACATGATGGATCGTGGCCTTGGTTCCAGAATTGCCCATTTAGATCTGACGTAGGCTTTGTCGCCTATTTCTTGGGAATTTTAGCCACTATGTATCGATTCACTCACATCATCTTCAAGCATAATATCAATGACTGTTTCAGGTATCGTTTTTATTTGCCTACAGGTGCAGCTCTTATGCAACAGTTCCTATCAAAAAACGGTTCGTTACAAAAATCCAAAAAGAAAAAAAAGAAACCCCCCGAGAGGCATACTGAGGAGAACTATACTTTGCTCCCTAAATACTGGTAACATAGAGATGCAGAGATGTAAGGCCGTCTTCCTCATCCCCGCCGCCTAACACCAAGCACATACTCATTGAATGCATCAGATAACGGTTCCCTACCCAAAAATCGAACTATACTCTCCATCTCATCCTGACTCCCGCCCTTTTCAAGGATTGTGTGGCGGAATCTTCGGCCCAGATTGCTGTCCATGATGTCACCTTTGAAGTGGCTGTAGAACAGATCTGCTGCATAAACTTGAGAGCTTTCAATATCGTCTGTTAGCGTGTGAGCTGGATTATGGACTCTCGAATCTGCGACTTACAACAGGTACGCATAGTACCCGGCCTCGTAGTCGTCTTGGACCAGGTGCGTGTTAGTGGTGTAGCCATGTCCTGATACCTTGTCATCGCTACTGGTGTCTGAGTGGGCAGTCTGGCCAAGTTCTTCACCAAGCTTATTCCATGTCGACGTCAGGTCGATGGCTTCTGCTTCCTCGAAACTAGAAATCCGGTTAATGGCCAGATCAAAGGCAGCCCGATGCAGCTGTTCAAGATGGAACAGCGGCCCGAAAGTCAGACGCCTGGACCGGATTATGGCTGCAATCATCATGTGTGGCATTTCGACTTCTGGGCGACTGACCCCGTCATTCTCTCCCTGCCAACTTCGAAGCATGTCCTCGTTGAGATTTGAATAATGAAAGCTGAGGTATTTAAGCTGGGATGGCTGCCAGCACCATTGTTCCAACATCTGGCTTGGCATCTCGCCAAAATCTACCGCTACGCCGCCTGGGCCGTGGAAGCGGGCGTACTTGGTCTTGGACACGAGGTCATGAATTCCGTGCCCAAGCTCGTGAAAGATGGTGACGACGTCGAAATGCCGGAGCAAGCTGGGCTTGTTCGGTGTTGGTTTGGAAAACGCACAGAGTAACGCTGTGACGGGATGGTTTCTCGTTCCGTCCTCCTTGACAAATCCCTAAATCAAATTTTTGAGATGCGGATCACAAATGAAGGAGATGAAGGTAATACTCACAGGCTGCAATGAAAAGCAAGCTGCTCGGGGAGATTTTCCAGGGCGATAATAAAGGTCTAGATAAAGATAGCCGAGAAAATTACCACCGCCCGCATCATCATTGTAAACCGAGAAGATCTTTACATCTTCATGCCAGATTATGTCCACATTCTTGTCCACTCCTGTGATTTCAACGAACCGAAGCCCAAAAAGACGGGAGAATTGCCTGAGCATGCGTGAAATCGTGATCTGGACGGGGAAATACTCCATGATCCTTTCCCCGTCCAGGGACAGCTGCTGTTGCATCATCAAACGACGGTAGAAGTCAAGGTCCCAGGGCTTGATATCTTCCTCGAGCTGAGCCTCGTCTCCTTCATTGCTAGTGCCAGACTTCTTAAGATCGTTCAAAGCCTTCAACGAATCGAGGCCACCAGGAGCCAACTTTTCTCGCAGGTCAACGAGAAATGCTCCCACGGTTTCTGCAGTCTTGACCATCCTCCCCTGCAGGCGAAGGGCAGCATGGCTCGGGAACCCCAGAAGATTGGCTGCCTCGTGTCGAAGGACGACGGCTTCTTTGAGGAGAGGTATGTTCCCACTGCATCTGTTCTGACAGGCGATGAAGAGGCGTCTTCGGGTATCAGCCTTGGCATATGACATGATTGCCGTGTCGCCTGGGTCGGCGAGATAGACTTTGAATGTTTCTTCCTGCTCTGTCTTCTCAAGCCGGCTTTGAATACTTGTTGGCACGCCATCGAGCTCCTCCGAAGTGAAGCAGATGAACTCATTGTCACTGTTGATGTTTTCAAGGAAGCCAGCTCGTATCTGACTGAGGCGGCCTTGGATCGCTCTGAAGCGTTGTCTCTGCTCCGGATCCAGGATTGCGGCGCCGCTCTGGATATGCTGGTAATGGATGCGCTCCACAAGCAGAGTTGATTCTGGATCAAGATTCTCTTGGAGCTCGCGCACAGCATTAACTAGTCGGTAAATATCCTGACGCAAATAGGCTTCAGCTTGGAAGTCGGCGAACAGCGTTTGTGCCTTCGTGGATGCTTCACGGAGTTGCTCGTCTTCAGAGACCTGGCTATAAAAGCCGAGCAAGTTTGCTTGCGATCGGAACTCGTTCTCCATGTGCACAAGAGGGAGCATTACATTGCTGAAGGTTGCTGCTGAGGGGGTAATCGTCCTCACTAGTTCATCTTGTAATCGCCTGGCATTTTCGACCAGTCTCTGCGCACTGTTGAGTATCGACCTCGGTGACTTCGAAAATGCAGGCGGTGGTTGAGTCGTGGTCATCTTATTGTTGTCTTTGTACATGCTGAAGGGGCTTATTAGGAATTTTGAGGATGGAAGAGCTGTTCCAATGAAACGTCCCGGTGGATTGGTATCTGATCTATACGCTAAGACCCTGTTATCAATAGAAGTATCTCTTTGCCTACTGTGCCGCACTCTCACCTCCAAGCTTTTCCTTATAAAGGAGGTGCAACTTACTTCGAATGACATAGAATGTAATGGTCCTCGCCTCACAACGTTATTCCCTTCACATCTCGATCATTTAGTCCCCCCATTTTTAGAGCTAGGTATTCTCGCACATATTCTTGATGCTACCTAAACTTGCTGCGTCCATTTCTATTATATAGAAGACAATAGTGCCGTCGAATTCCTCCGTGTACATACTGGGGTCAGTATGCGCAGAGAAAAGAAACCATTTACCATTGTAAGTACACATCGAATGTTAAAACTCATCAACCTCCGCATAAACAGAATCCTCACTCACGATTGTGGGAATTTGATAGCCATGCATCCTATGCTATTCATGCTCAGAGAAATATGATCAAACTCATTCCTCGTTCAATCACTGAGTTTCGAAGGGATCAAATCTGCCAGTCGTCACCTTCTTAAAATGCACTGGTCAAAAACTTGATTCAATGAACCAATTATGGTAAGGGCTACGTTTTGCGTATCAAACATAGCAAACAGTGGAAGCAAATTTCATCAAGCTTCACGTATGAATGGAACTAAATCTGGATATAAAATGAGCGTCCGCATTCCCCTCCAGGCTAAGAGAACATCTTCCAAGCGTACGATGCACTTTCATGCGTGCTGACCCGCTCAGCCCCAGAATGCCACTGCCTGCTTGCCCAACGATTGCTGCCCAGCAGTATTTGCATGGCAGCCATCCTGCACCTCGCCTTGATGCAGATGAAACGCCCCTGGATAGGTCACATTTTGAGTTGCATCCTTGGCGGCTTGTTGAGCGAGGGCATCGGTTGACTCTGGACCACCGGGCCCAGCTAATTGACAAGTCTGCCCAGCGTCGTACAGCGGCTGGCCGGTAATGTAAATCGTCGCGTTTGGCGCTGCGTGCTGGCGGGCGTTGGCAATGACTTGCTTGACCTCGTCGTAGGTAGCTCCGCTCGTGAAGATACAGACCTGCACCCAGACTGCGCTGGGCTTCCCGTATTTCGCGACTTGCTGGTCGAACAGTTGCCAAGATTGCGAGTTGGTGTCTGTCCATGACTGGACGACCATGCCGCCAGTGCCATATGGGCCCCACATACGCTCCCCTTGAACAGCCACATACCCTTGAGCAACATTTTCGGCCATGGAACAGCCGACGAAGCCCATGGAGTGGACTGGATCCGCGGCATGTGCAACCATTGCGACCGCGCCGACAGTCGTAAGCGAAAGAAGAGGAGTGAATCGCATGATGATGATGATGGTAATGATGGTGATGATGATAATTCACTCTTGAAACTTACTGAATGAATCTGACTATTGCTACATGTCACTTCTATGTCTTTATATATCTTGCAATTGGTATCTTTAGAGACAGGTCAATAGTTGCGTGGGCCTTAGATGTTTGCCTTGAATCTGATAATCTTCATTTGATTTATCCAAAGTGAGATATCAATTCATCAGGCAATTGTACACGACTCTGTCTGCTTCATTCATTTGGCACAATGATCAATGGTATAAAGCAGAAGAGTGAGTTGTTGAGATACCGTGTTAGCATGTTGTAACTGCTGCAATGATGTCCAGCACTAGCGGGGTAGAATGTCTCGGTAGCATGGAGCGGGATTATGAGTAGCAGAATAGGGCATCGGTAGCAGAGAACGGGAGTGTCAGCATCACGGAACAAGAAATCATCGGCGCAGAATCAGTAATCGGTAGTTGAGGACGGGACATTAGCAGTACATATGGAGCCAGGTACACCGCTCTCAATATGGAAGTCCTGCGAGATTTGAAAGCTTAGATTACAGTCCCAATACACTGCTGCAGCATCCGGTTAGACTTGATCTCACGATTATCTAGGTCCATACGTTCCAAGGCTCCGCATTGACGCACTCGTCACTTTATCATATACTTGCCAGTAAGGAATGAAAGGGTAATCGAATTGGAGTGACTTGAATGCAGATCTAGAGAGTTCTAGAATAAGTCCACCGGTACGGATCTCCGATATACAAACGTGCCACAGGACTTTAATTTTGGCGATGCTTTGTACCAGTCATTATACTGGCTACTAAATTGCACGACAACTTCGCCGGCCTTTGCAACGCAGAGCTCGTTCAAAAATATACGTAAGCGAGGCGTAGCCAGTCCTGGTGAAGAACCAGCGGGCCAAAGAATTTAGGCTACAAAGCTGTGGTGAGAGTCACAAAAGCAAGATCTTCCGAGGTATCTTCATAGGGCGTACCTGGCATTGCGTGGACTTAACTACCTGAGTAAGGAAGAAAGCGGGTTGGAAATTACTGAATCGTCCTAATTTCAATCCGGTGCCGTCTTTCAAAATTTGTATCAATACTCAGCAATCTTGCGGTTAAGTCATTCGACCTGGCCAACTCAATGCTGGACATCTTTGGTGACCAGCATTCGGGCAAAGTTGGTTTCGCTTCAACTGCTTGCAAGACCAACAGTCAAAGTGATTTGCATCATCACTGTGGCGTAGTATCTCGATATAGAACGGTCCATGGTACGCGGCCGGGCTGTTTGTGCTTCAACAACCGATCGCTTGTGAAGAACAATAAAAATAGAGAAATAAAAATTTGATTCATAGTGGAGCCAACGTGCAGCGATGATGGACCGAGCGGCCAGGGTCCTTACTGTTGTTGGTACCGGCATTCATCACTTTGTTGGTAAAATGCCTCCCCTAAATTTAGGATGGGACACCAACTGCATAACCTCCAACACATTTTGGGTAGGAAAGACACGCTCTCAGCTCATTCTATGGGCACCTGCTCTTGCGCCAGGTCTGCCTCTACAAGCACCGACTTGGGCCAGACCTACTTCACGTCCTGCCAAGAGTGAGGCACGGGGATGGTGACCACGGTTTGTATCTAGCAGGCCCCAACCAGTGAGAATTCCGTGCAGCATATCACAAATTCCAATTCTCTGGACTTGTGTCCCTCGTCTTGGCCATGGCCTGTTCTGTCCTGAAACACGAGGCCTGGTAGTCATGATGTTGGGGTCGACATTCGTTGAACAACGAAGGGATCGCGGCCAGACACCACAGAGCCTGTCTCTCATTGCCATTACAGGTACATTCATAGACGAAGGCAAGTATATAAATCAGAAATCTCTTCCAGAGACTTTTTTTGTTCTGTGTTTAAGACATCCCATAGCCTCTTCTGCCTCGCATTCCCTCAGCTCAATCATCGTTCTTCAATCTCTGCTGCCGTTAGCCTCTTCGACTCTACCAATCTGGAATTATTCCTTTTGTCTATTACACCGGTTGTATAGAATCTGTTCAGCCTCGAAGCGTTCTCGATTAGACATCCAGGTAGGTTGTCCGTTCTCGAGCGATGCTTATGGTCTAGCTAAACGCATATGCAGTCTTACACCAAGTCAAACTCTGACGAGCATCATGTGTCAATACACTATCTACTTGTTCAAATACTGCAATTGCCAAGATGCGCGAGTCAACCTCCCAACAGGCTGTGACGGGGAATGCACAATGACGAGAGCAAACACAACCACGAAAAGAACCGAAGCCATCTGCCGGGATCATCCACGTCCAAGTAGTACAACCCAGAGACGGGGAAGGGAATCTGGTCGTCGACAACACACCAGACGTTAGATGAGGCGGTGATTCAACAACATCACCATCACGACTTACAATGCGGGCTGGTTCCAAATGTATTGTATGGTTTAGATAGTTCAGACTGTGTCTATGAATCAGACAGAAGCGCAGGTCGTTTCGTATCACAACATTGTTCCAACAACATCGCAATTGTCTAGTGCCCCTGTCTCTAGTACTCCGTGTTCACGTACTCATTGATGCGATCTCTCCTTATTTCATCCAATTCCTTTGCATGAAACACAATAGTACCGTCGAACTCCTCGTCTGCTGTAAGCCCTATTACTCTGGGACTGGAGTCCTCCGTCGTGACGTGATGGTCAAAACAGATTCCAATGTAATGGTAGTCTCTTTGTTCAGGACCCTCGGGGCCCATGACACGCTTCGGCCATCCAAAAACATGTGGCAGCCTGGACACCTCAGCACCAAATATCGCCCTGCTGACATCGCGGGCCATCTGGTCAATGGCGGCTTTGCCTTTTCGTTTAACCCGACTGAAGCTATCCCCTTCTACCAATGGATCCATGGAGGGGTCAATGGATTTCAATAAGTCCCCATTTATTCGCACTGAAATACGAGTTGGTTGGTCTCCAAGGGGGAGAAGATCGGTGGGTGCGACGGAGATAGTCATGGTGGTCTTCTGTCTACTTTCGTCAAGCGTCCGGGATTACCTTCAGGATTTCATATGGTGGACAGTTATGGACATACCTCGAGTAATTTTCGCTGAACTGGGTCTCTTGTCTCTGGCAAATGGCAAACGTTTGGAGAGAAAGAAGAGGGGCCAGGAGTTTCGGGTGCCAGGGCTGGCGGCGGGGTTCACTTTTTGTTCGAATTTGAACCACCAACAGGCAGCCAGTCGCCCCCACCCAGCTAGACACCAACTGCATAACCACAAATGCAGTGTCTGCGTATATATTGCGCACTCAACGCCACAGTAGCCCATGTTTGTTGGCCTCTCACGAAGAGATAAATGACAGCTGATGTGCATAAGCGCAACATCATGCCAGGATTCAAATCCCTCTTTTTATCATATCATTGAGGACAAATAGACTGCCAATTCAACTGACTGCGTGAAGTGGAGGGAGCAAATGGCCAAGGCTGTCGTAGGCCGTGCACGCAGGTGCTTACGTAACAATCAGAGTCACGTTCTATGCTTTAGAACATGACTAAGAGATTCTTTCTGTTGCGGTATTGAGATGTGCTACTCCGGGGGGGGGGGGGGGGGGAGAATGCATTTGATCAAAGGAGCGTTCAGTCGTAAGCGTACGATACCATATGATCTGGCCGCGATACTAGGCCAAAGGGTCCTCACCATATGGTAAGTTGCTTGCCTGGCTGACTCGTCTCCCGTCATGCGCCTTACGGTCTTCTGCCAAGGCCTGCGCAAACTTGCTCTTCCCTCGTATCACTGGACCCTTCCAGTAGAACACGTATACGGGAACTACCACCATACAAGCCAGAATCGCCAGAATCGTGCTCGCCCACTCAGTTGGATACTCATTGCCAATCCCTTCGTACATCGGCACCGCAAACATAGCGCTGATCCCAGCCAAGAAGTCTCTCGCAAAGGCGTTGCCGCCACACGCCGAAGCAGAGTACGGACCGTAAGCCGCGATCATGTAGTCAACCGAGGAGAAATAGATGGCATAGTTGGCCATGCCAATTAGTAGACTGAAAATCATGGGCGCAATCCAATGCACCCTGGGCGGACCAAGTGACGTCCACGCAAAGCCAATGAGGCCAATAGGCTCGAGGGGCGCTAGGAACAAGAGAATCTTCATTCGGCGCTCCGCCTCAAATTCCTCGCCCTTCTTTTGCCGTGTCCGTGTGTAACGGTAGATCCACGGCAGGTAGATGAGGTACGTGAGGAAGTAAGCAACGTTGATCGGGATGACGGCCCACGCGGACTCTAGCACCCCAAAGTCCCAAGCGGCGTAGACTGACGGGAAGCCTTCGAGGAAGATGAAGATAAGAGCATCTGAGAAGCCTGAGAGGAGAGACAGAAATAAAACAATGGGCTCGCGAACGAACATCTCGAACGGGCGGGCCCATATCTTGACGGCTTCTTTAAGTGAGATGCGCGGCATCTTAAGCTCGTTGGGGCCGTAGACTTCGAGACCAGGATTTGCCTTACGACGGCGCTTGGCCTCTTTGTCAATGAGAATTGTGCTGCGGCATTCGGGCGTGAAGAAGTGAATAAGTTGGACAGCAGCCCCGAAAATGAGTTGGATATAGAAAAACCAATGCCAAGACAGATCTGAGGGAGTACAAGGTCAGTTGAATTGGCTCAATGGACAACTTCATGCACGGACGCTCGACTTACAGGCTTGAATAGGGCCACCAATAACTCCTCCGATACTTGTACCGATGCAAGATGACAGCACGATGAAGGCTAGCGGCCACTGCTGCTCGTCAGGCTGATACAGATCGGCGATAAGCCCAAGAGTCACACTGCCACCTGCGGTAGAAAGGCCGCCCTGAATAAAAGTTGTTCAGTCAGACCCGAATTTCGTCTCTGGTTAGCATTGATGAAGACATACCAGAGACCGACACACGATGATCGTGCCAAAATTAGGTGCAAAAGCACATGGGAGCTGCCAGATGTTGATCAAGAACATGCTCAGCTGTAAGATCGGCCATCGCCCGAACTCCTCACTCCAAGGCGCCCACAGCTCGCAGCCGAAGCTATACAGCACCAGGTAAACACACTGGCCAACACGGGCTGCCTGCTCGCTGATGCCAAAGTGCTCAGCCAGTGGTGTCACCGCGTTGGGGAAGACCGACGTGTTGAAATTCATCGATATCTGAATGCCGGCGATGACACACAGAAAGCTCCATTTCTTCCACCTAGGCCAGCTGTATGCGAGCTTTTCGTAGCAATCCTCTTCTGTCAACTCGGTCTTGTCCTCTGGGAAGGGAGGACGACCCTTCTTCGTGAGTCCGGCGAGGGAGCTGTGTCGATGGTACGTTTTTGTATATGACTCGGGCGAGGGATCCTGGGCTTCGTCTACTTCGATATCATCCTCACGACCGCGAGGGACATCCAAGAGGCCCTCCTCTTTGTTGGCTTCAGCCTCTGCTCGACGGTTCGGAGCCTGAGGTATATTGAAGGGCGGCTGTTTGTATGCTTCGGGGTCCATTTCAGGATTTTGCTCGCCCCCTACCGGGCATCCTCTTGCGACCATATTGACACCAACCAGATTTTTATAAATATGGACAGTCATTTGCGCCGGCACTACGAATCAATGGGATTGCATTGCTTTCTTAACAAGCCCTTCCAACTGCATGACGTATTCTGTCATGACGAGATGTAACAGTGGATGGCCGGATTTGCGACTGCTGACTACGTATGTGACTGCGCGATAAAACGGTGCGCTTTTTCCATAGCATCGATCTACTCTGTGTCAATCGAAGTTAGTAGAGGTTGATTGACGCAATGACCCATAGACTGTTTCCACTTTGCGGATGTCTGTATAAATGGGTCTCGAAACCCCATTGAGCTTTTTTGGCGGATTCACTGATTCAGTATATGAGTGGGTTCTGTATGTTGAGTTTGAAATCAACTCGCTTCTTGCCTACACGTGCAGACTCGTCCGCGCTATCCATACTCGAGCAATACTGAACTGTCTTATCCGTGGAGCGGTGGCAATTGACGTAAAACAAATGCGTGCTCGGCCGAAATAATTGTGGACGCCGACGATCTGACCCGTCTTTAATGACATACAAGTGGGCAAGAGATCGACCACATGGTTTTGTCGGTCGCCCCACCGATGAATTCATCGCTGTTGGTCATGTCCTCTCAATTCATTCTAATATGTCAATACACAACGATCAACTTCGTCTGCGGTATATTTTCCAAGTGTTCCGTCTTTCCGGCTCCAAAATGCCGAGATTGTTGGTCGTCAATGTTGGACTCGACTCGCTGACCCAGGGGCCCCGAATTATGTCAGCAGCAATATTGGATGCATTATACTTCACACTGTAATTAGCGTTCCCAATGCTCTGGTCGGCCGCTGAAGCGTTGCCGGACTTTGCCCCGATAGGCTCCGCCGAAACACGTCCTTCTCTTTACAGCACACACGAGCACCTTCATTCGCTCGGATGTGCTTTCGTTTGTCGTAATTGCTCCCGTCCTCAAAAATAAAAGTATCTATGAAACTGTCGCTAGAGCAGTATCCGAGTCCCCGTAATATTCCTTGCAACTATAGCGGGAGGAAGAAGCCGAGGTCGTAACACTGTAACACCAAGACCTAGCAAAGAGCGGGATCTAACTGTTTAAAGTTATTGGCAATTTACCCTGAAAATCATCCCCCGCGGTAAAATCAAACTCGCACAAATGATGACTGAGACAAAGTGGCAGTGTGTGTGCTTTTGTTGCGCTCCAATTGAGATGAGCGCCAAATGTGATATCCAATCACACTGCATCGCGCCCCAGCTGTCAACTCTAGATGTCAGTTGTCGTGAAAATGTGAACGAAGCTTTAACCGTCATCGATCGGTCTGACTATGAGATTTGAGCTGGGTATTTAAACTGCAAAAAGGCTGACAACCAGCTTGTGTGTGTCAGTCACTCGTCTTGTTGATACAAGCTTCAATATTTGTCGACTCGCAACCGCAGAAATGGCAGCTCTTTGGCAATTAGTTCTCGCGGCTTTTAGCTTGGTTGCCTTGGTACAAGGACAAAGCTTCAATAACCCCGTACTTTGGGAGGATCTCGCCGATAATGAGGTTATCCGAGTCAACGACACATACTACTACACCGCCTCAACAATGCATTATTCGCCTGGTGCCCCAATCCTACGCTCTTACGATCTTGTCAACTGGGAGTATTTCAGTCATGCTGTCCCTACACTTGGTTGGGGGACCAAATATGACTTGACAGGCGGCCAGCAGGCTTACGTCAAGGGCATTTACGCGTCTACTTTCAAGTATCGCAAAAGCAACAACCTGTGGTACTGGATCGGTTGCATCGAGTACTCAACAACATATGTGTTTACTGCCACATCACCGACTGGGCCTTGGTCACAGAAGGCTAAAATCGCAACTTGCTACTACGATGCAGGTCTCCTTATCGACGACGACGACACGATGTATGTCGCCTATGGCAACACTCAGATGAGCGTCGCACAGCTATCCGCCGATGGCCTTTCGGAGGTGCGCAAGCAGGTCGTTTATTCCACGCCGTCTAGTATTGGAACCCTGGAGGGCAGCCGAATGTATAAATACAATGGAAAATACTACATCTTCGCGACAAAGCCGGCAACCAGCCAGTATGTGCTTCAGGCCAGCAGCCCGTGGGGCCCGTACACTGTTAAGGCTCTTGTCCAAAGCGTGGCCGCCCCGGTGTCTGGAGCTGGAAATCCTCATCAGGGCAGTCTAGTCGACACCCCCGACGGAAAGTGGTATTACATGGCGTTCATTGACAACTACCCTGGCGGCAGAGTCCCGGTTCTTGCCCCAGTAACTTGGGCCTCTGACGGTTTCCCAGCGGTCACCCTATCGAGCGGCGCATGGGGCAAGTCGTACGCATATCCAGCAACCCAGAAACCGGTTCAATCCACGCTTGGCACGGACACGTTTACCGGGACGTCCCTAGGGCCAGCATGGGAATGGAACCATAACCCTGACACTTCCAAGTTCACGATTTCCAATGGCTTGACTTTAAACACCGCGACAGTGACGAGTGACTTATACGCGGCCCGAAACACGTTGACAAAGCGTATCCACGGCCCTCAAGGAGTCGGTACAGTCGTTATTGACTTCACTTCCATGGGCGATGGCGATCGTGCTGGGTTGTCGCTGCTGCGCCAGGATTCTGCCTACATCGCCGTCCAGCGATCTGGCTCATCTTACTCCATCGTTATGTACAATGGCCTGAGCATGGTCAAGAGTACCTGGACCACGTCGTCGACGGGCTCTCAGGCAGCAACCACGCCAATCTCGCAACGGCGTGTTTGGCTTCGTGCTAACGTGGACATCAATCCTGGTTCCGGGAAGAAGGGATCTTTCTCGTACAGCCTCGACGGCAACACTTTCGTGGCGTTCGGGTCGCAGCTGACCCTGAACAATGAATGGGAGTTTTTCATGGGTTACCGATACGGCATTTTCAATTTCGCAACGAAGTCTCTTGGTGGTTCCGTCAAGGTTGAGTCTTTCACAAGCGCCTAAAGGGGGTTCTTCGAAGTGCTCATCTATAGTTCTCAAGACCAAGCTTGGAATCGGTGAACTCTTTCAATTTGGCTGTGGTACTTCAGTGGCTCCCATGGTGTGTGAATATGCCTTACCTACAACCTTAAACATACGCGTCCTGGTCGCAACTAGGCTGGCTCAGCGAACCTCGTGACTAGATAAGTACCCAGTGCAATATGAATGAAGATCGTACCGCAAAAGTGTTATATGAGGATGCCTGGTGTCTACATTCAGTTATTTTAATTGCGCAAGAGTCAAAGGGAGCTTCAAAACAGAGGAAAAGTCGATCCGTTGACTCTACCTAATGACGGTGTTCAGCTTGCCCGACAAACCATAGTAGCAAAGCCCCCAAACATTCGAATTGGGACCACCAGTTGATTACCGGCCTCGACGGGCGGATTCTGGCAATTTTTTTTGCCACTGAAATTCATAAATGGACTAAGACGTCGCTTTCCCTCTGTATGCATATGTTTAGTCTTTCTTGGATTTGTGTGAGCAGTTGAGGGACGCTCTCACGAAGCTCAAGAGGGATGTATGAGATGGCAGGCAACATTGATACAATGTTCCAAGCATTGTGAGAAAGTCCAGAGGCAGTCGCATTCAAAGCGATTCAATTGTTGTCTCTAGACCGTCAGATTTCACGGGTGACCTGTCATCTGCATGGCTGAGGAGCGTCGGTGATACGTGTATTTGAAATTGCCGCGAACTAATGGATCTTGCCCCACTGCAACCACTTCATTGTCGCAAGATGTCCTGACCAATAGTTACATCGCAGAAAGCGTAAAGTATTACTTGTCTTACGGTTAAAATAAGGTTAATTAAGGCTTGCTTAGCCCGGAAGCCTCGGGGATAAAAGTTTACCATGCTTGCAATTGAAATGGGTAATAGGGGAGGTCTGCATGTGGGTAATGCAACGTTTGGTAAGATATGACTCGCCCCTGAAGATGCAAGCATCAGCCCAGACCTGCCTTATTCGCCTGACGTCGTTGTCGTATTTGTGGTTGCACAGCCGTCCATCGTGCTATATTGAATATAACGGTCCTTTTTCTGGAGAAACCTCGGCAAAACATCAGCCCAGTCAAACATCATCTCCTACTCTATGCAATAGCAGCCCAAAATGACGTTCTCGAATCCGGTTTCGATACGGGACATGTTGGTCAGGTTCTGGATTTGGATTTCGCTACCGATTTTTGTTATTTGAGCTGCCTTAAAGAGGTTCTGTCTTCGGGCTGCTTTAAGCAGTTTCTGTATTTGGAATTCGTGACCGAGTCTAGAATTTGTAGTTGGTTGCATAAAAAGGCGTTGTCACTCCCTCCACACTGCTTTGATCAATGTAGCCTCCTCTCTTCCATCCCCAGCGCAAGACTAGCCCTCACTCTGTTCACAGTCACTACCAGCCACATTACTCTCGTCGCTGAAGAAACAGAACATCACGAATAGCCACAATGCGTTTCTTCGCCGTAGCCGGACTTCTGTCTCTCGCAGCCGCTCTTCCCACCGCCGATCCCTCCCAGCAGGACAACTCGGTGGCACGCCGTGGCGACGCCCTCGACCACGTTCTCGCCGTCCGTGCCGACAACTCCAACGTCGGTTTCAACCCCTTCGACCAGACCTACTCCTGGCCCGACACAAGCGTCACAGGCGGTGGTATCAGCGCTCAATTCAGGGCCACCAACCTCAACAACGGCAACTACAGCTTTCAATTCTGGAGTTCAGCGCCTCTCAACGGCGGAAACCTGAGTTATCGTGTCTCTTACGGCGGGAAGGAGTTGGCAAAGGTGGTTCTCTCCCCTGGACAAACAACCACAGTCACCGTTCCGAAGACTGGTGACAACTTCAATATCTACATTGATGCAGCCTAAGCCATTCCATGGAGACAAGTGAGAGAGTAGATATTGCCGCGATACCTGCGAATTAAAGTTGCATTTGCTGCCGCCAGGTTGACGCCCGATACCAATCGTGAAAGATGGCCCCTAGATCTGAATGTGAAAATTGAGCTCTGGTCTCGTCAAACGTGTGAGCCGTCCAGGCGTGTGACCATTGTGTGTGGGGGGTAAGGGGGTGGGAAGAGCTACTCAACACGTGATCTTATTCATTCTCTGTGGCAAGTGCTGTTTCAATCAGCCTTTAAGAGACTTACAAAGCACCTTTACAATTACGATGAAACGGTTAGCGATAAAATTCTTCCGTGCAGTCCTATAAACAACACCCGAGGGCTAAGACCATCCAATCATAAATTGATCTACAATCAGTCTCTCACATGCTATTGTAAAAATGACGATCTTATCGCCAAACTGTTAGGGTTCAGATCTCTCAGCCATCACTACCAGCCCTAGATTCTTCATAGAGTAGATCGAAAATACAATCAGGCAAGGGAAGAGAAATTACAGCATTGCATCCCACAGAAACTGGGGATACTGTAGATTTACGGCAGCGATAGTAACACCTGGCCAACTGTGGACTGGATTTTCACAGGTTGTTGCTGGATTAGATCAACTAAGGCGATTGCTGCATTGAAACAGATTTCTCGGCCCTGGTTGTGTATTAGCTTACCTCGAAAGACTCTAGGACAATAACGTAGATTTCTGCTGAGTAGAGTCTCTAAGGTCAACTTTTGAAATGTAACATCCGAGAGCGTACCCAGCGCCAGGTCTGAAGGCCTGAAACAAGCCTAACGAAATGGTTATATAACTTTGCTGCGAAGCACTTCAATCATCATAATTAAAAATCACGTTGAGCATTCTCTACCTCCAAATATGGCTTCGGCATAGCCACACACTTGAGGCATGATCCCGCAGGTTACAAGGGCGTTTGTGGTTCCGGGACGATTGCAGTCATGCATTGGGCTCTACAAGGGAACACCGTAGCCATGCTAATTGCGAATTATTTCCTGCGATACTAGGTACGGAAAATTCTCAATTTCTTTGTCCGATAAGATCCAGAGTTGCCTCGATACTAGACCATTGACCGTGGCAGTGCCAAATAGAACCTGAGAACTAGGTAGTTGTGCCGTTAGGCTTTCTGCGACCGGGGCAGAATCATCAATCCTATATACCATCCGCAGTCAATGTATCGCCATTCTTCACTTCTGAGTCTGCCAGCAGAGCTTGACGCAGAGAATAGATCCGATAGTCACGCACCGCCCATTTCTGACAGACTTAGGCGGATGCTGCGTTCCTTACTCGTGTGTTACAACCTCGCCAGGCGCCCGTGACCACTCATCTCGCCCCAGTCATAAGCACTTAAGAATCCCAATCCTCCTCTGTCAGATCCTCTGGCACATGCACAGCGCCCACAATTGTCTTACCCTTCAACTTCTCCCTAATGAAAACCCTCATCACACTCTCCGTCTCACCGTCAACAGGAACCCGCAGCGTCATCCATCACGACAGTGGGTAAAGGGGTAGTACTTGACCTCTCAAGATTGGACAGCTGTATTTGGTCATGCATCAATAGATCTTTTTGAATCAATACTTGCGCAGTGCAGTCAAACGGCCGTAGCAACCTTTTAATAAAGCCCCTGCGCACGAAGTCAGTACACCCCTCGTGCCATTAGGCGACCTCCGCCGCTTTGCTGAGACATGAGGAGTTGTTGTGTTTGTTGTGGTCAAAGCCTATAAGGAAGTTGACTCGTAATATACAGCCGGTGAGTTCTGTTCATCACAGATTATTTTATTTTCTTCGCCCGACTTGATTGTAGTTTGTATTACTAAATTCATGGCTGAATCACCCTTCGGTACGATTGATAATTCCTATCTGCGATTTCCAATCCGACAGGCAAAGCCAACAGCGGCCGCGCCCTCACTAGTACTCGGAACTTGTCTTGGCACGCACAATTCGGCTACCGAAATCGCCCTCAAACCCTAGATCTTATGCCCAGCCGTTATAATGATCGTCCGGGGCCGGCCAAGGCTTATCAGCTGCATCCTATCAGCCTTATACCATGTTGCCGGTACAGACAATGGTGTGGAACTTCTGATAGCTGACGCTCCTTTTTGTACGACGTAAAGTGGGGCAGTCATCTATCTGTGGATATAGGTCCGACTTGCGAGTCCGACTGCCGGCTTATCCATGGCGCGGCAGAGATGCGTGTCGAAAATGATAGGAGATTTGCGTCTGTGTCATCAATAGCATTCTGTCTCGGTTGGTTGTGGCCTCCTATGCTTTCAATTTAGTGCCATTGACAGAAGTTTCGGTATACCCGACTGCTTCGGCTGTGTAGGGAAAGTGGTCGTTGAAACGGTACTGATCTTGTGCAAAACTTGTGGCAATCAACAAGATCCGGATGCTTGGGGCTACAGATGACAGTCCATCCTACCTTGAATATTATGTGAGCCATAGTAGTCAAATGATCTATACGTGTGGCACCGCGGAAGATGCGGTCAGGAAAGGCACTTTCATCCGTAGATAGGCAACAGCCGAGAAAAGATACAGCGAGCCCGAGCACAGAAGATTCTTTATTATGTCTCTTGGCCCTCTTTCCCTCGTCTCGAGGCTCATCATCCTCCCTTGCCTTTTATCCCTGTCTAATCCTCCCATCGCCAAGTCCTCGCGATCATGGTACCGGAAATTTGCCTCGCCGCACTGGCACTGGCTCATCATGTCTACTCTGCCTCCGTTTCCTCTCTCCCTGTCCGTCTAGAAACACGAACAGATCTCACTTCACGCGCTGCGAATATACACGTCTCTTATGACAAGCTTGTCGAGGGCGTGCTTGGCTTTACCTACGGATCGTGCCTGGATCGAGAGCAGACCGACTCGCACCATGTCATTGGACGTCACGCACCTTCGAGCGCCAGCCACCGGCTTGTCTGGGTGATTCCTGAGGATGCGTTTTCTGGCGGATGTATTTCAGCCTGGGATCAAACTGGCGCACTGATCGGAAGGAGTAAGCCTCAGCGACTTGCTTCGCAACGCAGCCGCAAAAGAGGGCTTGAGGAACTTCACAAGCGCTCTTCTATGAAGAAGCGTGACGCTGGAAGTGACTCTAACGCAATTCCGATGTCGAACGCCAGCGGTATCAACGCCTGGGGGCCTTGGTTTGATGGCGTCGAATTGCTCCAATCCAAGAACCTCAGCGGTGTAGAAGTCAATGAGGCCAAGAGCAAGAACATTGCAATCGTTGGTGCCGGGATGTCTGGGCTCATGACCTTTTTGTGTTTGAAACAGGCCGGTTTCGAAAACTTGGAGATTATTGAGGCCGGTGAGAGGCTTGGTGGCCGAGTCCACACGACGTATTTGACCGGAGGACCGTTCGATTACTCGTACCAGGGTCAGTAGTCCCACTGCGTCGAGGTGGTTCAAGTACTGACTGAAGAATTCAGAAATGGGCCCAATGCGTTTTCCTAAGACGTGGACCTCATCAAAAAATGAGACCTACAACATCACCGATCATCAACTTGTTTTTCAACTAGCTGCTGAAATGAACGAGCTAAACAACAAAGATGCCAATTGGAGCGTGGATTTCATCCCTTGGTATCAGTCAAACAGCAACGGGCTTTATTATCATAATGGCATTAGATTAGACAATGGATTGCCACCCACTGTCGCGCAAGTTGCTGCCAACTCGTCTCTCTCCATCCAGCCGGTCAACTTGCCATCTACGGATGCCCTTGAGGACCAGATTGCATCTGTTACAACCTCTGATGAGTTTTACGCTGAGATGGCAACGAACATGTTCGCGGCCCATAAGGAGTTCCTTGGTAAGTATCCATTTACCCAGTAAATTGACAAAGCCCAAAACGAAGTGATTGAGCTAGAGTGACAATGGAGCTGACGAGATAATAGAAAGTGGTCTTAATGGCCTTCCAGGCGACCAATGGTCTGAATTTGCCTATATGGTCAGCTATCTTGGAGCAAACCTCAACGATACTGACATTGTCTCTGATGGAGCTGGTGGTGATTCATTCTGGGACACGTGGTACGATGGTCTTTATTTCTCTGCCGGTACGTACACGCCTTCCTACGCCATGGTTGGCCATCCTTTTTTTCTCTAGCATCTTCGACGATGCATCACTTTGGGCCCCGTAGCAGGTCACTAACGCATCAAAGCAACCTGGGCTACCATTAACGGTGGCCTTTCGCGGCTCCCAGCGTCTTTCCATCCGTTAGTAGACAACTACACCACAATGGCTCGGAAGATCGAGCGAGTAGGATGGGACGCGGAGACGCAGAAGGTAAGCCTGCAGTGGCGTAACAACTACACCGACACGGTCTTCCAGAATTCTACACACGACTACACCGTTGTTGCAGTCCCTTTCAGTGTTGTCAAAAACTGGAGAATGCCTGATCTCGGGTCAACGACCATGTCCAATGCCATCACCAACATGGCCTACGGAATTGCTTGCAAGGTGGCATTGGAGTTCGAAACTCGCTTCTGGGAGCACTTGGACAACCCTATCTACGGCTCGTGTTCTACTTCGACAGATATCCCCGGAATTGGCTCGATCTGTTATCCGTCGTACAACATTAATGGCACTGGTCCCGCAACCATGCTCGGTAAGCAATTTTCCCCCTGTACTGGGTTCTTCTTTAGAAATGCTGACTCTTACACCATCAATAGGCAGCTACATCAGTGGCGGCCAGTGGGGCGAGAGGTGGGCCTCTGCGACAGAGGATGAGCATGTGCAGTACGTGCTGCAAGCCATGGCTGAGATTCACGGCGAAGTCGTTCAAGAACAGTACACTGGCAAGTACGATCGGCGATGTTGGGTTCTCGATCCTCTTGAGAGTGGTTCGTGGGCTAGTCCATCCATTGGCCAGCACCAGCTTTATCTGCCAGAGTACTTCAAGACCCACAACAATGTAAGTGGAAGCCCCATCCTTCACTGTACGCAGAAGTTTCAAAAGACGTTAACTAAATCTACCAGGTCATCTTTGTTGGCGAGCACACATCATATACGCATGCTTGGATTGCATCGGCGCTTGAGTCGGGGATCCGTGGCAGTGTGCAGTTGATGCTCGAGCTGGGCCTTGTCGACGAGGCCAAGGCCACCGTGGAAAAGTGGATGGCTCGTTGGATTGAAGTGGTGAGTTCACTGTGTCTCCCGACAAATTGATTTCCCCCTGCTGACATGAGATACAGTAAATATGTACCTTCCGATATAAAACAGAGATTATTGTCATCTTCAGCCACAGTAATGTATTTTTGTGGGGCGTATTGCCTTCCGTGAAATCGAAGACGTAACAGAGGCAGGGGCGCTATGCCAATGCCTTCATATTTAACGACTTGTCCTTGCTGGACTTCAATAATTAGGATGCAAATCAGCGGTGTAACGTTGATCTGACCATCGTGTTAATGCGTTTCGCATAGTGATTGAAGTGTATGTGTGCCAAGGTCGAGTGTAATCAATGACGACATACTGCAAAACACCTAAGTTTCGCTGGTATTGCGGCGTTCAGTGTTGCAATTGAAAGATTTGACACCAAGACAAAGACAACGTTAGGCTGATCTGATACCTTTCAACTGCCAAAGCTTGAATCAATTGAGCGGAACGAGAGAAGGCAACACATGGAAACCTCAACAGTCATTGTATGGCCCATGAAGGCTGGGTGCGGAATCCATTCAGTAATGATCGGCATTGACCAATTTGCGCAGAGAACCTATTGTTCAGGGAAGATTTACAACTGCGATGCAGACTAAATAGTGAGTCCCATATTTGGAATTGGAATGCAGAATAAACTTTTCATGTCAGGCATAGACTAAGAACCAGCTACACGGTGGCTCAGTCACCGAAACAATTGGCAAAAGGCTGGGCTAACAAGGTGAACCACCGCCCTTCGCGCTTTTTTATACATATAGTCGATCGAATTTACAAAGTCCACATTTGTAACGATCTAAAGCTGTAATCATCCGTGGCCGTAGCAGTCTAGCTGTTCTAAGAAAGAGCATGATTGTCTCGTAAGACCGGCCAGTGCGGAGCAGACTTGGCAGAGAGCCAATGCAAGTGGAAATTGTGACAAGTTAGGCTCCGACTAACAAGTCCTGTGTCTAGATTTAAGTGATCGATCTGGAGTGTCAAATAGCATAAGCACAGAGTTCTACGGAACCATTTTCTTTCCACAGCCTTCAAGTCCCTGGCATCAATTCCATACTAGGAGTCATGCAGTTTGCTCTGTAGCAACCAGTCCGCTAAACACAGTATTTTGAATGATTTCTTTTTAAAAATTGTGACCAAATCAGAGAATCGTAAAGCACGGCAGGTCTCCACCTCCCGATCCGAGTCGTGTGGCTAGATGCAAGCACGAGGAGACAAGCAATAATGAAGCTTGCCCCGCCAGCAAAGCTTGGCCTGCGCTTAATATAACTCGTGATTGTCAGGGTATGTTGCGGCATCCCCCACAGTCATCAATAAGTTCTCTTGGCTCTTCCAAGCCAATTGCTCTATTCCATCTGTGCGGGAACACGCTTGGCGCTGTACTACCCAAGACATCGGCCACCTTCCATTCACGGCCAAGCGAGGCGATATAAGTTGCTAGCCCGGGTCACTTCCTCATGGCAAAGAGAAATTCGGAGGCAGCACAGTTCCAAGTTCTTATCATTCCTCCTTGGCGCGATGCTGGGCAAGGCTTAACCTTCCTTATTTACGATGGCGTTCGATGCTATTTTGTGTTCATTATTCATTCGGTAGCCAGGTGAGGTTGACTATATAAAGAAGACGTATATTCCACGATATTGTGCCAAAGTCTTTGTAGACAGCCAACCTGCAACGCTCATCTGCCCACCATGAAATCGTCGCTAATCTCCACGCTCCTGCTGCCATTGGTAGCAGCCGTTGCGCTCCCGCAAGAGGAGGTAAAGGTTGACTATACCGGCTACAAGGTATTTCGAGTCGACCTTGGCTCTGACGCCACGGTCTCAGCGGAGGTGTCGCAGCTCGCGGTCCATGTACTGAATCCTGGTAGTACTGGGGCTGTTGATGTCGTAGTCGCTCCTGACTCGGTGTCTGCACTTGAGGGACTTGGCTTGAACAGCACTGTCCTGGATGAGGATTTGGGTGCCAGTATCGCTGCGGAAGGCGAGATTTCCCAGGCCCTGGCTGGTGTGTTCTTCCACTTGATGCCATCAATGAAATCTGTATACTGACATAGACCCCTGAAGTCCCTGATCCCTCATGGTTCACTGCATATCACGCCTATGCAGCTCACCTGACCTTCCTCAATGACCTTCAAGCCAGCTTCCCAGCCAACTCGGAGATCTACACCATTGGTCAATCGGTAGCAGGTCGACCCCTTACTGGCATCCACATCTGGGGTAGCGGTGGAAAGGGCTCCAAGCCAGCCGTAGTGTTCCACGGAAATGTCCATGCTCGCGAATGGATTACTTCCAAGACCGCAGAGTACATTGCGTACACGCTCTTAACCGAGTACGGATCAACCGCAGCCATCACGGCCGTGGTTGACAAGTTCGACTTCTACATCACGCCTGTCGTGAACCCAGACGGCTTCGTGTACACCCAAACCAATGACCGCCTGTGGCGCAAGAACCGCCAGACTGTCAGCGGCAACAGCTGTATTGGTCGGGATATCAACCGCAATTGGCCCTTCCAGTGGTCTGCCACGGGAGGCGCATCGACGAACCCATGCTCTGAGACTTACAAGGGTGAGAACATCCTCCTGCTAGCCGCCTTCGGCCGACACCACAACTGACCAAGTTCTTTCATCAAGGACTTGCTGCAAGCGATGCCCCCGAGACCCAGGGTCTTGTCGCCCAAATTCAGCAGCTCAAGGCATCTCGCGGTATTAGTCTCTACATCGACTTCCACTCTTATGGCCAGTACATTCTCTGGGGTAAGTTTGAAAATTGCACATACCCTGTCTTCTAGGATCTACTCCCCCTGCTGTGTCAAGACTCTGGTATCGAGCGATTGCTGACTATTACAACCCAGCTTACGGCTACAACTGCGCAGCCACCGCCGAAAACAATGCTGCCCTCCAGTCACTAGCTACTGCTGCTAGGACTGCCATTGCAGGTGTCTCTGGAACCTCGTACACCATCGGAAAATCCTGCAGCACGTTGTACGCAACTACCGGGTCCAGCGTTGACTACATTGATGCCACAGGCAACGCAACATATAGTTATACCTATGAGCTCAGGGATACTGGGACATATGGCTTTGTGCTGCCTGCCAGCCAGATTAGGCCCACCGCAGTGGAGACGTGGGCCGGTGTGTTGGTCATGCTTCAGAGGGCTTAAGTTGGCGATAAAATACATTGTGTGCTTTCAATTTCTGTAGCTCCCTTCGCTCACAGCAGACGGCTTGTTCTCTATCCGTTACAGTTCAGACTGGCCAGAGTACTTGAGGTAGAGCTATTGACCAAAGCCGTTCTTGACCCTTGGTATCGTGGCCTCGAATCAAGCTCCACTATTGATAAGATTCATACAAACCGTCAAAGTTGAACTCGCATTTAATCAGGATTCCTCGCTCGTGGCCGCAATTCCAGATGGGGCTTGGGTATCCCACATATTATCTACATTATATGATCTCTATTGTTTTGAGCTTGTTTTGTCCACCTCGTGGAGTATTGTAGCCGATAAAGGCGCCGACTCGCCGGAATGTCTTCACCGACTGCGCCGTCCTCGAGAACAAGTCGTATACCCAGTTAATTTTCTCCCTGCTGAGCCCTTTGGATTGAAGTGCAACAGGCTCAACGGGAGCCAGGATCAGTCCTACATTCTGTCCCAAGAAGAAGAGCCACATGCCTACCAACTCTTTTGGTCCTCCAGGTGGTGTTTTTCGATGTGAGTGTGGTATATCATCCAAGTCGTCCAGAAAGGACTTCATAGTCGTTCGAAATTTCATCCATGGCCGATGCTTCTCATATTCACCGTAGTACTTGCCCTCCACATGATACCTGATTGTGTCCATCTTCTCAAGACGCCCAGTGATGATCAAAGATTTGCCTCTAAGATCTAACCGCGCAGGGTCCACGGCGCCTTTCAGAAATTCCACACCGCCATCGACAGATGCCCACGACCATGTTGGAGCGCGAGGGGTCTTTTGCCTAAGATAAACCGTCTTTTGTTCTTCTGTACGACCAACATGTCTCCACATGAGCATATGCTGTGCTCGACGTTGCCAAATGCCGAAGTGGAAGTCTTGTCCGGTATTGTGAGAGACGACCGCTGCCAACCCACTGATCGCAGGTAGTTTATCCGTCATGAAGGTGAGGCTCCTGCGGCTGTATTCTTCGACCAAACTCACCCAAGAAGACGAAATTTCCGAGGCCGTCTCAAGAACGCTCGAAGAGTCTGTATCTCTAGGTAGGGTGCGCCATACAGTCTCTCGACGACTACAACAGCTACATTTCCAGGATAGCTCTGTAGTCCCAAAAGTGACCAGGCGCCGGGAAAGCACAGCCTCTTGGAGTGCCCAGCCACGTTGGCCCAGAGGTTCTGAGCGGTCTTTAACATCCGGCAGATCCGCTCCCAAATATACAATCTCGTCACTCATTTGGTTTTGTAACACCGGACAACAAGGGATCTCAGGAATAGGCCGAGTTTGAAACAGCCCATGGTGGCAATCATCCGCCGCTGCTGCCGCGATAGTAAGCGAGGATGACCCATAAATTCTACCCATATCTTGTGACTGCTCCTCCCAATCGGCGGTAGACAGGACATCACCCCCTTGAATGATGCACAGGCTGTCGACCCAGAGGTAGCGGAAGCCGAGATGCTTTGCAAGGGAGACAGCATCACGTATTGTCTGAGGCAGCTTTGCCACTGGTAAGGAATCGTGCAACTCATCGATGTTATCAGAAGTCATGGTAAAAAACGGACCGCGACCCCAACAATAGCTGAGTGTTAGATATTTACCCCGGCTACCATTGGTGGTAATGATCCGTGTGCTCAGCGTTCCATCTTGGACGAGGTCCCCGATTTCAATCACATGTTTTGGTAGCACGCTCTCATCGTCGTCCGAGCAGTTTGACCCGTGGCGCTTCACGCAGTCCGCCAACCATTGAGAAACCAAATCTAGAGATTGAGGGGAGCCAGAGTATGCTTCCGGGAGCTTGAAAGCTGTTTCTGATGAGGTCTGGCGGTTCTCAGCGCTTTATTCCGACTATTAGCATATCTTAAAATTGATAGAATAGGCGGGGATACGCCAGAGTGCGAGTCGCCTCACCAACTCGTATCTGAGTACACCGTGAGGTGCGACCGTACCAGCCACGGCTTTTCATCCAATGGCCCTATGCGCCAAGATCCGTGTTGGTCGGGCGACCACGAAAAGTTTCGGCTGCTTCCTGGCGGCATGACAAGAACATCTAGTCGTTGAATCGCACCGGCTCCTCGCGGCGGGTTTCGATAGACCCTCACATTGAAGTCACCGGCGATAAACTCTCCATGGCCACGGTTGAGGGGCCGCTTCCTCCAGTCATGCCGGAGGGACCACCATATGATCGCGCACAGGTCACAACTTGAGTGGTTCTGGCCAGCACCGCCGGCCAGCTTCATATCCTGAGCGTCTTCAAAGAGCAGGTAGCCATCGTCGCCTATATCGCACACCGAGAAAGAGCGGCAGCTTTTACAACGTCTTTGCATTGCGGCGCAGGAGACTCGGATCGAATTGGTTTGTCGCAGGTCAGCATCTTACTGTGTGGGGCCATCGCTTGCCGAGCCGATGAAGAGGGGTCAAGCACGCTTATGTGCATACCAGGGTAAATAGCTAGCTACCTGTGTCTACATGCACAGTCAGCCATTTTACAACATCTTATTTTTCGACTCTTAGTTGACTGAAGTGTCCCTGTGAAGATCTTATCGACCCGCATCATACATAAATAGCAACTGTAATAAATATATCCAGTCTACCAAAAGTCAGTATGCATATTGTTTCATGGGATCATGGAGACGTTAGCGATGGCGAGAACCCAGATCTTGGTTGGCAGGCCCAGTCATATTATAATCTAGCAGCTAACTTCTGCCCATTGTACATGTCATGGCTTCGGAGTTTTCTCTCCAGTCGCCGATGACTAGGTCTTGTCCGTACAGTCTAGTATGCTTGTGCGCTTCCTTTCAATTCTGTTAGGGCGAGGTACAGATTGCGCATTGTGATGGCTGAGCATTTTCTTCTGCAATTCAACATCCCTTCTTCTGCTACTGTAAATCTTAACCATATGGTCGTGATTGGTCACTTGTCTTTCATAAGATTCGCTCCTTAAGGTCCTTGCGCTTCCTCCTCCGAAGCAACGGTAAGAAGGTGTTAATGTTTTGAATGATTCAAGTGGCATTTGCAGATCATCTAAGATTTCGGAATTACCTGTCATAAATCCTCAGTAGTTCATCCCCAAGAAACCGCCTCATTGCCTCACTTTCCAAACTCAAGCTAATGTCAAAGTCCTTGGCCCCCTCACCGACATCAATCACCTGCAACATCCCATCCACGCGTGGCATACTATCTTGGACATAGACAGGTCTCGTCCCACAGAAGTCGAGCTCATAAACACCAAGCCGCGTCCACGACGTGGCAAGGACGTGGTTGTGCCCGAGGAAAGTTTGCCACAACCTCTGCGGGCTAACCTCGTGCGCCGCATCGTGCAGGTACGCAGTGACGGCCTCAGGGGTGAATTGTGATACCATGTTTCTGATCGAGAGGGCGATAGTGCCCAGATCTTCAGCCGAGCATGTATCTGATCCGCGGTGTGAGATATGGCCCACTAGGACCGGCGATCCGGTAAAGGTATCAGGCAGTGGTGGCCTGATGCGGTTTCGGAGGCCGAGGGTGATGTTCATATAGATGCCTTCCTGTGTTTCTTGATGTTGGCGAGCGCGGTTGATGAGGATCCACAAATGTGCGAGAAGGGCATCGAAACGCGAGATGGGCGGTGAGTTCCGTTGATGATGAGGTAGAGCGGCCTGAGCGGCCTGTTTCATGTTGGCCACTTCGTTTGCTCCAAATCGGATTTGCACGTGCTCTATAGGGGCTGTCACATCCCATGTCGGCCATGGCGGAAAGGCCGATGGGCTGAGTTTGATTTGGTCCAGATTCTCCGGCTTCGTTGCATTCGTAGATGCCGTTGCCCACGTAGGATAGCCTGGCGCATCTGCAGCCCACCAGTCATAGCGGTGGAGAGGCAAAGATCGGGCGAGCTTAATTAGTCTTGCATTCGGCTCAGTATTACCTGTAAGTCTGGCGTGCTGGTCGAGTAGTTTAGGTTTGAATATGGGTTTCAGGATACTCTTATCGGAGATGTCGGATTCACTGCCCATTGTGTATTCCCTCGCTCGCGCCGCCCACAAATGTAAAAAATTAACCAAACACGCCGCGTCAGCAACGCAATGGCTGATCATCGGGCTTATAGCCCATCCCCCGCAGCTGAATCTTGTGATTTGTATAGCTAACACGGGCAGACCTTTGTATTCGGCTAAGCTTGAATCAAAAGCCAGTTTACACTTGGGCAAAAGCTCATTCTGAGGAAAGTGAGTATTAACCCAGGCGTTCTTGTTCTTGCAACGATCTTGGACGCTGGGTACAATATCGCTCAAGGGCTGGTCATAAGAAGCATGGATCAATTCAACCCCAGGGTCAGTAGATGCACTATATGTGATGATGGGTCGGCCAGTGTAGCGTTGTTGTAGGTCGCTGGGATCGACATCGTTCTCAGTCGCCCATCGCAATTCTCCACTAAAATGCCGGTAATCGTCAAGGGTTTCTCGCAGGGTCTGTTTTAGGAGGTCCTGATGCAACAAGACATCTTGCGATGTTTCTGTGGAATTGAACAACCAGGTTGCGCCAAATGCTGCCCATCGAGCCACAGTTGCGTCGACAACAGACAGTTTCTTTCTTGTTGGTCCAGCTGGTGAGATTGTTGCGGGGTGTACTCGTTGGCGACACTCGACCCGGCTATGAGGTGCTTTTGGTGCCATGGTGCGATCTCTTTGATGGCAGTAACTGAAGCAAGGTTCTCAATGGCGAGGGTGATTTGTAATCTGACTGCAGCCTTCTGCTTACCACCTAGAGAGGCAATGAGTGATCCGTCTTGATTGATCGTTTAAGTTATGAGAGTGATTCCGAAATGTGGTGGCAACCAGTGTTACAACTTTCTGAAGATCAGAGGCATGGAAGACTCTATATCATGTCAATATGCTTTGAACAAAAGTATACGCCTTTGAGATGTCTTCCTGGATTATGCAGACTAGTGAGTCATGTTTTAGTTGTCTCACGTTGAGTTTAAAAATGTTCTCGATAGTTCGTTCGCCGACCGGCTCGATGACCGAGAAATTCAATGCCCATACAGCCTCTAACCAAGCTTCTGATCTTGACTTTGTGAGATAATTTGTCCGGGCAGATTCACATATACTCCTAATTTGGTCTTATTGTCCATTGGCTCATTTTCTGCCAATCGTAAGATCGGATAAGCTCAAGATGTCTCGCCTCAGCCTATCGTGTATCGGTAATCATGCTACTATCCCTTTTCTTATGTTTAAGAGATCCCGCAATACCGCTCTTGACCATCTGGAATCTGTATTGGATGTAATCTATCTTGATTCACGATCACGACCAAGACTTACCAAATACAATTATAGCCGTTCCAGGAAGTTCTTTGCTTGCTCACCAAGCCTCTCTTTCATATGTCCGTCTATCACAATGACATCGCTAGGGGGCTCAGCCCCAGTGTCATGAATTATAGGGACACTCAACAGAACCTGATGCCTCTATTTGCATCTATTCTTGTTGCGTCCATTGCAGCCTTCTTTTACTCGTCCACGAATCTTAGGATTCCTGGCCCTTACACCGCCAAGGTCACCAGACTCTGGTATCTATGGCAGATGCATAGAGGTGATTTCCACTGGACCAATATCAACCTTCATCGTCAATATGGAAAGTCTCAGCTAGAGAATCTTTTGACACGGATGTGAAATATTGACTTGTAGACAGGCAAGGTTGTTCAGGTAATGCCGGGGTATTTCAGCATCGACGATCCCAGTTTCCACAAAACCGTATCCGGGCCATCTTGGCTGAAAGGAGAATGGTACGCCGCATGGCATATTGGGCCGACGCCCGAGCACAACAACCTGTTCAGCGAGAGGGACCCCGCGCGCCATCGTGCGATGAAGCGCAAAGTAGCACCGATATATTCCATGAGCTCTATGGTATCTTATGAGCCATATGTGCAAGACTGTATCAAGCTGCTGGCTAAACGCCTAGACGAGTTCAGTGAGGCGGAAAGAACAATCAATGTTGGGGAGTGGATGCAGTATTTCGCTTTCGATGCGATCACGGCGATTACAGTACGTAGGAATCTCGCTCGCCAGAATATTGGTTTTCTGTTGCCTGTTTTTTTTCTCTTTCGCATGCACCGCATTCTAACAATCCTTTCTATTCAGTTTGGTGAACTACTTGGATTCCTCGAAACCGGTGGCGATGTCAAAGGCTTGATTGACTTTCTAGACTCGGACGAAATTTTACGAACCAGGCTAGCAATCTACCCATGGCTCACACCGATATTTGAGAAGTTCATACCGATATATGAGAAGTTCATGAGCTCTGTCCACGGAACCAGTGGCTTAGCCTTTCAGCAGTTTGCTGACGGGAAAATTGAGTCTGACCGCCAGGCACAGCTGGGCGGCAAAGAAATTGGCAGCGGGCCGGTATATATGGTACGACGCTTTTTGGAGAAACAGCAGGGGGATCCTGATAAAGGAATGACGGACTGGGATGTCGCCGCAAATGCCGTACGTTACCTCATGACATTCATCCGAGGACAAAGATGTGATGGGATGCCGGGAGATCTCAAAGTGGAGACGATTACTTTGGGAACTGAAAACCCATTGAGAATTGCTAATTACTCGTAACATGTTGCTCAGTGGAAACTAATATCTGGCTCTTAGGGCTCTAATGTCGGCGCCGGCAGCGATACAACGGCTCTCGCATTGACGACGATCTTGTATTACATGTATCGCGATCCCGCGATCCTGACATCCGTTCGAGAAGAGGTGGGGAACGCCAATTTGCCAGAGATCCCGAGTCTCCAGGACGTTCAGAAGCTGCCATACCTGCAGGCTCTCATTAAAGAAGCAATGAGGAAGCAACCGGGCCTCGGCCTTCCGTACTGGCGGAAAGTGCCAAAAGGTGGCGTTGTGGTGGACGGACATTTCATTCCTGAAGGGGTGAGTACTTCCAAGCACCATCTATCATGATAGCCAGATTCATTGTTTCTTCTTCTCTCGTGGCCAATGACCCCACTGACGTTTTATCCATCCAGTCAAATGTTGGCGTCAGCAGCTGGGTGTCTCATTACAATCGATCTGTATGGGGTCCAGATGCCGACAAGTTCCGCCCTGGGCGTTGGCTGGAGGCTGCAGCTGAGAAAGGAGACCATGCATCCGCCATGGACCAGAGTTTCATGCCATTCGGTTTGGGCTCGCGAACATGCATAGGCAAGAATGCCTCATTATTAGAGATCTATAAATTGGTGCCTTTCATCGCCAGAAACTACGACCTTGCCTTTCTGGACGAAAGGGGGAATCCAGAGTCTCGGGAGCACCTGGATCTTGAGAACAAGTGGTTTATCAAGGTACCGCACCTTTATGCGAAGGTCACCAGAAGACCATAAATCTGAGCCTGCCTTAGTTTTCTCAGTAGGAATAAATGGTGTCACATCTGCAGTCTCAGATGACGTATCATTATACCGTGCCAAAAGTGTTACTTTGCCTAGATGAATCATTTCTCCAGCCTTCATTATAACGGTCCGAGTGTATGCTGTTTAATTATTGTCCACTTCAGTGGAAGGAGCCTGGAAAAGGATGGATCGGGATAGAATCATGGGACCTGGACAAGGCACGCATTCACATCCAGCCATAAGCGATGTGAATGCCGTCACATTCGATATTGAGTTGAAGTGGGCCCCTTTCTGGGCCATGAGGTCATACAGTAAACTTGGCACTCGACTTGCAGCCAACGAATCTAGTATAGTCTACATCAGATGGGGACTTTTGTTCAAAATGGCCTGGAAATCTGAACTGTTAGGTCACGTAATAAGTCGAACTGGGGCTAGTAAATGAATTCTAATTATTGCGGCTAATTATATCTTACAGTCGTAGAAGTAGTAGGCTGTATGAGTGCGAGAACTGATATATGTAAGTAGGGGCGCTCTCGTTGAGCCGCACTAATGCATATCTCGGTTAGCAAAACCGTTCCTCCATGTGTTACAGTCAGTAAGCCGCGTGCAGGACTGAAAGCAGGCTGAGCTGATGTTGTACTACTTGTAACACCAGGTAATCCTTTGGCACACCAAATCAGCATTCACGACCCAACACCACTGTAGCGAAGTATGACATTAGAATCCTTGCTAAAAGATGTGACCATAAATATGTGCTGTGACTACAGCACATGGTTTCTTATCTAAAGGAGAGAAGAAAAGGGAGGGTAGACTTGTGTGCTACCTACATGTACAGTAAAATGCAGATCGCTGGGGAGGTTCGGGCAAAAGCCGTTGGAAGTGACGTTTGTCACATCCGGGCCGGGCCAGATGAGGCAGAAGGAACGTTATCTAGGCCCCCAAACCATCATACCAGAATCCTTTGGCCCTGTATCCCCTCATCCGCAGCACTCGGTTATGCACCTGAAATCAAATCCTGGTCCCAATGCAGCCAGCCATCACCAGGGCGAGTTGATCCCTCGCGACAGCCCTACCCCACGCATGCGGAACACCGCTGTGCCAGCCCATTCTGGGAGGTCAAGCTGGATGAGTCACAGAGTGCAAGTGCAACTCGTTCTATTTGCCACGCATCACTGTAACATGAGGCTCTGGGGAGCCTTCTTCTTTTGCTCTCCGTCACATTCTCCCAGTAGTCTCGCAAAATAGCACCGCGGACATGGCCCAAGTGTTCGCTGGCAATGTTATGATTCGATTAATTTATATGGACTTATATTTGACCCCTATGTATGTCTCCCACCGCGCTCGGGCGGAGCCCTGATTTCCGGCCTGTCAATCTGGTGCTATTCAGCGAACCTATCCGAGGGCTCAGACTGGATGTCTGCTATCTGGAAATTCCGTGAAACCCCAGGCAGTGCTTCTCCTCAATCTATTAATTCATACTTATCAATGTTTTCCTCACTGCCCAGCCATTGGACAGGGTTGGTGACCCTTCGTTGTGATGGATCTTTTCGCCCCCAGTTCGGGTAGTTTCGCTGAGTGATAGTGGATGGGGGCGGGAACAATACCAAATCTGAGATCCGTGTAACTGCTTTCATTGGCCGTGCCTGGCACTTGGCCTTTCGCAGTTAATATCGCCAAGAGAGGCTTGTGGGATGCCGAAGAGCACTGTCAATGATAAAGAATATTCTATACTGACAGATCTTCTCGTAGAGAGCCATTCTGGGTCTCGAATAGCAGGCCCGTTGGTACGATGAGTAATGAGCGTAGCAATAAGGCAAGACAAATCAGCTATCTATTGTAAATCCCCGTGTAGAGCTCAGCCCTCCTGCCTTGATCCATGACCATATCAGTCTTATTTCTGAAAGCACCCGTTTCACTATTCGGCTCGAATGTCCGTCCATGGATGTCGTCGTTCTTCCTCTCTGTGGCTTGTAATGGGTAGATCCGTCTCTGTGTGGGTTGTGATCTCGATCTCAGTTGTTTTGAGTATCCCTAGATAGCTATGCAGGGGATGTTCTTCGTCTTGACGTTGTATACTGCCTGTTATAGAATTGCTCTGCCCAAGTTCCGTAAGCTGAGTTGCACTCTCCTCGTCCATGCGATGGTATTCATCCACAGCCGTGCTGTTGGAAGCAATCCGGGGCCACGGCCGTTGACGATGCTCAGACGGTCGTCTTCTTTGGCCCGCAGACCAGGCCGCGGACATCTTTTCTTTGGAGACTCGGCCACCACCATTCAAAATAATCGGAATTGATGGAGCGCAGAAGACTAATATTGTGCTTGTGCCCTCTCCAAGCCCCCACAAGAGGTGTTGTGAGTACGCGTAGGACTTGTCTTCGGTTGCTTCCATCTCGATCGCAGAAGCAACGCGCCCAGCTGCGCAAGCGCAAAGACTATAGTAGCATGTGCCCATTAGCCTTTTTTTTGGTTTCAGTTATATGCAGTGGGCAGGAGTGGAGGGCTCAACATACATCACACAAACCGAAAAAACGATAGAAACGCCTAGTTTCTGACGGCGGGACATTGAAAGCTTCCAAATAACGCCATGAGGGAGCAGTAGAAGAAGAATATCGAAGACTAGATGCAACATGGTGATGGAAAGATTGACCGCATAGTGGTTCATACAAGTTCCTGGGATCCATTGACGCCATAACTTTTCCCTCGGTATGCAGAGGAGATTGACTACTATGACGGTTGCCATGTATAGACATGCATTTGCCGAAAGCAAAATATAGCAGATCCAGAAGAAGAAGTTTCGGGTAGAGCGTGGGATGAAAATAAGTGTCCATTCCAGTATGATTGCCACCTTGAAAAATGCGAATGCGAGACACCATAGAATGGAGGTGACGACATATTCCTGGCCGAATGTCAGCGGCTTGTTAGAATAATACATCGTCAGGTAACCAACATATACGAAGCTCTCATACTTCCTGAGCCGTAAGTCCCATAAGTGAACAAGAAAGCCAGCACCTGAAGTTATTCTAGCCAAGACGCACGTCCCAGCGATGTAAAACACCTATTGTACATGGTCAGTTAAGTAAGACTCACTAGAAGAATTGATAAGGACGCAAAATACAAATCCTAAAACTCCCATATCTGTTCCCCATTAGCAAGTTACCTTCAATGACTTCCATAGGTCAGTTGATAGTACTTACAGTCTTCAAGCTTCACTTTCCCTGCGCAGAACACTCGACTGTAAAGCCGTAGTATAGAGAATACTGTCGACAGAACTATACATATAGCTATTACCGCAACAGCTAGTTTGTTGTCGTTGGGAGGGTTCTCCAAATTTTGGACGCTGTTAGCTGGTGCTGTCGCTGCAGGCATATTTAAAATCGATTGCATCTGTTCCGGTGATAAGGGCCACGTAGATGCCATTGCGGAGAGTGGCATGAGCGTGGGATAGATGACTGTGTGATTGTGAGAATCGTCTCCACACCGCGCCGTATCTTGAGTGAACAATATATGGCCGTCTTGCGATCTCAAAACAGTACTGGGCAAGCTATATAACTCTTCGAATGTGGCGAGACCGCTGACCACCGGATGAGGCTCTGAGCTTGAGTAATCGCAACGTTTACCCCATAGACATGAGACTGATGGATTGCTTGCTGATAAAGTGCAAACGCGCTGAGTTCTGCGTCCGTCTGGAGGACCCGACAGTCATGTGTAATCGACACTCCACCGATGCTTCTGTATGGGGTCCGTTGAAAATCCTACCTGACTGGCCCTTGGCACAGCCATTGTTGCATCCCAAAATATTCACACATCACGCATTTTGGGGGCACAACATGCAATCCCAACGTTGGAATAACCTATCCATTCATGGATGAATTCGTCTCACGCACCTCTTCGTGTTTGCTTGGCAACATATGGCTGTGTTGTGCACACACGCTAATGCGGCTGCGGCGTCTTATGTTTCCTGGGATTTGGCTGGGATCTTTGCCAGCGGTTGATGATCTCCCAAGGTGGAAGTTTCAATGGGTCGAGGTCAGCCTGTGCCGTCTTTCAGCGTTGCTGATCGCCTCAACCATACTGTCAGTTTCTTCTCGCTTAGAGACGGCCCCTTTGCTCGAGATCGCTCGACATCTGGCTCTCAATCAAAATTCATTTGGATTATCGTATGAGTTTCTGGAAAAGAGAAACCTTGCCAATGGTGCTCATCCACAGCCACTTTCGACGGTTCCCGTGTGACAGCTTTTGGCAGTGTGGTTACTAGAATAGGGCTGTGGTTACTAAACACGAAACCGGTTGACTTTCTTGGCGAAGTAGTCTTCCAAAGTACACAAGTAGCCAGGAGCGATGGAGTTTCCCCCAGGCATGTACGAGATACGTACCACGCATGGCCGCCTGACCGAGCACTTGCTGAGTGAGACCCATGGCGACGTTACACAACTTGAAAGAACGGAGCCTGCTGCCGAAATGTGGGGGAGTGGGCTATCAAAACTGCATTTGGACAAACCGCTGAAGAACTAAATGTGATATTCCGGGGCCACAGTCACTCATGAAGCTCATAAAATACAATCAGGCAATGATTCACAATCCCAGAGGACGTAGCCTGCTTGCACTGGCTTTTTGGAGGGTCGGTAGCCTACATATGCAGCGGCGGTGCACTTGGCATGCATCCAATACTGTTGCAGATCTGAAGAACCGGGGGCACATACGAAGATAATTCATATCTATGTACTACATACAGCGCAGCCTTGCTTACTTTCTCACGTCGTACCTGCTGAGGTGGTGTATTAATTTGTGATATTGAATGCAACGACCGTATCAGAATATGCAACTTCCCGCTGCGTCGGGGGCCATTCATCCCATTTGCCTTTGCTGGTCACGCTTTGCTGCCAATCACGCTTGTAGCTGGTTTGTTGGTCTTTCAGCCTCAACCAGGTTATTTGATTCTTGGCCTCTTTAAACAGCTTACAGTTTTCACTGAGACAGCCAGACCAGAAATTTACTTTCTTCCTCAACCTCAGACCTTTGAATTTCCTTGCCCTCAAGAGATACCCAATCTGGCTCGCAGGCTATCATGGCAGTAGAAGCAGGTGCTGGCCTGAACGGCCATTCCTCCGACTCATCTACAATTCCCAAACCAACCACGAGTTCTGAAGGCAATGACCTCCCGACTCAGCCAGACATGATGGACAAGGAAGAAGTCCCGATTGAATATATCCACGGCCCTCGGTATGGGTTCATTTTCGCGACGTGAGTGATGTCGACTTGATAAGTCCTCTACAATTTGTATTCCTGACATGTCGCTTGAGCAGTATCGCAATCATGATGTTTATGACAAACATGGAGATCCCAGTCCTCATTACAGCTTTGGTTGCTATCACTAAGGATCTTGGTGGTTTTGGCGATGTGAGTTGGGTAGTTTCCAGCTACCTCCTGGGTTATGTCGGTATGTTGAATCGAATTCATTTTTGGAGTTCAGTAACTGCTCACACCCCGCGGTAGCCGTCATCGTCATCTTCGCCAAATTCAGTGACATTTTCGGCCGAAAGCCCATCTTCTTGCTGTCCACTGCTATCTTCATCATATTTTCGGCCGCCTGTAGTGCCGCCCAGACATTGACACAACTGTAAGGCACAACCTGGACACAACAACCGATCATAGCGGACTGACACGAGCTAGCATTATCTTTCGAGCTTTCCAGGGCATCGGCGGTGGCGGATGCTTCTCTCTCTGCACGATCATGATTTTCGACCTCGTGCCGCCAGATAAGTATGCACAGGTTGTAGCGAATGTTTCCATAACAAATGCTTTAGCTCTTCTCGCGGGACCTATTGTTGGTGGAGCTATAGCGGCCGATACTACTTGGAGGTGGATCTTCATTATCAAGTACGTGAAAACTCGATCATATCCGATCGTCCTGGCGCTCGACATCCGACTGATTCCTTCCATGACAGTGTTCCGATTGCCGCCCCAGCCTTCATTATAACGGTCCTCGCTATGCCGAATGGTTTTCCAAACCATGGGCAAATAAGTCGTCGAATGACAACAAGTAACAAAGGCCTCATTGTAAAGATTACGTCTGGACGCATAGATATACCGGGAACGGTTTTGATTCTCTTGGCCGTACTGGGGTTGACAGCTGCCTTTGAGGAGGCTGATAAGCTGTTCCCATGGAGATCCGCATACGTGATAGCCTTATTAGTCGTGTCTGGAATCCTATGGGTTTTGCTTATTTTGTGGGAGAGGCACGTTACACTCTCCAACAGTGTTCGGGAACCAGTGCTGTCGTGGAGGTTTCTTACCAACAGCCAAATGGTGGGCACATTACTGTAAGACCCCTCAGCTTCATTCACTTCCGAAAGCACCATCTAACAGATATATTCAAGGAACTTTGTTCTGTTGGGAGGACCCACGGTCGTTGGAATGTTCATCATTCCGCAGAGGTTCCAACTGGTCTATGGCACTTCCGGGCTCGATGCGGGTGTTAGGTTGATCCCATTCACTGCAGCCATGCCGTTCAGCGCAATAGTTGCATCTGGCCTCGCCGGAAAGCACAAGGTCCCACCTTTGTATCTCATCATAGCAGGTTCCTGTCTGCAAGTGATTGGGTTCGCTATGATGGGCACACTGCCTTCGACACTTAGCATACCTGCACGAATTTACGGCGCTGAGCTCATCGCCGGATGGGGTTGCGGGATGAACTTCACGTTGCTGTTCTTGATAGTACCATTTATCATTGAAAAACGCGACCACGGTATGTCATCTGATTATGTGCCAGAGGGAAACTTGACTAATTATTCACCAGCCATTGGTCTTGCCGCTTCATCGCAGTTCAGATTGATTGGTGGTTCAATGGTTCTAGCCATCTCAACTTCTGTCTTCAACAGCTATGCGAGACCACGACTTCAAGACTTGGGTGCAGGTGACCCAGATGCCATGGTATTAGTCCTCGCCACTCTTCCCAAGGCTATACAAGAGCAGATCCGGTACACTCTAGCCGAGGGGTACAGTCGCCAAGCCCTCACTCTTTGCGCATCCGCCGCGCTACAAGTCCCCGCCTCTCTACTCATGTGGAAGAAGAAAGCTCTGGTGGTTTAGAGGTCTGTTGTTTGCGTCGATTGAAAACAAGGACGACTGTGATCATGAAGGGCGGGCAGCGATTAGATTGGATTAGGCTGTCGGGTAAAGGAAAGATACTTCGGAAAGGACAAGCTGAGCTTGGCTATCGGTATGACAATTAGTATGCTGCCTGGACGGCGAGATTAGACGACAGGAGTCGAAGCCTTCAGCAATAATTTTGATGTTCTCGGGAGTCATTATCATATTGTCAGTAAATCTAGAGCACGCAGGGCGGAACCATGACAAAGGTTTGAGGTGGCTAGGCCACCGCGACAGTCGTATTCAAAACAAATGCGAGATGTCGTTCAAACTGGGCCAGTGGCAGAATGGCTGCGTTGTCCCCGTGCACATAAAGTAAGACAGACCTGAATGTGTCCCCACTGGCTGCATCGTGATACCCTTTCCGTTGGAGTCAACATCCAGTCCTCCCAGCATTTTGTGATCGGCCTCAGGGATACTTACAGATAGCGGTAGGTCGCTTGCATTTCCGATTTTTTCCAGATAATCGGGCAGAAAGAAAACCACAAGAGCTCAAGATGTTATCTATGTAGAAGCAGAAAAGCGAATGCGACGTCATGTTGCTTTTGATAACGCCTCACGCGCCCGCTCTAACAACTACACTGAACGCGTGCTTGAAATGTTGCTATGATTAGAAGGTGAGAAAGATCTGATTAAATCACCAGACTCACAGAACCATACTGGTCCTGGGTCTGGCAGTTCTAGCCACGAAACTCTTTCAGCACACTTTACAGCATCCAATTGGGCAAATATGTGTCATTGAGCAATACATGAGTTGCAACCGTGTTACCGCAGGCGCGTCACCACGCCGTAGCGAGAGCAAGCATATGGAGGCATGAATCACACCAGGCGCGAACCCCACCACTTCAACCACATGCAATCGAGCACAGAGTTGGGCAGCGGAGTCAGGGCAAAAGGCTGTAGTCGCAAACACGCGGGGAACAGCGTTTGCCGTCAAAGTATGTTGGCAGTTGAGCGCCGAAAACTACTTCGACTAAGAAAGCATGCCTGATTCAGAGAAAAAACAACTGCTTGTCGATGCGCCTGGAGCCAGGTGGCAGAAGTTGGTTGCTTCTCCATCAGTTCGATGAGCACAGACTGGATTGAACAACCGCCATCGTCACGAGCTTGACCGTAGCCAGTAACTTTGCACAGAATACTACCATGTTGGAATATTTGCTAGCCACTTGAACGATGCGACTCGACCAAGCGAGTCAGGTTGAGCTTGTTAGATACTGGGCATTTGCTATTGCGCGGATGCTTCAAGGCTGCAGTGGTAATTGTGCGGATTCAGCGTTAAGTATCTTGTCGTAGCTGGTCGAGGATCTTTGTCCGCGAGCGATTACTAGATCAATTCGCCTTGGAGGCTAGGACACGCTTCGAGTCGCAGGCAACGGCCGCTAAGCTCCATCCCTGCGCTTGTTGGACCCTTGGCCATCTGAGGAATTTGGGGGCGGACGGGATGCTAGGATTTATCATCCGGACATGGCAAGCCCTGGTTGAAGGCGTGGGAAGGGGTGGGACCCGACCGTGAAGCGAAGGTTTGTTGAGACTTGAGCTCGATCGAGGTGAAACAGATTACCACCAAGGCTGCGCAACCACTACCTTGACCAAACGCTACTATATCCTACTAAGATGCTGTTAAGATGCCGAGTGAGATCTTGAAATGTGCTTGCTAGCAGATTCGCAAATGCAGGCAGATAACCATAATGGTAGATGGCGTCCAGCCACATGGAGACCAAGACCAAGGATGCATGCATGTACGGATGTCATCCCACGCTCGAGAATCCCGGTTGTCTGGACGGAGGGGTTTGGATGGTGGGGGTTTGGGGTGACAGCACCCGGGCGTGGGAAGAAATTTCTCCACGGTCCGAGGACCCTGGAGATGCCGAGACGTGAGGTGTCCGATAGACGGCAGTGCCGGGCAGGTTCGCGGTTCGCGAGATGGACCACCCACAGCGAGAATCGACGAGACAAAGACCAAGCACATCTGTGGACATGGCCGTTCGTCTCTTTTCTACCTGGATAGTTCAGAAGACCAGAACGAGATCCGCAGTACCGCGCTGTGCTGTTGTCCAGCAGGGGAAAATCGGCGAAAAGAACCCACAATGAACGCATGCACCAAGCAGCCGCGGGGCCGTCAGGGGCGCTGAGTGAGCAAAACGTAGAGGGTTGGCTGGGGTTGAAGCAGCCAGCAACTCGAGCTGGCCATGCACGTTGTGACTGTAATGCGGCCGAGGAGATCGAGCAATGACTGTCGAACGGGGAAAATGTGAATAGCATCGCATCGCACCGCATCGCTCCAAAGCTCGGTAGATAAGCGAAGACCAATTACTCAGTCGGCGATAAATATGGAGAAGGTGACGTCTGGCTGAAGAGACTGTGGCTCGCTTCTTGCAAAGCCACGGCCGAGCTGGCGGTGACGTCGATCCGGCTCATCCGCGGGGCAAGCAGCCAGCAGCAAAATTTGAGTGCTCAACGGAGGGGCATCGTGGCTGCGGGTAAAGGCGACAGGCGATGAGAAATTTACCGACAATGATAACCCGAGCTAGCTGGCCCACCGGCAGAATGCATCGCAGGGCATGGCATTTCACCGCACCCAGCTGCCAGGGCTGCCAGGGCTGCCAGGGTAGCGAGGGCGATTGGAAGCGCTCGAGTCGTCAAGCTTCGTGCCTGAGTAGGAGCAGGGCAGCCAGTCGACCTAGTTTTGAACAAACAGCACGCAGTGGTGACAGTGACAGTGACAGTAGTGCGCTGCGCTGTCGGCAAGCAGGTTGACGCTGGTGGGGGTGGGCCCCACCTCGTCGGCGAAGCTGATGCTTGTCCTGTGGTAGATGCTGGTGTATGGTTGCGGGTGATGGTCTGGGGTGGGCCCTGAGCCAAGGCGTGTCACGAAGGTTGCGAGGTGTTTCGACGAGCTCATCAGTCAGCGGTGGTAGGCTGGACGGTGTTAGGTGATGGTGGTTGCCAGGACAGTAGCCAGGAGGAAGAAGAAGGACAGTAGGAACCTCATCCCGCCTTTCCACGCCCATGCCCCAAGCCCAAGCCCAAGTCCAAGCTCGAGCTCTCAACCCTTTTCTTGACGGTGCCTGCCCTCTTCTTCCACCCCTCCCCCTCTTTGGAATTTGTTCCTCTCTTCACCTCTTCAACCACCTCACCTTTTTTCCAACCCAATTACATCCATCTTCCCCAGACCATTTTTTGAAGTCGAAAAACAGTCTGCCAAGATGGGTTACACAAAGACCGACGAGCTCGCCATCAACACCATTCGGGTCCTGGCCGTAAGTCAAGCCACCGCTCAACAACATCCCACGCATCATCCCTCGGTCATACATGTCTGCTTGCCGGCGACGACAAGATGGCTGTTGCTGTCGCCATTGATGTCATTGTTGGTGTTGTTGCTGCTGCTACTGCTGCTGGCACTGGCGGTTGCCCCTCGCCCCCGCCTCACAATGTGGCAACGGCACGGGCACAGCAGCTGCCCCTCCATCATCATCACCGCCACCATTGACAGCTGTTTCACCATGAAAATCTGCAGCATACGCCTCTCATTATGATCAATTGTGCTCACCAATTCTCTTTCTAGGCCGATGCGACCGCCCATGCCAACTCAGGTCACCCTGGTGCCCCTATGTACGTTGTTCATCTTCCTATCGTCTCGCCTTGCACTGTCCGCCCAAATGTTGAGATCGCGGGGTTGTGTGCGCGCGATTAAAGAAACATACGAACAACGCTGATACCCATCTCTCAACACAGGGGCATGGCACCCGTGGCCCACGTTCTCTACAGCAAGTTCATGAAGTTCAACCCAAAGAACCCAAAGTGGCTCAACCGTGACCGCTTCGTTCTCTCGTGAGTCTTTTCCCCCTTCGCCTCCCTGGCCCTCATCTCAACGTCAATATGACGTGCTTCTAACCTCCGTTTTCCTCCAGCAACGGCCACGGATGCATGCTCCAGTACGCTCTGCTTCACCTGTACGGATATGCCCTGTCTATCGATGACCTCAAGGCCTTCCGTGTAAGTTTTGCCTCCTGCAGCCGACTAGCACTCTTTTTTTTTTGGGACCATCAGGGCAGACAAGTCGCTGACAATCGAGCTTCTAGCATGTTGACAGCATCACTCCCGGCCACCCCGAGTCCCATGATACCCCCGGTATCGAGGTCACCACTGGCCCTCTGGGTCAGGGAATCAGCAACGCTGTCGGTCTTGCCATTGCCCAGGCCCACACCGCTGCCATCTACAACAAGCCCGGCTTCGACCTGGTCAACAACTACACATACTGCTTCCTCGGTGATGGTTGCTTGATGGAGGGTGTCTCGGGCGAGGCTTCCTCCCTGGCTGGTCACCTGCAGCTCGGCAACCTGATTGCCATCTACGATGACAACCACATCTCCATCGACGGTGACACCAACCAGGCTTTCACCGAGGACGTCAAGAAGCGATACGAGTCCTACGGCTGGCACGTCCTCGAGGTCACCGACGGTGACAGCGACCTCGACAGCATTGAGAAGGCCATCAAGGAGGCCCAGGCTGTCAAGGACAAGCCCACCATCATCAAGCTCAAGACCATCATCGGCTTTGGCTCCAAGAACCAGGGCACCCACGGTGTCCACGGCTCCCCTCTCAAGGCCGACGACATCAAGCAGCTCAAGGAGAAGTGGGGCTTCAACCCCGAACAGAGCTTCGCCGTCCCCCAGGAGGTCTACGATCTGACCGGCAAAGTCTCTGCTGCCGGTGCCGCTGCCGAGCAGGAGTGGAACAAGCTCTTTGCCAGCTACGGCGAGAAGCACAAGGCCGAGTACGAGGACCTGAGCCGCCGCCTGACTGGCAAGCTGCCCGAGGGCTGGGAGAAGTCGCTCCCCGTCTACACCCCCGCCGACTCTGCCGTCGCCTCCCGAAAACTGTCCGAGATCGTCCTGCAGAAGATCCACTCCGTCATCCCCGAGCTGGTCGGTGGCTCCGCCGATCTGACTGGCTCCAACTTGACCCGATGGAAGGATGCTGTTGACTTCCAGCCCCCATCCACAGGTCTGGGCGACTACACCGGACGGTACATCCGATACGGTGTCCGTGAGCACGGCATGGGTGCCATCCTCAACGGTCTGGCCGCCTACGGAACCATCATCCCTTACGGTGGTACCTTCCTGAACTTCGTCTCCTACGCCGCCGGCGCTGTCCGTCTGTCGGCCCTGTCCCAGCAGCGCGTCATCTGGGTCGCCACCCACGACTCCATCGGCCTCGGTGAGGACGGTCCCACCCACCAGCCTATCGAGACCCTCGCCCATTTCCGCGCCCTGCCCAACTGCATGGTGTGGCGCCCTGCCGACGGCAACGAGACCAGCGCCGCCTACTACGTTGCCCTGACTTCCCAGCACACTCCCAGCATCCTGGCCCTGTCCCGACAGAACCTGCCACAACTCGAGAGCTCCACGATCGAGCGTGCTGCCAAGGGTGGTTACGTCCTGCACGAGGTCGAGGGCGCACACATCACCCTGGTGTCCACCGGTTCCGAGGTGTGCATCTGCATCGACGCTGTTAAGGAGCTGGAGAAGAAGGGCATCAAGGCCCGTGTCGTCTCCATCCCTTGCTTCGAGGTGTTCGACGCCCAGTCCAAGGACTACCGCCTGTCAGTCCTGCCCGACGGCATCCCATCTCTGTCCGTCGAGGTCATGAGCACCATGGGCTGGGAGAGGTATACTCACGAGCAGTTCGGCCTGAACCGCTTCGGTGCCTCTGGCGCGTACCTGGATGTGTACAAGAAGTTTGAGTTCACACCCGAGGGTATTGCCAAGCGTGCGCAGGCAACCATCGACTTCTGGAAGGACGTGCCCAACATTCGCTCCCCTCTTAACCGGGCGTTCCAGCAGCTCATCTAAGGGAGGATTGTGGTCGGAAGAAAAATTAAATGAGGAAGGATACGGCGCTTGCTGTAAGGGGTAATTTAAATAGACTACTCCGATGCATGTTTATGCAGATTTATACTATACACCACAATGAACGAATTTCGATGTACTCAGACACTGGTTGGAGCTACCGCCACAGGGTTGATCCAGTGAAGTAAGACTTTTCGTCTTGATGTCCAACGCATGAGAAAGAAATCACTATGAACACTGGTAAGGTAGACTGACGCGAGGTTAAGGCCGGATTACTTATCCCGCAAGCCGAATGAATTAAGAAGTCAACATTGAAACGCCCGAGCAGCACTCTCTACCACATATAGTCGGGGAGCCTCAGTTTGAGCTCGGGGGTCAGCCGGAAAATATCACCGGCACAGAACCATAGGGTGGTGAGGTTTAGGATTAATATTGCATTCGCTCAACTACTTTTTGGCAGACGAGGTCCAGGTGCCGCTGATATCGGTGGCCGCTCGGGGTTTGTTCGATGAATCTATCCGTGCCTGCCTGCCTCCTCCACGACCGAGTGCGCACTTGCTTCCATACTTGTCCCTAATCCCATTTGCACTTCTCTCCTTAATTTTTGGTCGCCAGGCCACCAACAGGAGCCTTACCCCTCCTGTGTTAGAACGCATGTGCTTGCATCGCATCTTGATCCTCCACCACCAGGGATGACCCTGGGCAGATAGATAATATTTTTGACGACCGTCTCTTCGCCAGCCCACAAACTTTTGTTCGGGCCACGATGCCAAACTCGCCTTGTTCTGTGTCCCGGTCATATAACAATCGAATTACCCCCCTTCCTCAAACTTCCTATTACCGCAAGTTCCCCGCTCCGCCGCCACGGCCCGTGGCGATCCATTCCGACTGGAACACCCTGGCGACCCTCTCCAGCCTCGCGGTCGCCCTCCTCGCCTCGCGCAGGTCCTCGGCCCGCGGCGCCACGACGGTGCTGGTCAGCATGGGCGGGTCGCTCGGGTCGATGCCCTCGTCGTCGCCTCCGCCCGCCGCCGCCGGGTCCAGCGCGAACGAGAGCGGCCGCGTGGGCGTCGCCGCCGTCCCCGTCCCCCTCCCCGTCGACCTGCTCCTGTGCTGCTCGCTGCTGCCCTCCCGCCCGGCACCACCACTCCCTGCCCTGGAAGCCGCCGTCGCCTCTGAGCCCCGTCCTCCCCCGTCGTCATCGTCGTCCCCGCCGTTGACGGACCCCGCCGCCGAGCCCCCCGCCGCGCCCGCCGCCGTGTGCAGGCTCGCGGAGCTCAGGTTCCGGCCCGGCACGCCCAGCGCCAGCCCCATGGGGCACATGTAGCTGTGCAGGACGACGGGCCCGCCGTCGGCGTACTCGACCATTGTGCGCAGCGGGGCGCCGCGGTCGAGGCGCTTGGCGGCGTCGTAGGAGAGCAGGGCCGTCGCCGACAGGCTCGTCAGGGCCGAGGCCTGCTGCGAGGCGGGCGAGGGGGGCTCGTCGACTGTGGAGGGGGAGGAGGAGGTGGTGGTGGAGGTGGGCGAGGAGGGCGTCGAGGGCGGGGAGGTCGAGAAGGTTGTGGGGCGTTTCGTTTGTTTTTGGCGTGGTGGTTGGTGTTGTTGTTGTTGTTGTTGTGCCTGGGTTTGTGAGGAGGAGGAGGAGGAGGAGGAGGAAGACGATATCAGGGGAGTGGTGGCCCGGTCCGTCATGTGTAGGGCCAGGGAGGGGTGCTGCGAGGGGAGGCTCGCCATCTTGGGGCTATAGTAGCCGCCGTCCGTCCCTTGCTTTTGGTCGGGAGGATTCAAGATGAGGGGGGTTGGCTGGCTGGTTTGTTTTGGATCACGACCCCGGCCGGGAGTTGAAAAAGCTTAGGTCTGGCGATCTTGGCCAGCAGAGGGAGGTGGCAGGACGAGGGAGCGAGGATCGCCGGGGGCTGTGTGACCTTGGAGAAGCAGGTGGTTTGTTGTTGCAGCGTGCAAGGGTAGCTAGTTAGCTGGCTGGCTGCTGAGAGCCGATGAGAAGGCGGGGTTTGGGTCGAGCAAAAAGTCGCCTGGGAAAGGTAATTCGTGAGGCTGCGATGGGCGTTTCTGGTTCTCTCACGCCGTCTTGGTGTGTCCAATTGGGTCAATTGGCAAGATATCAGAGTGGATATCAGTATCGTGTCGTTGACGAAAAGCGATTACAGATGGGAATTGCGAGATATGCTGATGTGAGGTGCGTCCGGTCACTATCACGAGCTCGCCCAGCTCCAGCCTGCAGGGCCGAATCTAGCCGCTTCTCCCCGCAAGGGGTCCCTGCCTATGCCGTGAGGTGGGTGGGTCCACTTAGACTCGGTCAGGGTTCGGGCTATCTGTGATGGGTTACAACAAGCAGCACTTGAGACGGCATAGACGACCCAGACGACACAGGAGGATGCGAAGATACATATATTGCCACGCTATTGTGGCACAATTGCCGTGAGAGTCAGGGGGGCAATTTGTTTTCGAGACAGACAGAGAAGACGGATGGGCGGCGGAGACTGCTGCGTTCGGCCGAGCAGCTATGTAGCCGCGACAGAAATTACGACCAAGTTGATATTCGCTAAGATCGCGAAAGCCAGATGTCAACAGAGGCGGCGTTGCGGATAGCACGATGGGCTGGAGAGCCAGGTTACCCTGTGGCGAGCATGGGCAGGGATGAGTGGAGTCATGAGCAACTAATAGAAGGTACTCCTTTGAGATGTTACTCTGAGGCGCGATCTGGGTCGGACACATGACAAACATTCAAGACTGGGAGGCTCCATTTGCTGGAATCAAAACGTCTTTTCGTCCTGCCACTCTTCTGTCTTCCTATTTCTGGGCATATTACGTGGATACTCGGGGAACTCAATTCAAGCGCAGTCGCTTGAGGACACCGTGACGATGAGTTGAGGATTGGGCGATATGAACAATACAATATCGAAGTATCAAAACAAGTGACAATCATTGATGAAATTCTGCCAGCTTATGTTGAAGCCGACTGCTAGTTTCAAATCGACTGGCTCGTGCTGAAAATAACACCTTGACTTCAGTGACTCCAGGGAAGACTTCCTATGCCGAAGTGCGATGGCCCACGCCCATGGGCAATGTCTGTCCACACAGAACTGACCATGGTCAGGAGAGTGCCATTAACCAGGCTTCACTCCTCTAAGTTGACTGTGTCATGAACCACCCGGCTCGTTTCAAGCAAATTTGTTTGACTTAGCCACGAAAAGGATGGATATTCACTACCGTTTTTCTAGTCAATGAAGGCTTTATTTATATGCTGGAATCTAATCGTTGTCACTGAGCCATCCTGGCTCTTCCAGACAGGTCTACTGAACATTCACCACAGTTGTCCTTGTCGTCTCGCTGTGTTCCGTCTCCCTCATAGTCGCCTTCCTTTCGGTCGTCAGAGCCAATGTCCAAATACTAAACTTATCAATATCTTGAGGAAATATGCTTCAATTTCAAATCGAATGAGCTATCCGGAACCGTGAAACTAGATCACATCGATTGTGTACTTCCCGTCAGAGTCGATTTCGAGATAGTCCTCTGTGTCAAGGGTTTTTAAATCACCATTGAACGCGTCTTCGAGTTTTGAGCCAAAATACTTAGTTGCGTTTGGGAGCCAGAATGCGCCCACCCGCTTATACGTCCCACGCTCAGCTGTTCTCAAGAGGATCACACCGTGTCCTTCCTCGGGCTCTTCGTCCGTCGCGATTGTAGCAATATGCAGCAAGAAGTACTCCTCCGACGCGAAACTTCGAGCTGTATCCCAGAAAATTAGGATGAACCTGAGTCTCCAGTGTTCCAAGTGGTCAACTTCCTGAAAAGGGGTGTCCTCCGCAATCTGAATCCAAGGGATATGATCCTGCAAGTGCCGGCGAAACTTGCAAAGTGGACCACGGAGACGGAGTCGACAAAGATCTGTACCGTCAAAAAAGTTTCGTGATCTTCGTCGAATCTCGATATTGATGACCGAGGTGGTAGCCACGAGTGACGATGATTCAGCAATCGTGGACGATGCCAAGACTGACGGTAGGTCAGCAATCGTGGTCGATGCCATGATTGATGCCCAGGACCACGATGGGGCGTGTTCCATCTCGAGATCAGGCTCATGTTTCGCGGGTCCCTCTCTTCCAGGGATTGAATCCTGATGCCAGATCATCGATAGTGGAAGGTCATTTTTCCACATGCCGGCCAAGTACTCTGACGGCTGTACGCGCATCGCTGTGCAAAATCTCTTCGCCACGGCCGATATGCCGAGGAGATGATCGTTAACAAAGCTAAGGGAGGTACTTGAGTACGTCCCCACGAGCTCGCACCACCGCGATCTGATCTCCTGTGAATCAAATGTTGTTGAGTCTATCCCGATACGTTTATTTTGATCTGTCAACGTGGGATTGGGTGCCCCGTGAGGCAAAATTTCCGATGCTCTAAGAGACCAGCATTCCCAGAAGACCTGGTCTTCGCTGAAGTGAATGATGCGGGGTGAAAGTATTCGCTCTTGGAACACCCAGCCCCGTTTGTTCAGAGGCTTTTCCCCTTGGCGAAGGAAACAGTGGGAGTAGAACACATACAATGACATGTCCTTTTGAGTCCTTGGTACTTTCGCCACTGTCATACAGGGGTTCGTGACCAAGGGCTTCCGATCAAAGACTAGGCCTCTGGTTTCATCTCCTTCTGCAGCCGAGATGTTGAGCTTGGCGTTGAAAAAAACATCATCCATCTCCATTATCTGAGCCGTCTTTTCTGGTCCATCATTTTGCATTATACAAAGTGCATCTATCCAGATATAGCGGAATCCTAGACACCTGGTGACGTGGATTGCATGTCGAAAAACGATGGCTTTCTGACAATCCAAGAGATGTTGTGATATGTCTTCAGTCAGAAGAAAGGAAGTCTCTTGTGAGAGCAGAATACCTGGAGGGCTTCCCCATCTATGGCTTAGGGTGAGGTATTCGGTGTTTGGTGGGAGTGATTTTGTTGATATGATGCGAACCCCTTGAGAGTTTTTCAGGCGGAGCTGATCGAAGTACTCCTGTCCCATCTGGTCTGTCGGTCGGATCTGGATTGTGCCAGCTGCGTTGACGTCTATCAATCTCAGTGGAAGTCTACTTGGTACCTTTGACTTAGAGCACGTGTCATGACATGACGTGCAGGTGTTCAGCCAGAATCGTATGCAGTTCAAAGTTTCCAAAGACCACGTCTGGGATGAGTCCAAAATTCGGACATTTCCGTGCCCAGCTACACCGGGAATCAGCTCTGGTCTGCCCAGCTTCGGGCCAAACCTCACCTTCTTGGACTCGAAGCGAGTCTGGGTAATGACGGATTTCACGCTCTCCCAATTGGAAGAGCTTTAAATCGACTGCGAGAGGATCATAAAGGGATCTGAGTGGCCGGAGTCGCAGCAATTCACCAGGCTCAATAGGTTCTGAAAGCCGGGGAATATGTGCATGAAGGAGCGTACACATGTGGCACTTCGAAGAAGCCACGTTAGCCAAGATTCGTGACCGATAGTCCTTGTCATAAATTATCGACACCTTCACTTCCTCAGATGAGTTGAGGATGGTTGCGGCATGCTGGACAAGAGTGGTACAATCGTCGCATGTGGTGTGAAGTTGCATTTGCGTCATGTTCACGTTAAGATAACCGAAAAGACAGGAACAGTCACAGCCTGGAGAGTCGTGCGGGGGCACTAGGAGAACTCATGTCGGGGGAAGTGTGATTGTGCAGCCGGCCAAAAAAAAGAGCTCAAAAGCGAGCTCGGCCATAGCAAGTGACCCTGTGGTGCTGATGTCAGCTTGTCGAGGGGCCATGCGCTGTGACGCAAGTGGCAGAGGATGTTGTACGACAGAAAGATTGCAGGTCCTCCTCGAGCGTCTAATATTATGATTACTGCGTGTCACAATAACGTGTTCACATGTTCGCTAAATAGACTTGAGCTCCTTGAAAAATACGATTCAAAGAGAAGGAATGATCGGAGACGCGTTACGGCGAACGCGCGAGGCAATAGTGCATGCAGAAGAGCAGTTTCACTTCCACAGATTTAAATCCCTGCAGTGGTTGAAAATCGCCTGGATACGGGTGAGGTTAAAAAGTCAAATGAGAGCTCGGATTTCCTGTCCATGGCAAGATCTCGCCCACTCACGAAAGACACGGTGAGATTACGATACGACCAATGCAACCGACCTAGTCTCTTCTTTTCAGAAAAAGACAAGATTGATTGTCACTCGGGAAATCCAATCAGTATTCTTGACCCCTCAAGGACTACGGAAAAACAATGACGTCTCAGAAGCAACGAAAGCTTAAGCTCCTTCTGCGGCGCTTCTGCAACTCGCTCATCGACCATGGAGACCCTTTTCAGTCGCACTTTGTTTACCTGGATGATGCTGAAGCGAACGTCGGCTCGTTACGGTGAGCACTGATACTTGGTGTCTATATCGAGTTTTGTTAATATGTGGCGGTGGTATTCCAATAGTGTATATGACTCTACGTCGATCAACATGGTGCTAGCTGGATCTATGCAACGCGTGTAATCAAATTTGTAGACAGATGACGGCCAGTGAGATGCTCTCGGGGCAGATTAGGCATTTTCAACTAACATTGACTGCTGTCAGAGAAAAGTTATTGGACTGACAACTTTTCTTGTCGAAACAGTTGGCACTTACTGGTCTGACTCTTCTTTGTTTTGCTGGGAGCAACGTGCTTGAGCGAACGGGTCGGGTTAGTCAGCGCTCTATAACACTTAGACGACATAGTCTATGGACTTTCTCATGCCCCGCGGGATCCGCGGCCGTTGTTGTGAACATCAGGCAGATGGATGTTTACGCTGGGTTCGTGAGAAGAGAGTAAATCCAAGTAAATCAGGGCGAAGCAACCATTCTCGGGCCGTTTGTGGGTTGCTTGCGGGTTTTCGCGACCACGCGCACCGATATCGACTTGTTTTCTCGCAGCCGCGAAGCACATTCGACTTCATTCCACCGTGACAGTTAATCATTCCGAGTCGGTTCTCCCCGCTCCTCAGTTGCTGACCCCGGGATATCACGCGGATCTGTCCTGACTTGGTTATCTGTCCGGGGTCCTCATTGCACAACGGAGACCCCATCGTGATGCGGTGAGGCGTGGAGACAGTCCATTCCCCGCTCAGAGTCTGCGCTGCTGGTTACAACGTCAGGATATTTAGACGCGGGGTTCGCCCGGGTCACGGTAGTCGTGGGAATGCTGGCGCAGAATTAACAAGGTTTCCCTTTGACGCAATTCTTTCCCTAAGTTGAAGGTTTGCAGTCAACGGGTATGAAACCATTCGCAACCACAGTATTTGCTGCCGCTGTGGCTCTATGGAGCAGCGGCGAAGCGCAGAGTCAGGGAAATGACGCCAAGCAGCCCAACGTCGTTTTCATTTTTACCGACGATCAGGACTACCATCACTCGTCTTTGGACTACATGCAGAATCTCCAAAAAGAGTTGGTTGCGAAGGGAACCGAGTTCACTAATCATTATGCAACTATCTCCGTCTGTTGTCCCAGCCGCGTGTCTTTGATGCGCGGCCAGCTCGCTCACAACACCAATAACACGCATGTTCGAGCGCCAGGGTGCGTGTCGCTGGGAATTCTTTCTTTGAATTGCAACAATTTATATAGGTACTACCATCCCATAGAAGCGTTGCTGACAGTGCTCCAGGGGTGGATATCCCAAGTTTCTTGCAGCGGCTGAGGACGATGATTATCTCCCACTTTGGTTGACCAAAGCTGGGTATCAAGCTGAATGTTCGTTCCCATGATATCACCGACTACGATGATGTAGACAATATCTAACAATCTGCCCCATTATTCAGACATCGGCAAGCTCTTCAACGGTAACGGATTGACCAATTACAACCCCGCGCCGAAGTATTGGACTCATACGGACCTCTTGGTAGGTACTTTGCGAATCCTCTTGCCGAACAAAATGGGATCATTACTGACCAGTGCTGTAGATGGAGCCGTACATCAACAGGCATGACACAGTTGTTATGTCAGAAAACGGGGCCAGACCGAAATTCTACTCGAATTGGCAACAAACTGACGTGATTCGGACAAAGGCGTACGTCGACCAATGTTTGAGGCGGTCGCCAAGAGTATATTACTCGGCTGATCTTGCTATTCCACAGTATCGCACGACTGCAGACTTTGGTTGCACAAGAAGATCCGTTTTTTCTCATGGTCGCGCCAACAGCACCTCACGTGCACAACGCAACCGTGCCTCCTATCCCAGCGGCTCGCCACTTGGACCTGTTCCAGAATATTACCGTCCCTCGCACGCCTGATTGGAACCCTTCGGATGAGTACCAGCAGCAGAAGCCAGCATATATAAGGACCCTTCCCCTTTTGAATCAAACTCAGATCAATGAGATTGACCTGCTTTATCAGCGTCGATTACAAGCACTTCAGAGTGTGGATGAGCTGATTCAGGATGTGGTTGACACTCTTGAGGAGGCTGGTAAACTGGATGATACATACAGTACGTATCACGAAGCCTCCTCTCTTCTCGTTCCTGCTTTAACATGCGCGTAGTAATATACTCAACGGATCAAGGGTATCACCTTGGCTCATACCGCCAGGGGGGCGGTAAATCCACACCGTATCTTAGAGATTCCAACATTCCCCTCGTGGTGCGTGGACCGGGCATCCAAGCCGGGGTCACCTCTCGCACGCCCAGCACCGTAACTGACTTCGCTCCCACCTTCCTTCAGATCGCGGGACTCAGCAAGGAGGATTGGCCCAGCTTTCTCGACGGCGAAAGCCTGCTAGCCTCATGGGAGAGCCCGAATAACACGGCCATACACAAAAAGAAAGAGGCGATCAACGTCGAATTCTGGGGCTATGCCTACAATGAGATCCCGTCATTTGTCACGGGCGATGGGGGAAAGGTGGGGTACTTTCTAGAGAACGACTACAAGACAATGCGCATTGTAGGCGACGAGTCCGCCTGGCTGTACTCGAGGTGGTGCACAAATGATACGGAGTTGTATGATACCAAAGTCAGTATTGCTGACCGTGGCCCGGTTCTTTCGCAGGCAGACCCTTGTTGACAATGACTCCAGAACGATCCCTATGAGCTGACGAATCTCGCGAACTCTTCCGACCCCCAAATCCAACGCGTACTATCGCGCCTCAACGCCCTTCTCTTAGTCACCAAGTCCTGCACACAGGAAACATGCCGGGATCCCTGGTCTATTCTACAGCCCACAAATCTCCCATCGAACGCCACGGCCATCAAGACGCTCGACGACGCATTGGATCCCGCTTACGATAGCTTCTATGATGCTTTCCCTCCAGTCACCATCTCCGAATGTCTCGGTCTTCAGGTGCCCTCCAACGAGGCGCCCTTCTACCCGGACGGCGCGGAGACGGGCTTGGGACTTGCTTTCCGCAACAATACGGATGGCTTCTCCTTCCCGGATCCACTCCAGCCGGTGACACAGATCACCGGGTATCTTGGCCGCTGGGAGCCGGCAGGAGGCTGGGACCAGCGGCATGCGAGCCTCGAGGCGCTTATGGCGGATGCTAGAGAGTTGACTGACGACGAGATGACCGTGACAAACATTTGACTATCCCACAGCATTTGCATGTGACCTTCGACATAAGCCGGACTTTTGAAATCAGCGCGGCGATCAGTCAGGGCATAAATGCCTGACATGCAGTACGATCACCCAGCAGGTATTTAGAGAGAATCTAATAGCCTAAAGTGTTGGACTGTATTCATCAAGTACACTTTCAAAGCACCTGCGGTATCGGTTCCGCGGCTCATCAAGCGATTAATACCCTTCGGTCAGGATACCAGTATGTAGTCAACTGACTTTGCCAATACAAAAAGCTAGATCTTGGTCGTAAAGGCAATGTTATCGAGAGAAGTCATTGGTTACAATAAAATGGTGAGGTCATATTCAATGTTTGATCACAAGCTGTACAATTTCTAAGTGAAGGCCGGTCGTTTCGTTGGCTCTAGAATCAATTTTACAGATGGCCAGTCTGTTGTGCCTCGATACAGGTGAGATCCACAACGCCTGCGACAACATATTATCTCTCAATTTACAGACCTGCAGCTAGGGTGGTAGAGTGGCTAGCCTTGATTAGAATTCGAAGTGCCATCTCAAAGGCAATTGTGTCACGCTTCGGTATACGTGGGACGTCAACAAAAAGCCCTAGGTTCAGTCAGCAGGGCGGATGGGTCCATGAGTGCTTTTGCGGGGTAATAATGGCGTTAGAAGCAGAACACTGATTTCTAACAGAGACATTCCTTCTGAACAGTATCGCACCGGCTCACACAAGATTGCCCCTGAACAAGCGGCTACTTGCATGATGTTCTCTTGCCAGACACAACAAGCAATCCGGATTATACCCTTCATCTGAGAGAGTGGACCAATACTGCCAACAGTCTTTTCAATTAAGCACCATGCAACCAGATCATGCGTCCATGACGTGTGACTGCTCGCCCGAGATATTGCGAATCGTCGCCGCCATTCACGAGAGCACCTGTCCGCCTACGCCCAACGACAGCAACCACACCATCTCCCTGAGCGATGTGCTTGGCACCGGCCGCCTGCTGGTTCGCAATTGGGAGCGCCTCAACGGCTGCTTCAACGCCTCCTCCCACCTGGACGCCGCATTATTGAGGGCCATCGCAGACGCGGCGAACGGCCTCATAGGGTTGTACGAGTATGTGGGTACGGCAGCCAGTATCCTCCCACCCATCGGCCGGGCCACCAACCGAGAACGAGGGACGAGTCAGATGGCGACTAGCAGTCCCTGCACGACAAGCACGCCGTCCCAGTCCACCTCAGGCAGTAACAACACCCTGGGCTGCCTGGTTCCGGTCCAATCACCCACCTACCTTGGCACACACTCCCTTGACGAGGAGGAGGCGATCATGGTGGGCCGCGAAGCACTGCGTCATTCCGTCTTGTTGCTTGGCGAAGTTCTCCACGACATCAGTAAGGACTTAGAAGAGCTGAGAGACAGTGATATGGATGACACGCGAGCCAAATTAGAGAAGACTTCGGCCGACCTACTACGATTACTTGGTCGAATCAATACGTAGCATCATGCAGGCTGTATGAACAGAATGTGTTCTATTGTGAGGCATAGAAAGTAGGAATTCACATGATTAGGGGCTCAACTGCGAGTTTCAGCCCTATCAGTACCCTGCCAATTCCAGTCTGCCCTGTAGCAACTCTGCCCTCCTGTGCAAATCCTCTGCCATGGATGCAGCTGCTCTTTGGTTGACGCTCCGGCCTTGCCGCACGCTGCCAAGTAGGATACTCCCTTGCTTTTCCTCTGTCTGGCCGTTTCCCTCATGAACTGGACGATTGGCTTTGCCCTCGACTTCCATCAGGTAGTCTTTCAAGTCCTCCAGCATCCTCTCAAGAGCCGTCACGCGCTTTTTAAGGATGAGTTTCATTACGCGGCTCTTGACCTCGTCATCAACCTCGTAGCTGCCAATGGTCAATTCGCAGTTTGCCTCGGGCACTGGGCATTGTATGGTGCGAGGGAACGAGCTGCGCACCGAGCGTTCGTATTGTCTTTCGTTCGCCTGGCTTACGAACTCAGGCTGTGACCCAAGAAGCCAGGACGCGGTCGTGCCTCGTGTTGCCTGGTCCATGGAGTGCGAACTGACTGCTGCGCGACGGAAGAGGTCTTCGAGCAAGCTTGTCACGCGGTCGGCCAGCAATCCGAGGACAAGTAAGCTCGAGTCGTGTGCGTCAATACAGCTTTGCGAACCACTTTCCGGCGGAGTGATCGAGCTTCTCAAAATATCGGGTCCTTGATGCACGTGGCCTTGACAGGCGAAAAGGCGCTCCTTGAGGGCTCGCGTGTCACGTTCTGCCGACAGCACCACATCTAGGCGGGGTGGTTGTGGACCCGCGTCCATAGTCTTCTCGAGTTGTGCAAGTCGCTGTAGAATAGCAAGATAGCAGTGACCGGCTTCTCTTGTTACTTGGGGGTCCTGTTCTGCAGCTATGTGCTCGTTTCCGCCGACTTGTGAATCGAGACCGACTAGGGCGGCCAGGGGAGAGGTCAGCAGCGCTGGCCGTTGCCGTATGAGGGCCGGTCGGCCATCTAGACCAGTCGAGAGAGCGGATAATCCATCGTTGACAAACGAGGTCGTTTCGGATCTGTCCTCAAGGATCGCGCCGGAGTAAGGGCCAGTCGCAAAGTCATCTTTCGCCCCCAATACCATCGATCCCTCATGCATTCCATTGACACCAGCCAGTTCTCCACTCTCGGGTCCAGAGGCAGACCCATCCCCAGACAAATGCTCCATACTATCCTGCAGGTGGCTTGCAGACTGCGATTGCGTCAAAGAGGCGGGACTCCGACGAGCGGTGGCATGTTGCCGGCGCTGGTTGTCATGTGACCGTGGTCGCGACTGTTGAGTGGTGGCAGCGATAGGGGGCGATGAGGAAGCAACAGATGGCCTCTTTGGTCTTCCCATCCGTCGGAAAGGAGAATATACGCAGTCAAGGCCGCTCTTGGAGCACCGGCGACACGAGGGTTTGTGCTGACTGCACTTGACCTTGTGGTTTTGGCAGGCATCGCAAGACGTCCGAAGCCTCATCCCGTTTATCTTCTGCTGCGCCGGGGCTGGCCCTTCGCCGCGCGAGCTCAGGCTGGTCGGCCAGGCACCCATTTGCACGACCGTGTGATTGTTCATTGCCATGTTATACATGTGCTCGAACCATGAACCAATGCGTCGATCGACACGCGCCAGAAAGGTTTGCGACCAAGTGCATGTCCAAGACGGCGTATCAGATTATTAAGGATCTCACAAATTAAGCAGGTAAGGACCAGGGGGCGGCATATGCATGCATGCATGCGCCACTTTACCCGAGAAAACGGCTGCTGCGCCGCGTGCTGCATCTGGAGGGGCAATCAGCCCACACCCATCAAGTTTTGTTACACCATCCATACGCACCAACTGGACGGTATCTGGTCAACTTCAACATCCAAATAATCTGCCTGTCTCAGTGGCTTACTGGACCTGCTGGAAGCTTGATGGATATGGAGACTCCTTGCAAGAATCAAAAGGACATCGAAGATGTGGGGACTCAGTGTTGTTAGCGATTCGTTTGTGGAGGATAGCCCAGATGGTATCACGGCTGAATGAGTTGATCTGCACAATATGTATTTTAGAAGATACAGCCTACTTCTCCGCTAACGACTAGTCAGATATAGATCTACTTATAACAAGCTGGATGCGAATCGTTGGCCACTTCCTTCGCTCTGTTCGCTGACTTCTACATAATTTCTTAACAGGGTGGCAGACAAGGGCTAATTCAGGGGAGATGTGGAATTGGAAGAGAAATCAACATGCAAGCTGCGCAACTCGTTTTACCAGATGTTACACCCAACTGTGTATCAAGTGCGCATTCGTATTCTAGTGGCACACATATATGGTCGCCGAGAACCATAGAGACTTCATAGCATAGATCTCGTTAAGTGAGGCTATCGCCTACTTCGAGCTAGAACATGATCAAGCTCGCGAGATACCTCACGGGGTCAAGGATGAGATGTGTGACCTTGGAGAATATAGCCACTTGTGCATACTGCTCTGGTGAGCGTAGACAAATTCAACCTTATATTGGCAAATCAGTCGGAGATTGGCAGAGAAGGGTGCCTATTCGCACTCTTTTAATTGAATGTTAATGCCGTGGCTCCTCCTGGCTACATCAAGTACACAAACTATTCTCAGATTGCAAAGGACTTCTCAACTTCCTTCCGGTGCAGTTTCAAGAACTGTTCGAAGCTCGAGAGCTTGATCCCCCAACGATTCTGTAAAGCCACTGCATTCATCTGCGCACTTCTCTCGTTGAAATATGTCTGGGCAGCAATGATATGGCTCTTGGGGATCAGCTTCTCGGCCTCGTCCCTTGGAATGTACTGGGCTTCCACATTGCGCCCCGAAGCCGCTGCCAGTGCAGCAGTGATCTGAGGTGGCGTGAGTGCCTCGGCACCCAGATCGATCTCATGCCCATGGAAACGATCCGGCTGAGTGAGGGCCGCGGCGGCGAAGCGACCGACATCGTCCGGGCTGATCAGCATTGTGGGAGTCTTCGCGGTCAGTGCCGTGCGTAATATGCCTTTTGGAAGTAGCTCAGGGAAGAAAAAGGAGGCCAGAGGTTGCAGATAGTTGGACATGAAGGTGCATGGACGAAGAATGGTCCAATTGGGAACACCGCATGTCCTAACACGGTTCTCGTTGGCCGCCTTGCTGAGCCAGTATTGCCGTGCAAAGTCATTCCATGTATCCCAGCCCGGAAAAGTGCCGTGCTTTCCGGTCAAGATTGTGGTGCTGTAGACCAGCGTCTGCACACTGCTGTCTGCCCGAGTTGCTACCGTAATAATATTGTTGGCGTGCCGAATTTCTGCCTCAGAGTCTTCGAATGACGGAGACACGTTGAGATAGATGGCAGAAACACCTTTAATTGCACGTTCCAGGGAAGGAATATCATCAAAATCTCCGACCATTACTTCGACGCCTGACTTCTCTAGTTCCTTTGATGCAGCTGAGGTGCTCGACCGAACCAGAGTTCGAACCCGGCATCCTCGCTGAGCAAGAGACCTGACAGTAGCCCCGCCTTGGGTCCCAGTGGCGCCAGTCACTAATATGATCTGTTGCTCCATATTAGCAGCCGAAGCTGGGATGTGCGCAAAGAAGTAAGGTGAGGGCGACGACGAGTCGAAACGTGGGATAGGGTGAAGACGTTCGTGCGAGAGGAATCAAACAGGGATTTTAATTGTATTCTAAGCTCTGCGATTATGGACGTAGATGAAAGTTCAGGGTATTTATCGTCAACAGGCTTGGCCCTCGCTGTCAAGGGGCCCACATTGTAAAATCCTCGAGATTACTCGGGCACATATTGACCGTCGGCAAGTTTTATGATCCTTCTCCCAAATCTCTACAATCTGCTTATAAATCTTATCACCGGCACTAGTAGCCTCTTCGCGAGGAATATGTAGGCAAAAAGCGGGGCAAAGCGTCCTATGCGCTTTTCTAGGCTTGTCACATTCCATGGACTCTCAGCAAAGCCGTTTTGGCAGTATTAATCCACTTTATTATTTCAAAGTAAATCAATGATAATTTATCAAGCATATTCCTGGCATCGTAAGATATCTTCTGTACAAAAGCCAGATGATTATTTCACAAATTATATCCACCTGCACAAATCATTGAGGCATCTTGTGACTAGCAATAACAATTCAACTCCACCTTCACCTATTCTCAATTGCTTGTATCATCCGAAACTTTCTTGGGAGAGAGCCTTCCAGCGCCGGTTGGGGCCAATGCACAAAGGAATGTAATACCAAACAGTGCAATAGCCATGGCCCAACTGGCGTGGAGGCCATCAAGGTACGCACTACGCGCTCCCTGAAGCAGGTCGCCTTCAAAAGCTGTTTCGAGACCACCGGCGCCGACGCCAAGCACGTCATGCCCATCTATCCCTCCCATGTACCGAGGAACGTTGTTGAGAATCACGTTATTCAAGATGGCATCCGTCGAGCCTACCCCGTAGGCAGCAGAAACGAATTGGAAGACTGGAGAAGTGAGTCAGCGACATTCAAGCATATGACAAGCTCAATGGGCTAACTCACAAAGCACCGTGGATATAGTCACGGCCTGGTCAGTCGAGGCACTTGTTGCACCTGCGACGATGACAGGAATCTGAACCGAAAGGCCTGTGCCAACGCCATACAGGACTTGGTATCCAATAATTGAACCTAGGCCGGTGTTTATATCAAACGTATAGATCAATCCGCTTCCTACCGTGACTAACACGGCACCAACCAAAAGGAATGACTGATAATGATTGATCTTTCCTACCAAGGAAGAAGAAATTGCAGTGCTCAGAGACGTGGAGAGAATGGTCGGTATAACCTTGACTCCACTGATGAGTGGACTGTCTCCAGCAATGGCCTGAAAGTAGATAGGGAGATTGTAGATCAGAGAAAAGTTTGCAGCATTGAGACTGCAAGTGTAGTCAGCACTCTGGTCTTGTCAAGTGTCTGCCGAGGGATGTCTCATTCACTGACAAGAAGATGAAGGCACAACAGGCCGCAATACTCCGCTTGCGGAGAATTCGAGGAGCGACTAAAGCCTTTTCCCCCTGAAACCACTCAATAGAGAGCCAAGCAGCAGTCAAAACAACCCAAAGCACCAACAGGGCGACGATGGTGCCAGAACTCCACGCTCTAGAGACGCCACCCCATTGTAATGCCAAGAAGAAGCAAACGAGGCTGCTCAAGAGCAAAATGAGGCCGGGCAAATCGAAATTGATGATTGTATCTTGCAAGCCCATCTTCAAATGGTTTTTCGCGTGTTCCGGTGTGCAAAAGAGGAGCATTGTCAGTACAGCAACACCGCCAATGGGGAGATTGATGTAGAAGCACCACCGCCACGTAATATTCTCGGAAAAGACCCCTCCGAGAAGTGGTCCAACGACACTGGCGAGGCTAAAAGTTGAGCCAAGAAGTCCAATAATTATGGGTACTTTGGCCGGACGCGCCAGGAAAGCGGCGATGGTGTAGCAGCCGCCGGTCAAGCCTGCACCGCCAGCGCCTTGTACGGCACGACCGATAATGAGGGCGACACTGGTTGGGGCGAGCGCACACAGTAGGCTCCCAATCTCGAACACAACAATGGATTCGATGAATACAAGACGTAAAGAATAGTACTTGTATGCTTTCCCCCACATGGACTGGAAGGATGCCAGTGTCAAGAAGAAAGCGCTGCCGTACCAGCCAATATCCTCCATGCTGCTGAATTCGGAAGTGATTCGTGGTATAGCCGTAGAAATAATGCTCTGTCGTGGATCTTCTGTTCAGCAGACCATCCATGCAGTACGTCCTGTCAAAACAGTGGCTCAGGCTGAAAAGGTACGAGCTTACCATGTCCAAAGCAACCAGAAACATGCTCAGCAACAGGCCACCGACAATCAGGACCAGAATGATACCCGAAGGATATTGGATTTCAGGCTCCTGAGCGACGGAATTGATGATTGTATCGTTGTCCGCATCTCGGTCTGGCGGAGGATGACTTGCATCTACCTGATCCCCTGGCAAGGAGACAGCAGGATCCTTTTCGACCAGTTCGGGCATACTCAATCGTACTGCTGAAAGGCCGAATGCCACTCAACACGAATCAAATTGGCTTGAGGTGAACGGTGATAGGCAAAGATCAATCGTCGGAAAGAGAAGTCGAGAAACCTGGCGAGAAAACGTGCTGGAGTACAATCAAAGATGATAACCTCGCTAGAAAGGAAACTGGGGCTTATGGAAGCAAGATGAACAATAAAACGTCAAAAAGAATTCCGCGCCTCTTCATGTAGTCTGGGGGTGCAAACTTTGACTTAAGCAACTGTTGTGGAAAAAGGCTGTTCCAATCAGGGAGGAAAGGGTTCAAAACAAACAACGTACAGAAGCGGTACGTCCCTCCCAACCCCTGCGGATTTGATCGAAAGTACCCGTTGACTTGCCAAATGTACTCGATTTCGGTAGCGATCTGTATTGGTAATCCAGCTACAGTCCCTGATGACCAATATTAAAGTACCCGAGGACGTCTGGAAAAGTACCCGGTCTACCATGTAAGTGCCCGAGCTGAAGATTCTCGAGCTCGGGAGTCTTATCATCCTTTACCACCGCAACACTCTTTATAATCGCATTTATCAGTGTCTTGAACGTAAATGAAGAGGTCCAACTTCTCGAGAGTAGAAGCAACACTGCACAATATCGCCGACAAAGCCCCATACACGAGATTCCGGAAGCGATCTAGAGACGCAAGTTCGAATGAATTCATTATGGGGGTTGTATTTGAACACAAGTCACTTATTCTGCATTTATTCTTGCCTTTCGGGTAACCATAATTACCTGGCTGTTTCTTGAATCAATACCCATTGCCTAGGATGCCTCGACAGTCATCGAGTCATCAGCGTGTCGTTGTTTCTATGGAGGTTCTCGCTGGCCCAGCTCTTCCCAGTGGTTTGACTTAAGGCGACAGTGCATGACTAACTGCTACAATGCCTGTGGTGCAGTCCACGCTCCCGCTTTCGTGATTGGCTAGATCAGCCGCGCTGCACTGGCAGCCTCGTAGGTCTTAAGCGGTACTTTTTCAAACTACTGGACGGTGATCAGGTAGTCCTACATACTGTACCTCCTAGCTGAGGGGGTAGCGCCATAGTAACAACCAGGTACCTTCTAGGCACCTAGAAAGTATCTTTACACTCAACTTTCAACAGGTCAGCTTGAGACAGACCTTTCAGCTTTCAGGGGTAAAAAGCCATGCGGTAATCAAGTAGATTGAGGCTTAAAAGTGCATTCCTGCTTGACGAATGATATTATGAGAAGTCAGATCATGTAGCACAAGACTGAAGACAATAGGTTGGAATGTCAGCTTGGATTCTGAAAGAGGTCCTTTGGTTAAATGTCTTAGAAGCTCGCATATTATGCCATACAAATCTTAGAGATCAAGACAGAGACCAAGGCTTAGACTTTTGTCGTCATTGTGAAACTTGTCAGTTAATCCGTGCGATGGGTCCGAGAGTTGTTGCCTATAAGTAATATATTCTCTGCCCTGTGTTCTATAAAACCTTTAGGCCCTATCTCTGTACAACAACTTAGACAAAGAATTATTCATACCTATTTCATCCGCATTATTTTGCAGCCAAACTTCCTGCAGAATCATTACATGAACATGGCAACAGTGTTGTACTTCATTGCATATGCTGCTTTGTCAGCCTTAGTTCGAAGTGTGCCAACGGACACTGTCGAGAGAGACGAGAAACACTTGCTCTCTGAAAAAGCCAATGGGTTCTATGAATTAACAGCTATTACACTTTACCTCTGAGACTCGCAGTGTAATTGATTCGTGTGATCAATGGATCCGTGGACGCATCTATTGATGCCAAAGCTAGACGTGAATAAAAGCTAATTTGAGCGAGCATGTACCAGGCTGCAATATATTGCTTTCAAGAAGAATGTAACATCGAGTTCCTACACGTCCGTCGGAATTCGGGGTGCACAGCCCCTTCACATTGAAGGAGAATGCGAAACATGTACTAGATTCACTCATCAAAGCCAGACGGATATCGTGTCGTGCGCACAGCCATGATTCAAGTTCGTCTACCGCTGGAATTAGGATACTGCCTTCCAAGCCTGAGGCGGCATTGCAGCCTCAAAGCTGAGTGCAAAAGTCCAGTGTTTGTGCGAATGGATGAGAAGGGCACCAAAATTTATCGAGTGTCTGTCAGCAACATCGAACATCGAGGAGCATGAGTGTGGCCACTTCTATGGCGGCCTTTCGTAGGAAAAGGGCCCTGGTTTCAGGCAAGATGAATTCTCTTTAATGGTTTCATAGCGGGCTTGCAGCGTACGCTGTACCTGGGTACCGTACAGACAGCAACTCAGTGATAGTGCAATCTTCCTGCAATTCAGTTGGGACTTTGAGTCCGGTAATCGCCGCGGATGTTGATACTAAAGCCAAAACAACAGACGGGCAACCAACCTGTATCCTCTTAAGTATGGGTTCGAGGGGAGTATGTTGCCCGGAGCAACTTCAAATCTCTCATATAATAATGTCTCACCATCTGAGGCATATTCAAGTGCTGCTCAATGCACCTATTAACGCTGAAGATTTTAGCTGACGAGTCGTTGTCAAAACCGCGAGTCTCTTCATATCGTAAATTGTTTGATTTGTTAAGGATCTTCAAATATTGTAGAACTGTTTCTTTGGGACAATCGACAATGGACATTTCGAGTTCTCTCTGCATAGCATATCTGATGCAGTTAGTCTCGAAGAGTTTCACTACGGCACTTTCGCAGAAGCGACAAGATGCCGTAATTTTAAACTAGATTAGGGGCCGGATGCGCCGGGCTTGGCCCCATTGAATTGACTTTCGGCCCATGACAAGTGGCAGCCTTATTCAGTCAATGCTGGACACGCTTATTTACTTGAAACACGCTCCAATAGCAGCAGAGGCTGACCAGTGCCTCTCTACGCTATCTATAGATGATCACTAACTTTCGGAATAAAAGATTAGGTTAACCATGACAGAGTTCGTCTATAAACGGCATAGATGGCAGATCCCGCTCGCATTTTACGCGCTACACGCCTCTTGGCTGGCCTCCTGAAAGTAGGCGCAGGCCATGATTAAACTAATGCAAGACCGAACTTTCCGGTTCTATAAGATCTCGACACACTGCACCAACGGCGCAGTGTGCATTTGGATGAGCCTCTTGTTTAATAACGGTCGCACATGACTGAATACCATTGCACATACTAAAAGGGTGTCATTTTCATCCATTCAGTCTTTACAGATGGCGTTTCGGAAATTCGCGCTTGGGGCGCTCATTGCTCACGCAGCACAGGCAGCTCTTCAGTACAAAGGGGCTGATTGGTCGTCCGTCGCCGTTCTCGAGCGTGACGGTACTGAATATAAGGATCTCCAGGGCACCGTTAAGCCGCTTGAGACCATCTTGTCTGAGAATGGCATCAACATAGTCCGACAGAGAGTGGTGCGTATTTCTCTAGCAGTTCCCTGAGGTCACAAATTGTCAATTAATGGGCGTCTTTTCACAGTGGGTGGCAAAGGGAGATTATGACCTCGACTACAACGTCGCTCTGGCTAAGCGCGCAAAGGCAGCGGGCATGGACGTTCATATAAATTTGCACTTCAGCGATTCCTGGGCCGACCCTGGCCAACAAAAAATCCCAGCAGGTTGGCCCACGGATCTTGCGGGTCTTACGACTCAGATTTACGAGTACACGCTCAACGTGAGCAACACCCTACAGGCCCAGGGTATACAGCCGGCTATTATCGACATAGGCAATGAGATTGCCGATGGAATCCTCTGGCCGGTGGGTCGCGGAAGCGAAAACTGGACCAACACGGCGCAGCTTCTTACCTCTGCCTCCAAGGGCATCAGAGACAGTGATCTTAGCCCGCAGCCCAAGATCAACGTTCACCTGAATGGTGCAGCCGACGTCGGGGTACAGGACTTCTTCTGGGGTAACATCCTCAAGGCAGACGCCAACTTTCCAACTCAGATCGACATGTTCAGCGCATCTTTCTACCCATTCTAGTACGTAATACCCGTTACGATTAAGCTCCGAAAGCAACTTGTCACTGACGTTGGCCATGCATAGTGGACCCGAGTGGAACTTTACCAGGCTGACAAACACTCTTACGCACATGACGGAGTTGCTTCCCGGCAAAGAATTCATGGTGTCAGAGATGGCGTGGCCCTTTACCTGTGCTCAAGGCGGGAACTACGCCTTCCCTCCCGACATGAGACCCTCTATTCCCTTCAGCGCTGAAGGTCAGAAAACATGGATTACGGAAGTAGCAAAGAGGGTTGGCGCGATCACAGGTGGCGTCGGAGTTGAGTACTGGGAGGTTGCATGGGTGAACAATGCTGGTCTTGGGCAGACGGGATGTGAGGACAACATCATGTTCGAGTTTGCGGGCAATGCGAGGGACTCGCTGTCTGTGTTCTCTGAAATTTAGCCAATTCACCAAATTAAAACAACGTTCCAGAGTTGAAGACTGACAGACTACTCACAAGCGACTCCAGCTAGGTGCAAGAAACCACCGCAATAGTCCGTCAAAGCACTACAGTTATGCGCGAGACTAGTACCTTGAACTGAGGATTGATCTTGCACCTTGGCTTCTGCGGAAAATTACACATTGGCCGGAATCAGAAAACCAAGACGACCGAACAACAGATTGAGAGAGATGCTGGTAGTTTCAAAGCCCAAGGCGCCTAAGGTGCAATTTGCATATTGGTTTTCTTCGTTGCCCTTGAGTGCTCGGCATCCTGCCGAGATCCACAAATCAGGCCGCACCTCTCAAGTGCTCACGGTCGCCGGTGGAACGACCCGGAGTTCGGAGGTCATATCCGCTGGCGTTGCAAACTGCTCGGACCATCCTCATATACGCCCAGCGAAACAGTCCGAGGTCTCGTTCAAATGATTGATCATGTCTGCATTGTGGGTTATAGATGCATCCCGGCGGAGAGCCCGGCCGAATAGGGCAAATGCAAGCCGCAAGCCGCAAAAGTTGGGTCGTAGGACTATACGAGCATCAGCGTGGCCCAGGGTGAGGGGGCTGAGACCAGTCTGCCCAATCCCCGGTCTGCTTGGCCTCACCAGGCCGAGACCGACCACGTTGTACCAACATGAAATCCTTGGCGCTTATCATTTCGCCTTCTATCCAGTCATTTTCAATGGGGTCGGTGCTTAAGGAACGGTAACGTCGATTTGAGGTTGGGTCAGGCCTCTCACGATGGATTTCCTGGGGCGAAGGCCCTTTCAATCCGAAGGCCCTTGAACCGAAACGCGGAGGCGAACGCAAACATGAGGCCTACGATGAGAGATGGTCACGACCTTCATTGAGTTTTGCAATACCGTCTTTGTGCGCTAAAGAGAAAGATGCTATCGATCTCCACAGAGCATCGCAGTCATGGAAGAAGTTATAAAAGGGTCGACTCCCTCTCATCGAAAGACAGAATTGAAGACATCAATCACAACAACAACAGCATCACAACAACAACTACTACACACAACACAACCACAAACACTCATAACTTTTTACTTCCAACCAACCTTTCCAAACATTCAAAATGCGTGCCACTACCTCCATCATCTTCATCGCTGGCCTCATCAGCACCGCCTTCGCTGCCGACACCATCCAGTTCTCTGACGATGCTTGGTATGTAGCAGCCATGCCTCATAATGGCGACAGCCACTTGTGATAGTCCAAAAGTCAACTAACCTGGCACAGCAAGGACCAAATCGCCAAGGATGGCTTCGGTGGCCTCTCCACCGGCGACATCCCCATCCTCGACAATGCCAAGTCGATCAAGGTTGACTCCTTCTCCGACGTCTGGTTCGCCTACCAGGACAGCGATGGTGACAACTGCAAGGGAGACCTCCTCACCCGTCTGGACAACGACGAGTGCATCAAGACCACTGACCTTGGAATTGGCTGCACCCGCCTGTGCGGTGGAGGACTCGGCGGTGGCGACTGCGCCTCGACCACTGCCTAAGTGTGGACAGTGCTATCTGCATCGAGGGCGGCGGGTTACGCTCTCTTCAGCATAAATGACAGCGAGGCGAATAGAGTTGCATGGATAGAGTTTGAAAATACAATATAGAGTATAACATTTTGGACTTGAAAAGCTATGATGCTCTTCACATGATTACATGAAGTGATTTGTTTTCCCATGTGAAGAGTGTAACTTGCATTTCGCTCTATCCTATACAGGTGCCCTTACTGAATAGGCATGCCATTCAAAATTTGCCCAAACACAACACCGCTTGAGCTACTAATGGTTGACCCGAATTTGGTCCGATAACGCTGTATGAAGTTCCCATACGCGGGAAGAGTTCGCCGACGACAGCAGAATCGCACAATTCGGTGGCTCAGCCTTCTTCATCGTGCGTAAGACAAAGCAAAACATACCCGGATGAATGATCCTTTCACGTATTGTCCAACTTGGCCTGCATGAATATTATTGTTTTCGGCTGATAGTGGCGTCGGCTCGGAAAGACTGTAAACCCGTCAGCTCGCCGAACATCTCGACCGCATCAATCAGACGCAAGTACCCACCGACCCTGCACCGGCTGGTTTCACAGCAAACTCATAGCCATAGCCTGACCAATTGAAACTATGACTCGGTCCGCCCGCCGGCTCCTCCCATCCCTTGCCACCGGGGTAGCACACATAATATGAAGGATAGGTACCCAGCCAGAATAATTCAAAAGGCTGATGGATAGAGACTCCCACAATGACTCCCTCGGGAGATTTATACTGTACCCAAGCGTCCCAGGGACCGTTGCCGTAGCCCCCCAACTTCATCTGGAAGTCCAACGTGGAAGTACCCATGATACCATTGGCGCCTTTGAGGACCTGTTCGGGTGCCGAAGTCTCGTTGTCAATCGCGTTGTGGGTCGGCGAATAGTACGAGAGAAGGGTCCAGTCACTCCCAGAAAAGTTGGCAAAGTTAATGATGTATTCGCCGCCGGGCGGTGGGTTGGCGAACAGAGCTACATTGGTCGAGTTGTTCTTTTTGTTGAATGGATTGTTGCCGTTCTTCATCTCAAGTTGAAGTGACTTGTACTTCTCCTTGGCCTGAAGTCATTTAGTGATTACAACTCAAATTAGTGTAGTATAGCGCAAATGAGGGCCTTACGTCGACTGTCTCAGCGAGAAGACCACCCAAGGCTAGGAGCGCATCACCCCCAGCGACTTCTAGTGCCTCCGCCAACGCCTCGACGCCAGCCTCCTCGGCGGTCCAAACAACTGCATCTTCGATGGTCAAAGAAATCGAATCCTCGATCGTAGCGTGGTAGAAATTCTCAATGGTGTGACCTTCTACAGGGACATCTATCAGAGTCAGAGTCCGCATGGCTTCTTCGAGTTCTTCGCCATTGGCTTGCATCTGCTGGAAAAAGTTGATCACCGATCGCGGGACCGGGCGAGGGCGGAAAGCCATGGATACTGAGGATTCGTTGCCATCGGCGCTGAGACAACGTTTGGTCTCGTTTAGAGGGTCGAAGAGGGCGGCAGGTGAAGGTACTGGTTCATCAGGAACAAAAGGGGCGCGAACATTGACGCCGAAAATGCCGAAATACCATTTACCATCGGCGGCTGGCGCTGCGTACGTTCGGTTGGACATTGCGATTGAAATGAGGGAAGATTATGGCTGGGGGTAATGTCTCTGATGAAAAAGAGAGAGGAGCAGGGAGTTTTGAAGCTGAGTGTCGAGTTGACTTTGCTTCCATTATATAGGTATGTTGTCTAGATAGAGTCAACATGTGGTCCTTGAAAAGAACTCCCTCCGCCACCAGCGTTCGGACTCCACCCAAGGCTTTCAGCCGTAGCTCAATCGAATAGCATCATGAAAAGCGCCAGAATGTTTACGGTGGTCATCCGGTCATTACTGGCTTTGGGCTGAGGTGAGACATTGAGCTCGTGTCTGATCTTTGGCTGGTCGTTAGTTCAGCCGCAAATGGTTTCAGCCCTATCAATGTGGCCGCATTGAATGCCTATCTGCGTGAGATTATCAAGAGATATTTGTGGATGGAAACGCTACGGAAGTCATCAAGAATGTAGGATAAATTATAAATGAAAGGCGCAGTGGGTAGATGAGCCCATCAACGGATTAGGGGTAAGGGTAACTTGAGGGAAGTAGAGCGAGGGGAGTATCACAGATGAGTGAAGTATGCCTGTAACCTGCTCAGCTGGATTAGAGGGGGAAACGTGGGAAGGAGGAGCTGAAAGGGGCGGGGGCAGATACGAGGACTAGGTGAGCTTTCTCTCCCTTTGATACAACTTGGATCCCCGATAACTAGTTCAGAGAGGTCGTCAGTGGTGCGTTAAAGGGTGTGGGCTAGAGCTGAATAAAACGTAGAATTAAAAGAAATACCGGCATCAGTGTGGCGGTGTGTGAATACACGGGTATGTCCTTCAAACCCTCCCCAATCATCACGGCTTGTTGAGAGCCTCTCCACAAGTATGTCTTGCCACATTCTCTGCCCAACAGGACATCAACCACGCCTATCTACTTCCGCTCCCACAACCCCCAATCAAAAACCGAGGGCCAAACCAGCGCGAAGCTTGGACATGCTAAACATGCTTTCACTTTCTCATCTGCAATTCTTATCTGGAAGGCGGTAAGCTACCGTTTCCTGGCGCGTAATGAGTATGCCTATCCGCCTAATCCCGGCATTAGGCCATGAAAATACACTGTTGGCAGTAGGCCTCAAGCAGGCCGGGGCGGAGCACAAGCAAATCAAATGGCTTCGCCAACGTTCTGATCAGGCTGGGACCACCTCCTATAGCGACCTGCATAGATTACTAAGGCAGCTAAACCAACTCAACATCTCCCGCGAATGAATCAATCTAGTACACACTACTTCGATATTCAGGATTGATCCTTAACAACGCACGCACTCGCCCCTAAACTTAAGTGGGAATACGCATGTAAAGAAGCAATTGGACTAGCGAGACGCACCCAGCCACCCTGAGGCTTGCAACTAAAGATGCCTACCTAGGTGCTAAGGAGTTATCTACCTAGGTACAATAGCAATTTCCAGTCCCCATCTCTTATCGCTCGTAGTTCCAGCTCACTGTTCAATTTCCGTAGGCGTCCAAGTGCGCGACCGCCGCTTAAACCGCTCTTCAGGATTATCCAGTTCATGCTCGAGACTCCACTTCTTTGTGTACTTCTCAAGCTCATCCCGTATGTCCAAGCACTGCACGCGCACAACACTGAGCAACCTCCCATCGTCACGTTTCCACGTCGCTGCAGGAACAACGCCACAATTCGTACAGATGAGGAACTCCGCTGTACCTGTCCCCATACGATAGCGATTGACGGAGCCGGCAGTTTTGATGCTCAAGGCGCCTGCAGCATCGGAAGTGAACGATCCGCCGTGCAGCCTGCAGAAGCCACACTGGCAGGCCCTTGCTCCGAGCTCGGATGGTGTCTTCTGGGTCCGTAGATGAACTTTTATCCCGCCGCAGTGGCAGGCACCGTGGTAGTCCATGTGTTTCGATTGGGTGTCCTTCTGTACACTTGCTGGGCTATCCGACATATGACGCCTCTGGGCGGAAACAATTACAACCGGACTGCGATACACAGACTGCGTCGGCCATGTTCGAAGAGTTGGGCTGGCCTTTCCGCTTGAGTTCCGGACCTGGGCAGCCAGAAAACTCGTCTTTCGCAGCACGCGCATCTTGCATGTGGTTTGATTGCTAGATTTGTGAGTGCAGCTTCGAAGAGATGAAAGTCAGGCAGTTCAGAGGCTACCTGGCGAGGACGCGGAACAGGTGAGATGCGGGGGACTGGCTTTATGAAATCAGAGTTGAGATAAAGTAAGCTGCGTATTGACCAAGGGCGTGTCCTTGGGTGCCATTGACATGCAATCCCCCTCATCTTCAAGGGTTGTCTGAGAGCCTTCCATTCTTCCTCATTAGTAAGCTAAGCCGCTGCAAATTGGCCATTGTAATTGGAAAAGTTTTATCGGCTTACCAGCAAGACATAGCAGGTTCTGGCTGCTTATTTGTACTGCGGATTCTGCCTGGATTAACAAAACCTGTACCTTCGAGACCCTTGACTTGCTCAGGTGTGATCTCGAGCTGTGCCATATTTAAAGCTGGCGGAAAGTCGACTTTAAAAGCTTAAATATCGCGGAAACTTCGGTGCTAAATCTCCCATAGTCTAGACTACATCGACATTCGGGATCGATGCTCTCTGATATGGACACCAGCACTTAAGTCCAAGCAAGAGTACCTATATGCCCAAGTAGGAGTCCCTGTTTAGCCTCAGGCGCACTTGCCTGAATCTTAGACACAGACATCGTCACTTCAGACCGTAGAAATATAGAAGCCTCAAACTCTGCATAGCTGGAATCAAACAGAAAGATGTGGCTGACTTGGGAAGACCCTCATTGAATACTTCTTCCTAAGCTAGTGAAAGTGCCCTGCCTCGTACCTAGGCTTCAGCCTTTTTGGCCAGCCTGTCTGAACGTCGAAGCGTCTGAGAGACACCATTTCTCGCTCTCAGAGACAGACTCCTATTCCCTGAACGAGGGACTGCAGCACGAACAGACGCATGGTCAGTGTTACCTTCATTCTCTTTGATCTGTTTTTTGACAGCCCGTTCGTATATATCACAAAGTACGATTTCCTTCACAAGTATCTCATTCAAGTATTGGGAGGGTACGAAAGAGTCAGCTTTTTGATTTGGGTCTGCTTGGTAGCGTAAGCTAATACACCAGATGATTCCTTACCATGCTCTTTAAACTTTGCAACAACCACTCCTGCTGTGAATGCGCCCCCCCCCCTCGGGGGCAGCATGTATGAGTTGCATCGGAGACACCCGACGCCGCGATTATTCAGATTTTGGACGACTTTGACTGAGCCACATGGCCTGGGCGAGTGGGTCCGTACTATCTAGAAGAGCACACATGATGACATTTTTTGATATTCCAGGGTTGAAGAAAAGGATGTGAAGGACTTGAATGCTCGCTGAGCAGGTGTGCTGAAAGTTGCTTCACTCTCGACCAGATGTTCGGTGAAGGATTCAGTTGACGGCTGGACAGAGACTACGCAGCGTTGAACCTGCCCATAATTTTCGCGATTGAAGTCTCGCGAAAATTTGAGCTTTAGCAATATAAACATCTGTGGCTAAATGCAGTTGCTCTTCGCTTGGTGAGAGTTTGGAGGTGCCTGTGTTGCTAAGGTACCCAGGTACCCTGTTTTGCCTGCCGTCATCTTGGCAAAGGTCTGGGGAAGTACAGGGGAGCCCTGTCACTCTCAGCCCACCTTGCACGCGGGAAACGAACACCTTGGACTATCTGGACTGGACTACCTGTTGCCCTTGTTTGGAGCTCCCTACCAGTGACTGGAGCTCAGCTCAACCCACAACCAAAGCATCGCCTCGTCGACATTATTTTGACCCAGTCCCCAAGGACCATATACTCCACCGCTTCAATCCGATTTGCCACTTGCTCTGTGGACATTTCCGAGCCCCAATCAACTCCGCCAACCGACTTACAAGGTGGGCTGCCATGGCCGACGCCCAGAGCAAAGCAGAGAAGCTCGCCGCGGCGCGCAAGAAGGCCGAGGAGCTCAAGAAGAAGAAGGCCGCCGGCGCAAAGGCCAAGAAGGACAAGGCACCGGCAGAAAAGAAGGAAGATGAAGCCGCAGCCGTGGCTGAGCCTACAGAAGAGAAGCCCAAGGAGGAGGCGCAGGACGAGGAGGCTGCCCCCGTCGAACCGTCCACCCCAGCCGAGGCAGAACCCACCACAACTGCCAGCCCATTCGCCCCTACCGATACCGAATCCCCCGCGCGAGCAGGTGGCGCGACGTCAGAGTCCACAGCGGAGCTCGAGGCCAAGCTGTTGGAGCTGGAGAAGGAGCTGGACGCTGTCAAGGGAGAAAGGGACGAGGCGCAATTGACCGCGGACGCGCTAGAGAAGAAGGTCGTGTCACTCGAGCTGCTGCACAAGGAGGACGAGTCACAGATCAACCGTCTACAAACAGACCTAGCCGAGGCCAAGAACGAGGCCGTCGACCTGAAGAACAAGCTCCAAAAGTCCGAGGCCGAGGTCCTACGGCTGAGCAAGCAGGAGAACCAGGACAGAGGCGGCACCGACAACGACCACCTGGACGAGCTGGAGGACGAGGAGCGCAAGAAGCTGGAGGCCCGGATAAGGCAGCTGGAGTCGGAGAACTCGGACCTCCAGAGAGGCATCTGGCAGGAGAGGCGGCGCGACATGCAGCCGCCCATGGACGACGGCACGGGGCACTTCACCAACGTGCCGCTGTCGCCATCTACTGCGCGGAAGCAGGGCGGATTCGGGGACTTCTTCACGACTGGGCTCAACGCGCTCACTGGTGGCGGCGGGCACGAGCACCAGGACGACGATGGGTTCCTTGATGATGACGAGGACTTCGACGAGGACGCGTTCCGCAAGGCACAGGAGGAGACTGCCAAGGCGAGGATTGAGAGGATCAAGGAGGTCAAGAGGGGACTGAAGAATTGGGAGGGATGGAGGCTGGACCTTGTCGAGGGGAGGAGAGGTGGTGGGGAGGGCCTAGGGGAGATATTCGAGATTTGATGGGATCAAGGGGCCGTCTGCCTTTTGCTGATACTCGTGATGACGGTAATGAAGCATTCTATAGAGCCTTACAGGCAAGATACATGTTCTACTGGCTACTGAATACTGCTGCATCCAAAACACGGCCGTGGTGGTGCTGAATGGCTTCAGGTACTGTCCAGGTGTACCGCGACAGCTGCCACAGCACAGCTAAAGGGTACGGAGGTACTTGGGCACTTGGTCCTAACCCTGGTGAACCCAAGAGAAAAGAAAAGTGGGTCCCAAATTCGTGCACTCGCCCCAGAGGACAAACTCCACCACCCCGCGAATTTTGCAACGCTGGCCTGCTCTGGCCTGCTCTGGCCTGCTCTGGCCTGCTCTTCCCGCGCTGCTCCCTCGTCTCTTTTCCACTCGCCCTCCCGGTGCGCCGATTTCTATCAATTCCTTCAAAACCACCGCCTCGCCCGCTGCTACGCGCACTGGGATTGCATTCTAACGCGTGTGGCGATCATCCCTGGAAAGAGGCACACGCGCCCTTTGCACTCGCAACACCTGCATTGTGCAGTGATCACAAACACAATCCTCTTGTAAGAAGACAAAACACATCAACCTCAGTCTCACTCTCACCGTACTTCCTCCTATTCACCTCATCCGCCGTCCCACCAAGCCACGAGACATGTGTCAAGGGCTCATAATTCTAACATGCAACGCCAGACTGAGTCGATCGGGCTCAATGCTCTCGCAGCCCAGCTGCCCTCACTAAAAGTAAAGCCCACGCCCGCCATCTCGCTCATCAAGGCCATCGTTGATTAAGTCTGTCGAGTCCAGGCCAATCTTGCAGCATTTTCGGATGATCCCTTGGACAATCCACGATGTCATCATTGAATATGGATCCGAACCTCTCCGCGGCCATGCACCCCCAGCAGGTCGCCGTGGCCGCCAACAACCTGCAGCAGGGCGCTCACCCCAACATCTTGCCGCACCAGACCACTCCCACAACACATCACGGCCCTGGACGTCCCCCTAACTCGGAAAAACAGCTAGTCATTGACGGTCGCCGCTTCCAGCGCCTCGAGGACACCGTCAACAAGCTGCTCGAGCTCACCCAGCTCATGATGAACCGTCAGGAGGAGCTGAACGACATCATGGTCCAGCGCCAACAGAACCTCCAGAACCAGGTCTCCTTCACCGAGGAGCGCCTGCAGCTCGCCATGGACAACAGCGGCCACCCAGACGGTGAGGGCGAGGACGACGATGAAGACGATGACGACGACGAGGAGCGCGACCCGCCGGACATGGCCTACCCTCCCCTTGGCATGCAGTTCCGTCCAAACTTTGGCGCCAAGAAGGCTCTGGAGGGCTTGCTAGACAACATCAACCTGTGGGCTAAGGAGCACGGGTACAAGTGTGCTACCCTGCGGAGCACTCAGAAACCTGGCGAGCGTGTTCGCGTCGCCATCCGATGTGCCCTGGGCGGCGAGGCCAGGTACAAGATGACTGACGAGAACGGGGAGACGCTGATTCGGACAAAGAGCGGCCAGCTGCGGAAGCCCTACCGCAAGAGAACGAGCAAGAAGACCGGGTGCCAATTTGGATTCATCCTCGGAGAGACCGGCCAGGGTACCAACATCTTCGAGGTCCGCTACCACCCCAATGGAAGCCCACCTCACAATCACCCTCCCATGGAATTTTAGACCAAAACCAACGAGGCGTCGACTACAAACGCGGGTTCCTCAGGACCCAAATCACGCAATCCTACGGTGGCTACCCCGGGAGCGAAATGGGCGGCGCCTCTCGGCTCGACGATGGCTGCGATACCAAACTCATTTGGCTTGAACACACTCGGAGAGCTTGCAATTTATAGCTCTGCATTACTGCAGCCCGCACAGCAGGGCCTTGGTCTCCCTGCGACGGCAATATCATCGTCAATTCAGCAAACCCAGGCGTCTAGCATATCTGGGGGCCCATCTAACCACGAGGGCCGGCCACGCCCTGGCGAGGAAGAGCCCACTAGCTCAGCGCCTTTGCAGTATTATCAGGACTGACGGCAACTCTTTCACAGAACGGCCGCATGTCCATGCTTGGCACAGCATCATTCGGACAGGAGATCCCTGCCCGCTTCCAAACAGCGAAATTGTGACAGTGGGGACCAAAAGACAGTCATATTGAGTCTGAGCACGGTCTTCCAATTATCTCATATGGACACTTTCCTGTGGAGTTGGAGTCTTTCGGCCTCGTGTAACATAGCGATGATTCCATGAGGTGATCTCTTGATCGGGTACATGTGGCACAATCATCATCAGCGTAAGGCGTTAGGACAGCAGACCGGAAGGAATTTGGTAATTTGATAATTAGGACATCATTCATATGCCACCCCTTTTCATTCCACTGGTCAAGGATAGTGAAGTTATGATAGTGTTGCTGTCTCCTTCCCATTCTTACTCCCATCCATGGTCGAGTAATGCTCGTACAGTTGTCTTCATGTGTCTCCAACTCGTAGCCACTAATTCAGAGCAGCCAGGTATCGATCGCGGCCTTCTCCCTTGTTCTTACACAGTCGTAGACTTCTGTCTACAGGCAGTCATCGTCGTTCATCCATCTCACATTATTAGAAGCGCCCAAGTCAAACTCAGATTCGCAACACTAGTAAATCGGCAGCAACAAATGCAATTCGGCGTAAGACAAAGCACCACATTGCAGAGAATGGGAATATGACAGGACATATGGCGCTACGCAATGTCGTCTTCAAGGTGGGTCACATCGTCCCCGCAGGAACTCGGCACCACGCCAACAGGCCCAGACAGCGCAAAAAGGATCCGTATTCATGCAGAGAATGGTTCTAGAATCACCGAGTATGAAGGGATCTCCATTCAAAAGAGCGCGGGGCTGCTCTCAGGTCTCTCCTGTTTTCTCACCTCGTATCTCTGCGCTCAAGCTACAATCGTGAACTCTCTCACTAGGATGGCCAAAGTATTCATGTAAGAGCTGCATGATCTACTCTTGTGAATGTCGCAGATGGGCTTTCTAACAATAAGGCCGTAGTGTTGGCGGAACCGGCCATACCGGCGGTGCTCTGCTAGACCTGATGCTGCAAAAGCACCCACAGCTCAAAGTCAAGGTTCTAGTCCGCGATGAGGATAAAGGAGCGAGGCTGAAGGGTAAATACCCAACCGTCCAGACCACCGTCGGCGACCTATCCAGCAGTCAGACCCTGCAAGACGAGGCGCGCAACGCAGACATCGTCATCAACGCAGCGCCGGACATCACGCACCAGGATGGCATAGAAGCCATCCTGTCCGGGCTCAAAGACAACAGTCGGCTGCGAAAAGGCTTTTATCTCCACCTCTCCGGCGCGGCCACCTTCTACACCAAGGACCCCAACGGCCTCAAAGAGGGCCGCATCTGGGACGACGTGGCCGATATCGACGAGATCCTCAACCTCGACCAAACCTACACGCATATCCCGACCGACAATGCCGTCCGCTCGGCCAGCGCGGATGTCTATGTCGCCATCATCTCGCCCGTTGGCATCGGCGGCATCAGCCCCTCCCTCGAGCACCCCATCCCCCTGACAACGGGGCCCCTGCTGAGCACGGCGCGCGCCTTCGGCTCCGGGTTCCAGATCGCCGGCGGCGAGAACGAGAGCGGCTGGGTGCACGTGCTGGACCTGGCGCGCGCGTTCCTGCTGCTCGTCGACAACGCCCTCGAGGCCCTCGCCGCTGCCGGCGAGACCAGACAGCCCGCCGAGCCGGCCGGGTTCCCGCTCTGGGGCCCCAGGGCGTACTACTTTGTCCGCGCCGAGGACATCCCCTTCCACGCCCTGCAGGCCGCGCTGGTCCCGCCGCTGCACCGGCTCGGCGTCATCGCGTCGGACAAGGTCGAGAGCGTCACGCACACCCGCGCCGCGCGGACCTGCCTCGCTGGGAGTGCCGAGTTTGACCCGGACGCGCCGCTGCCGCCGCCCGACTCGTGGGTTATCCACCTTGCGACCTGGTTTGGGATCAATATGCGGGTGCGGTCTGAGCGGTTGGCGGCGCTTGGGTGGAAGCCGGTTGAGAAGAGCATCCTTGAGGACTGGGAGGTGGCTATTCGAGAGTTTCTGAGGAGGGAGGCCGCCACATAGGGTGTGTATGAGCAATAATTTATGCGTATTCAGGCTGTCCTCGGGATGTATGTAACTGGAATTTATGGTGCCTGCTGTATGGACAGGCAGTTGGATGCCTGAGGTGGGCACAAGATGCCCATCTGTGTGCAATACCGCATGTGAGTAGATGAGCCTGACACGTCGACGTCTTACACATTCATACGTTGTCACGCGATGCATTTAGCTGGCACCACCTTTTTACCATTATGTTGACTCCTCCTACCATACAAAGTCAAGAAATGGCTTTGTGAAAGCATAGGAAAATGAATTGCCACAGCGGTGTCGTTCCCAAGTCCATTGCATGACTCTCGCAGAGGTTCTTGAGGGCTTCGATCCCTCAGGAGTGTTTCTCTATATGAGCTGACTGGGGCTGAATTATATAAGCAAGCACAGCCATGCTCTTCAGGCGGGTCCAAAGTCCAGGCAGAGACCCCGCCTACCCAATCCATCATTCTTACCTTGGTGAGTTGGCGTTGATATCTTACGGCCCCGATGTCCACCCATCACACATCCGGGGTGGAATGCCAACCACAGCCTATTTTGGGTGTCAATCATAATGAGGAATTATTGACAATCAGTCTACCGGATGACTGGCGGGCGGATTCGCCACTGGACCAGCAGGACTGGTGTCCGACGTGTTTTTGGGATGGTTCTTGGGACAGCCTTCTCCTACGATCAAAACAGCGGGCATCGGCGGTTGACAGGCTGAACCGGGCCAGTCTTCGAGCTTCTGCGTCAGAAAACAGACTATGCTGCGCTGTACTCCTTGGTCTTTTGTCTCATGCTGACGGCGGTGGCCACGAGCGCATTCAGCTCAGCGACGATGTCGACTCATGGGTCCGCCTCGATGACTGCGAAGGTTGGGGAGCTCATACCGACATGGGTCATCTCTTCAAATTATTTGCGAGCACTTCAAGGACACCGCCCCCGGGAGTTCCTGTCTTTGCCCCAGATGACCCACCTCCTACGGACACTGGTTCGTCTAGGAGCTTTGCTTGGGCGACAGATCAGATCGAACATTGTTTCATCGACCACCTTGAGTGTCGGTTGCCAGAAGGAGAATCCTCTGATTTCACACCGTCCAGACTTCTATATGTTCCCCCCGACCCTCGAGATCCACTGTGCTTGCGACTCCGGTCTGACATTCCAGAACGGACCAAGTACGCAGCTCTGAGTTACTGCTGGGGAAAATATGAGACATGGCCACTCTGTCGTACCACCCGTGAGAACCTTTTCAATCATTTGGGTGGGATCCGCCCGGAGGAATTACCTCTGGCCCTTTCGGATGCGGTGGTTGCCACCCGGCGGCTAGGCCTGGAGTATCTGTGGATCGACTCCTTGTGTATCATACAGGATGACGAAAAGGACTGGCAGATTAAGTCTTTGCAGATGGCCACGGTGTACACCCACGCCTATGTCACACTTTTCGCGGCTCATGCCGCAAATACCGACACGGGAATATTCTGCCATCGCGAGAAGGAAAGCCTAACGCACATCCTCACCATCAGATTTCGCGGCGAGAGTTACCCTATATGGGCCTTCCATGTCCCCCAAGAGAGCGGGAGGATCGAGCCCAGGCTGCTGGCAGATATCTGGCGGGGATCTTTAGAAAGGAGTCTGGAGTACCCAATATTCAATAGAGCATGGGCATTCCAGGAAAGGCTGGCCTCGAGGCGGGTGCTGTTTTTCGGCAAGGAAGAGCTCATCATGGAATGCGCGTCCGGGTGTGTGTTTGAGGAGAGCATTTATCGGATGCAGCCGCCTCGACTGAGCGATAAGACGCTCAAGGAAGCCTACGCAGACGGGATGACCTCCTCGCGCAAGACATGGTGGGAAATCGTCTTCACGTACAGCCACCTCAAGCTCACAGTCCCCACCGACAGGCTTTCAGCAATTGCTGCTGTTGCGCAGCGCCTCGCCCAGCACAACCCAACAGACGAATATCTCTGTGGGCTGTGGCGAAAATCATTCCTCAGCGATCTGTTGTGGGAACGGGTCTTGAATAATCTCGATAGAGGTATTGCCCCTATTATTGTCGCAAGGTGGGGTCCTGAATCCTACGTCCTACCCTACGTTGCGCCGTCGTGGTCGTGGATTTCCTTTCGAAGCAAAGCAAGGAACATCTCACACATCATAGAGCCTCTTAGCACGGTTCTCGACATCCATCTTGATTACAGGGATCACAGCAAGTTTGGTCGCGTCTCTGGTGGTTTTGCGAAGATACAGGGTCCGGTGGTCGACCTTAATTGGCAAGTGCGAGCCCATTGGTACTATTCTCAATTTATCGACAGTGAGCAGGAAATGACTTTGGCCGACAATCCTGATCAAAAAGCCGCCTTCTCAGTTGACTACGACTTCTACAGCGGTGTGCGGGCACCAAGCCCTGGATGGAGAGTTCGAGTCCGCTGCTTACTGATCGGTTTCGATGAGGATGGCTCGATTGGGGCTGTCATTTTGTTCCGTATCGGGCAGACCGATCGTTACTGGCGCCTGGGTATCGTACATGGCAGTCTGACTTTGACCGATCGCGATAGCATCGACTGGAGAGCAGTTCTTGATCTGCACAGTCGTATCGAGACCTGTATCATTCAATGATCATTGTTGATCGCCCTTCTTCATTGCAGGGCGTCCCCAAGAGTGACCGGTCTTCTAGAGGGCTACTAGAAGTGATCTTTCAATTGTGGCTTGAGGTTCCAGCATGACAAGTAGGAATCATTCCAGATGAAAACTAACACAGAGGCGCAGGTTCCCTCTTCACTAAACTGCTTAAGAGCATCTTCGCGGCGCATATTGACTCTTCCATCATTCTTCTCTGAATAGCCACGCCACAAATTGCGCCTCATTGAGATCCTTCGGGACCATGCTCTTCTCTGTGATCCATTTTGTAGAGTATAAGCCATAACTCATGTGGTCAGTTGGCTTCAACGAAAGCCATTTCACCCACCGAGTTGCGGAACTGTCCTCACCATCACAACAGACCCTTGCCTTGTACGCTTTCTCTGCAAACCTACTCGCCCGAGCCTGATCTCCATGAGCGATACAGATCTGAAAAGCGTCGTAATAGAGACTGCAGCTACGCGCGTCACCGTGCCCATCGAATTCCTTGTCCACAGCTTGAAGTAGAGTGTGACAGTCTCTGAGACTCTGCGCCGGCTTGGTCCTTTGGCGGAAAAGATCGCAAATAGCACTATCTAGCTGCCGAAATAGAACGCGGCGATCGTCGCTGGCCTGAAGCTCAGCAGGGGGTAGTGTGCATGTCTTGCAGTCGCATTCGAAACCATAATTCTTTCTGAGGAAGGCTCGTCGGACTTTCGATGGACCTCCATGGTCATACTGGATCGTGATTTCTTCGCCGGCCTTGATTGGTCTGATTGCGTGGATGGTCTCGTGTTTCTCATTGTCGTTCCAGTTGTGATGAGAGTTTGGAAGGCAGCTATGGTTGATGAGACAGATCGAAGCGTACACTCCGCTCGTGGAAGAACCTGGCCCACAAGGCAGAGCATTCGTCTTGAATATGCTGGTGAGGGTATATTTGCCTGGGAAGTTATTGTGAAGAGAGAGGATTTGTCGTTGCTCAATCTTGGCCATGGTTTTGAACTTTCTAGCTAGGATTGGCTCCGATACCAGAGGTGACATGGATTCCACTGTGAGAAGCGGCTTCTCATAGAGAATCCGAGTGCCTTTAGATATTTCGATACGGGCGAACAGCCCTTTTCCCTTTCCAGGAATGTCCTTGACTTCGAACAGGGGTAAATTGCGCTCTCTCTCCGGATCATCGCCTACGGGACAATCAGCGATGCTCATGGGAATCTCGCTCCCATCCGGCTGTGAAGGAGAAAATTAGAACAGGAAAACAACTAGTGTGAAAGACAAATAATTTCTATACATACCTTCTCGTAGGATCTGAGCGATTCGTTGACCTCATTCCAATCGTAATAGCCCCACTCGTCGAAAGCCTCACTCCAGAATTGAATTCGAGAGCCAAACCTGTCTTTTGCGAGACGTGCAACACCCTTGATATAAGCCTCGACGCGAGACTCTATCGCAATTTGACCAGAGATCTTGGCGCTAAAACGAAGGAACTTGTGGCCCTCAAGAGGCAGCATTGGGTGTTCGCCTGCTTTGAAGAGGATATAGTTGGACTTAATCTCGAGTTGGTCATCTTCAAAGTAGCACATTTTAATGAGGTCGATGAAGCGACTCCAGACCAGTTTATCAGCGACGTCTCGCGAAAGGCGAGGAACCATGTCGAAGCCTGCATCAATGCCCATTATTTAATGCTGAGATGAAATCAGGAGAAATGAGGTGTGGTGATGAAAGGAAACAAAAGAAAAAGACATTCTGAGACGAAGGAAATTTTCTCGATCTTCTTAAGTCTGCCGATGTGTAACCATCCTGAAGTCCTTCCGTTGGCTTTTCAGTAGGCCTCCTGCATCATGTTGCCATGCCACTTCATCACACTTCTGCGCTAGCCTGAAATAGAGCCTCCCTACCCTGTGGACAATATCATCTCGCAGGGCAGGACGATAGAGGTGATATCGTTGGATCATGATCGACATCTTGCTTTTCAGCGGGATGAGTCGACGACGATGAATGTCAGTTGATTATTCTCGAGAATGAAAGGGCTCAAATCAGGCACTAAGGCAGTAAATCATTAAATCAATCAACAAGCTGTACTCAGTAAAAAACGGCACATTGAGACAATTCGTGTATATGTATTATTTGCGACGCGGTCCGCGCTGCTGCCTTCGTGATTGGCCATGTCTACAGTGCCGCACTGGCAGCATCAGGTCCAGAGCGGCACCTAGTTAGCAAGCCTCGCAGAACCTTTCCCGACTGCTAGGTAATAATCAGGTAGTTTTACATACTATATATCCTAGTTGAGGAGGTCCTGACCAATCACAGCAGGTATATAAATCAAGGAACTGGTTGTTGGGTGGCGCAGCTATGTGGCCATAACTCACCCACGTAGCGAGATTCCTCTAGGGACACTCCTTGACCCCGCCATTCGCACTTCTGAGACTACTCTTCTTTGCAAATTACAGCTCAGCGCTCCTCCTTTCCGTCGCCAAGCTTGCTTGAATTGGGACTCCGATTGCTGCACTATCGCAGTTGGCGCGCCATGTCTTCACTCTGGGCGCAGTTTTGGGCAGCCAGGCACCCTCCCGCAGATCCTGTCCATCTTTCGTATAAGGACAAAGCCGTATTGGTCACAGGTACGTATTCTGGCGCAAGTATTGCACTTGTCTCCACGTCCCGTCAGGTCGATGCTGATGGCGCTCAGGTGCAAACTCTGGCTTGGGCCATGAAGCAGCTGTGAAATACGCTGCTTTGGGCGCCAACCCTCTCATACTTGTTGTGCGAACTCAGGAAAAGGGCGAACAGGCGCAGGCGGATATCTTTCGTCGCACGAAGTGCTCTCCCGAAATTTTCATCATCGAGACCGTGGACTTTGCCGAATTCGCATCGGTCAAAGCCCTGGGCGACCGTCTCGCAGCACACCCTCGAGTGCAACAGCTCCACGTTGCCCAGCTTGCCGCAGGTGTTGCCCAATGGCAGTATGAAATTAGCCCCGAGGGCTACGAGGTGACTTTGGCGGTGAATGTGCTCTCACAAGCACTTCTTGCCATTCTTCTGCAGCCGAGGATGCGCGCAGCTGCAACAACGGCCACTCCTGATGGGTTCGTGCCTCACCTGTCGTTCTTGCATAGCATCGCCGGGTTTGAGGTTACGGCAGACTGGCTTCCAGCTTGGCAGTCAATAATTCAGCACTTAAACGATCGAGGGAAATGGGACCCTACTAAACAGTACTTCCTCGCCAAATTCGCGCTCTGGGGCGTGATAGAAGGTCTGATCGAGCGATACCATGAAGATGAAGCATGCCGCAACATCGTTATCAATGCTTCATGCCCCTCGGGCTGCAAGACAAACATGGGCCGCAATTTTCCCTCCTTTGTGAAGCCTATACTGGCATTGCAACATTTCATCTGTGGTCGGACAGCTGAACAAGGGGCTCGCTCTCTCGTCGGTGCCACAGCACTGGGTTCTGAGAGCAATGGTAAACTCTGGAGAAACGACAAGCTTTACCCGTAAGCAACCTTTACTTTCCAGTAGCCCGTTCGTGGACGTCTACTGACAACTTGAACACCACTTATATAGACCCTCAGACTTTATGCAAAACTCCCGCGGTCGAGAGATCCTGCAGGATACTTGGAAGGAAGCGCTGGAAATTCTTCAACAGCGTAATTTGGTTTGATTTTGAAGCTAGAAACTACAATGAAAGCTACCCTGGCCAAAGCTGTCCGTGCAAGTGATTAGTTGCAAGTACAGTGGTTGTCGAGAATACTGGCACATTGCCAAATCGATCTCTCCGTGTCTTTTGGGGGTTGTTACCTCGCTTCGCTGAGCACCCAAGCTGTCCGGGCATCTCGGGCCTCATCGATTAAAGTGTCCATGGGTAATGTTTAGACAGGACACAGATTAGGACCACAATGGAAACATTTCGTAGTTACTTAAGTAGGCAGAGGTGCAACCATGTACTACTCAAGTAATTCTTGATGAATGATTTCAGTAACAATGAAGTTCTGAGTGAAACATTTGTAAATAATTCACGTTTAAACTATCTGTCTCATCAGTAGATAGAATACGTGTATGAATTGAAGGAGGGATAAAAAAGACTATTGTTCGAGGAACTTTGAAGGGACCACACAAAGCCTCGTATATGGAACTCAGAACAAGATCACCTCATTTTTAGTATAGACGTTAGTACATTCAGTATAATAACATAAAGTCATTCGGATATTATGTAACTACAATGTACTTCTTAACAGCCCAACACTAACCAGGTAGCTCAGACATTCTTCGCACCGAATTTGCATGAAGCATGGATGGCGAAGCCATGTGATCTCCCGCCATCTCGGACTTCTTTTCAATCTGAACATTTGCTTCTTGATTCGTTGTTGAGTCTCCTCTGCGGCTTTTCCTCCGTCGCATCCACAACCAGTATGCCGCTGCACATAGAGCAAGTCCCGCAACAGGTCCCACTACCGCCCCGGCAATCCAGGCCTTACTCTCGGTCCCACTGGAAGTAGCCAGCGGACTATTTGTAGGGCTAGACGAGAAGGCAGGCGATGAGTAAGGCGGTGCTGTGTCTGAAGAAAATGTGGTCGCAGTGGCACTCGCGGTAGTATCTAATTTACGTGTCGGAAATATATTAGCGACTTTTAATCGGAGTTCCGGCGAGACGCGTGGGGTCTAATGCTTACAGATTGTGGTTTCTATGGTGGCTCCTGCCGGCAAAGTCCTATATAAAGTCCTGGCGCTCCACCCTTCCGCCATTCGACAGTCATAATTCGTGGCTGTTGGGCCAACATAGGAAAGCTGCTCGAAAATGGTCATGGCGACGCACCCATAGCCCGAGTTACTATTCAAGGACCAGGGTAAGCAGTGCTGTGTATATTTCTTCGTTGAAAGTACTGAAATTCCCAATCAGTTGCGCTTACCATGTCAGGATGTCGCCATTGCCATCTGGCAAGAACAAGGTATTCGACGAGCAATCCGTGGGAAGTACGCAACTGCCTGTTAGTGAGGTCACACATTCACCCGCGATAGTCCCAGATGTCGTCCATTCAGTATCCGCCATCATCCTCTCAGCTTTGGAGCTCCTCGTTAGCAACAAGATACATTGTAATTGAATGTTTCTCGATACATGCTGGTGTCTGGTTGTATAAACCAGCCCATGAAGCGGTCGTCAGACGACGACTGGGCAGCCACAGCCATGGGCCAAGAAAAAGCGAACGATAGAATAATATGGTGTTTTATTCTCGTAAGTTCATTTAGCCGACTCCACCGGAAGGTCTCGCTCTCGCAGGGGATCACACAGCTTGCCTGCGATCAGGACACGGTGAAAGAGACGAGAAGCACGAAAGGACAGTATTTGGGGGCCTAGCTAATATAGGGAGCTGAAAAAGTACCTGGAGGGGAAATCTGCAGCCACCTCGGTTACGCGATGTTATACGGCAGAGGCACATCTTCTCGCAACATGGAAAGTCACGTCGCACCCGGCTACTTATGCTGAGACCGCCCCCACGAGGATTCGCGGCTCTACAAGGCAAGATTGCATCTACAATCTCTGAGTCCGAGGCCGATTGGCCCCTGCCAGCGATTCAGAAGAGGCCACTGAAGACATGGGTAATACCAGCATATTGCGTGGGTGCAACGACCTAGGATGTCAGACTCAGAGCTATCCTGATAGGAGCTCCGGAGCTGAGGCTGGCAACTATCAAATGCAGCAATGGACACTTTTCACTCCTTTCGATTCTTATTGGTAGAATCGGTTTGAGATTTCATTTTGAAGGATTATGTGCAACTACGCTGAATATTACCCAGGCCCATTCCAACTCCTTATCGTGATCACAAGTACCGAAGAATTCACATTTAGCAGGACAAGGATATCTCAATGACGCTATCGCAAGGCCTCCCCCCCCCATATCTGACTAACTTTTGGCGGTGGGATCTTATCAAAGCTGAATCTCAAGGGCTTCATTACTCTATGAAGGGGCCACTCATTGCTTGGTACTTAAGTAGGCCTACACATCCCCAGGGACAGATGAGACCACTTACACATAAGGCTACGTATTCTCCTTATACACTCAGACTGCTTCTCCTTGCGAATTCAACATTCCCCTCAGCTGAACACCTGGTGAGAAAGCCATGGTATAGACTGCTGACACCAATGTTTGCTAATAGTCTCCTCTGTTTACTGAATCAAATGCAGTGATACACACACTCGGGATTGAATATCACTGTTACTATTTTCCTATACTAGGTCTTGTGAGTCACTTGGAAATGATTCCGTCCATCAGCTACTCGAAGAATGCAATACTTCTGCACTTAATACTCTCCCTTACATTAACATTAGGAAAGCTCTTATCCCAGAACGCCGTGTGCGGCATGCGCTATCTAACGCTTTAGTTGCTGTTTTGGAACTTAAGTGAAAGCGCCGCGTTACGTCTTATCACTGAAAATACTACCACTAATAACTAAAGCTATACTCCGTGCTCTGGAAGAAGCACCATTGCGTACTACGTCGATAATCAGAACCACGTTGACCACCTGCAGAGTACTATTTTGAATGCCCCTCTGCCTGAGCTGCTGCACATGCGATTTCGCGCATGCATTTTTTTTTAGGTAGTCGAATCTCGAAATCAAACCCGCATTGTCTAGTCTCAATCAAAAGAATAGTCTGGGCTTGGCTATGGTCAATGCGAGCGAAGCGCGCGTGCACTGTTCACGATCGTCGAAGACTCCATCAGATAGACAGCCAGATTGCCGACAAGGCTACGTTAGTACTATGGAGTCGGGGTCGGCGAGCGATCACACTTCCCCCCAAAAAACCCACAGATAACTCTAGCGAATGGTGATGATCGCACTCCATCGCGAATCCACAACGCAAAGCGAGGTTCCCACATAAAGTCACAGCACTGGAAGGGTCGAGATTCAAAATGATCAAGTCGGACTTCGGCGAGTCCACATGAATAGTAAATAATTCCCTAAGGTATATACACTAGAATTTAAGGTCTATGCAAGCATTGCCGTGATTTTTTGTTTTCCACCCAATCGCCTCAATAAAGAAAGGACGTGGGGCTCTTATTTGAGCTTTGGGGGGGGGGGGGGTTGTCCTGGGGTATCTTGAAAGGAGTGAAACCAGGATTGCTCATGTTGTATGTGAAGAATTGAAGACGCGCGTAGATCAAAGAAGATCCGGTTGATTTTCCCAGATTCACCACCCTCCCTGTTGACGCCCCAAGAATACAAATAGTTTTTTCCGAGACCCCCGTATTGTGGGTCTGGAAACCTTGGATATCATGCCAAATGCCTCGTGTGATGAGTTTGGAAAGGAAATTCGTCAAACCTCCCCATCCCCGGCAGGACGGCGGATGGGAGGCCGGGGTCATCAGGCTGGAGACCAACAGCAAGCAGATGTCTGCTGAAAGGGGCGGGATCAAGAGGCCCAGTTCCAGGAGATCTCGATGCGGCCGTCGGCGAGGTCGCCAAGCTCCTCGAACAGCTTCTGCGACACGTCGATGCTGCCCTTCACGCAGCTGGGGCACTTGTCGCGGACGACACCAGTCGAGGTCTTGCCGTTGGCGCTGTTGTAGATCTTGATGCTCTTGCCGCACATGGGGTTGCCGTTGGACTGCGAGCCCATGACCGCGGACGACATGGCGACGATGTTCTCGCTCATGTCCTTGCCGCTGTCGTCCTCACCGCAGGCACCGAGCCCCACCGCGTAGTATGTCAGATCGCCGGACAGGAAGCCGGAACCCAGGACGGAGGCGGCGTTGGTGTTTGTGCTGACAGTGCTGCCGGTGTCGGCAGATGCGGCTGGGGTCTGCACGGCCGCGACGGAGGGGGCAGCGGAACTCTCAACCTGAGCAGCTGCCGGGGCGGGGGACTCCACGGGCGCGACGGTGGGCTGGGGAGCGACGTAGACTGACGTGGAGCTGCTGCTGGTGGTGGGCTCGGGAGCAGGTGCAACAACTGCTGCAGCCGAGCTGGGGGTCTCAACGGCAGGTGGCGGGGCAACAACCTGCTGGGGAGTGCTGGAGGGAGTAGCCGAGGAGCCCTCGAAGAACTCGCCGCCGTCCGATGATGTGACGGTGGCCAGGGTGGTCGACGGAGTGCTTGCGCTGTGTGTAGGGCTGATCCACTCGGTGGTGGTGTCGTCGATGAGCTCTGTCACGGTCTCAGTGACCCAGACGGTGTCCCACTCGGTGACGAGGTCGCGCTTGTGGTGGTGCTGGTGGGCAGCGCGTGCCGGGTGTTGGTGCTGGTGGTGGCCATGAGGCTGGGCAATGGCCGTCGAGGCCAGAGCGATGATGAGGGATGCTGTCGTTGACTTCATGATGAACGATTCTATGCAAATAGCGTTGGATGCGCTTCAGATGCCCCTTGCTGACAAGTTGAATGAAGGTGATAGGTGGATGAGCCGAAAAGGGTAGGCTGGCTACACTGGAATGTGTCTCTGGTGTGGGTGGTCTTTGTCTTGGAACCTGGATGTTTTCGGGTCAAGCCACTGGTTGGAATTGTCCGCTTTCCGTTGCCAAAGTGTGGTTGGTAGGACCGTGGATGATGAGAATTGTCTTTCTCGTCAAAAGTGACCGTGAGCACTGCTCGATGGAATGAATGAATGAATGAAGGGCAAAGCCTCGGGAGCAAGTGGGTAGCAAACAGACGTTGCGAGTGTGGTGAAGGGCTAGAAAGGAGACACACTGGAAGGGAAGCAAGGGGGGAATGTATTTATGAATGACCATGTCCACCATCGGGGCTGAGGTCCCAGACCGGGGTCGTCGGCCAGGGGAGGGGAAACAGAAAGAGACGAAGGCCCCACAACAGCGACCAAGAACAGGAACAGGAACTGAACGTTGCATGTGCTAGGGAAAGGAATGCCATTCCACATGGCAAGCGGGCCCCACATCAATAATCAAAGAAGGGCTTAGACAGGTACGGAATACCTTGGTCTGTTTCTTTCTCTCTGGGCCCAGAAATATCCCGTAATCCCGCGGCGGCCAGCAATTGGACAGGCCACACCTTGAAACAAAAAAACAGACGAACGGACGGTCAACGCACTCGTCAGTGTCAGGGGCAGAAAAAGGTTGAACGGACTCCCGACAAGGGGTAATGCCGTTGCGAGACTCCTGTCACTGTCAGAACTGGCCATTGAGGACGTGTCATTGGATCCTGGGCACAGCTGTGATCAGCCCGGCTCATCCTTCCACCTGCAAGGTACAGGGTCAGATCCCTGCGGATGTTCAGGCACAAGTAACCCAAGCGTCGTATTTTTTACGTGCTCCCTCTGACTCTGCCAAATTGGGGCAAAGTGGCGGCAGGGGGAAACTGGGGAATCACAACAGCAGCTCGGACACCCAGTCCTGCTCATCAGCCATTTAGTATTCTCCGTTGGCCAGGGCAATTACCGCCTTGGCTTTCTTCTCTATTTTGCCCTTGTCCCTGAGCAGCCTGGCTTAGTTGTTTCCCCGTTCCGAATATTGGCCCGGAGTGCATGGTACAGTAGTCGCACTCTGCGAATATGCTGAGCCCCAGTGAGGGAGTGATCGTCGATGATCTGGATGGGTCCCTGGTCCTAGGCCCACGCGCAGCCCGCCCCTCCTCGATCAACAAAGTTGGAATCAGAGTTGTAGTAAGGTGAGATCGTTTTTTGCGGGAATTTGCTGGCCCATGCAGCCCGTGGAGACACCGCGGAGGCCTCGGCCTGGCTGGACTCACGGCACATCTGCATATTTGCGTCATGAAGGCGACAGATGCCATGATGTCTTGTCAAGAGGGGAAGGGCAAGGCAACTCAGGCCTTCTCGCAGACGTTGGGGATCCAGAACAACGGGACTGCTCCATCTTGCTTTGGCACAGCAACAAGTTTCTCGGCCCGTTGGTGGCACCGTCTTGTTCGCATGGTAGCTGTCTTCTTTGCTGATTGGCGAGAACTTTGAATTCTGCCCCTATGAGGCTGCATGCGAGGGAAACATTTTTGTTGGCGCTGAGCTGAGGCGTGAGAAAGCTGACAAGACAGGGAGGGTGTGGTAAGCGTCCTTGGTTGCCGCTCTGCTGATGACTGCCGCAGGCGCCAGCAGTGGCGTGCCGAGGTGGAGGGGAAGCAAATCTGGACCTCAAACTCTGATTTCTATTACCTCTTCGCTATGCACGGTCTATAATGGTTGAATGCCACCCAGACAAGCACGACAAGTCACACAACAGAGTCATCTTCCTGCAGCTAGATCGTCGGAGATGCATCCGAGGGGCCCTTCCCGCCAGCCCAGCCTGGCCGTCCTGCAGCAGGCAAGACAGCCAGCAAAGCGATGCCGCCGCTGGGGCCCGTGAGGCTTTTTCTTCTCTCTTGGGCTCCATTCATGAGAAGGATGCTCTCATCGTGATAGAAGACTGTCGAAACTCTGCTGTAAAAAAAAAAACATCAAAAATCTTGCAGGTTATTTGGCCTCCTGCGGGGTTACGCTCGATCTAACATGGCGCTTGGTCAACCGGACTGCGGCAGTACCAGTCTTGGGAAAGCTGCAGGTGTTGGCAGCCGGGGCCTTTGTGAGTATCTGGGCTAATTATCAAGCAATCCGGCCGGCCACTAGGTCAGCTGCATTAACCGGTCCGCGCCAGGTCTGGCTCCCCGGTTGCACCTCATGATGTTGGGGCTTGATTCTTGCTGGTGAAGGTGTACAGGAAAAGGCCTTGCCTGCTGAAAACGGGGCGCTCGTCATCTGCAATCTCGGTCACGACAAAGGACTTTTTGGCGGTTTTCAGGAACTGCATGTCGGCGCGCCGCCTCTTCATGAAACAGAAGTAGACGGTAGCGGAGGGACAAAGCGCCAGGAGGTCCTTGAGCGTCTGCAGGAGGAGCGGGAAAGCGGGCTCGTAGTAGACGCAGTCGGCGGCCAGGATCACGTCTGGTTTGAAGCTTACAGTTTCCGACGGCAATGGCTCGCCCCTGTAGTTTTCCAGAGAGTTAGAAGATGGTGGTAGCCAGCGGCACGGCACTGCACTGCAGCCGCACATCGCACGGGATGGCTGGGGACGGACACGATAGGGCAGAGGAATGTGACATTGCAGGTTGCCAGTGTGGCCGATAGACAGGAAGTCTCGGGTATCTGCTTGGGAGCGGGGGGGGGTATACACGTGTAGAACAGGCAGAGGGATGGATGGTCTACGATTTGCCAACAGGACATGCACGCACCAGTTGAGGATCATGGGCTTGACACGGCCTTGTGCGTTGTTGAGGAGGACGTTGTGGCCCATCAGACTCAACATCTCCAACTGGTCGGTAATATGCAGAGGCTGGCTGAGGCTGCACCCATTTGCTACTGCCAAGCCGACGAGACCTCCACCTGCTCCAATCTCCAATCTGTTGCACCGTTTGTTGTCAGCTTCTACTGTCTCCTCTTTTTTTCTCTTGTCATGTCTTGTCTTTTCTCTCTTGCATTACACCTGGCCCTCTCTCATACACACCCTGCACGACACGGCACGACAAGGCGCGACGGCATGGCACAGCACAGCATGACACAACAGAATGCAATGTAGGTCAAGGTAAGGCAGGGCAAGACAGGGCAGGGCAGGGCAGGTGAGGCAAGGTGAGGCAAGGTGCGGCGAGACTCACACGCGCGCATCTCGGAGCTTGTCCCGGTGGTATCGCAGCATATGCCTAGCCAACATCATTCCCGCCGGCCACGTTTGGCCTCCGCACCCTGAGGCAAGGTCTTCGTGGACCTTCAATGGCGTCGAAAGTAGGCCACCGAAGTCTAATGCAGTGTCGCTGGCTTGTTTGTACTCGGGGAGGGGCGCAAAGTCGATGCCAATGGTGGAGGGGTCCAGCTCTGGCGAGGACGAGCGAGACAGCTTCATCGTGGAGGGGCGGGCAATGCCAGGTGCAAGATGCACGGGTTGAGGGGTGAAGGTTGGGGACTGAAGGCTTAGACTTGAGAGAGATGAGAGATGAGTGATGAGTCGAGCTGTAAAGGGAACTAAGGGTGAGGGTGAGGGTAGAAAAAAAAGACAGTGAGGATGTGGCAGGGCGGTGAAGGGACGCAATTGACGCGATGCTGATGTTGCTGCTGTCTGTGGTGGCGATAAGCTCAAATGGGTCTGGGCTGGGCCGGGCTGGGCTCAATGATGAGTTGTTTCGATACACGATACGCCCACGATTACCAAGGGTGGTTTCTCAGAGCAGAAGCCGGCCCAGCAGCGGCTGGTCGGCGCTTCATGACGCCGCGCCGATGTCGTTGGCGCCATCGTGAGTCGCGGTGGTCGCGCCTCCCCAGAAATCCCAAGCAAACCTACCTACCTCCAAACCTAACTACATAGGCAAGTAAGGTGCAGCAGGCAACAGGCAGCTGCCGTCGACCGAGTCATCAATCACATCATCGTTTCGTTGTTACGGTTCTCTTCCGTTTTTGTACCGGTGATGGGCCTCAATCTTGACTTTTCTGAACGGGAACCGTGCCTCGCACTCTCCCTCACTCTCGCCTCCCGATTTGAAGAGTACAGCTGATTAACATTGGCATCCACACAACTCAAATGACACCACCCAGTCGACCAAATCATCCATGATAGATGGATGATGGTGGGCAAAGGTACAGAGAACCACTTCTTCACCACACCAGCCCAGGCGCACCGAGGGAGCAAGGCAGCCGCTCCATGTCTCGCTTGTCTCGCGCCCCTCCGAAGCCTCCCTCCCTCACTCGACCCTCGACTGGAATGTTGACTCAACTACAGCCTCCTAGTCCCGACCTCCTGGCCTGGCCACCCATTGCCACGCAAGGCAACGCATGATCTTGTCGTCTACCCATCCATCCATTCAAACCGAGGGGTGGCCGACAAGATGCCCTCAAGGGGTTGGATCTCTGATGGCCCTAATGCCCTCAAGGGATGAGGCTCCTGAGCTTCGACATGTCTTCGGCCATGTCTTCGATCATGTCTCCTGGTAGGCCATGACTCTGTGCCATCCTTCTCTTCCATGGTCTTTCTCCATCCGCCTTCTGGATCCTGTCGTCGCCTCACCTGCTGTCTGTGGCCTCATGAAATCGGGCACTCAACACCCGTTTTGACACCAGACAATGCTTCAACCCTGGAGGACCATCCTCCTCCTTCTCGCCTCAATCAGCGCTGCACTGGTCGAGGCTGTGCCTACCATCTCCTTCCCCATCAACTCCCAGGTGCCGCCTGTCGCGAGGATATCGCAGCCATTCTCATACGTCTTCCCCTCATCGACCTTCACGTCGTCCTCCGGATCGCCGCTGTACTATTCCCTGAGGAACCCCCCGTCCTGGCTCTCCATCGACAGCGACCACCGCAGACTGTACGGAACACCCCAGGATGCCGACATCGCACCCGGCACAGTGGTCGGGGTTCCCATCGCCCTGGTAGCGAACGACTCGACTGGCTCAACGTCTCTTGCGGCGACTCTGGTTGTTTCTCGCGATCCTGGACCCGCCGTCCAGGTGCCAGTCTCTGAGCAGATACGGAGTTTTGGCGCCTACTCTGAGCCATCATCCATCCTGCTGTATCCAGACAGAGATTTCATTTTCGCCTTTGCCCCGAATACCTTCACCGACACACAAGTCCCAATTCTCAACTACTACGCTGTCACTACGGACAACAGCCCACTGCCAGCCTGGGTCTCCTTCGACGAGGGCACATTGGCTTTTTCCGGAACGACGCCGCCATTCGCCTCTCTAATAGAGCCTCCACAGACCTTTTCTCTGAAACTCGTTGCGTCGGATGTCACAGGCTTCTCTGCAGCCTCGATCGCCTTCTCCATCGTGGTCGGAAGCCACGCCTTGACAGCCACCCAGCCGAGCATCACGCTAAATGCCACCGTTGGAACACCTCTTGCGTATACAGGGCTGGTTGGCAACGTAAAAATCGATGGCCAGCCCGCAGCCATTACCGATGTCCCCAGGGCCACGCCGGAGAATCTGCCGTCATGGCTGGCATTCGATCCTGATTCGTGGGCGATCGCTGGCACACCCCCAGATACGGCACAATCAACTTCATTTTCGGTCATCATGGAAGACGACTTTTCGGACAGATTAAACATTACTTTTGACGTTGAACTTGCAACAAGCGGTAGTCTTTTCCAGGGCGTCTTTCCGGCCATGAGCCTCAAGGCCGGTGACCGCTTGTCATTTGACCTAAAGCCATTTTTGCTCAACCCTTCTGACTCTGTGATCACGGTCGACGTCCAACCATTGACTTCATGGATCGAGTTCGATGCATCGAACTTGGTCTTGTCAGGGGACGTGCCGACTTCGGCGCCGAGTTCTGTCATAGAAGTCGTCTTTAACGTCAAGGCAGAGGCTCGTCGGCTAAAGAGAGACGAGACGTCACAGTCACAGAAACTCACTATTCAGATCTCTTCTAACGCGCAGTCGACATCATCCACCAGCCCAGAGTCTTCGACCGGCACCGCTTCATCAACCGCCACATCGAAGGGCTCCGCTGCGCCTGGGGACCAGCCCACACACAATGCGACCACAAATGTGGTCCTGGTCGCGATCCTCGTTCCCCTCATCTTGGGACTCCTTTTTGCTATATGCTTCTGCTTCTGCTGCTACCGTCGACGTCAGAGACGCCTTTCGCGCACTCCTCTGGAAGGGAAGGAAAGTTGCGGTCCAGAGCCCACCAATTATATACATACTCAAGGCTTTGACCCTGAGGCGGCGCCTCTGGATGTGAGTGAACAGCAATCGGTGGGACTCACCAAGTCTCCAGTCGAGAAATCCAAACCTCGAAAACCTAGCAACCTCCGATCCGAATACACCGGCTCCCCTATTCCCGAGGCTCCAGCTCCAGCCCTGCCGATTATCGTTCATGATGCGCCTACTCATGATCCATTACCAGGCAAATATCGAGAATTGATGGCACCACTGCGCAACTTCCGCATCCCTCGCTTGAAACGCGGGAATACTCGGACCTCGACGGATTCCTTCGACGAAGACGATGGCCGTGGCTTCAGCTTGGATCATCCGCCTTCCATCACCCTGCGTCAAAGTCGTCAGAACTCTTTTCGTAGCGAAGTAGAAGTCAGCATCCCTTCCCTCGACTCGGAGCATAGTCCTCTGCAAACGCCAGACGCGGCCTATACTGGGTCTACAACACAGCTTGCTCGGGACGGTGGTCAAAATTATCCCTTTCCCGCCACTCCAATGAACCGTCATCCTCCACCGCGAAACCCTGCGAGGGTACATAGTGAACCTAGTAGACGGAACCGAGACATCACGCCTATTGATCAATCAGAGATCATTATCGAAAAGACCCGTCCAGCCGCGGATGAGCCCACGATTCGAGAACACCCCGCACTTCGGCACGCCAAGTCCCAGAAGTCCTTCCTCAGCTTCTCTTCGGTTGACACATTCAGAGGAACCCGTCGACTCGCTGGCAAAGCCACAGCATCGGCTAAAGGTGCAGCAAGTCTTGCTAGTGCCGCGGTACAACGCAAGACTCTGAAGGCTTGGGGTAAAGTGCGGCTCCATGTTCAGGACTCACCGCACGCGAGGCAGGGCATATTCGACAATGTGATACCCAGCAGGGGCGACTTCCGTAGATCTGGCCACTTTGGTGGTAGTGGTGGGTATATGAGCTTGCGAGACCCTGGTGTGCCGGCGACTGTGCCCACTCCGCGGGTGGCCACGGCGCCGGTGGCACTCAACAGCGAGAGCCATAGGATGCGGCAGGCGCGGATGAATGGAAGCGTTAGCAGTAGTGGTAGTCGCAGCAGCCGGGCCATGTCTGTCGGAGCCGGTGAGAAGCGTTCGAGTCAGAGCGACCCGGGCACGGTCCGCCGACGGCGCGGCAGCGGCTCATACGACCTGCCACAGCGTCCCACTACATCACCTCGGGAGTCGTACACGGGGCTCGGGATCGCAGACTACGAGGGGCTTGTCTACAACTCGCCGTTTCACCCGTCGAGAGATAACAGAGGCAGAGGAGTAGGGAAGGCGACAACGACGTCGTGGGCTACGACGCAGCCGCGTCTGTCGCGGTCTTCCTCAATGGATCGGCCGGTGACGGCCAAGACGGCGCAGACTCTACAGAGCGTAAGCAGTGTGAGGGACTCGAGAAACTGGGTCGTGCACCAGGAGAGTCCGATGGAGAGCCCGATGGAGAGCCCGGTCATCCCGATGAGGAATCGACAGGGCAGTGATGGCGGTGGTGGTATTCGCATGGTCAGCGAATTGACGCCCTCGAGGAAACCAGTTGTGCGGTGGACAAGTGCTACCTCGCAGCAGCAGGCCGGTGGCGGCAGCGGCAATAATGAAATCAAGAGGAAGAGTGTGGCACAGTCTGGACAGTCTGGGACGAGTAGGGAATCTGAAGGGCCGCCTGCCTTTATATGAATGAAGTAATGTATAGTTGATCGAGATGATGATTTTTTATGCAGATTGCAATTGATACCAAGTAATTATGTCCTTAGTTCTGGTACTGTGACACTTGCGCATTTGTGTCCTCAATCAAAGCAACTCGCTCTGGTAGACTAATCGTGAGAGGCTAAGCAGTACTGCAGTCAAATCGGAGATGTGTTGCTGTTGTGCGGATTCAATGTTGGAATTTTCAAGTTGCAATGTCCACATACTTGGTGTACAATCACTCTCCTATCTGCTGACCACTGCACTGCATATTCGTAAGGGTTTCAAATCAACTTAATTGGCCGCGTAGCGGGCAATCCCTAGGGGTCACTTAATTACATAACCCGGCATATAACTTATAATATATACTAACTATGCTAAGCGCAGCTTAAAAATAGCCCCCCTATATAAGTGAATAAAAATAAAATAAATTTAATAAATATTCCCTTTATTTTCTATTTCTCTATTTTTTATCTTTTTATTTCCCTCTTTTTTTTTTTCTTAAAAATAAGTAAATAAGTAATTTTAAATATAGTATAAATATAGCCTATAAGTATAAATAATAAGTAAAAAAAAGGGGAAAAGCTAAAATAAATATAAGCAGGGAATATATTTCTTTTTATCCACCTATTTTTATATATATAAACATTATTATCTATTAATTACTATACTATATATTTATAAAAGTTTTAAATTAACTTAATTAACTATATAATAGGCAATCCTTAAAAATTACTTAATTACATAATTTAGTATATAACTTATAATATATACTAACTGTACTAAATATAGTTTAAAAATAGCCTAAATCCGCTAATTAAGTTTAATTAATTAAAAATAAATATAATTAATAAAATAGTATATTTATTATTAAAGTATAAAAATAGTATTAAAATAGTTTTTAAAATAGTACTAAACTATTAAACCTTTTTACTAGCTTAAAATTTTATACTCTTTTTTAAACATTTTAGCAACTATAATAGCTTTAATAGTACTTTTATAAAAGCTATATTTAAAATAGTTATAAAATAGTATACTTAAAGTAGCAATATAGCATTATATAGCTGTAATTATTATTTACTATATAAAAGTTTCTTTTAATATTATAAATAAAGAGGCCTCTAGCTTATATAAGCAAAATATAAAAAGTATTTATATATAGGTATAAGGGTAAAGAAAGCTATTAGTTTTAATAATAGAAATAATAACTTTTTTATTACTTTTATTTATTTTAAATATTAATAAAATTATTAATATATAATTAACTAAAAAATGTAATATATTTTTAAGCTATATATAAATAACTAAAGTTTTAAAAATTAATATAGCTATTAAGCTAAGTAAATTCGCTTATTTAAAAAAAAGCTATAAAAGCTAATATAAATACAGCATTAAAGTTAAATATTATATTTAACGCTTTATCTATTATAATATAATTAGTAAGTATTTAATATAAAAGCTCTAGCTTTATTAGCTTATACTTATCCTTAAAAACTTTAAAAAAAAGATTTACTATACTTTAAAATAAAAACTTAATATAATTATTATTAAATATTTTTATAAGTATATTAAAGTTAATATATTAAAAGCAAATTTTAGTAAAGTATTTTATAATTATTATATACTTAATATATTTAATAAAGTATTTACTAAATATAAAGGTAATAATAAAAACTAAAAAGGTAGCTATTATTATAAAAAAAGAGTAGTTAATTTAATATAACTAGTAAATCTTTAAATATAAGCAAATATTAGTATTATATAAGTTTTTTATTTTAAGTTTAATACTAGCCTAAATTAGCTTAGTATAGGCTTTACTAAAAGCAAAATTGCTTATTTTTACTATAAAGTTAATATTAAAAATACTAATAAAAAGCTTTACTAATTTGAATATAAGTTAGTAATTAAAAATTAATTTTAATAAGAAATAGCATTAGTAAGAGAGTTTTTATTAATAGAAATCTAAATAGTATAAACTTTAATATCTATTACTGCTATAAGGTAAAGCAAGGTTTAAAGAATAAATAAAATAATAAGCAACTATATAATACTACTAAAAAGTATAGCTTAAGTAATTTTATTATTAGTATAAATAATAAGTATATTATAAAGCTAGTAATAATACTATTTATTTAAAGCTAGTAGGATATAAAAGGTTTTTGCAATATTAATACTATTATTAAAGAAAAGGGCTTTAAGTTTTACTAGGGCAATAGCTTAATCCTAAGGAATAGGTAAGTAGAATAGCTAATCTACATCTACTAAGGATATAAATAAAAACTAAAACGCCCTATAACTTATTTTAAATACATTTATAAAAAGATAATAAATTTAATATAATATATTTTAAAATAATATTATACTATTAAAGTTTAGTAAAAGGTCTTATTATTAAAATAAGTTTATTTAAATTATTAACAGAATTACTTAATACTAATATAGCTATATAATAAATAAAGCTAAAAACTCTTATAGGGAATATAAAAAGGTTTATTTTAATTAAATAACTACTATATAAAAGCTAAAAAAGCTATTAAAGGTTTAAATATTTTATAAGGAAAAAAACTTAAGGTCTAGTATATTTTAAATATAAAATAAAGCTTTATTAATATACTTTTATAATAATTAAGCTTTTATTTATATTATATTTACTTTAATATTAAAAACTTTTATAGTAATACTTTATTAATTTTTAATAATATTAAAAATTATTTTAAAAAATTAAAATATTATTAGCTAATATTTTAAAGTTAAGTTTTTAAAAGCTAAAAAAGTATATATTAAAAAAGTAATAATAAAATTGTTTAAATAATATTTTATTAAAATATTAAAGTTAAAGTTTTATATAGTTATAAAGATTTAATAAAGGCTTTTTATAAAAAAGTTAAATAATAGTAAAGCTATATATAAGCTAAAAGGTAAGCAGTTTTTATAATAATACTACCTTTACTATATAAAGTTAAAAAATCTTTTTTAAAAATAAATAATAAAAATAAAGTAAAATATATTTATTAAATCTTATTTTATTAGCTATATATTACAGCTTATTTTCTATATTATATTAAATATATAATACAGTACTATATATTTAAAAAAGGCCTATTTTTTAAGAATATTATTATTAATTAATATATTAATTAAATAGGAAAAGTAATAAATATATTAAAAGCTACTATTTTTTTTAAAAATTAATCTTTAAAAAGAGTAAATAAATAGCTTAATAAGTTTATAAAGGAAAACTTTGTTTAAAAAAAGGTTTTTATTAAATCCTTTTTAAAAAATTAAAGGGTTATTTTAAATAAAAGTAAAATTATTTAATAAAATAAAAAAATTAAGTTTATTATTATACTTAGTTAAAGCATTAAAGTATAAGATATTGTTAATTATAGTTTTAAGATTATTAAAGTAGCCTTAAAAAGCTTTTACTTAAGCTTAAAGTATAAAAAGGCTAAGTAAATTTTATAGTAGTTTTTTATTTAATAAAAATATAAAAAATTTTATTTTATTATTTAATTATAATAGTAAAATAAAGTTTATATATAAAATAAATATTTAAAGAGCTTAGTAATAGTAAAGTTATAAAATATTTAAATAGGAATTTTTATTAATTAATAACTTAAATATTAGCTTTTTTAGTAAAAATTAAGAAAATTTAGCTACTTTTTTAAAGTTTAAATACTTATTAGCTAAATAACTATTATTATATAAAATATATTTATATAAATAGTTATAATTAGCTTTTAAGTAAGTTTAGTAGTTAAAATTATTATAAACTTTTTAAATTTATTTAATAAATTAGCTAATAAAAAAAGCGCTTTTTTTTATTAAAGCTTTATTAAAATAGTTTAACTTTATAAAAAAGTTAAACTATTTTTTTAGCTTAAAAAGTTTTATAAAAATAAGAGTTAAATAATAAAGTATAAAAATAATAATTAAATAAAATTAATACTTAACTTTTTATTAAATAAACTAGGAAAACTAAATATTTATTACTATTATAATATTATTATATTATTTATTAAAAAAGGTATTAAAAATAATATAATAGTTAGTAAATATTTTTATAAAAATGCTTTAAAACTTAAAGTTTTTAAGGAATAAGCGTTAAGTAATTATAATAATACTATTATTTATAAAAAAGATTTTTTAAAACTTAAAAGTGTTATTACTTTACTTTAAATAAATAAAATTATAAATACTAAAATAGCTTTTATAAATTTAATAAATAAACTTAAAAGAGATAGCTTTATAAAAAATTTTACTATACTTTTAAATTATAGCTATATATTTATATAAGTTATTCTTATTATTTATTAATAATTATAGTAATAGTATAAAGGTATTAAGTTAAGTATAATAGTAATTTAGCTTTATTTATTAAAGCTTAAGCTTTTTTTTATTTTAATAAAGCTTTTTAATATAAATCTTTTATTTCTTTAGCTTAAAATTAATAAGTATATTTACTATAATTACTTAACTTAAGTTAAGTTAAGAAATTATAATTTTAAATATTATTAAAGCTTTATTTTTACTATATAAGGAAAATATTTTAGGTAAAGTTAGCATTATTAATTATAAAGTTAGTTATAAAGTTAGCTATAATATTTATTATAAAGTTAATTATAAAGTTTATTATATAATTAGTTATAATATTTATTTTATAGTTAGCTGTTTAGTTAGTATATTATTAAAGGTAAGAAAAAGAGGTTAATTGGAGAAGCTATTTAAAAAGCTGTTAAAAGAGCTTGTTTTAGAGGAGCTTAATATATATACTTTATTAAAACTATTTTTTAAGCTTATTATTTTACTTATTTACTTATAAGTATTAAAAAAATAAAAAAGTATTAATAATATAAGTTATAATAATTAAAAGGATTTTTTTTTATTTATTTTTTAATAAAAATAATTAAAATAGGGTATATAATAAATATTGTTTTATATTATTTATTTAAATATATTAATTTTATTTTTTTAAAAAAGGAAAGTATAAATAAGGAATTTATATAATTTAAGTAAACTTATAGGCTTTATAAAACTATATATTAAATAAATAAAATTAATTAAATTAAATATAATAAAGTAAATAAAGAAAATATTTTTAAAAAGAGTTAATTTTAAATATAGTGTAAATATAGCCTATAAGTGTAGATAATAGGTAAGAAAAAGGGGAAAAGCTAAAACAGATGCAGGTAGGGGATGTACTCCTTTTTATCTGCCTGCTTCTGTATACACAGACATTACCACATTTTTTTCTATCTCGCCTATGCGGCCCGTGGCTTGGCTCTTTTGCGAAAAGCATAAGATCCAACTTTTGTTTCCCCGACACACTCTTGCTCCGAGCTCCAGCTGGGGACACCACCAAAGCACTTGTCGTTACTGAGGATGACGGCTCTGGTTCCTCTTGTTTTACTAAGGTCACTTAGAGATTCATTTTCCAAACCGAGACAGTCGCTGGTGGTCAGTCATCGCTATGCACTTCCAGCACCAGAGAATCAACACCGAGTCTCGTTGTGACCAACATATTGAGTGTCAGATCAAGTCGGTGCGATCGCAGCAATCCTCACAGTCAACTGCCGCGCTCACGCATGTCCACCTGCGGGCAATGCCAATATGAGAGTAAAACACGTGGGTGGCTCGAAACTTGGGAATGTCCTCTGGACAGGATCCAATACATTTGTGAAAAAAAGGCGCGGTTCGGATGAATCACGGATGACACCTTTCAAGAACAGGACATCCTTCGCCCCGTCAATGCCGCCATCAGTGGTCTTTGTGGGAGCAGAAAGGCGTGTATGGTGGGCATGGGCGGACGACCGCATGTAACCCCCCCAGGCTTTGCGGGCGTGATCGATCTGGATGTCAGCCCGCCCTCGGCGCAACCCTTGGGGTATCCTTGCTGTGTCATGATCAGCATGGCAGATGTCAAATCGGTGCCCGTGGATTGGAACACGGCCGGTCAAGTTCAGATACAGCTTCACCTCCGGGTCTAGAGCCAAATTCCTGGGTTTTGACTCATCTTCTGTGATGCTTGAGATGTGTCCAGGGCTGCCGTCTCCTGTGTAAGGCTGCGCCGCAAAAAACAGGGGGACGGGGCGACCATCTACCAACATGCGCCGCGTTGATACGCAGGTGACGCAAAGGGGGTTTTGACACATCGACAGCCTGCTTGAAGCTGCCCGACCCCTGTAGAGGCGAAGCTGGCGCTAAGAAATGGAAGAAACAACCTTATGAGACGTGAGAATGTTTGTGCATGTCGACCCGAGCATGATTATTTATTAAATGCTGTCAAGTTGTGCCAACGAGGTCCTGCTGCATCACATCCTACCACATTATCAAAACGCCCCCGCCAGTTTTAAGTGGCTTCTCTGGTTTTCTTCTTCATCAAATCTTAAACGCTCAGAGCAACCCACTGCATGCAAACAACACCTGCCATTGTTTTACTCAATTAGTTCTGGACTTGATCATGCATCCTGACTCAGAGATCCGATGGATGTGTCGAAGTGCTTGGGAAAGAACGAATATACACGGCCTAATGGCCACGCTTTCCCTCGACAACACATCTTCGCTGCCATGCAAATTATGCAGCTACTGTGCGGGACTTCAGTTCAGAGTAACCGCTGATGAACCTGAAGAAGAAGTTCTTGTGTCGGTAATTGCTTCCCAGCACCGGCTTTATCAAGTTTATCTTGATTTCTTCCCCACATTCCCAGCCCTGAAGCAACGGGCTACCGAGGGCTGCTCATTTTGTAACTTTTTGAGATCGAGCGTGCTGGCGGAGTATGAAAGAAAAGGCCTTGACATCCAGGGCAAGAAGAGATGGGTCGGAATCGTGTTATCAGCCAAGATGGATGAGAGATTCGAGTGCAGATCCTCGTTCTCAATGTATAAAGACGAAGGCCCCGTCATCATACGAGTTGACGTGCCAGCATTTGATCAAGGAAGACAAGTCCCCATGGGATATCGTCTTGCATTTCAGACATCATCTGGTAAGTGCTGAGAGGGAAGGAAGTTCAGGCAAAGTGCTGACAATGGTTCATAGAAGCAACCCTTACCACTCGCGATCCGCTTTCAACCGAGAACGTGGAAAATGTCAAGCGATGGCTTAAAGAATGCCAAATGAACCACGAAGTTTGCAGGTCCAGACTGAGTGGCTTTACTCCAAGCCGTCTTCTCGACATAAAGGACAAAACATTACGACTGGTCACTGAAGCAGATGATTCTGGATATACTGCACTAAGCTATTGCTGGGGGTCTAAAGCAAACCAGAAAGAGCACTTCTTGACCACGAAAAGCAATATTGGGTCGAGACGATCCGGATTCGCATTGTGCGACCTGCCTAATACGCTTCGGGACGCTGTACGGACAACTCGTGCTCTAGGTATTCGGTACATCTGGATCGACGCACTTTGTATAATCCAAGATGATCCAGAGGACTGGAGCAAAGAATCGTCACGAATGGGCCAGATTTACAGCCACGCCTGCTTGACCATTGCGGCTACGACTTCAAAGTCATCATTTGACGGGTTTTTGCTGAACCGTGACCCGTCTTACAGGACTACTTCAAAATTTGTCTTCAAAGAAGTTCAATCTTTTCGTTCAGAGCCGCTCATGGAAAAATCCGGCCTCGCTCATTTCCGGTATCCGCCTGAGACAAGTGTCCAAAAATCTTTGAGTACGTGCCGCTGGGAAGAACGCGGCTGGACATTGCAGGAGAGATTGTTGTCCACCCGGATTCTATACTTCACAAAGGACGTCTTCTATTATGAATGCGCTACAACACAGAGACTGGAGAACCCTGGCTTTGAACTACCCAAGCGCATCGAATTTTCTGCGCTGCTCGCCGCATCACATATCATGACGGAGTCCGAGAGATTACAAAAGCAAGAATCTCACCTCTCGCAATGGTACGAGGTAGTCAAGATTTACACCAAGAGGAAATTGACAAAGTCGAAAGACAAGCTACCGGCGATCGAAGGTCTAGCTTCGGAGCTGAACAACATTCTAAACGACACGTATATCTATGGTCTCTGGCGCATGGATCTGCACCGAGGTCTTCTCTGGCAGCCAAGCTCAAAATCCTGGAAGCGCCCAAGAGACGGTTACCGCGCCCCCACTTGGTCATGGGCGTGTCGAGATGGGGGTGTTTCGTGGGATGCATCTACCTTCAAGCCTGGATGGAAGTCCCTTATACAAGTCAACAACATCCAACCTCACCGGAAGTGCACTTGTTGCAACGAGACTATAGGCGCGCAGCTAGATCTCACCGCAAAGGTGGCGCCATTAAAGGACATTTTGGTTGCTCATCTAACTTCTGCTAATATAGAAGACTCTGCGTTTTTGGACTACTTGAATACATGCGAGTTTTTGTATGGATTTGATGAGTTTGATGGGCTCGGAACATTTACGGTTGACAAGGAGGAAGATGAGGGGATATATCTGCCTGACGTACGGATGCTGCTCATTGCAGAGACGGCGGAGCCAGCGAATATACAAGCCCTCCTCATCCAACCTTGTTACGGCAGCAGCCATTTTGAACGGGTCGGATGGTTCATACAGAAGCAGACACTTGAACATCTCAACTTTCTTCAGGATTCAGAGGACGTTGGGCCAATGCGTGAGCATTTCAAGTCTGAGAGGCTAGTACTTGTTTAAGACCCCTTCACACCGCCCTCCTCCCTTTCTGTTTTCGCCTGTTTGCTTGCTGTGTCTTTGCGTTTTGTTTTCCTTTCTTTTCCCCCTGGCATCGATTAAGTTGTTTCTGGGAAATCTTTGTGAATTATGGATGGAAGTATAAGTAATTCGTCAGTCTAATATGAGGAAGCATGTTCTTGATATTGAATACGACGCGTAGACAGACCTCATCAATTTTCGTTGGGTGAAGTCAGTAATCTCAGTAGTATCCAGAACGGAAATAGCGTGTGGCAATCTTCAGCTTGGAAAAGATGTCTTTAAAAATCCTTTGCGAGAACGGCTCAGTTTCAAAGTAGGAGATGTTTCCCTAAACAGCTAGCCTGTTGAAGTATTCTCCAGCCAGTCCAGCCATGAAAGCAGCCCCAACGAGGAAGAATTGTTTATGGAACCATTGCCCACAGCTCTCAGAATCGGCTAAATCTACATCCCAGATGTAGTATACCATAGCGGCTGCCACGCCACCAACCGTGCCTAGGAAATAAATGACACTGAACTCCGCACATATTCCACAGAATGTGAGCAACACCAGCTTTGCGATGGTCAGAACACTGGCAAGTGCTTTTGTTGAGTTTCGAAATCGAAGTGCCATTCCCTTGACTCCGGCTTGCTCGTCGTCTGCGATGTCTTGGTGTGCATATATCGTATCATACGTCACGGTCCATAGAACATTAGCGCCAAAGAGTGCCAGCGTTGATCCACGCGTCATGACATCGCGTGGTGTACCAACACCCACTGCTGCGACGGAGAAAAACAAGGCCCACGCGAATGCAACCCCGAGAACGAGTTGGGGGTAATATGTGACGCGCTTCATCAGAGCATAGACCACAAATAGTACAAGAGAGGTAGCCGCATATGGCACGCATTGAGGCGGGAAGAGACCGGAATTTTAGAGATAGTAGCCCCACAGGGCGATTTGTGCGAACATGAAGACGAGGGCCTGGTGCGTCGAGACAGCGCCACGAGCGACGGGGCGATGTCGGCATCTGGCGACACGGCGGTCAAACCGTTGGTCGACAATGTCGTTCCACGTGCATGCGGCACCGCGCAACAACACAGCAAAGGGGATGAGACCTGCCGCCAACCGCATTGTCGCCGACATCCTTGGTGGCACCGTTGTGATACAAGATGCGTAGGTGATGCCGATGAGATAAGGTATATAGAATGCGTAGAAACCGGCAGGTCGATCGAGGCGCATAAGCTGAGCGTAGGGGATCCAGGAGCTAGGGATCATTGAAAGGAGTCCGGTAGTGGGATTCGAATACTTGGGAAGATGAGGGAAGAAATTGACCCCATCGTCTTGTACCGGCCTGCCCTGGGAAATTGGGGCAGTATCTAACCTGAAGCGGGTCTGCTCTGGAGCTCTGTGGACATTATAGCTTGGGTTTGTGGAACAAAATACATCAAATGAGGATTGGCTGGAGTTGTTGAGACACGTAACAGAATGTGTTTTTGACGGTGGCACATGGTGCCTTATATCTCATGGACTCGCTGCTCACTTGGAACCATCAGGCACCTGTTCAGATGCAATTTCCCTCGATCTCTACTAGTCTCTTAGTGACTTGCTTCTTGCTGGAGCGAGCCTTCTTTTCCACAATAGCATGCGTTTTCTATTAACATCGTAGCCTGGTGAGCGATGTAGAAATCACAAAATCGGGCTGCCCATGTTTCAGTGTAACGTAATCACGTCTGGACCGGCAGTAAGCCTCGCACAATACACGATCCACTATGACTGCATAGAGTTTTGGTTAAAAGTGCGAGATCCTCCAACAAAACAAGCGGAAACAGGTTGTTGGCCATGGGATGGATGTGTGCGCCTACCACTTGGCCCGACCCCGTGTAATGAATGCACTAGGCTCGATTCAGCGAGGGTGGGTTGCATGTATCTTTTCCTTCAGCACCCACAACGTGTGCAAAAGTACCGTACACATTTAAGGCAAGGTTCTTGACTATTCAGTTTACCAGCCCACGGATCAACCAGAAAACATATTCTTTATTCGATTGACAATATATATTATGGTGAATGTATCTTTTCCTTCGACGCCAGGAGGTGTGCAAAAGTACCGGACACAATTAAGACAAGGCTCTTGACTATTCGGTTATCAGCGCATAGTTCTACCAGAAAATAAACTCTAGACCAGGGGAGAGAAAAGAATCATTAATAGATTCTTCATTCGATTGACAATTGGTTGGTGTTAATAAAAACTATGGGCCTAGTGCCTCAGTCGTATTTCCAACCTATTGTTATCGGCATTGTATGTCGTCTAACGCAGGGTCTCTAAGCGTCCACCATTGTATGAAGAGACCGCAAACAGATCAGTATGTATACAAGTTAAAAACAAAATCACCCCCCTAATAGATATTAATATACACTCTGTGGTTGTTATGTGAAATATGACGAAAGCTGAAGAGTTTTGGTGGTGCTATTACTTATGTCTGGATACTATCGTACTCCGTTTGAGTGCTCACTATAACACGACTGGTATTGACGCCCAGGTGGCGATCAGAATGCTGTTCGACCGGTCAAATTGTCACGATCTCCATGAGCATCTCTATTACGAATAACTGGCGGTGGGTTGCCATGACTGTAGCTCGTCTCCCTCGCTAAGCCCCATTTTGCTATCACCTCCGTCCCTTGAAGGCCGGGGACAGGGTGCTGGGAGTCGAGTCGGTTACCTAGGCCATGTAAGACTACTCTGATAAGCTGACCTTTACTAAGAAAGGATCAATGATGGAGACAACATTTCTGCATTCGAGAATGCATGCAGAGGGATGTTGTACTCAAGCTCACCATTGATGCCACAGCGTTGGTGCCCCTCCTCCAAGCACACAATCCCTCCAGAATAAGGCCCCCAACGCCGAGAATCCTTTTCGGTCTGAAGCATGGCACCTCCGCATCTTTGTGACCTGATCAAACATGCCCTTGCTACTCTGGTATAACCTGGTTGCCCCTGCATTGCCAAACATGGGCACAGATGCCCCAGGAATAGGATTGGACGCTGATGTCAAGGTACTTTTGGAACACACGAAGGCTTTCTCTGAGAAGAGACAGGATATTGTCCTAACCTGACATTCTGACGGTGGCATCCCAACCTGCATCGCAACTCGTAGCAACAGTGTCAAGGAGCGTGCTCTGCGTGGACTTTTTTGGGGCTTCCGACATGTGGCTTTTTATGCCGCTTTTGCAATTCCAGAGGTAGGTCTAAGCAATCTGACGGCGATTTCAGGCGCGCAGTTGATGGATTGGCACAAAGTCATCGAATCGAATGACCGCGTAGGTTCTCTGACGCTTGATGTGTCTGTCGGGAATGCCCCTTCTAATTCGTTCCGTCACCTTCAGATACAAGTCTTCGTCAACGAAAAGTCCAAAGATCGCATGTACAACGACCTATCGCCTGAGAAGGCTCAGGAACTCTACGGCTCTCTCGTTCCCCAGTCTTACGCGGCTGTGATTCAAGATTGCAGAGGGTGGTAAGTAAAGGCCCGTAGATGTCCCCGGCAATACTGATATCACCAAAGGCTTGTGGAGAGATATTTGGGGGGGGACCCTAGATAGCAAAAGAGTTGTATTTACGTATAGGAATTCTTCCTAAATCCCCATCTGACCCTGCCTGATACGCTTAACCGACGATAGCAGGACAAAGCTGCTCGTCTATAAAGTACCTCCCTTCTTCCCCAGCATGTTACTATTGATTCCTCTCGGTCAGGTTCTACTATCTCCTAAGTCACACGTACACGCTATTCAAACTTATATCCTGTCCCATCCCACCAACTATTCAAAAACAAAGACAGTCCCTCATGCCTCCCAAATCTTATCCTCTTCCTCCCCCAGGCGTTGGGGCAGAAAGTGCACGTCTCAACATTCAACACGAGCTGTCCTTGCTTGATCAGGATGGTGCCCTTCTTGTGAGCCAATTCCCTAGTTCTTATCAGCAACAAACCGGACGTGATGGCAACCTCCGCGTTGCCGACGTGGGAACAGGCACGGGCATCTGGGCAATTCAATTTGCACAGCAACATCCGGACATTCAGGTAATAGGCTTCGACCTTGGGATCCCTCCCCTCCAGCCCGATTGTCTACAGCCTGCCAATATCCACTTCGCCATCCAGGACCTCCTGGCTGCTTGGCCAACTGAGGGCCCGGCAGCCGGACCATTTGACCTGGTCCACTGCCGGCAGGTCCTTCTGAACGTCCCGGACCCAGCTGAGATGCTGCGGCGGCTTTTTGAAAACCTGAGACCGGGCGGTATAGTTGAGATTCGCGAGTACTGGAGTCCGATGGTATCTGAGAAGGATGATCCGGCTGAGAAGCCTGAGGGTTCTAGCAAGGGCTCGCAGATTCCTCTGCTCGTGGAATGGCATCGCGGGACGGTCGAAGCCGCCGCAGCACTCGGGTGCGACCATGGCTATGCCGCAAGGCTACCGGATGCACTCCGCGAGGCCGGCTTTTCGGAAGTGGTAGTCACAGACAGAAAGGTCCCTTTGGGCGGGTGGGCCCCCGATGGAAGTCGGCAGCAGGACGAGCGCATGCGAAAGATGGACTCTCTACTCTGCAAGATGATTGAGGCTGGTGCGCCAGTGATGACAAAGGAGATGTTTATGAAAGGACTAGGGTGGACGGAAGAGATGGCAGTCAAGTATGCGGCTCGTGTTGTCGACGAAGTTCGCAGGGCTGACTTGGGATTGGACAAAATTTGTGCCCGATTCCGGGTTGTAACTGCGAGAAAGCCACCCATGTAAGCTACAGAAATACAAAGTGCCTGCATACATCAATATGACTGATTACATGCTCACACATAAGGACTTTACTTAAATAAGTCAACTTTAGACTTATAACAATCCCAGAGCCTCTTTATTAATCCTATCCCATCCTACCCTCTCAGCTTAGTTCCTATAGCAATATCAAGGACTCGCATATTGCAGCAATACAAGAGAGTCGGCAAACACTGGAACACTATATCCAAGCTTAGTCGCCGGCCGTATGACGACATTCGTACTTTTTATGCGCATCAGTAGGTAGGTGGCATCTTCGGCCTTCTGCATCCACACCATAAATCAGGACCCACATGTAATGGTCACCTTCGGGCGAGCTTTGTACAGTCAAATCATGCTTTTCTCCTTTCGATGCGATTATATTAAATGCCTCTTTATGATCGAATGACATATACTATAGGCGACTGTTTTCCGATGGTGTCTGCACTGATTAGAACAAAATGATTATGTTGGGCAGGGTCACTCTTTGCCGTATTCGCCTACTCTCCCAGCTCTCGCGGGTGCCAAGTAGACTATTGTATTTTCTGACTCGGCGAAAGCGCGTATGATGTTTTTCGTACAATTCGAGTTCGTGGAGGGGTGGCAGCCAAGCTCTCGTGCGACGTCGCGATGATGGAGTGCAACCTTGGGACACTCTTGAGGTGGAGCGGTTGCGACGCCTCGGAAATCCACGGGAAGGACGAGTTCCCTGACACGAACTCTACGGACGGTGTTGTGATATATAAGCACTTTTCTTCTGAGCCCTCTCTACAATCGTTTTACCTAAGATGGTGTAGAGTATTGGTGAGCTGTTGGTGGAAACTCCCCAAGCATAACGGGTTTGCCTTTGGCCTAGCCGCCGCCGCACCCATGACGCAGGAACGTTCATAGTTGCCGTTCTCTTATCGAGATTGCATGCATCGACTATGCTTATTATGGAACAAGAACTGCAAGCACTTTATCCGGTGGTGTTCGGGAGGGACAAGACTCTTGGAATAAGGATCATCCACACCGACTTGCTGCCGAGGCATATGCATCTATGTTACGCAATGTCTGGCGTGCTGGTCAGAAGGAGGGCAAGATCGACCATCTTGGGGCTTGGCCTGGCTGAGTTCTCTAGTCACACATCTGCACTCGTGGGCACTTCTCTGACTCGACTTACTAGTTCGAAGTCGACCTCAATAGTGGTGCGTAGGATACAGTGGAAGGTCCCGGCAGACCAAGCCATATTTGTCTGTCTTACTGTTGATACCCAAGAACATTGGGGAACATAAACGGTCATCATGGGTCCGTTCGAGAGGTCCCTTGTTGCTCAGGTGGCTTCGGGGTGCAATTCTGTCTCAATTTCGAAATATTGCCCGTGTTAGATGCAACTCTTAGTTACTCAGGTGGACGCAATGAGCGAATTCCTCTCCGTTGAAGAGTAGTATTGCCTATGGGGCAAGCTTGAATGGTCACGAGGCCATATAATCTCTAATGGTTCGCGGTAAGTACATTGGGCGTGACAAGTCCTATATGAATGAACCGCAGCCGCTATGGGTTCATCATGCTGGCCTCCAGGCCAATCCTTTCCGCCAATCTAGCACCATTTCTGGCCTAATACCATTATTAGACCAGCAGCACTTAGTGGCGTAATGCTCTTCCTCCTCGCTGTTTTGTGTTTGAGGCTCGTATCTTATGTTACCGCCATACCACTGCAGCCCTCTATCCGCAGTGATAATGGGGTCTCTGGCGACGCAAACACTGCCTCTCTAAGTTGCGGATCTCAGTATATCTCGTGCTGCACTGATGATTCTTCAGTGTGTAACTTGGCCAAGACTTGGGACGGTGATTTAGGTGAAGTACCCTCGGCACTTGTGTCATCCTTTGTGCTAACCTTCCTATCTAGTTGGTGGTAGTGTTGACTTCGGCAATAAGACCAATCACGGAAAGGGAGCAAATTTAAACAAGCGGGACTTTGGCTTGTGCCAGGGGAACAACAATGTTGTCTTTTGCTGTGGGCCTCCCCCTGCATATCAGGTATTTGCGCTGCCTCACATTGCACAGCAACACTTGACTTATATTCGTCCTTAGATGGGAGGCATCAACATCAACATCAACATCAACCTTTGTGGCACCGTCAAACCCAGGCTGATAAGATGAGCCTTGTTACCACATCTCTCATACAGAAATGTTTTATGTCGCTTTCACTTGTAAATATTCTCTTTCAGACGCCAAGGAATGCTGCTTTTCTTCTTCCGGCTATAACAATGTTCACTTGCTTGATGACTGTCCATCTTGGGTTCTATGATGAGTAACATCGGGGAATCCCCCTCTTTATAATCACAGAGACTGGGTGGATTAATAGTTATGGGCATGTGAAGTCCCATATAGGAATATAATTGCTGGGACAAATCACTGGTCACTGTGACAAGTGAAAAGTAGAAACAGTCTGTATTCAAAACTAATTTGTGTTTGAAAGCCCCATGGAAAGTGATATATGGTATGACGAAGCTTAGATAACCTTTGACAGGTTGGAAGCGCAGGGTGGTCAGCAGCAAAGCTTCTTACGTGCGCCTGTCATAGTTTGCGAGCTAAGAGACGCAAGGTGAGACTAAATAATGACGGTGGTATATCCAAGTGCTGTTAGTTGTACAAAGCTCACCCCCTGCTCCTCTTACCCAGTTTCCCAAACAAACACGCATTGCAGACAGGCATGTATCTCCCAGCCAGCCTTGTGAGGCCTATCTGTAGTGCACCGGTGGTCTCTTGGGCAGTTCGGGCTTCAACTCTTCTTCGTCCTCGCTGTCATCACTGTCCTCGTTCTCTTCATCAAGTGCTCTCTTTGGGTTCTTCATGTACTTCTTAGCCCAGCTATCCCAAGACTTGGCAGCTCTACCCGTCGCAGCTCGTAGATCTTCGGTCACCTTGCGGATCTGCCACTGTTCAGAGCACAGGTTGTGTCAGTTATTACGCAATCAGAGGAGGCGAGGGGGTATTGAGCAAACTTACAGCCACGTCGTCCTCCGCGTCAGGCACCTCTCGACGCTCAGGGCTCCAGCCCATGCTTGCAAGCACTTCGGATTCACCAGGCACGTGTGCTGCGGGACTGGGGAATGCGTCCGGATTGCGCTTGTGACACGCCTCCTCGACATAGCGTCTCATCAGGTCCATCGCCGGGCTTGGCCGGAATACCATCTGGATCGTCTTGTCCTTGTCGTCTTTCTTACGCCCTTCATTGTCATCCGTCCTCCGTTCATCATTGTCTTGTTGTGGTTGAATATTGCCGGTGTAGCCGTCACCAGTGCGCGGTGTGCGCAGCATCATTGCGCCATCGTTGCCACCATAGGCAAGGGAGTCCTCTTCAGCAGGCCTCAACTTGTTTACAACCTTTTTCGCCGTCATCCACGCGCTGGCGTTCACGGCCATCCACACCATGTTGACCTCGCTGAGCCCACCAAAGACGGGGATGACGAGGTCGATGGTGACCGTGAAGGGCAGCAGCGCGGTTCCAATCAAGAAATCTCGCTTGGTCCTGCTCTTGGTCCGGCTCAGCTCGCCCTTGACGTTGTTGAACATGTCGTCCGTGGACTGCGTGCGCGAGTCCTCTGGGTGGACGAGGACGAGGCTTTGGACCGTCTTGCGCGGGACGCGCGAGAGAAAGGTCACGTCTGAGGGCTTGATAACGTTCAAGCACCAGACGGCTCCACGGAAAGACGCACTGTGGATTCCGCCCAGGGACACCACTTTGCCGTTGAACGTCTTTGCTTTCTTTACTTCTTGTTGCCACCGGCGTACGACTTTGTCTCGTTTGCGTTCCTTGCTTCCTTTCTCGGTGGGCTTCAGCAGGTCTGGCGCTGGCGGCATGTACAGCATGTATCGCTGCGGAATATCTTGGGGCACTCCATGTCTAAGCGGTTGGGGCAGTGGGATCATGTACGCCATGACCCGCGTCGCATCCCGCGAGTATTGGAGGGCTGGAAGCGCGCCTGTCATCTGTGGTTCTTGTGGTGCCGCAGCAAATGATACTTGTCTAGGTGATGACCGAACTTGGGCCGCCGCTCGATGATCTTGATTCCGAGAATCCCACTCTGCTTGAAGCCTCCTTGCAAGTTCCTCATCTTGTGTTGCCGTGGGGTTGTTACGAGGGTCTGCTCGGCTTTGTTCCTCATCTTCCCACTCCTGGAGCTTCCTCGCAAGTTTCTCATCGTCGGCCGTCGACGGCAAATGCTCTTCAAACTTGGACATTATGTCGTGATCTAGGAGTATGGTACTCACTTTGGGAGTGAAAAAATTGGAAAGTCAGTCGATGATGATAAGAAATGAGACATATTGCCTGCAAAGCGCGTGTGAAACCGCGAAGCAGGGTCTTCCCTTTCTTTTTAAACTTGTTGTGAGTGGTCACGCAGCACTGCCTCTGTCGTCAGCGCATTCGTCAACGTTCCTCGGCGGGTGGCGGTTCACGAGCATCTGCCAAGTGCTTATGCTCCCAAGCGCTCTGTGCTGTACACGCGCACCGGGGCAGTTCCCTGTCGGTTAGTGTCTTGGATCCGGCCATTACTGAATGGCAAGATGATCTAGTAAACGACTGTATACTTTTCACTCCACCTGCATCACACATCTCACTTTATCCATTTCGTCCATGCGTACATACCTCAAGGCTGTGTTTGCTTGGCCGGCATTTGCTATACTCCCGTGGGAACCCGGGATGCACGGAGCGCGAGATGGGTTGAAACCAGAGAGATAAGGCGAGTTGAGGCAACGAAAGAACACAGCAGTCTTAACTTGGTACAGATAGTGACGTGGTCGGCAATGATCCACACCATGTCTTGGCGAGTTGTAAGTGCCGCTGTCTCGTTGCGAGTGGTTAGCGAGGACGGCGGATTATATACATCGATGCAGAGCAAGGCCCACAGGAGACGCACGTGGATGACATGCGGGCCCGATGCGGCTCGAAGTCGGCATACCAGGATTCTGGTAGTGACTGGGTCGGGACGGGAACGCTCGATCTGGCGATGCCTGGAGACATGAGGGTGCCCGTCCCCTGAAAGTCCCGATCGCTGAGGTCTGGGGGCACCGATCCGGATCGCCATCCTTATAGACCTTGGCTTCCGTCCTGGTCTAATCCAGCTATCCTGCCTGTCACAACGTGAGGAGCCCCAGGGTTTGTTTTTACTCTTCTTGATTTACTCCTCAACCCAACAAGCGGCAGGGAGTCGGTAGGTAGGATAAAAGGGGGCGGGGGGATGACGACTGGCAAGGGATATATGTGCTTTCCGTTGTTTCCGCGCAAATTTCATTATGACAACAATGTCCTCCCATCTTTCCGTCCTTCCGTTTCCCTCCCCTGGGTCGCTGCGCACGCAAAGAAAACGTGCCAACTTGCACCCTCCACTCGTAGTTCCATGCGGACCAGACGCAACAGCCCGGAAAACTCATCGCCCGGGCCGCTACAAGCCAGCATGACACCATGATACATGACTCCTTTCGCAATACAGACACCTAACCATGAAATGCAGTTGCGCGCTCTCTCTCTCTCTTCTCTCTTTCTTCTAAACCAGGGAAACCATTCCAAAGTCGTTGAAATTCGCCATCAGACTCCATACGTCATTGAAGTGGCATCGTTGAAGTCGTATCGTCGAGGTGGGATGATATAGAGCTGTCCCTCGCATCTGCCGCGTGTTGTAGTCTTGGTCATGGCCCACAATCCAGAGGTGATTGCCGCTCCAAGCCTTTGAGGACATGGCCGATACTAGGCCTCCTTCTTCACATCAGACTTGGAGCTTTTGTCATCCTCCTTCGCGGGTTCAGAGCTGGAGCTGCCGGCGGCGGTCCCGCTCGCCTTCGCGTTCAGGTCGAATTTGGGATCGAGTTTCTCGGGGGTGACTGGGCTGCCTATGACCTCGTGACTGTTGTCCTCGGTGGACGTCGATTTCTTGGACACCTGGCTGGCCAGGTCTTTGTCCTCTTCAGAGTTGTCGAACATCTCGGTATCGTCTGAGTCGGTCAGCACTTCCGTGCCATCGCCGAGGAAGATTATTCGGCCGCGGTAACCGCCAATGCCAAAAGACTTGCCCTTGTTAGAAGACTCGTTGTCGTAGTCATTACCACTGTCATTGTCATCGAAGTTGTGGTGGACACCAGGACCTCTGAACTCGGCTGTTTTAATCGTGTATAAGAATTAGCGCGATGCTCTTTCTCTCGACAGGTGTGTCGTGCCGCAGGGACGTGCTAGAACAAGAAAGGATATTATGCCTTGTGCGGCAGTTGCGTACCGTACTCGGGTGGAGCGCATGGCCCGTCACCGTTCGCGACCCGCTTAGCGACCTCATCATACCACTCCTCCTTGGAACGGCCCCTCAGGAAACCAATCACGATCATGGTCATGTTGTCACAACCAACACCACCGGTCTCGGAGTTGGAAGCCAAGCAGTTGTCCATCATGTTTTCGCAGATCTTATCCAGGTCTTGCTTGGCAGCAATGCCACGGCGAACAAACTCGGTAACAGCTTGGGAGGACTGGCAATCCCAGATACCTATGTTTCGCGACAGGGGTTAGTACGTGTGACCACGGTGGGCTGGGCTGGTGACTGCGGCGCCAAACGTACCATCACAGGCAATCACCAGGAACTCGTCATCGTCGGAAAGGTCATGTACCACGACGTCGGGGTAGGCGGTCACAATCTGTTGCTCAGGAGCAAGCTCGGCGCTCTTCTTGAACTCGAAGTCGCCGATGGCTCTGGAGAGAGCGAGGTTGCCGTTGACTCGTCCGAAGTCGACGAAGCCACCAGCCGCGGTGATTCTCGCCTTCTCGCCTGGGAATAGAAGGTCAGAAAACCATGTGCAAAGTATGCGCAGCGCACTTGGCCAAGCATTAGCGCACCTTCATTCTGGGGCTTGTGGTCGAAGGACAGGGGCTTTGCGCGACCCTTGACACCCAAAACACTTCTGGAATCTCCGGCATTGGCCTGTCGGGAACGTCAGGTCAGCTTGTGAAGCCCGGAGGAAAAGTGACCAGGGTAACACAAACAACGTAGATTTTATCGTCGGTAAGGAGACCGACACAAGCTGTGCAGCCAGAGACCTCCTCTTCATATTTGGGATCTGTTGCGAGAAGGAAAAAAAAGATTTGTCAGCCACGTGCCCCCTCACTGCGGCGGAGAAGCCAGGACATCTGTACCATTGAGTATTGCGCGGTCGGTGGCGAGGAAACCATCCTTTAGCGCCTGCTCGTAGTTGCCCGCCTTGAACGTGTCCTGCTTTGCGATGATGTTATGGATGTTCTCGCCTGTGAAGAGGGCGACTTTGTCGCCGCCGTGGCCGTCGAAGACACCGAAGAAGGAGAGCCGTTGGGGGTGGTTCTTGGAGGCGTCGGGGTTGGAGGCCAGGAGATCTAGGACGGTGGTGTGGGCATCCTCCATGCTGATGCGCCAGCCTTGCATGGCAGAGACGCCGTAGATGAGCCTGTTGTCCTGGCCATTTTCAGATGTCTAGAGAGAGGCAGAGCGGTGATGTCAGCAGTGCACAAGAGTCAGAGGTTGGCAACACGGTCGGAAGGGAGTAGAGGCTTCGAGACAGAAAGGGGGAGAGCGAGAGAGTAGTCGTGGTATCCATCGGCAGGACACTGATGTTGCGACAGAAGACGACAAACAGGCCAGTCGAAGTTGTCGCGTCGACCAGATCATGACACGACGGCGGCGGCAGATGCTGTGGCGGCTAAACTGGAGCATGGCGCGCCGACCAGCGGTCCGTATTGACGGGGCAGGGGACAGGACTGGACAGGACAGGACAGGATAATGTGCGACGGCATTGGGTTTGGAGATTGGGTTTGGTTTGGGTGGCTCTGGGGATGGACTGACCTTCTCGACAACTGGCTCACTGAGTGTCTGACCCATGGCGCACGAGACTGAGGGGATGGGTATTGAGGATGGGTAGTAGGAGCTGGCTGTGGAGGGTGTTCGTGGCGGTGGTGGTGAGTGTCAAAGCGAGTCGAGGCGGAAGTGGAGGTGGAGGGCGGAGGCAAGGCAGGGCAAGGCGAGGCCAGGCCAGGTGAGGTGAAGTTAGGTGAGGTCTAGGTGAGGTGTGGATGTGGTATTTTTTTGGTAGCAGAGGCTACCGCGGGGTTACAGGGAAGAGGGAGGGATGTGGATGGGATGGGATAGGATGGGATTGTGAGAGTTGATAGGGACCAAAGGCGTGCAAGATCAGAGTTTTCCCCTTTTTTTTTCCTCGGCGTCCCTGTCAAAATGGGCCAGATGGACTAGATGGTGGGCAGGCACTTTAGTCGGATAGCTGGTCTTGGGTGGTCAACGAAGGAGAGCCCCAACATGGCCAGGCCCAGGCCCAAGCCAGGACAAGGACAAGCAAAGACAGGGCAGCACAGCAGCACAACGATTGACAACGACAATGACAATGACAATGACGTTAAGGGTCTAGAATGTCTCGAGTTGTGCCTAGGATTGGTCAGGTTTGGAGGGGAAAGGGCGTCAGTACGTTTGTCTACTTTGTACCTAGGTAGGCTGTAGGCTGTAGGCTGGTGGGACCCTCTGTAAAAAGAGGTCGAGGAACACCCCCAGCCTGTCCACGGGTCAATTGAGTCTGCAGCTACAGCAGCACACACCATGAGCTCAGGTGGTCCAGTGGTCTAGGTGGTCCAGGTGCCTGGGTATGACTGATGTATGCCCATCGATTTCGGAGTGAGGGCTGAGCTGAGGGGCTAAAGACCAGTCTAGAGCGGGGTACCTGGGCCCCCAATCCCCTAGGATCAGAGTCTGAGGAGCTGCCCATGTGGCCTGCCTGCCTACCTCCTGGGTACCTGTCTGCCCTCCTGTCTGGCATCCCGCCCAAGAGCAAGCAGCTGGGCCTCCCACCACTTCCCTTCCCACCAGCTGTGGAAACGGCAGGGCAGCAGATGGACCATGGACCACCTGGGACACCTCGGAAGCATATGTGAGAGGGAGCTATGATCGCCCAGATGTCTGTTCTGGGCGCTGGGCCCGTGCTTCCCTAGCCGCAGTACAGTACCTACCTATGCACAGGGTTTCACCCATAAAGCCAGGTACTTGCAGGGCTGGGCCGAGCTCCTGCAGACGCAGGAGCAGACCAGCTGTGGGGCAGTTGGGGGCTGGACCCTTTGGCCTTTTCCTGTTCCCCCAGTCGCCCCCCAACCAGCATCTTCAAATGACGTACTGCCACCATCGACCTCAGTTTATTGTGTCTTCTATGAAAGCATCGCATCTGCAGAACACTGCATCTAACTAGATTGCCTTTGTCAAACCCCAGATCCAGATCGACCGCCTTTGATCTTAGACAAACACGTGATCCAATACAGCACAACACTGTCCCTTTCACTTCCAAGAGCAAACAACATTGAGGCATTGACAGTCCTGACACAGAGGCTCATAGACCCTTGTGCTGGTAGAGAGAGAGAGCATGTTTTGTCACACAGCATATCATCCATCATAGCAGGGTTAATCAATGGAGCTCGTTCAAAAGACCAATCTTTTTCAAGTCCTTCCCTAGAGGTGGTGTCCAACCACCAGCACGAGACTGTATGCCATGCATGCGGGTGATCTAGACACAGCTACTAGGTAGGTAGTACACGGTATTAAACATGAAACCTAGGGCCCGGTATGGCGGAAAGCGTTTGACGTAGAGTGGGCCATCCGTTCCGCCGTCCGGACCGTCACCGGCACCGGCACCGGCGCAGACACTGATGACATCAACCCGACTCGACCAAAGGACCCTATCGCCGACTTCCTCTGCTCTAAGAGAGGTGTATGTCACAAATTACAGTGGATCACCATCATTTGTGCGACTGGGAACGTGAGCGGGACAAATTGAGCGGGCCAGCTCTGAGAGCAAGTCTCGCGGCCACTGTCTCGTGCCGTTGTGATCTTTCCCCTCCTTTCGTGGTTCCCATTCAGCATTGTATACTGCCCTGGCCAGACACAGCCCACGTCAACAGCACCTATCGCAGTCGACATGGCCGAGAAAGAGACCCCAAACCCGATGGCTGGGCTACCTGAACCCCCAGCCGTCTCCGTCAAGACCCTCGCCGTCACGGGCATCATGGTCGATGTCTATGGGCTGGAGGAGCTCCCATCAAGCCTCACGCATGTCTCCGTCCTCTGGTTGCACAACCCTCGTCTTGGGACCAAGGCAAGAATGGCTCCCATGGCGCAGCGCGCAGTCGGCGAGTACAATGCCACAAGAGCGGCTACGAGCACACGAGGCCTGATTGCTGCTGCTTTCGGTAAGCAAGCTCCTACATGTACACGTCTCATCGGTATCATCATTATCATCTTCGGACTTGATACTTCCCTGGCCTGTGCCGGCCTGACCTGACCTGATCTGACCTGAGCTAATACCCCCCAGACCAACGCAACCACGGCACGCGCGAGGTTCACCCCCTAGCCAACCAATCCTGGAACAAGGGCAACCCCTTCCACGCCCAAGACATGTTCGGCATCGTCTCGGGCACAGTAGTCGACACCCGCCTCCTCATCGACGCCCTGCCAGGCTACCTCTTCCTCGAGCCCAGCCCGTCCCCGCCGCCCGCCCTCGACCAGCACATCTGCCTGGGCGTCTCGCTCGGCGGCCACTCGACCTGGCAGGCCCTCTTCGCCGAGCCCCGCATCACCGCCGGCGTCAGCATCATCGGCTGCCCGGACTTCCAGCTCCTCATGCAGGACCGCGCCCGCCTCTCCAAGCTGGCCACCTACGACAGGTCGGCCGCCGGCGCCGGCTTCCTCGGCAGCAGCGACTTCCCCCAGGGGCTTGTCGCGCAGTGCGCTCGGTACGACCCCAAGGGGATCCTCTTTGGTGCTGATGGAGTCGTTGAGTCGCCGTCTGAAGAGCAGCAGGCCCGGCTTAGGCCTATCCTTGATGCGCACGTCAAGGGGAAGAGGCTGCTCATGTGCACCGGCGGGGACGACAAGCTTGTCCCGTGGCGGTGCTCCGAGTCTTTTACTAAGTTCTTCACCGGCGCCGCGGACGGGTGGTACAAGGACTCGGGCCTGGTCGCGGACAATCGGGTGTACCCGGGCAGGGGTCACGAGTGTAGTCCTGAGATGGTGGTGGACGCCGTGCGGTTTGTGTGCGAGGTGGTGCAGAGTGCGGGTGCTGGGGGTCCAGCTGTGTCGAGGATCTAGTCTGTCTGTCTGTTTGTCTGTCTGTCTTTGTGTCAGGCATGGGATGAAATGGCTTGAATTAGAACACTTTCAGGCGATTGTCAAAGAGCGAGGTTGGCTCGAGCTGGGGCACAAGCCTGGTAGAAGGAATGAATCTTGGATGGCTTCTCTAGCCGATTTAGATGGCTAGATTCAATGCTTCTAGCTAAGAAAAGAATACTCGATTCATCATCATGGTCCCGGAGTGGAAAGCCAGCAATTGCGAAACCTCGTCACAAGTATGTGCTCTGCACGATCTCTATGCGCACGATATTTTTTTATAGAGCCACGAATCTACTATGTTGCCTCCAAACTTCATGTTCTAGCTCCAATTAACCAAGTCTCAGAGTCGATGACAGACTGATTTGTTTCTAGAACTTGAAGACTGAACAAGTGTCATGTCCTGGTTTTACTTTAACGAGTCTACGGCCGCATGTAATCATTAACAGCTTGGCCGGGTCAACCAATGATGAATACGGAGTTAAATAAGTGGAAGAGACTTTCAGATGCCATTTACATTCCAAAGGTCCGATACTTCCACAGGCTCCCTCACCTGATTGCCATTATAGCTTTCGAGTCTTTGTGGGAATATAATTTGTGAGACAAGTCCTTCGGAAAGAAAAACAAAACAAGAGCTTGGAGCAAAGTGTTTAAAGATTGTGAAAGTGTAAAGACACGGAATTACACGAAGGTGTAGGTTCAGACTACCCAAAACATACACACTTGCATTCCGGGGAATTATTTTGACATTCATGTACATGAAATTTGGCTGGTCATGCGGAGCATCTTCAATCTTGAGAGCTTGTGAAGTTAATGAGATTAAATGTAGTCGTTTGCCGATCTTGTGTGCTGTCACTCATTAGGGACCAGGAATTGTGGTATACAAGCCGTCCAGGCTTTGGCACGGCAAAACAAAGGCCAGTCTATTTGTGCAATCTATCATGCAATAAGAGTAGAAAAATTGTGTCTAAGGCCAGGAATCTCTAGTCTTTTCCCCAAGGTTTCGCTCCCCCTTCAACTAGGACTTCCTCGCCGTCCTCAAGAACCTTCGTCACAATATCACCCTGTTGTCTCTCATTCTCGCTCAAAAACAAGGTTTGCGAAACATGCCACTTGTTTCTATGTGCTCTCTTCGACTTAAGACTGTCTAGCTGACCCTGAGGGTCCTCCACCCACTGATTCACCGCATCCTCCTCCCTATCTACTACCTCAGGGACCCCTGGCGGATTTATACCGATGAAGTTGACCCTGTCAAGAGGGAAGGCTATAGCATTGCAGTGCGCTTCGACGAGACGACGGCGCTTGAAGGCATGAGAGACAATGGTGAGAAAGTTGGGCCATCTCGACGTGCTGCGCCAAAATTGAATTACGCTGAAGAGGATGTTTTGGTGGCTATCCATGGCGCGCTCCTCGCACTCAATGCGCGGGTGCAGGGGTATAGGAGACAGTGGATGCGAGCGCGTGGGAGTGTTTGAGTGCGCTGGCGATGAAATGAGGAGGTCCCAGTAGCCGTTGGCGGCGGCGAGATTGGCATAGCTGCGGGCCTCTGAGAGGGGAGTCGATGCAGCAGTTGGACCACTAGGAGAGTATCAGGCTCTGTATGCTTTCAGACATGAGATAAGTCGTTGACTTACCCTGAGAATACAAGTATGGCTCTGTCGTCCTCACCAAGCGCTTTCACGCCTGCCTTGGCATGTGCTGTGTATGTCGGCGTTTCACCTTTCTTCCAGGCCTCAATGACCCATTCTGATTCGTCCTGACCATTGGAAGGCCCTCCAGCCCAGATCGCATGGCCGCAAACAATGATCAGGTGGTTTGGTGGCAGCATGTTTTGGTGTGCAGTGAACAGTATGACCACGAAGGGAGCTGAGGTTTGGAAAGGCAATGCTTGATTCCTTGAGTCGATGAACGTGGCCAATCAGGTTGAATCATGTGACAGGGTGCGATACTGGGCCCATAGGTCACCTGGGCTCACGATCATGAAAACACTGGTGTGCATAGGTGCACAGCGAAGATTCAAGACTCATTTTTGTCTCGTAGGCATCGCAACACGTCAGAAACCAGATAGAGACTCCCAGCCACAACTACTGGACCATCCCGGTCCAATGCCGAGTTCAGGGTCTTGGTGAGATCCACGGTGTCATGGCTTTCAAAGATGACGGCGCCGCATTGCCTCGCTGCATCCAAGATTTCTTTTGGCTCCTGGGGTCTAACCCAAGGCATACCGTCCACGGGTCCGAAACGCACGGCTGTGGCGAGGTCGTTTGGTTGTAGTATGACCTTCAGAATTCCGCTCACGTCCTTGCCGTGTGAGGCAGCGAGAATCCATGTGACCGGCCTTCCGGATGGTCTCAAGTGTTTGTTCACGTATGCAGCCAGAGCCTCGGCCGACTGGACGTTGTGTGCGCCGTCCAGGAGGAGTTCTCTCCCGCGGGGAGGAATTCGCACACTCTGCAGCCTCCCTGGCAGTCGGGTTTGTTCTATGGTAGCCATCCACCGCTGGAGGGTCACATCCTCGTCGGGACAGGCGCGGCGGAAAGCCTCGAGGGCATTGGCGATGTTCTGAATTTGGTGCGGCTCAAAACCTGCCCGTGAAAGTGAGGATTTCAGACCGGACAACTCGGACGGGAAAATGACCTCGGCTCCGACGGCCTTGGCGTGCTCTTTGACGACCTGCAGGACGGAGGTCTCGTTGCTCTGATCAACGACACAATCAACGTTTTCCCTCATGATGCCGGCCTTGGTCAGGGCGATCTCCTGGATGGTGTCCCCCAGCAGGAATTGGTGATCCAGCCCAATCTTGGCAATAACAGTGACAGCCTTGTGCTTCAGAGCGTTGGTGGCATCCAGCGAGCCGCCCATTCCGACCTCGATGACGCCGAACTCGACCTTCTCACGCTCCATGATCTCGAAGGCGGTTGCCGTCAACAGCTCGAACTCGCTGGCACCGATGCTGTCTCGCTGGTCCCTTTCCTTGACGAGCCTCTCGGTGTCGAGGAACAGAGTCTCAGACACGGGCTTCTCGTTTATGGTGATGCAGTCCCACCGGTCGATGAAGTGTGGCGAGTTGAAGCGTGCGCAGGAGCGGCCGCTGGCGTGCAGCATGGCGGAGAGATATGCGCAGGTTGAGCCTTTGCCATTGGTGCCGGCGACGTGTATGGCTTTCCACGACTGTGGCGTATGTTGCAGGAGGCGCGTGATGCGGGAGAGGCCGAGTTCGATCATCTTGAAGCTGGTCTCGCTTCTTCTGCAGTGCTGCCTGCTGCTCGAAGAGACGTGCCCAGGGCTGATGGTTTTGCTGTTGGTATGAGAGATCGGTGGCCGGCGCCCGGTTACGGCTCTGGACTGACAACCAGATAAGTCTTTCTGCCGGGATATATTCACAAGTCGATGAGAGATTGTGAGGCTGGACGAGTCATGTCACGGCATGGTGAGTGCAATTCGATCTCACGAGAATATGAGCTGATTTTTTATCATTGTTCTTATTTTTTTTCCTTCGCGTGAGAGATAGGATGAGAGTGAGAATGCCGCCGTAATGGGAGAGCATTATGCCCCACGCTCACGCTGACAGTCATCATCAGAGAGTGCTTCACTGGGCAGTGGACAGGCGCAGAGGCGATGGACCAGGGTCAGGGCAGCAGTGGGGAAAATTGAGCATGGGGCTGCTGGGTTGATTGGAGAACGGACTGCTGTTAGCTCCATGGCATTGAGCCGCACTATGCGCACTAACAAAATGAAACGGTCCCTGGCCTTTGAACAACGGGCGCTGCTGGTTGGTAGACGGCCGTCCCGTTGCCCCCCCTCGGCCGCGCCCCCATGCTTCCTGCCAATGGAAGCTGTATGGTGTCACTGTGTATGGGTATGGAGGGGGGCTGGACACTTTCCTCTTTCCAGGTTTCCACCTTCCCACGCTTTCCCCCACCCAACCAGACCTGCCCTGACTACCCACACCCTGACTACTGGTTACCTGCAACTAGTCCAACTCTAGTCCTCCTTCCTGCACCTGCACCTGCGCTTCTATCCCTCGACAACCCTCGTTTTCCTTCATCCATCCATCCTTTCAACCCTCGACTTTTTGCATCGCCTCGCGATCAGAAAGAGGTCCATCACGCCGCTCATTCCTCATCCCCTCCCCAGCCTGCTCTGCTGCTCATCATCTGGCAGGAAGAAGACTGCCCTGATTCCTGCCTTTTGCTGCTGCACTTTGTTGTTGCTGTGGCGCGTTGATTCGACGGCTGGTTCGCCTTGACTTTTTGCCCTCTGCCCTCTCCTTACCTTTTTGTTAGCCCCCCTTGACTTGACTTGACTTGACACTGGTCCGCCCTGACCCTTGGATCTCGGAGCCGAACAAACATTGAGAGTCACCCGCCATCACCATCGCCATCGCCATCGTCACCATGGGTTTGCCGTGAGTACAGTGCCCCCTCCTCATTCTTATCACCATCACCATCACCATCGCTGCACCCTGCTCCTGCTTGCGACTGCAATCATGGTCCAAGTGCCGGCCAGCGACGCGAACCTGCGCCTGGCCCCCGCCCCCAGGAGCACGAACAACGCGCTCTCATGCGCCCATCAGAAACCGACCCGCCGCATTGCGAGTGCGGGCAACGCTGACTTGTCGGCGATCATTGCCGCATCTGCAACCGCGTCTTTCTACTCTGTGCCTCTACTGACGCCTCGCTTCTGCCTCTCAGTCTCTACCGCGCCCCTGTCGAGTCCGACCTGAAGGCCAAGGTCCCCAAAGATCCTCCAACCCGCGCTCGCTCAACCATCCGTCGCAATCGCCGAAGTCTCAACGACCCCAGCTCTCGATCTGCCTCGACCAGCGCACACTACTACTCTCGTCGCACTGGTCCCGGTCCCCGCGCTCGCATTATCTCACCTCCCTCTGCTGAATCACCATGGACCCCGTGGGACAATGTCGAGCCTGGTGCTACTGAGCCTTACGCGGCTTCGCGCTCTGCGACCCGCCGGCCTGGCGCATCAGACCCCATGCACCTGCCCCGGGACAACACCACGCAGGACCATTCTGGCCGGCGTGAACCAGTCCTGCGCGAGGTCATCACCCGCAATGGTCCCATGAGCCAAGAAGTTGTGCGATACTTTGGCCAGCACATGGCTAGACTGTACGCCGACACAAGCTCCAGGGGTGGCCAAGACTGGGATGACACGCCTAGAGTCGAGACCCGAGAACGTGCCTCTGCCTCTCCCGATGACGGTCCTCTCCTTGTGGAGGTAGATGAACACACTCAAGTAAGCGACCCTGTTTTCGCTGACACCCACCTGCCCCAATCCCCAATTGCCTCGTACAGGAATGCACATGTACCCTCCTACATGCTGCGCATATACCGATTCGTCCCAGCTACGTTCTAAGTTTCGCGTCTTGACTAACCTCTCATTTTTAGCGGCCGACAACTTTGGTTCGTGAATCCATGGCGAGGCCGAGAAGCGACAGGGATGTGAGAACTCGGACAGACTTTCTGCAACGTCAGAACGAGCGACTCATCGTGATGAGACGTACGCTCAGGGCCCAGGAACTCTCAGCCATGCGGGAAGGGCGTGAAGCCCGCGCAAGGCGATCAACTCCTGGCGATGCCACGCTCGAGGCCCGCTTCGACGGACTAGGCGACCGTGACAGGAGCCTCAGTCCCGAGGGCGACGGTGTCTGGGACACGCTTCTCAGCTCCATCACCCCAGATCCTCAGCCGCCCAGCGTAGGAACCTCGTTCGCTTCCGCATCTGCGGCGACGTCGCATCCCAGCACCTCGTCTGGGGCCAACAGTGCCAATTCCTCGCGCACATCCCTTGCCGACGGGCCCGATGGACCCTACACGGCCGAGGAGATTGGATTCGCTGATGTATGCGAATCTGGCGGTGATAACTCGGACACTGAGGGTGATGAGGACGAGGAGGCGCGAGAGAATATTCTACGACGCTTTGGGCGGACCCACGGGGAAATGACAGAGCGTGATGATGATGATATCGAGGTGTTTGGCGGTGTTGAGTCCATGCAGCGCATCGTGCGGAATCTTGCCAGGCGCGAAGACATTCCCGACGAGTGGTGGGCCGAGGCTGGGCTCAGTCGCACGCTGGGCAGGGAGGGATCCTGAGGGCGAAGGCATTTTGAGGACGGCGGCGGGGGTCGACCGCGCCGGGACCGAGAGGAAAGCACCGGATCCAGGTGCTGCACAATAACCATGACCGAGCTCTTGGTTGAGTTGACGGATGGCCTTGTGCACAACAGTCATGTCACGAAGTTATGGTTTACGGGACAGCAAGGGAAAGATACAAAAGGTCTATCTGGGCAGAGTGTAATGTGTGAATCGATCTGCGAGGTTGCGATCCGAAAGAAAAGCGATGCTTCATTCACCAGGAGTTACAAGTGGCAGCTGCTTCAGGGCGAGCTGCCGAGCCGGCCGCTGGCCATCAAATTGTACGAATAAGTGACGCTGTGCTGGTCGGCCTCCCGATGGCCCACTGATCGTCAGTCGTCATGTGGGAATTGACTTCGCTTTGTGCGCGTAACCATCAAACTATTGCCGAAGTTTCCCAGAAGTGAATGCATGTGTCGTAACACCATCTTGCTTTGGACGGGCGCTCGACTGTCGTATCAGATGTGTGCCGTGCCCGAATTCCGCATACCGGATCTATATGAGAACGAGCCCCGGTGGGCAATGGGGACGTGGATAATGATTGGAAAGTCTAATGTGCATATATACATATATATATGTATATATATACCTGTATATATCGTGGACGAGAGGGGATTATGCGTCTAGTCCCAAATTGGGCGTCGTTATCCCAGGTGATGCTCTCTGGACAAGGGAAAAAGCCACGCGCCGAGGACCGAACTGTGCAGCATTGGGGGCCGATGTTGTCGATGGCCCGCTTCGATCTCAATTCTGTAAGGGGTAGGGATCATGGCACAGGGCTGGATCGCGACATTCATCGCGTCAGACGCGTGCCTTTCTGGCGGAGAGACCAGCGCGGTGGGGGTTGACGCCAAAGGGAGCCCTGGCTCGCGTTTTCCCTTGACGCGTGAGCCAGTGCGCACGAGGCGATAAATAAAATCAATCTACGCGAGCTTGCGGCGGAGAATAAAAGTCTGTGCCCCCGTCCATCATCCAGTTACGGAGCTGAACACTGCAAGACTCTTCTTGGATTATTTCTCGGATTCCGAATCAACCATGTACCATGTCAGCATGTCCAGTTGAGGAATCTGATATTTGTTGCTAGGCCTTGATAGTCCGGGAGCTGGTCACTCCACCACTGAGTCCACTCATCCCCTCTCCCCCACCGTCTGAAATGTTTACAATTTTGGAGCATTGCCCTGCCGACCTGCCAGAACAGACTGCTGTCCGCTGGGCGTGCTCAGGGATCCGGGATGCCAGAGTCCAGAACCCACGGGTGGCACGGCAGCACGGTGGGTGGGTCACCCGAGCCAGGGCCCCAGGCGCCCCTCGTAGGAGGGAGCAGTGTGGAGATCTCTCTCGGCTGATGATGAGCTGGACTGCAGCGAGGGAGGCAGCTCGACCAGGCCTGGCATGGCGAGGACGAGGGCGAGAGGGCGAGAGGGCATGCTGGCTGGCTGGGTGTGGGTATACAGGAAGGAATGGAGATGTTATGGCGATGACCCGTGACAGATCGCTTTCCTCACCTTAGATTAGTCGTTCTTTGAATGGAGATGGGCGAACGCATTCTTCGCTTGACAGCTTGTTTCTACGCACAATTTATGTATATCTAAATCATGGCACGTGCATGGAAGTGTTTTCTGAAACCTGTTGCACCAAGGCCATCTCTCGGATATGATTTGCGTACCATCTTTCTGCCCTGTCAGCTGCCTGTTCATATCCTGTATATTACCTGGCGTATTTACATGGCATGGCTCGAGCATGATTTATGAACCTTGCCCGTGTCGGATATGCCAGATGCAAAGAGTGCGCAGGAGATAGTCTATTCGTCGTCAGCATAGATGCTCCAGACTTCGCACAGGCACCGCAGCTTCAACTGTTGGCAAGCTGGGTTACATAGCAGACCTGAGATCCAAGAACACCCCATGGGCCATGGCATGCTATTGGGGTTCCATTGTGCCCCATCGTTCCTCATCCAGCAGCTCAGCCCAGCAGCCCGGGGGGGGGGGGGAGACTAGGCTGGGACTGCTTGTCTGGCATTGATTGACGAGAGCCCAATAAACCTTATCAACCAGCTTCCGAGACGCACTGGCACCCGAAGAGGAACAGCAGCAAGCAGCTGCAGCAGAAGCAGAGTGGCAGCGATCCGATACTACCTGCCCTACATTACAGTGCCGGTGTGACTGACTGGTGTGACCGTCCATCCCTGCTGTACAGTTCGTTCGAGACAGGGAAGCTTGAAGGCAAGGCATGGGCAAGGCATGGGCAAGGCAAGGGCCAGCAAGGCTGTGAGGAGCCACCAAACCCAAGCCCAATGCTCCCATAATTTTTTGGGTGGATCGGGACCCACTAACAACAACAGTCGGAGTCCGACTCAGACTTCAGACTTCAGGACTTCAGACTCAGGCACGGACACTGAATAATACCTGGGTCACGGACACACGGACACAACAACAAGCTGCTGACCTGGGGATGCTTGCAATGCAGCAGCCCCCCAGCCTAGCTCCAGCTCCAGGCCCTGCAGCACCAGCCAAACTGACACAGCATTGCTGCCATTGGCGCTGGTCGTTCGTTCGTTGGTGCTTGCACTTGCACTTGCAAGGTGCTGTTGCAGTGGAAGTTGTTGATCGTCATTGTCGCTCGCTGCCGCCCAGGCGACAACAGCTCTCCCCGTCCACGACAAAGGCACCTCTTTTCTCTCGACGACCCGCCGCCCGCCCGTCCCTCCGTCCGTCCATCCGCCCCGACAATCACCGTCCGTCGACAATCCACCGTACGGCCTACGCCCAGGCCAAGGCCAGGCCGGCACCGCGCCCCACGCCCCACGCCCCACGCACCTCGCACCTTGCGACCCGCGCCTCACATCACACCCCGCTCTGAGATCATACCCTACGACGCCCCACTGCGAATCTCGTTGGGTTTTTGGGAAAGCAACCACCCTGGAAAGAAGGAGGAAAGCGGAGGAGAGGGAGAAAAACAAAAACAATCAAAACAGACAAGGGTACCCGAAGGAACGGGCTGGCGAGAAAAGCAGCGCAAGGAGAGTGGCACAACAGACGGCTCGTCTCAGGCTGCGGCTCCCTTCCGCCAGCTCATCGGCGCGCCCAACAAACCCGAGGCCACTCTGCCAGTCGGAGGAGCACTGCACAGGACAAGGGAAAGGAAGCAGAGGAGAGGACAGCCGACCGGCATAGGCCAGGCTCAGGAGCTGCCCTGACGTACAGGCCGACCCGACCAGATCACACGCTCGCTGCCGCTGCCTCTCCTTGCATGGAAACCGAAACGGAACCTTAATCCGACCAGGGGCTACACACGATTCTGGGAGGACGCCATGCGGACTGGCAGCTCCAACGCCGCCGAGCGGGCATACCATGCCGCCGGCGGAGGAGGCAACCGGACCCCCGTGTCCGCGAGGACCCCCAGGAGGGAGCCCGGTAGCTCCAGCGCTGTCGTCCATGCCAGCGGCGGCCATGTGCGCGAGAGGGCTCTGCAGGACCCTGGCCTGAAGGACTATGTATGTCAACGTTGGGCTGATGCGCTCCCCACCGCCCCAATCCCTCCCAGTTTCCGGTGCCGTGACGTATATCCTGTGCCGCGACCACCGTGGACAGCAGCCATTCACACGAGGCGAGAGGCGGCTAACATAGAGTCATAACAACAGAGGCTCGGCGATTGTATCGGCAAGGGGGCTTTCGGATCCGTCTACAAGGCCTTCAATTGGGGCACCGGCGAGGCTGTCGCTGTCAAGCAGATCAAGATTGCCGACGTTCCCAAGAGCGAGTTGCGCATGATAGAGGTCAATTGCCTTCCTCCCCCTGTCACGGACACGCCCAGAGATGGTCAAGCTGGTGAGAAGACTGGACGCGGAGATTGCTGACATACGTTGGTCATGGCAGGCCGAGATCGACCTTCTCAAGAACCTACACCATGACAACATCGTCAAATACGTTGGCTTCGTCAAGTCGCAGGACTGTCTGAACATCATACTCGAGTACGTCAGACCAGTAAATTGGGTGCGCGGGGGAGACACGGGCGGCTGACTGTTGGGCAGGTACTGCGAAAACGGCTCTCTGCATTCGATCTGTAAGGCATACGGCAAGTTCCCGGAGAACCTCGTCGGCGTCTACATGACACAAGTTCTCCAAGGCCTTCAGTATCTCCACGACCAAGGTGTCATTCACAGGGATATCAAGGGCGCGAACATTCTGACGACGAAAGATGGCACTGTCAAGCTGGCCGACTTTGGCGTCTCCACCAGCACGCTTGCTGGACCCGACAAGGAGGCTCAGGTTGTGGGTACGCCGTACTGGATGGCCCCCGAGATAATTCAGCTCTCTGGGGCCACTTCTGCCTCGGATATCTGGAGCGTCGGCTGCACCGTTATTGAGCTGCTGCAAGGGCGGCCGCCCTATCACAATCTGGCTGCCATGCCGGCCTTGTTCGCCATCGTCAATGACGACCACCCCCCTCTGCCAGAGGGTGTCTCTGCGGTCAGTCTCCACCACTTCTACTGGGCAGGGCTGCTTTTGGGCTGACTTTTACAACACAGGCTGCACGGGACTTCATGATGCAATGTTTTCAGAAGGACCCAAACCTTCGCGTATCAGCAAGGAAGCTCCTAAAGCATCCGTGGATTGTGGGCTGTCGCAGGAGTGATGCCCCCGTCTCCAAGAGGCCTGCAAATTTCAGCCAGGCAGTCGAGGAGGTCAAGCAGTGGAACAAGGCCCTGAAATCGTCAGAAACTTCCCTGAGAGCTTCCACGGGCTCGGACAGCAGCGCCCAGACTGCCCACGCACAGCCCGTGTCCAGGTTTACCGCTGCCGCGGCAGATCCGCACCGCTCGAATCTCGCAACACCTGGCAAGAGACCGCTGAGCATCACAAAATCTAAACCTAACCCAGACGCGTTCCGATCTCCTGAAGTTGCCGATGACGATAATTGGGACAATGACTTTGCAACAGCCATCTCGCCCAGCGCTCTCCACCTGCCACACCTCAAGCCCCAGGACAACTTCGGGGGCAAGCTTTCTGCCGATAAGCTCAAGCAATTCGCGTCCATTGACGAGGCCAGCACTAGCAACAACTGGGATGACCAGTTCGAGGGCGACCTACAGTCCGTCAAGGGCGCCTCTCGCCAATTCTTTGAGCAAGACCCCCAGGAACAGACCATTCGTCCCACCCCCAGAAGGTCGAGCAAGTCTACTGAAGCATCAAGGACCCCACAGCAAGGACATGGGCACCGAAGGACTAGGAGCAAGCAGGTGTCATCATCGAATGTGCCCTTGCAAAAGCAGCTCACCAAGCCCGCACTTGGTAGCAAGTTCGAGTTGCCCGTGCGACCTGAGGCCATCTACCGGGAGCAGTCCATCGAGGACTTTTCGGATTTCTTCCCTGAGGCGGATAACCTGTTCAGCCGCAAAACCAGTCGTCCTAAAAAGGTAGGCTTGCGTACGACTCCTGTTTGCAGCATCAGTCCGGCCCTGACACGCCCTCGTGCGAGCTATTACACCCTCTTGTTACACTTCGTCATTACCCCGACATCTTTAGTATCCGCCCTGTGACTAATACTTTGCATAACCAATAGGATGATTCTCAGCTGATGCCGCCGCCCGAGCTCAAGACTCAGCACTCTCAGCCAAACATCCATATCGTGCCCCCGTCCGGCGGCAGTGATTCTGCCCGTCGCCAACGTGCTTCCTCACGGCCTCCCGGGCCAGATGAACAGGCGCCAGTGAGGAGGACAAGGTCACATATAGAGATCCAGAAGTTTGCGGAGGGCGAGGACGACGAGGACTTCTCTGATATTCTTGGTCCTAATGGTACCTTGGTAGAGAAGGAAGACAGCGACCGTGGTTCTGAGGATGGTGCGGGCGGCATGATGCTGCTGTCCAAGCTGTCGAACAGCTCATGGCTCGGCGACGACGAGGACGAGGACGACCCATTCGCCATGATGGATCCTGAGTACAACGAGATGGACCTCGAGGCCAACATCGCCCGGGACCGACACGCCCGTTTAGCCGAGAGGGTTGAGGAGCTTGTGCAGCTGCTCAAAGTTGGGACCGAGATTACAGGCGAGGAGCGGGTCTCTGATGTTGCCGAGGAGCTTGTCTACCTACTGCATGATCATGAAGATGTCAAGGGCTTGATCATTGGCGCTCACGGCTTGCTGCCAATTTTGGAGCTACTCACTCTACCACCTGACACCATCAGCACAGCCAAGGGTCGCCAGGACATGATCTTATGGCTGCTCAAGGTGGTCAATAAGGTCAGTCTGCTCATAGCCAAGCCAAGCTTTTGGAACGACTTGCTGACGTATGACAGATCATTTACCGTGACAGAGAATTACAAGAGAATCTGTGTTTCGTAGGTGGCATTCCTATCATCACTAAATTTGCCGCCAGGCAGTTCTCCAATGAGATCCGTCTTGAAACTGCGGATTTTGTTCAGCAGATGTACGAGACGTCAACCCTCACGCTGCAGATGTTCGTCAGCTGCGGCGGCATCTCCGTGCTTGCTGGGTTCTTAGACGAAGATTACGACATGTCCCGGGATCTGGTCCTCGTCGGAGTTAGCGGCATCTGGAGAGTGTTTGAGCTTCAGGGTCCTACGCCCAGAAACGACTTCTGCAGGCTGTTCTCTAAGGCAAAAGTGCTTGACCCACTGGCCGAGATTCTTCATAGGGTGTTGGACGCGGATGAGAAGGATGAGCTGTCCGAATTTGTTGAGGGGCGCATCGTAAACCTCTTCTACATGTTCTCCCAGGCGGACTACGAGGTCAAGGAGCTCATTGCTGACCGCGCAGTCCTCAAGAGTGAGTCATTGAGCAGCCCCCTTTCCCGCTTCTCGTGTGTGTATATGATAACTCAGGCTAACCCTGCACCACGCGATAGCCGTATTGAAGGATCTGGAGACCATGACACCTACTCACCAAATCACCATGCTCAAGTTTATCAAGAACCTCTCCAGCCTCCCATCAACTGTTGAGGTGCTACATTCTGCAGACGCAATCGACTATTTGATTGATCTCCTAGGACATAGCCTAAAGAAGAACACAAGGCATTTTAGGGAGATTTCCAACCAGGTTTTGAACACTATGTTTAACCTGTGTCGACTCAGCAAGGAGCGACAAGAGTATGCAGCGGTCCATGGCATCATCCCCTTGCTGCTGAAGATTATGAAAATCGATCGACCGCCCAAGGAGTTCGCACTACCAATACTGTGCGACATGGCTCACTCAGGAAGCAAAGGGCGTCGATATTTGTGGCAGAACAAGGGCTTGGACTTTTACGTGTCTCTGCTCGCAGACCAGTACTGGCAGACCACAGCTCTCGATGCCATTTTTGTCTGGCTGCAGGAGGAAACGGCCAAAGTGGAAAGTCATTTGCTGGGTGGGAACTTCCCCTCTGCCATTGTGTCGTGTTTCGATACTTCAAAGGCCAATGCCTTCGCTGCATTCGACGCCACCCTCCTTGAGCCCTTGCTCAAGGTCTTCCGTCTGAGCCCTACCCTGGCTGCGTCACTGGGAAAGCCTGAGATGTACAGGGGCATTGCCACCAAGCTGGGCCACAAGAAGCCAGTCGTGCGGCTCAACCTCCTCCGTCTTGTCCGCACTATCCTGGACAGCTGTGAACCAGACCTGGGTGTCAACTCCGTAGGTGGTGGTGCAGAGTTGCAGACACTATTCGAGAATATCCAGATGCTTGAGAAGGACCCAGCTCTGCTAGTGCGCAACCTCGCGCACGAGATCAACAAGACACACATCGAGGGCGATTATTTCGAAACCAAGAGCGTTGGCACTGGCTCACAGAACGGTGGCAGTGGGCGCTCCAGGTCAGGTGGATCGAGGAGAATGACAAGCTATGCCACGTCTCCCAGTCTTGTACACTCGACTACTGCCCCTGGCGCTCCGCCGAGGACACCCACCCATACACCGCAGCTACGGCATACGGGTTCGGCAAGTGTCATCCAACAGATTGCCCACACGCCTCGACGTTCTCAGACAAGTTTGGTGCACGAGCAGGATGCCATGTTCGTCAGGCCTCGGAGCAGGGGAGCAGATGGCGGGCTTATGAGCCCAGCTGTCTCAACACCACGACGTGCTTCTGGTGATGCCAACGCAGCGGGGAGAAGTAGACTCCCCAGGGGTTCGATATCTTACTCTCGCCCGAGCACGGCTAGTGGGCCAAGCCTGCATCATGGCAGGTCTGACAGCTCGCTGAGTAACAAGGAGAATTCATCGGGTGCGGCCGCCGGGAGGAGGGGCTCATATGTTGTCGGGGCAAGGAGCGGTAGTGGTGGCAGCGAGAGCTCCAATGGTTCGCTGTATCCACCGTCGTCACCTGCGGTGGAACGTGACAGGCCGAGCGGCGGCATCAAGAGGCGGGGCAGCAGAGTTCCCAGCTCGGAGCTTCGGTATGCTAACGGCGGTAGCTCAGCAAGAGCCGACGATTCTGGAAAGTGGTCCTAGAATGGCCACTCTGATCAACGGGAACGGCAGCACAGCCGAGCTGTGGTACCCGCCGCTTCTGACAGCCACCGGACATGCGAGGGAGAGCGTAAGGAGTCTGGTGGGAGAAGAGATCATGCCCGATCGTCTCTCACTGAGGGCAGTGACGCGATGGAAAGAAGTCCATCCCCGACCAACCTCGATCTCACCGGCTCCAAATTGAAGGCGCAACTTGATGCGAGCCGTCGGCCGCCCCAATCCCACCATGTTCGGCGCGTGGTCTCCTCACATCTCGCGCCGAGGAAGAGCAGAGAAGAACAGCGTGAGCGGCCCAAGACGGCTGCAGGGACGAGGTCGTCACCGTTGAAAGGGCAGAATGGCGACGTCATGCCCCTGTCAAGGTTGAGCACGAGCCCGACCAAACGGTCGTCGCCTTGCCGCACTTCCCCAGCTCGCAACACAGGCGAAGAGGTTTGCGCAGCGCCTACGCCGCCGCCCTCCCGTGCAAACTCGACCAATTCAGCGCGAGGCAGGGCAACTCCTCAAAAGGCGCCTGATGAGGGAACTCCCACTGCTCAGCGGTCGTTGAAGTCGAGTCCTCAGAAGCGAACCCCATCAAAGCTGAAGCTCAGAGACAGTCTGAGCCCTGTGAAGATGACGTCTGCGTCAGCTTCAGCTCGCTCATCGCCTGGCCTACATGTCAATGGCTGTGCAGACTCGGCAAAGATGGATGATGGGTCGAGGCCGAGTGCTCGCGCGAGTCCACCCAAGAGGACACCGTCAAAGCTCAGGCTCAGGAGGAGCGCACCCGCGGTCGACCTTGCGAGCTTGAGTCAATCTCCGTCGCCGAAAAGACCGGCCAAATCGCCCCCTGCAGCTGGACTCGAGCGAGGCACAACCACCTCTTCTGCCCCACAACCGATGCGCAAAGAATGAGTGCGGATTGGGTATTTTCGGTCATATACTCTGTGCGTGGCATGCATCGTTACGAAGTCGAGAACTTCCGTATTTCGGAGACAACGACGAGGAGACACACGAGGAGATGTTTTTGCTCCGCTGCCTGGTCTGCTGAGCGCCACTTTGCACACACGCAAATTCCGCATTGTGCGTACACATGTACATTTATTTAAAAAGAAACTTTACTTTACGAAGCACTCCGTCTCCCTCTCCTGTGCCAAGACTGGATTACCTGGCATATTTTTCAGTGTTATACTTTTGTAGCTAGCTGGCGGGCAGGTGTTTGCATTAGATCCCAACCTTTCTTGTCTTTTTTTTTTCTTTCTTTTTGCGGTAACAGGCTGGCATATCAACGCATGGAGTAACGCATCATCGCAAGGCATAGCAGGGCAGGGCAAGGCAAGGCAGTACAAGGCATCAGGGACCGGGACTGAAATCGGTGGTTGGTCGGAGGAAATGTGAGGTGGATGCTTTAGGTGCTTACCGGAGGAACATGATGGGACAAATTCGGTCGTCATGCCTGGACGCGGGGATCGAGGGACCCCCGGTGGCAGGTGTGGAGTTAATAGTGAATGGAAGATGTGAAAAACACGACATGTTGAACATTTTTTGTCGTGAAGGGAAATAACCCGCGGACTGTCGTAAATGTGCATGCTTGTACGTGAGTAGGAACGGTGGAATGAGTGAGCGAGTGAGTGAGTAAATGAGTGAATGGGCTCATTGCCAGGCGACTTCTGCGATGGAGCCATGTCATCATGGATCTCACCACGCGTATCCAGTATCTTGATGTGCAGCGGCATGTTAAGCGCAGTTTCTCTTCTAGGTATGGTTTTGTTCCTGTAGTTGAGAATCGGCCATGCACTCAGGCGTCTAAAGGAGAAGTACTGGTAACGACCACTTAGAACCGGGAAGTCATCCAAAAGGTTGTGCGAAAACATGATATCAATATGAGGCGCAATTGACTTTTCTTTTCCTTTTTTCGAACCCCCCCCCCAAAAAAAAACTGACTGTTCACAATTCTTTTTCCAGCAGTCAAATACAATACAAGTGCATCTTTATACTTTCCAGTCTGTATAGTGAATCATGCGCTCTTGAGTACCTTGTATGAGAAACAAATGGCAGTCTGCATGCCATCGATCAATGGCTATTATGTTGATGAATACTGAACAAAGCCCACCGCAAACGGAAATACCAAGTCCCCAAGTTCTACCTTTGGGGAGTGCCACAGAATTCTTTGTGCCCAGGAAACAATTTAACACCGCCCCCCTTTCTTTCTGAATAATGGCCCGGGTTCGCAGCCGAGGAAAAGATGCGGCTGATCGAAAACGTGCTCATCGCATCGCGCATCTTTCTCGCCCATCACTAACTACATCGCAGAATCCAAGGACCAGTGCTGGTGGTGACCGAGGTCTCCTAGCTCATCGCGAAGATGGCGTCAGAACAGCGGCCAGCGAACGCACAGCCAGCGAACCCTCAGCCTGCTGCCCCCCAGCCAGTTAATCCCCGGCCAGTCAATCCCCCAAATGATCCTCCGCCAGTTGATCGCCCACAGCCCCCGACTCGTCAACGTCCAATTGGTGACTGGGAAGATGTGCCCAATCATGTTCCTTACATGCCGGAGTGGACAGACCCGGAGTGGGCCCCCAACATCGAATATGACCGGGAAGGGAAGAGGCGGAGGGTGCTCTGGGCTGCTCCGGATGTGGATTACGGCACCGACTTTCGTCCTGCGATTCTGGACCGCGATAGGGACAAGAACCCCTCGTTCTTCGCTCGGTAAGTAGGCTCGGTCACATTGGCATTTCGCTGTTGCTGCTAACGGGGCCACACAGGCGTTTTGGCCTCTCTCCGCATCCTAATATGTTGTTGGAGCGCGGAAGACGCGGTAGATCTCTAATGACTCCGTCACTCAACGTGCCAAGACTGTTTGCACCACCCTTCACGTGGTCAGATGCGGCCAGCTGGCAGTCATTTGTTTTGGGTGGGCTGAGGACAGACGACGTGAGTGAGTGTATGGAGTTAGAGCTAACACAATGTTTTATACTCCACCTTTCAAATCTCCTCCTCCCGCGTGCTAATGATTAAGTATCCTTAGATAATTAAATCAGGAGCGTACGACGAGGATCATCAATTCAGTGGAACTGACATTGGTGGTAGCCTGCATCCGTAAGTGAATATTAATTTGTCATCAGTGTCGGATAACTCCTGATAGTTTGTAGCCTCCTCGACAGAAATAAATGGCACATACCAGCCCAAAACAACCCTTATCATTCCTCCCGCTTTGTCTACAATGCCCGCTGGAAATTCGGGGATGCACAGGGTGTTTGGGACCCCAGTGTAAGTTGCACATGTGACGAATCTTTTGTTCCCATGCAGTGTCTCTGACCTGGTGTCCTCTCATTCTAGGATGACAGAGTATGGGCAGCCCTGGAGCCGGCGCTTCGGTTGGCGGGGAAGATTCTTTCCTCAAACCCCCCATTCTGGTGAGTGGAGTGGACCCTGTCGCTCTCCTCTCAAGGTGCAAAACCTTACGCACATGGCCGTTCTATCCATTCTATGCTTACAAAGGGCCTTAGGAACGCGATTCTGAGCTTTTACCACCTTCGACCAGTACCAAGGGAGTTAGACGGTCGCACGCTTGAAGCCCAGAGACGGGATGAAGTGCCATTTGTATCGCTGTGGCTAGATGAACAGAAACCAGGAATGTACACGAAAGCTGCAGAACTCAAGCGCCGGGGCTTCAACTCCAAAGTTGCGACCCTGGCATGGCTGGAACATCGTAAGGCTGTGTCCTAGATGCAACTGGCAAGCGTACAGCTAATGATTGAAATTTGTGTGAAAGACCTTCGTTTCAGCATCGGCTACGGCGCTGAAGAAGAGAGGGGCGGCGTCGCTGCAACCACTTCTTTCCGTGGTTATTCTAACAATAACGTGCCCGGCGTTAGCATCACTAGTAAGCACCTAGGAGAGATGGACTTTGTAGCTTTACCTCGGGGGGTTTGAAGTCGAAAGGGCCAACTTGGTTTGAACGAGACCTTGCTATCTTGCCGGTTTCGTCCAAAGACTTACCAATGAGTTTTCTACGAAGCAAAGTTGAGTTGATCATGGCCATAGCTGATCAATGGTTGTCTAGTATCTCCTGAGCTACTTTGGCCGTTGATGACCACTGAATTCCCGGAGGCTAAAGCTGCGACCACGTTCCAGCTCGTGGTCACCATACTCCACGAGCTAGCCGTGAGTAATTCATGCCCCCAACACCACGCAAGGCTATCGGCTGACACGTGGCGGCTTTTAGCATGCATGTGATCGTGAGTGAGCCCCCTTGGAGATGTGCCACTACATATAACGCGAAACACATGCGGTGGTGAGAGCAAGAGCTAAGATAAACACACAAGGCGCACATCTGCATATGTTGGAAAATCCATACAGCTTAGCGCAATGCCCAAATATGGACATCCCTGAGTTCACGGGGGACATAGCCCTCCTTCTTTTGCAATTGGGAGCTCAATTACGTGGGCCACGAGAAGTAGATCAATTTTTGTAAGTCCATCTAACCCTCTCTGTAGCGTTCGGAGGAATGAGGTTTGTCATCTGCTGCATAAAAAAATAAACACTCGCCAATTCGATCCTTGTCCTCCATTGCATCTCGCTAAGTTGGCAATTCCTAGCGTTGAATACTACCCACAAGCCGAGGAGGGCAAAGCCTTCGAGAAATCTGTCCGTGTTTCCATCATATTTTGGTGGTGTTCCAGAGTGCTAAGACCTTGAAAATAGCTCTGGGGCGATGCGATAAGTATAATGCCGGGACCTATAAGCCAGCGTATGACCAACTTGTCTCCCTGCCTTCAACTCGAGTCGTGGCCTTGGAGCCACCGAGCTCCAGATCTCCAACACCAATTCGTTGACAAAACGCGGTATGCTCGATATGCAAGAGGGCCATATGTCGGTTATTTGTTGAACCCGCCTGCTCCTGTGTACGATTTCTCTAGACCCCTGCCAGTTGAGTCTTACGCACGCTTCTTTCGTGAGTCCTGGTGGCAAAACAACTTTGAGAAATTCGGTCATCAAGCACTAAAGATAGTCACACCGCCGGATTCTCCCATGGCCGTCAGATCACGTTCACAGTTCAGATGGACCGAATTAAGTCAAGTGTTGAGCAATGATGACTATAATTTCATCTTGCGTACAGCGTGGCCATTACTGTGAGTTCTCTGCCTATGCCTCACATTCCTGTTCCGACAAAAGCCAATCTGCCCTATGCTGCAAGGCTTCTGCCTAGGGAGCTCAGATGCACAATGGTCTTCATGTCCTTGAGATGCCCCAGCTGTCCGACGGACCATCCGTCCAAAAGGCGAAGTCAACCATGAAAACATTTCTACACGGCTTCGCCTTCAAATGGAGCTGGATTTTCAAGAATATTTACAGGGAGATGCTGACCATCACTTTTCTTGCTTAGGGAGGAACACAGGCTGGGCCTGTTGATCATATGGCTGCTGGAAGAAACAGAGGGCATGGTGACCGGACAGGTCACAATGCAACGACTCCGATTTGAGGCAAGGACTTGGAACAGCAAATATCAGAGATTACGAGATCTGTGTGACAAGTTCTTGGGCGACATTAATTCACTGGGTTCCATGATAGATACCTGGCTTGCCGCAAGCAGACAAGGAACTCTTACAGCCGAGTCTCAGGCAGCCATGACAGCATCTTGTAAGGATCAGTTCCCAGAGACGCCCCAGCCGTCCCCACGAAATTGTCGTTTCTTTCCCGATTGCTGGAGGGCGGAGAAACAAAACCCACTGGCAACAGCTGAATTGGGGTCTGAGGTGAGGTAACAGAATTAACTAACTTATCTTTTCAATATAGTCGGTCGAGATGCAACCTTGCTCTATGCTAATGATCTGATGGAGCTGGACCGGCTTCTGAGACACTCCATACAATACGTACAGGCGATGATTGCCATATACTCAGTCGTACCAGACGAGGCCTACAGAAGGCTTGTGCATCAGAAGTATATGGTACCTCTCAGAGGCAATTTGCAATCCACAAGCGTTAAGTTTGGTGAGGTAAGGCTGAGGATCGAACGCTTTCTAGCCGCCACACAAAATAATCCCAGAATTGACGCCCAAGAGTTTCTGGCTCCGCGGGTCCAGCTACTGAACCGTTACCTCGCTGAAGCTGCAGGTCCCACAAAATACAATCTCAGCTATCTCGAGTACTTGATTGGCCTTCTGGAAGACAGGTTCGTCGCGCCGGGGTTTGACTATACCCGTCACCCCTCACGATTGCCGGCCGTGCCTGACGCTCAAAAACGTATGAGTCTGGCTCACAGTCTTAGGAGGGCTGCAGAACGTTCTTTGCGCTATGTTTCGGAACATGGTGCGAGGTCCGTCCGCGATGCTGTCCAAAGGTGGCTGCGGATTATCTCGTCGATGAAGCCTGACTTCGGAATGGAGAACCAGATCATTGGTGTGGCCGCAGAGGACACCCCCATGGGTAACACTTAAGCTACAGGTGTTTTATCTCAAGGCTTGTGATGACAATTGAGTCCTGCGTGCCTTGTAGGTCCTGAAATGCATGGGCCAGAAAGAGGCTATATATGTAGCGACTTAAACGCAGCGAGGGTCCCGGGAAGAAGATTCAGCATGTCATGTTTCAACACATTCTCTTTCCTCCCTCTCCTGCTTTAATCCTCTGCCTGTTACTTAAATACTTGACTGTGTATCGTTCAGCCAAGCAGCTTGGCAGCCTTTTGGGTTCGCGCGACGGGGTTACTTTTCTCTGTCTAATGCTCAATCTGGTATCTTCTGGTGATATAGCAATCAAAGATGTTAGGTTTGGGCTGATTTCGTCATGAAGGATGAAGAAGAAAATCGGGAGAAAATTTTATACCACACAAAGTCGGCCACTTTGGGCTGGAATGCAGGACGTGGAACTCACCGGGCTGAGGCAAGAAGGAGACTGACGTCTTTGGCTTCAGAAGTTGCCCCTTAGTCTATTTCCTTGTACAGCCGTGCAAATCTTGCTTTCAACGCCCTCTAAGATAGCCTGACTCCTCATGAAGTCAGCTTATCCCGATTATTGCCGACGCAGGAAAGTCTATTAGACCCTACAGACCTCGTCATGTCAAGACCAAAACAGGCACGATGTCCCACTGGGCCCTGATCAAAGAATGGGCGGCTCGACTCATGCGTCGAATCTTGCCGTCATACATCCGTTTCTGTAGTGTGGAGAATATCTGGAAGGCTACAAGTAATAGACATGCTCTGTGCTCTTGATCTTAGACTCTCCTGATATCTTTTTCAAGTATAGGATTGTAGAAATAAAAGAAGTACCCCTATTCGGATTTTTCAAATCGCAACTGCAAGTCAAGCGGCCCAAACGCCTCCAGAGTCGACTAATTGTAACTGGTCAAGCGGGCATGGCGCTTTCTCCATTGCCTTGCCAGTTTGAAGGACAGCGCCCCAAAATGTAACAGCCTTTTTCTGGGCTCTTGGGTAATTCAGTAGGTTTCTCGGCAGTCTATCTGGTAATGACATAGGTTTCAAATGCGATTTCTACTCGGACGATTGATTCTCAACGCAGTCAAATACGTTCTGTTGACTCTGTTCTAGAACTGACTCATGATTTAGTACCTGTTCATCCAGATCTGGTTCATTACTCTAGTGTTGAGAGAAATCTGTGTTGGTGACCTATTCCCTTCGTGGGCAAGATTCTGGCGCACTCCCGCAATCAGCCCCCGTGAATCTGACTTCCGCAATACCACGTTCAGTTTCCGGACAGCTGCCACCCAGACATCCGTTTTCCAATTTCTTGTTCATCAAAATTTCATTATTTTCAATACGAAGTAAGATGACAGCTTCAGATTTCCGGCAGGCCTTGCGAAGCCTGCTGATCACCAGCCACATGATCATGGGATTCCAAAAGCGCTGATGGCTCGAGGCTGTGGGCCAAGGAGGACTGAGTGCCTGCAACCAAAGAGTCAATGCCTGGTCTTTGAGTCCAGTACACTTCCACCTCGATAGCAACATCAACCCGAGGGAAAGTGTTTGTTCGGTTTCGAAACAGGTCGACAAGTTCCTGTTTCAACTGCTCCAGGCCACCAAGACACTTCATCGGCTCATCGCAAATGCATGATCTTGTCACTCTTTCCCGCATCACTAGAAACGTCTTTAAAGGAATTCGTTCGATGGCACTAGAAGATTCCGGTCGCCGTTCGGTTGGTAAATCGAAGTGCATGCAGAGGAAAGGGCCTACAACAGTTACAATGGTAACTCTTCTGAGGCTTGGATGCGTCCCCAGAACTTGACGGTCGAAGAAACTCAAGTTTCGATCGGCGGAAAGGTTGATGAGAGCAATGCTCTCGATGCGGGAAAACCAGTGCGACATGTTGCGGGACGGGGGTCCAGGCGTGAAAGGAAACAGGCTGGTTGCGCCGTGAAGGTATTGGAGAAAGTTCCTGTTTCCTCCATTGCTATTGCCATCTGTGGAATTGTTTACGAAACAAAATGTGTCGTTTCTGAAGTTGACGTAGATATGGGCAGGGCTTGCCATGCTCTTGGGCGTCTGAATGCGACTGAAGGTTGCTGCGGCGGGGAAGTCATCCTGCGAAGCCCAATGTTGGTCCTGATTATTGGTCGGAAGCTCAATCTTTGTCCAGGGGGCAACGGCCGCGTTGGGAACTCGGGTCTGGTTTGGATCGTCTGCAGTGGCGATGTTCAAGATGGGCCGATTCGTGTATTGGTCAGCGCCTGCATAGAGACGGCCGGACAAGACAATCATGCTCCGGAAATAGTGACGATGGTGCGGCTGCGCAAGCTGGTAAAACTCCCAGATACGCAGTTGCAACTCGCGGGGGAGCTCGAGGAAGTGATCGAATCTTTGCAGTGTCGCCATGATCAAGTTGAGGGCATTCCAGGAACTTACACAAGAGGTTGGTTACATTGCATGCTTGGTGGTTATAGCTGGCTGCAAATACGGGTGTTTTATATGAGACTGTAGTCTGCTATACTACTAGTAAGGCATGCAGAACACTCAGGCTGTAAAACATGGTCTTTGATTTGAGGCGCATGGGATCATTGATGCTGTCAACTTGTCAAAAAGGAAACACCTTAGACATATGAACGCAATGTTCACATCTAAGGCAAGTTTGTGGTTATGGTACTTCCAATAATATTGATCACTGTCCCCATAATACCCACATGCAGAAGTCTGTTTAGGTGACATTCAAGATTCGCAAGGCAACAACATAATTTGTTATTCTTCCAATGATAGTTCCTCAAGACATTGTCCCTGAAATGAGTAGTGCCTATTTATCTTCCATTGGCCTTCTGAGGTGAGCATTTGCATCGTGCCCCAGAGCTCGCCATAACCATTGTCACCACTCAGATCTCTCTGGCTGGAGCCTTAGGTTGAATAATAACAGCCACATCTAGAGCCCATTCCATGAATCATTCGGCACCGTCACTGGCTTTGGACTGTCGAGTAATGATACATGATTGTAATTGAGGCATTATTCAAAACATATCGGCAGTAAAAAAGATTGAAAGTCTAACGAGGAAGTCCGTTGATTTGAATGTACACAGAATTCCGAAACTCCCAGATTTAAAAAGATTGCAAACATAACCGCTAGTTAGTAATAAGCACATAGATTTCAACTTGTTTCAATATATAATCTCTGAATAAATGTATGTAAATGAATGTTTATTGATTGGAGTACCTGAGTAGATACATAGCGGCACCTAAAAGCAAATTGCACCGCCAGTACCACCCTAAATCTAGATTGAGACGATCCCAATCGATTCACCTAATAGCAGACGCGTCTAGGTTGGGAAAACTTCTTGAGAAGCTTATTCAACTTACCTTTACCCTTGCCGGCAACGTGTGCGACGAGGTCGCTCTTCGAGTTCCATAATGAGGTCTTCCGAAACGTTCTGAGCTGGCTCCCATGTGTTGTACTCAGGACCCCATCCTACCCATTTGATGAGATATTGGCGACTGTCCTTTGGACCCCAGCCTTGAATGATTTGCTCAACGTAGAAGATGTCGTCATTCAGTTCCGGGGAAAGAGTAATGACTGAGGATCGCTGAGTCGAGGATGAAGAAGAAGGAATGGAGCAGAGGGAAGAGAAATTGGAAGCTTCTGAGTTCTCAATGTTAGTGTTCATGGGTTCTGTAGTATCAGGGGAAGAGGCGGAGGTGGAGGAGGAGGCAAGACATGATGGGGAGGATGAAGAAGCTCCCCCCTCTTCTGACTGCATGTTGTGTTCCTCGAGAAGACCACTGTTCGCTGGCAGCTGAAGAATTGATGGGTTAATGCATTGGTCCTCCATCGGTAGTATGGGTTTGAAGGCAAGCTGGAAAAACTCACTGGATGGACTCAGAGATTGAGTGATATTTCCATCGACATCATTGAGCACAGTCTCGTAGATGTACTGCTGATACCAATCGTCGAAAGTAGTCATGATGGTTTCAACACAATATATCCGAAAATGTATCTTACCCTCAAGACTGTAACAGAAAAGTAGAGTAGAATGTGGATGCAAGTAATTCTCTCTGTTCTTGTCGTCCAATTGGTGATAGCCAAGCCATTTCCTAATAGTCTCAACTGGGTTGTTTTGAGTTTATATAGAGCACGCACACGAGATATTATTCACCAAATAACAATCCCGCACAATCGTCTTTGTCGTTGTCCCGTATATCTTTGTCCACCACATGCCCATAACAGCATTGTCATTCGAATTCCACAAAGACACGGCTTGGAATCATAAATTCGGACAAGAGTTTGGGATGGCGGTCTTGCCGTGGTCCCTTGGACTGCCAGCACCCGCACGTGCGGACAAGGAAAGCTCACTGACGGAAGTTACCAAACGCAGATAGCGCAACAAGCCGGGGCAATGTGTTACTTGAGTCTTGCATCAGACCTCTGAAGTGGAAGTGGCGTTTCCTTAGCCTAGTATCTTTGTTTTCTCTACAGTATGAAGAGTGCCGTTCCCTGTCAATTTTAGTGGCAATTGTCTTGTGCCTCAACTGGCGTAAGGATTCGCCATGAGGTGGGACTCAAAATGCGGAACCAAGAAATTTGGGAACAAACGATTCGTTCATCAAGTGAGGGCTCAATTACATCTATGCACACTGATATATAGTTGCAGTAATGCTGTTCCGGCAAAAGCGGTCTCAGCTCCGTTCTAGTTCAGTTCACAATTCACAATTGAGTAGCGGGTTCAGTTCAACAACAACCGCATAGTGCACGCAAATACAGAATCCAGCCCTCCAAAACTAAGAACGTAGAGCAGAAATTCTATGTACTAGGTATTCTTAGACCTTTAGAATGTGCTTTTTTGAATATTAAAGCAGCAGGTTCTAAAGGAAAGTAAAGTGTGGAAAACGTTTCTGTCCCTTTTGATGCCAAGAGAAGCATAGAACTATTCTTGAAACATAGAATTCTGAAGTATAACTACCCAGTCGAGACAGAGACCTCCGATGTCTACCGTAACAATTGTGGCAATGCTCAATCATTGACTTTGGAAATAAGAAATCGAGCAGGATAGCAGGAATCGCCAGCCAACAGCATAAGATCGAGGCTTCACACACTGTCATTGAGCAAGCTTCAGCCACTTAAAAGTAACAAAGTATGGCCGTTCACCAAGGTTGGCAATGGAGAGCATTTGATGTTCATCGCATGCGGCGGAGTGCTGAGATCGCTGCGCCAGTCCTCTGTTCTTTTTTCTGCGCTTCAAGCTTCAGTCTTCGTTCATAGCCTTTCACTTCCATTCCTTCAGAGACCACTCAAGTATCTCGCAAAGATCCTGAGACGATATTTCAATCATGATTTGATCGGAGCCCTGAAGGGAGGCCGCAACGTCTTTGCAAATGATGTCTTTGAAAAAGAGCTGTAGCGAAACCGACTCATTATGGTTACCGCATCCGTCCATAAAAGCCTATAGGTATCAGTGGAAGTATCCTGTCTTTGGGGTATAGATGGGCAAATACCAGTTTTTTATCATCCTCACGGGCGGTAACAACTGTTTTACCGTCGTGGTTTTGGAATGCAGCTCTCCATACCGAAAGCGTGGCAAGTGCCGTGTCACCGGTATGGACTCGACGTCCTTTGGCCAGATTCCGCCTCCCTCGATAAATCCGACTCAGATCCAACAGAATGACAGTCTGTATTGAGCCATGGGAGCTTTTGATCAGAGTTCGAGTCCTTTCCTCGAGCCGCCCCAAAGATCGAGACAAACCCACACCTATGGCCAGCGTCGGATAATGCGAGTGCAAGTGGCACTGACATCCTCGATCATAGAAAGACCCATCCATTGTGAAATTGTCTCTCCCACCCAATATCTTGATTATAGCATCATTCATTCCGACTTGGACATTGTTGAGGGCTTTTCGGAGTGCCCCATCGATGCCGTCATCGGGGTTGACCCACGCTTCCTGTATCGCATGTACTCGTGTCGATATCAAGCCAACTACTTGCGTTGCGAATAGATCATGTACCCAGCGAACACTTAAACTTCTGTTCGCAGCATCTAGTGTGCTTGCGCACATGTTCTCCCAGTCCTGGAACTTTTGCAGGAGCTCTGAAACGGAAGGGCGGTCACGACCATCGTGCGCCAGCATATCTTCAACCAGCGGCCGAAGCACGTGATATAGAGATACCTCAAAATAGTCAAAGACAGGTCCTTCGTATTTCCTTAAAAACTCGTTGATCTCCTTCAGGTGTCTTGCGAATTGGCAGGATTGTTCGAAAACGATTTTCTTGAAGTCCTCTATAGAGCGAGCACCGCCATAGATAATGCTTTCCATCTCAGCGAAGCAGCAACCAAGGGAGAAGATGTCAGACGCAAGTGTCGGCTCATAGCCCCCTTCAGTACTCTGTTCCGGAGCCTCATGTGTGTATGTGGATTTGGTGTTGTTTGTCCAGCCACCGGGTTCGTATCCCTTGCTGATTCCAAAGTCTATGATGATGGGACGGACGATAGGATTTGACGGGTCGACTGTTTCTTCACAGAGAAGTATGTTTGCTGGTTTGATATCCTTGTGTCTGATTGGGGGTTCCCTGGTGTGCAAGTATTCAAGCCCCTCTAGACACTGCCTGATGATGCTTGGCCAGGGGTCCACTTGCCCAAACTTGTACCAGGGGCATTTGGGCCAATAATTAATCTTTGACCACGCAAAACGGTCGAAGAACATTTCCAAAGACACCTCAGCGAAAGGCGTTGTGACCAAGAAAATCTTGTCTTCGCCTCCGATAAAGTATGCCTCTACCAGTTTAAGAATGTTCCGATGGTTGCATTGCCTGAGATAGTCGATCTCTTGTCGTATGCGTTGCTTATTTTTCGGACTGACCAGGGTTTTCAATTCTTTACAGGCAAAGACTTCTTGACTGTCGGAGTCTCTTCTGATTACTTTACTGACAATACCGTGCCCACCTCTTTCTACCCATTGCCTGTCCCGAGGCTCAACAAAAGGCACTTCTGTCGGCTTGGAATATACCTTGATATCACTTCTCTGGAGTTCCGCTGGCAGACTCATGTCAGGGCTTAGGATGTTCTCGATATTGATCCACAGAGAGAATAGAGAAGAGAGGAGTGCTGGGCTTGGGATCAGTGCCGGCGGGGAGGACTCTCGGTCGTCAGGCAACTTCACCAAGCTTTGCCGAGAAACGATCAGACTAAGTATCCAAATTGAATGAGGACAAAGAAAGCGTTTCAGTTCCGGACGAGAGACACTGACAGAACGTCCGAGGATGCAGACACCATATTTCCATACGGAGTGATACGATTTAAGTGCTCTATGCTTTTATGCCAATATAGCTACAACAGTCTGCCGTAGCGTGGCTAAGTGCATGCATGCATGGATGTTGTACAACTCGACGAATACGTAGGGATAATGTATCCAACCAAGCCCTTCAGGCAGCCATACAAGGGCATCACTTCCATCCCAAGCCAGGTGTCGCTATGAACAGAGCGAAGCGCTTGCGTGAGAGTATCAAAGAGATCACGACCCTACTCGTGGCGACGCCAAATACGTTTAGCATACAGCACTTTTGCACCAATGCGCTGGATTGAGAACTGCCCTGCGCTCCCAAAATACACTGGAGGTTCAGCTGCAGATTGAGTGGTTCGAGCACAGGCCTTGGAGACAGGAGTGACAGCCTCGTTAGGCTGCCAGCTTGCCGAACTTGGCTGCACACCAAGCCAAGGGTGTCGACTCGAGCACAGCGCAACACCAGGCTGTGCGAGCTGCGTGCATCTTGCTGTATTTTCGGACAACTTGGACAGTCTCAGACCTCGACCTGTAGACACCACTGTACAATCCCTGCACGACCCCACAGCCTTCTCCTAGTCGACGGGCGGGATGGTATTTGGATCGTGGGTCAACGAGATTGAGACTGGAACCACTGTAGTCTGTCATCCGGGGCAGACGGCAGTATCCGAGCCGCAACTGTAAGCATACCTTTGTCATGGAAACAAGAGTACAACGCTCGGCGGCATCTGCCCCTTGTGCGCGAGCCGCGCGGAAGCGACCCCATGTTAAGCTCGAGGCTCGCCTTGTAACATAGAAGAGACATTGTTCAAGAGCACTCCACCTAGGATAGCCGGCCCACTCGGACATCGGGCAGACCGCTACTATGACCTGTAAATGGAGGGGGAGGCTGATTCTATGTGGTTACAAAAAGCAATATTGGCCCCCTTTAGGCTTTAACACGCTTGCCGATGTTACACTGCTGCGCGGGTCACGCCCGAGCTCTGCAGCGGGATCTTCACAAGCAGATGGGGTTGTCCAGAGTGGAGCGTACCGCGCGGGTCGGAAGAGATGGAACGGCGACTTGCCTGCACTCCACGTCCTACCCCACCAGCACAACGGCGAGCGCCAGCCAGCGCTGCAGGCTGTATGAAGCTGAACGCGTCAGTGAGACCAGTGCTGATGGTGACAAGGGGTGGTTTCTGTGGTCTGTCAGCGCTAATGTTGGCCCAGGTAGAGAAGGCCGATCTGCACACATCTATCGCTGTGGGGGCGCGACAGAGGTGCGCAAGGATTTGGTTCCTCGTTGGGACATTAGGCACTACGCCCTGTGTGGACACACTTGTCAAGTCGACTTGTGGGCTATGGCTGGCTAGCATTGGCTCTCGCGCGAAGGAAGAAACGCAAGTGTGTTGATGGAGTTATTCTTGGAACATTCAAGGCTTCTTGAAGGGTAAGGCTCGCCGAGGCGCAGAGGGAAGGAAATAAATACTCGGCTCCTGCTTGACATCTGCGTGTTATTTGGGCTCTTCCTCTCCTGGCAGGAGAATTACTTGTACCCATTCAATTCCTCCGTGGCCGCATTTCCAACCCCAAGTTCTGCTATGATGATATCTGAAGTTAAGACAGAATTCCTCGTCGTGGGAGCAGGTCCAGCAGGGGCAGCTCTAGCATCTTTCCTTGGGCAGAATGGTATGCTCAAAGATCCGGAATCACCCCAACCCTCCCCCTCTCTTTCTTGGGGTTCCGAACAAGCTGCTCAATCTGCTAACACAGCATGCAGGCCTGAAGGGGATGATGATAGCTGGCTCAGCCGGTACCGCAGACACGCCCAGGGCTCATCTCGTGAACCCCTTTACTATGGAATGTCTTCGTGACATCTCTATTGAAGATGATGCCATGAGACTCTCCCTTCCACCTGAGCTGATCGGAGCGTTTCGGTACTCCCGTAGTCTCCTGGGCCAGGAATTAGGCAAAGTACACCACTGGGAGGGGGTGCCTGAAAATGCAATGAACGTGAAGAAGCATACGCCGTCCAGGTGGATTGACCTCCCGCAGACATATCTGGATCCAATCCTGGTCAAACATGCCACGCACCACGGGTTCCCAGCTCGCTTCTCGACGGAGCTCGTCTCGGCAGAGAAGGACCCGGCGAGCGGAGAGTGGACTTGCACGGTGAATGACCTTATTCGCAACGACACTTATCGTATACGTACCAAGTTCCTCTTTGGTGCCGACGGAGGCCGCAGCCAGATCGCAAGGTCTGCGAATGCCACACTGTCATCGCAACCTTCACAGGGCATCGCTTGCAACGTCTTGTTCAAGGCGGACCTTTCCCACCTGATGGAAGAACGCAACGCGCAACTACACACCATCATCAACCCAGCTGCAAATTCGCGCTTCGGCCGAGGACCCATCATTCGAATGATCCGCCCCTTCCACCAATGGATGGTTGTCTCCTTCTCGCCTGGAATTACGGCCGAGCAGGACCCGTTCAAAGGCGTCGGACCAGACGACCCGGAGCTTGTGGCATGGGTCCGGGAAGCGATCGGGCTGGGCAACAACCCGCTGACCAAAGACATACCTGTCAAGGTCGAGCGGCTTGACCCTTGGGTCGTCAGGGAGACGGTGGCGGACAGCTTCACCCCTGACGAGAACGTGTTCCTGCTGGGTGATGCGGCGCACAGACACCCACCAGCTTATGGCCTGGGAAGCAACACTTGTGTGCAGGATGGGTACAACCTGGCCTGGAAGGTCGCATACGTCGCGAAGGGCCTTGCCGGGCCTGAGCTCCTTCAGTCGTACAACGCAGAGCGGCAGCCAGTGGGCGCGCAGCTCGTCAGGGAGGCCAACCGGTGTCTGCTCCAGCACCTCAATGTCTGGGCTGCGCTCGGGATGGTGGCCGACACACAGGAAGAGCGCGAGCGGGCCCACAGTCTTCTGACCGAGGCGACGCCCGCAGGAGAGGCCCAGCGGCAGAGGCTGCACGAAGCCCTGGAGGCCAAGATGGGAGAGGGCAAGAGCCTCGGGCTGTGTATGAACCAATGGTACGAGTCCTCAGCCGTGTATCTCGACGACGAGCCAGGGCCTCGGGCCCTGCCAGAGGGATTCGATCGAATCTCGGATGTTCATGTGTCAACATACCCGGGCTCGCGGCTCCCGCATGCCTGGCTGGACACGCCGGTGAGGAGGAAGGCAATCTCCACACATGATCTGGCCGGAAAGGGGGCGTTCTGTCTGCTGACGGGCTATGGGGGAGAGGGCTGGCAGAAAGCGGCCAGCAAGATCTCGCAAAAGACGGGGATCCCGATCAACACGTACAGAATCGGGTTTGGCCTAGAGTGGCAGGACATCAACCGCGAGTGGTACGAGAGGAGGGGCGTGGAGGACTCTGGATGTGTTCTGGTGCGGCCGGACCGGTTTGTTGCGTGGAGGAGCCCCAAGCTGGTCCAAGACTGCGAGGGCAAACTGGCGACAGTGCTGGACAAGATCCTATCTCGGCCATGAGAGAACAGGTTCAGCGACGCTGTCAAAGGCTGCGAAGCCAGAAGATGGCAACCTCAATGTAGCCTGTGTCAAGAGGCAGGATAGCAGTATGGATCTCTGGCTGTCTGATAAATGTGGTATGCGGTAGATATATGTGTCTGCTGTGCAATCTGTACGTCGAGCGAATGCGTGCGTGTTGTATGCGCCACTCACTCAGCCCAGCTGGGCAGCTGCTGCTCAACTCACTTTCGTATAGACTATGGCTAGCCGGACCGCGCGATGATCCAAATCGACGGTCTGGAGGCGGTTACCAGTACGTCGAGAAATATAGTGCATGCAGGCAGGCAGGCAGGCAGCCCGGCTACAGGTGCATGAGCTAGCGCGTTTGCATGTTCGCTCGCCTCTGGTCTGCCATGCTTTAGTACTGTGAAGATGGCGTAATCTGTAGCCATGTAGCTGTCGTTATCCTGGCCCAAAGTCGCATCACGTATCACGCATCACGCAGCCTTGGGCACGCGACACGGCCCAAGGTTTGCAGAACCACCAGAGACAGCTTCGGGGCGCGTGATGCGAGTGCATGACGGACCAACTGGATGGAGGGCGTGTGATTCAGGCAAAAAAGAGACGAGACAAGACTTGACGAGACTTGTGTACCGTCATGTTGATTTAAAATTGGCAGGTAGAGACGGCGTTGACGCGATACAGTACCTACCAAGTTCGAAAGGTATCTATGTAGACGAGGTAGCGCAAGTAATCCAAGGAGGTCCAAGATACATGGACATGGTGCTGGATGCCGGGTCTGGGGGGGCAAGACCTAGGTATTGAGGTACCTCGCCAGGACACCCCAGTGACATGTGGCATATGCACGTGGTGATAAGGATAAGATAACGAGGCAGACAGGGAAGGTAGGTACTGTAGGTAGGTACTAGCCCACCTGCACCTGCACCTGCACCTGCAAACCTGCACTTGCACTCAAGGCGGGAGATTGAACCACGTTCTGGGCACTCGTCTGCCAAATTTCAATCAGGGCAGGCTACTAGCCTTGGAACTGGGGGGATTGGAGGGGATTGGAGGCCCCAGCTTTTTCCCACTTGACTGGCCTCTGCCAACTTCCAACTAATTGACCTAATAACAGTAGTAATGACCTCGAGAGATGGACCAGCAGACAGACACCTTGGCCACAATTTGCTAGGTGCACAGAGAGTGTGTGAATCAATGCGTACGTGTATGTGTTTTGTGCTGAGTGGCTTGCACATATTGTTGCTACAGGCAGAAGATTGTTCTATTGTGTGTGTGTGTGCTCTTGCTCTCTTCTCCCTGCTCATTCCTTTTCCTCATCCCATCTTTTGTCGCCCCCATCCGTCGTCTGCCAACACAATCAACGGAGTAAAGCGCCCCCCCAAAAAAAAACCACCGATCGCCTTAGCTGAGCTGCCCGTTGGACCCTTGTCACATGCCCCCATGCCCATACTCACGCCCGCGCCCACACCCCCAGGTCGACTGACGTGAAAGCAAGTAAGCAAAAAGCTGGAGGCAGAAGAGACAAGCCACGAGCCACAAACGACACCACACCACGACACATCCCACCCCCACATACTCCGACTCCTGGAGCCTCTGGGATAGCTTCAGAGCCCCGTCGACCGACTGGCACCTCTCGCGGCGAGCAACGACCACACGAGCACTTCATCGAGCACGAGCACGAGCACGAGCACGAGCACAACAACGGTCTGGACGAGCGCATTCACACCCTGCCGCAGATGCATTCGAAAGGCTGATCTCGACTCACGCCCTGGTCCTCTCCCTCCCTCCGCAGCCTCGCCGCCCCTCCCATCCGAGCTGCGGCCGCTGCCCTGCCTTGCGCTGCCGCCGCCGCCCGCCGCGACGCCTGCCACAGCTCCCTGCTCCTCCCTTCGCAGCAGCCAATCAACGGGGCCCAGCAGCTACAGGGTGCAGAACCAGCTTGCCCTCAAGGCCCTCGGTGCGCCCGTCGTAACTGCTCCTCGTCGTTCGGCTCGACGATAGCCTCAACAGCCCTATCTACAAGCCGCCGGCTCGGCGCGTCTCCTCACCGAGCGGCGCGTCAAGCTCTACGAAGCTCTACGATCCCCTGCCTCCGTGCGTACCTGGCTGCTGCTGCTGCTGCTGCTGCTCATCCTGCCCCACCACCTCGTCATCGGCTACTCCCGTCTCAAACGCACCTAAACTCGAGATGTGGGCTATCTTCAAGATATTCTCGGGCGCAGTCTACCTGCTGTCCATCATCCTCTCAATACCCATCGCCTTCGATGTCGGCGGTCGCGACTCTGGCCTGGCCTACAGCCTGTCCATCTTCCTCTTCTACTTCTTCTACAGCTTCGTCAAGGCCATAACCCCAAAAGATTCACGGCTGCGGTCGGCCTTGACAAACCTCCTCGGCACCCTGCAGTGGATCGTTCTTCCCAGCCTTCTCATCTGGTCGCTCAGCCGTTTCTCCGTCGATGCCGGCTCCACCGACTGGGTATCCAGGACCCTTGGTCATATTCGCCCCGCCGCCAAATACACAGAGAGTTGGCACGAGTGGTTCTTCGGCCAGGATGGTATGCTGGAGCATTTGACTCTGGGCGGATGGGACAACGGGCTAAGTTACTCGAGCCCCGTCTTCCAGTTGCTCGAGGGTTTCTGCAGTCTGTTGGTCATCCAGGCCGCTGGTCAGATTACACGGTGGCTCGTAAACAGGGGTCGGAGCGATACTTGGATAGTAAGTACACAGCCAACGAAGCCGGGCCAGGTGTACAATCCTGCTAATCAGATCTTCTCCCCAGATTGTGCTCGTCGTCTTCTCCGGCTCCATCATGGCCACCGCAGTCTACTTCCTCTGGCGCGTCGCCAGGTTCCCGCAGATCGGCAACCTCGACGCGACCTTGATCGGCGTCACAATGACCTCGGCAGTCTTTCTCTGCGCCTTCGGAATCGGCAGCGGCCGGGGCAACCCGGTTGAATCCTCTTTGCTGTTTGCATATGTCGTGCTCTGCGTCTACCAGATTTTCACTGACTACCTCCCGTCGCCGGCCGGAGCAGCGGCGCAAGCGCTGGCCGAGGAGCAGGCCGCGGCCGCGCAGCCAGATTTCCCTCCTCTTCCGCCAATAATCATGGCATCGTACTCAACACTCCTCCATATGCTTGGACAGCTCCCCGACGCCATCAGCTCCTCCCTAACTTTCCTGTGGGCCGCCTTCCAGACCATCACGCCAAGCGTCATCATCTCGCTCACCTACCGAATCATTGTCTTCTACTGCGCCACGCGGATCATACCGGCTGTGCGAGAGTCGGGTGCCCGGGCATTGATGGACGAGCCCTCCAATCTGGATGACTCCTCCGACGCCGCGAACAAGCTCATGAGCTTCTTGTCTTGGTTCTCGCCATCCATCCTGATCGCCGTCTACACAAGCCTGCTTCTGCAGCACTTCTCGGTCGCGGCGACGGACGGCGACGGCATCGGCTGGACCCTCAGAGGGGGCGATGCAGGCGGCAACTTGTGGCGCTGGATGAATGTTGCTGCCACAATGGGCCTGTACGCCATTGAGCTGTACCTTGGCAAGGATGAGGTGGATCACTGGAAAATCGACTGAAAGAGTGGCTGGCAGATGCATCATATACCCCGAAAGATCCAGTGTGGACACCCTTAGCAAACGAGGCGCGAGGCGCCAGAGAGTTGAAAGTTACAAGCAATCAGCGAATGTTCATACGTTCACGCATGATCGGTCCGTGCGATACAGAGTCGACATCGGGCATGCCCAGAGAGAGCGTATTCTGAATTGTTCTCGCATGAAGGAGATGTTGCCGACGCTGTGCTCGATAGCCGAAGATTTGCTCAAACCAGGCAGTTAAGAGCTCGCATATACAGCTCCCTGGCAATCCTGAGACGGGCAAGGCAAGGCGACATCCCAGGGCACTTAGGAAGTAGTAGTGGCGACAGGCAGAGGTCCCTTGCGGAGTCGGTCGGGATCTGTGACGAAACATATCGCCCGTTCACAAAGGAAACGCCTTGGGAGAGGAAAGGGGGACGAATTCAAAGAGGCACATCAGGTCTGGGAATGTGCAGAGCCTCATTTCTTGGCGTACCGGTGTGGGAGTTAGGCTAGTCAGGGTCCTACAGCATGTCACTGAGCAGCGACCCAACTCTAGCATGTCTGGCCCGCTCAATTTTCCTTTGTTGATCTCTACTGAGATCTTGTAGGATGCTCATCTAGCATCATCGAGCGATAAATAACAATGCACTACAAAAAAAACCGAATTCGTCAAGCCCAGCATGCCTGAAAGTAGTAAATATGAAGGTGGGTTCTACTGATCTGCTCGATCCGAACCCAATTAACAACGTATAGAGGAGAGAATGGTCTGGCAACTAGTCTAGGTCGGCGATGGAAGAGGGGATGCCTCGGACTTGCTTGTATGTCTGGACACTGTGCCGGGAGCTCAGGGTATTTTGATACAGCGTAAACAGGCACAACTGGCGTGGCAAATGCCTATATCAGGTCCCTTCTCCGTTGACCCTACGCTCTTCATTTACAAGCATGACCCGTTCACACTAGTCCTCAACCCAGCAATGGTCTTATCCTTTCTACGCCTCACTAGAAGGTTGGCCAATGGTACATTCAACTCCTCCCATTGCTCGTGACAATTAGAGCCTCTTCTGAAGGTCACACCGCCGGGGAAGGCCATGGTCATGATGAGATTGAGAGTGAAATCCGTGTCCCTGCTCAGATATTGGATCTCTTCCATGGAAAACATGTAAGGTAACCCCGGTATCAGATCATAACATGGGGGGCGGGGGTTCGAAGAGAGGGGGCCTTGCTTTTCGACAGCACATCTGAGTATTTACACATTTTAAAGCACGTGAGACGGCCCAAATGCTGTTTCAACAAAATTGTACGGGAAGAGCCTAAACAAATCAGTTGTGGAGATTCCGAAAAAGGCTTTCGACAGTAAGGTCAGCCTTTTATCTCATCACCGTCTTCATAGAACGATATCATCGTTGGAAACGCCATCAGGGAGTCTTTTGCGTCTCTGTCAAACCGCGGGCTCTTCACAGTTCCTTGCTCTTGTTTTCTGTGTTCGGCTCAGCCACGAGCGCGCCATCACCACCCACGGTCAGGTTGGAGAATGAGAAAATTCTTGCAGTGGTTGAAATGGAGCCCAAAGAGCAAACGGCGCACGATTGATTATACGTTTTCGAGAGTCAGACATCTCATATTCGGCTACTGACCGTATTTCTTTTCCAATCTCCATCGATGCAAGACCTTCAAAAGAAAAAGACACAACTACTATACGGCATCGAAAATTTCCATCTGTTATGATTCGTGGCGTGCTTGTACCTTGCTTTGTTCAGTGGAGAGGTGATTGGTTGTCTTCTAATCAAAAATGAATGATCATGTTTGCGAGATGCCACTTTCAGCCTATTCGAGTCATTTCTCAATTCTTTCAAAAAAGGTCCATCCGCATAATCTACAAAATTTGAAATTGTGAATATGTGATGCGAGTTGCTGGCAACTGGTAGCGTGGGCTGGCATCCACTAGGAGACCGGATTCAGAGACAACTGGCGAAATAGGGATCGCTCGAGGTCCAAGGACTTGAGCCTCAACGGCAGAGGAGCGTTCTGATTTGTCTGTTCTCCACTCCTCTTTCCTTTATTGCAGCGCTACCTATCTAGACATTCGCATGTATATTGTATGTGGCCGGGGGCAGGGTGTTGACTGGCGCGGTATATGCCTACATAGGTAGGTAGTATGGTTCAATATCGTTGACGGTCTGCCGCCAACCATCCCCTGAAATGCTATTTGGATGACTTAGATTAGCTATCTAGTCTAGGAACCTAAAAACCTTGGTGGCTTGCAGCCGCAAGGCACGTAACACAACAAGGCACATGCATGCTGTGTGGCACGTGCCGAGGGAGAGGCGCTGCAGCTGCGGAGGTGGCTGGCAGATTGAAATTAACAAAGCTCGCCGAGCCTCCCTTCTTGGCTGCCGTGAGTGCTAAGTGGACAACGAAGTAGAATCAGACCGACCAGCATGCCTACATTCACAATACAGTCGGTCCCTGGACAAGAGCGACCGTTGGATAATTCTGGCTGACCGGGGAAATTCCAATCCTGGCGTGCGTTTCATGGGTGGGGAAAACACAACCACCTGTCATCCTTCTCGTTTGCCATAGCCGCTGGCGCGTACGTATTGTTCGTCTCATGTTTCAGCCTAGGGGCATGCTGTCATTGGATGGGAGGTGCCCCCCTACTTTATTTTGGACGACATCTGCAATGCCCGCCAGCCAACCCGCCACGAATGGCCAGCCCCGACGCATGAACATCGGCACAGCCATGTGGGGCCTCGACAAGGAGCATACGACTTCATTTCATCAACTTTGAACCTGGAGCCTCCTTTTCCCCCATGTCATCCAAACCGCTCCGCCTACCAGAGGCATCCAGATCCCATCTATCTGGCTCCGGTCCCCACCCAGATTGCCCGTCTTGTCCTGAAAGCTTGACAAGAACCTAGCGCCGATCACTGGCCATGGGCCAAACAGCAGGGTCATTGCCAGAAACATCAATATCCACAATACACACACGACAGGAGGGAGCATTCGACCTGATCACACAACAATGCTCCTCTCTCTGGCGATTTTCATGCCGTTGGTTCCCTCAGCGTGGAAGGACTATGGGTTCCTGGCCTTCTCAGTGGCTGAACTTTAATAACTCTGTTTCTATTGTTTTCGTCCCAAGTTGCAATACGTCAACAATGACGAGGGCTGTAAGCAGTGATGCCCCTTGACAACCCCCCTCGCCATCCAGCCAGTCCACTGCTGTCGGCGGCCGCCTCAGGTAGAATGATTTGGTCCGTCGTCGCCCTTGCCGCGGCGAAATCGCCTCCTTCGGGCTGAGTCCATAGCTGGACTTTTCCGAATATGCTCTATCCAGGCAAGCCAGGTACCCGCCATTCAGGCTACGGTGGGTCCCCAGGGGCGCTCGAAATCGGAATCGGCACGCACACCCCTACCACAATTTCGTCAACCACCGAATGGCGAGCGTGTACCGCGTAGCCGATGCTCTCTGCTCTCATGTGTAATACATATATATCTAGCTTGGCGTGTCTTGCTCCTTTGCACCATCTTTCCTCTGTCTGGTCATTCTCTAGCCACCGATTTACCATCTGCAGTAAAGGACGGGAACAGGCGTTCTCTTTCAATTCTCCTCCTTCCTTCGTCCTATATCCCTTACTTTGTACCACATCTTCTTCTTCCACCTCCCCATATTCTTTCTCAGGAGGCTTCTCACCCAGGTGGTGGTTACATTCGTCTTACTTATTAACCTTTGCTCACACCACCCGAGCTTTTCTCTTACTCTCACAAGATGCAGACCTTTGGCGCATACCTGGTTGCGCTGCTGGCCGCCAGCGCCGAGCTCGCATCCGCCCTGCCTCAGCCCATGGATAGGGTCAGGAGCCGTGGCGGCCAGACTCTTTCCGTGCCTGTGAAGCGCAACACAGTCTCCAAGAGACACCCTGCCGTGGCACTGGCCAAGGTTTACGCCAAATATGGCAAGGAGATGCCTACCCGCCTCAAGACCATTGTGAAGGCTCACCGTGCTGGCGTTGGCATGGCTTCGACCAAGCGTTCCACCACCGAGGGCTCTGTCAGCACAAGTCCTGAACAATATGATACTGAGTATCTTGCCAACATCCAAGTTGGCACGCCAGCCCAAACCCTTCCAATGGACTTTGACACTGGCTCATCCGACTTGTGGGTGTTCAGCAGTGAGACTGCCACTTCGAGCGTCTCCGGGCAGGCTATCTACACTCCTGGCAAGAGTTCCACGGCCTCAAAAATGACCGGCTCCACGTGGAAAATCAGCTACGGCGACGGATCATCATCCAGCGGCAATGTTTACACCGATACCGTGACCATTGGCAACCTGACCGTCTCATCTCAAGCCGTTGAGACGGCGACGGATGTGTCCTCGGAATTCACGTCTGACTCCGCCATGTCCGGCCTCGTGGGCCTCGCCTTCAGCTCCATCAACACCGTAACTCCCAAGGCTCAGAATACGTTCTTCGACAACGCCATGCCCAAGCTGTCCCAACCCGTCTTCACTGCCGACCTGAAGCACGACACCGAGGGCAGCTACAACTTCGGGTACATCGACTCCAGTGCCTACACTGGCGATATCTTCTACGTTGATCTCTTCAACAGTAGCGCTGACTACGCCGGCTTTTGGTCGTTCCAGTCCACGGGTTATGCCGTGGGTGACGGGTCTACCAGCTCGAGCTCTGGCACGAGCACCACGGGCAGTTCGGGTAGCTCGGGTAGCACGGGTAGCACTGGCACATCGTCTGGGTCTGGATCCACCACGACCGGGGGTTTCGGCGGCAACAGTGGCTTCGGAAGCGGTGGGAGCAGCTCTTCCAGCTCCGGGTCTTCGAGCGATGGTTTCGGTGGCCTGGGCGGCTTCTTTGACACGTTGCAGGAGGAGAGTGAGAGCAGCGATTCCGATTCCAGCTCGGTCTGGGCCGGATGGTTCAAGAAGCTCATCCGCAAGGACAGCACGCAGGCTCGATCGGCACCTCGCTCCGCACCTTCAACACGCCAACACGCCCCTGTCACCGCCGGAACCGCCGGCAAGCGCGCCGTCTCGCTCACTTCCGCCTCCATTACCGGCATTGCCGACACCGGCACAACGCTGCTCATGCTTCCCGACGAGGTTGTCTCGGCATACTACCAACAGGTGTCCGGCGCCGAGGACAGCGAGCAGGAAGGCGGATACGTGTTCTCCTGTGATGCGACCCTGCCTGACTTCACGTTCGCCGTGGGAAGTGGCCAGATCACCGTTCCTGGCGACTACATCAACTGGGCGCCGGTTGATACCTCAAACACGACATGTTACGGAGGTCTCCAGTCGGATGCGGACATTGGAATCTCCATCTTCGGAGACATCGCGCTCAAGGCGGCCTTCGTTGTGTTCGATGGCGGAGCCAAGCGACTTGGCTGGGCCGCGAAGACGACCTCTTAGGCTGGTGCCGCACGATCCCATTGCTTGATCGGCACGGCAGATGGCTCATGAAGGAGGGCGTGTGTGTATAACATCAAGCAGATGCGACCCACAGCGGTGACCGCTCTGAAAGGCTATTGTTATTTTGAGTTTGATAGTTGAGGGGGAACAGTCTGGCATGCATTGGCGTGCGCCTGCCGCCCTCAGTGGGTCGTGCTCTTCTTCTGTCGTATTTTACTACAGCGTATGTATATATTTTATCAATACCAACGAATACCCCGTCTCACGGACTGCAATTCTCAGTGGCTGCGTGCTTGTTGTCGGTGTGGGCGGTCGTGATGACGCAACCTCGCCTACTGTGCCTGCGTGCGTTGATAGTAGATAGAGGCCAGCACCGCTTTCATCCTGGCACTTTGGCATCAAACTGCTTGGCCATCCACTCTCTCATACGACGCTGAGTCCAATTACATCTAACCGATGTTTTCCCTCGGTCGAGCCGCCATGGTGGTGGTTGTGGTTATGCAATGATTCGGTCGCAGGGATTAAGAGTCAGTGAACGGCCTTATTGTGCATACTCCGACTATGAGACCGATCGATATCCCACTGATCACAGCTGAAGTAATCTTCTTCGTTGGTTGCCCGGGCTGTGGTACAGAGCACCTGAGAAATGTCAAGATCTGGGCGAAGCTCGCTGCCGGGTGCAAGTATCCTCGACTCATCTGGGCGCGTCAGAGGTGACATTCTCGACTCAAGATCGATCTTAGGGCCCAGCGGCTGATCGACGTTTTCATAGGCTGTCAAAATATCAAGGCTCTTCTCCTGCAGGTGAGGGATTGAGGTTAGGATGACCCCTTCACATCTCTCTCGGCCACGACGATCCCTCCCGCGACTGTTATCGACGATTCGACGTTGCCTCGGCAGGTGGAGACCCTTTTAAAGGCCTTTGCGGCAGAATCCAGCGAAGGTTTCGATGTCTTCCATGCCAATCCCACCACCGCAACTGCGTTGGGCCGGCATTGTTGGAGTTGGGGACCATCGTGCATGTCGGTAAATGGCCGACAGGCGAGTCATGCTCGTTGTATCCGATGCGCCTAAAGTGCCAGCGATCCCTTCTTCGGATCTGATTGACTGTTTGGGGCGAAAAAGGCATCAGACATGCTGTCAGCCTGCAGCGGTAAAGCGTACAGAGAAACAGGGTGTGTCGTACGCTTTTACGTCGATCCGACTCACCACTGACAACGCTCTGCTGCCCTCGCCTTGCCCGTCACAACGACACATACACGAGGGCTTTATCCGGCGCAACAGCACCATGACGGCTGAGACTTAAGTTCGCCGTCATCCAAAAGAGGGCTTGTACTGTCAATACTCTTCGGGGCCAGCCCTCGGGACCAGACTTGTACGTCGTCGTCCTGTCAAGCGCCGCCAACCTGCTCGAATGGCCCTTTCAGACCTTGGGATCAGCACTGGAGGACTCTCTCCTGGCCCGGCCGTCACGATAGTCGAATGCTTCCTGACAGTGGCATTCTACAATGTTATCGAGCTGAACGTCATCATCTACAGTTCCTTTCGACGGCGGACGGGCCTCTACTTCTGGAGCTTCGTGGTAGCGACGTGGGGGATTGCCATTTACTCGGTTGGTTTCCTAACCAAAGACCTCAGCGTCATTCGAAATGGGTTCGTGTACGGCACATTCATCGTCGTCGGCTGGACGTGCATGGTGACAGGGCAGTCCATGGTGCTTTTCAGCAGGATGCATCTGCTGGTGCGGGATAAGAGGATACTACGAACCACGTTGGCCTTCATCGTCGTCGACGCCATCATCGGGCACGTCCCTACCTCGATTGTGCTCTATGGATCAAACTCGCCGCATCCGGATCGATGGCTAGAGCCTTACGCTATCATGGAGCGAATCCATGTCACTATCTTCTTCCTGCAAGAGCTCGCCATTTCTTCGATATATATCGTCGCCACTATGAAACTTCTCAGAGACAAATCAGGGCCATCTTCCATGAAGAACTCCCGCTCCGCAAGACGTTTCCTCACACACCTTATCAAGATCAACATTATGGTCGTTGTCTTGGACATCACGATATTGGCTTTGGAATACGCGGGACTATACGTTATACAAACGGCGTACAAGGGCATGGTCTACAGCGTCAAGCTGAAGTTGGAGTTCAGCATACTCAATGCGCTTGTGGAGATGACCCGGGCGCACAGGAATGCACGCCATGGCGTTCCAGCTGGAGGAGGAATCATCGAGTGCGGCAATGGCAGCAATGCCAACACACTGGGAAAAGGCAGCGGAGGGATTAGTGCCTACGCACAGCTGACCCAAACTGTCGATCACGACGGGAGGATCAGGTACACGGATGATCAGAACAAGATGGGCTGCAGTCCCTACGTGACGGGAAACGGGATTGACAAGCCTGGTGCGGTCCACCAGCGGGGAAGCCGTGAAGGCGCTGAGACCAGTGGCGAGTTTGGTGACAGCATGCCCGTGACGAGTCAGTTCGTGATACAACGGCACCGGCGAGAGGAGTGGGAGGACAAAAGCGACTTGGAGGAGCTTGTCCTTGGTAATGATATCCTGCGGTAATGCACAAGAGCATACCGGCTTCGCATAGATAATGACCAAACCAGAACAAACAACTTGATTGCATGATCGCGTCGTCCGCGGTCCTCTATTTTCGACCCGTATATTCTCAACTTGTGATTCTAGAACACAGCTACTGCTACCAATATCTCCACCGCGAAAGTCTGTCGATCAGGCCCCGTTGACTGACTTGCTCTGCCTGGGCAGTCTCTTGCCCCACTGATGTGAGGATCCCGTCTACTTTGCATCTGTCCACAGACTGTGCGTGCTGGAGATGGTTTGGGTCACAGACATCAAGTGCTTGCACACCTCTGCTTGGAATTCCGTCAGGAGGCTTCCATCAAGTTTGTCGGCCCTTGCATGCACAGGCTCTTTGATAGACGGCCACAACTGGTCACCATGGGCCCCTCCTATCCTGGATACGACCTGACTGCTATCTCTCATCATCAAAGGCATTTCTTGGAAACCGATATTGCCACGAGGAAAGACCGCAGAAAAGCCATATGCCCCTGCCGGAGTCAAGGCAGACATGACTCGTCACGACGTGAGTCAACAAGGCCTCGGGCTTGGATGACGGACGAATGATCCATCAGGCCATCCAGCAGTGGATCATGGGCATAAACCCGGATTGACGGCTTCGGCAGATAATTCTGGGGAAACGGACCACATGCAAACAGCTTTGGTGGATTCAAGCATAAGAATTGCCGTTGTCGAAGAAGTGCGTTTCCAACATGCGTTTTTCATGGTCTCGCATCTTGATTGTCCCTCTGCTAATAATCTCCGCAACCACGTATCTTAATTATATGTCTAGTGGCCGTAGAAAGCTCACATACTATCAATGCTTTGATACAAGCCAGTCGGAGGCCAAGTGTCTCTGGGTCAACGCTCGGGCTATAGCGCAGACACTTGGACAAAATCTTATGTGTCCCTCCATGCAAATAGAAGGCACAGGAGCAGTGCCATTTGGGCGCTGCATACGCCCATGTCAGCCTCGGTGATATATTTGATCCTGTCTCCAATAGCTGTCGGGGTTTGAAGGAGGAGAGCGCCGTCGCACCATGCGTGATGCCAGAGAGCTGCCTCGCATTTTCCAGACTGCAGGCATTACATCAGTTGAAACATGGGCATGGAAATGCCCCGCGATTCTGAATTTGAGGAGGTTGTAGAATTTCTCTATGGACTGCCCGTGTTGCGCACATCTTCCTGGACACCGCATCCTCCCCCTCGAAAAAAAGAATCAGGTGTAGATATTCGTGTTCTCAATGTGGATTTTCTCTTTTGCTTCTCGAATATTTTCATCAAATTCTCCATGAAACGCTGATGGAGAAATTTGTGTACCCACCTACCAATGCAGGTAACTGTGCCACGTCAGTGTCTACTTTGGAATGCTAGTCCTTACAGAAATGGCTGATCTTCAAAAAGATCCATCCAGCCAATCCATCAAAGTATTTCATGCTTTTATTCCATCGCTGTTGTATGCCCTTTTATTGTGGGTTCTTAACTTCTCAAGACCTTTTCAGTTCTTCTGCTCTTCGGTGTTTGCAACCTTTATGGGTGAAGGCATCCAAACTGGCAGCCGACGTACAGAAGGAATAATTTCTGACTATGTCTGTGGTGGGAAAATCTACTAAAGAGGAGGACCAGCCTATGATCAATCGGGCTGCGATTACGAGCAACTAAACTACCATAGCCTTGAATCCAAAATCACTACAAAAGTTTTGCGGTCGAAAGCGGCGCGTTGAAACCATCAATGGTACCGAAGTTCGCATCTTTCTCACAGGCCTGGCCGAAGGTCTTACATCTTTATGTCTGCACAAATCGATTGGGCTCAGAATGTGGTACACTACATTGAAACAAATATGAATTTGTTGTGACTATGTGGTCTTGCATGCCATGTACAAACGTTGGCCTCAGGCCTTTAGACAATTGCGGCGTTGGGAAGCCAAAGCAGTCGCTACAAATGTCCGTTCCTTCGCAAAGCGTAATACCAAAGACAAACAACCCTCAAATGAAGACATTGCGTGCTATGCCCACACGACAGGCGCCTGGACGCCACGGAAGTCTAATAACCCGGGGTATCTGTGACGCAGTTCATTGTTTTGCCCTCAACGCCAACCAGCCCCCACAAACAAAATCTGAAGAGACACCGTCCGCCTGTATCGCGGCTCATAATGTACAAATGACAGCAGGAATGGCCCTCATGAAGGCCTCCGTCTGATGACTTTATAAAAGAAAAGTCGAGGCAATGCAGGTATTCGAGGCCCTCGATCCGAAGAGCCAGCTTTCATGACCCGATGAAGGCGGCATTGGCGAAAAGAAATGACTGCACTAGATGGATGAGAAAGGAGAAGCGGGGCAAAAGAGCTGCCAATTTGCCTTTCATAGACGCGAGCGTTACATGTCGCCATTTATCTGACAGCAATCTTAGTAGACAGTGTCTGCTTGATATCCATAAGTGGATCCTTCGATGGCATAAGCCCATCTCGACGGATGAGCATAGACGGGAAGCGGATTTTGGCCTGGTTGAGTATGTCAGCACCTGGTATATCTGTACATATGAGATCAAATAAGAGAGGAGACTCACAGCAGCCAAACTACTGGCGTACTTGATGCCCAATTCACTCGCGATGAAGTTCAACCGCCCAATAGCCCATTCTCGCTGTCCATCCGTGGTGTAATCGCATGTTCTGACCGTGCTGAGCGGCCAAGCCACCATCAGCCCGCCCAGCATCTTGCTCTGCTCGTCAGTCCCGCACGCGAAGCCGCTTGGGGCGGGGGCACTAGGATGTTGAACATCCGCCTGGGACATTCTGAGTATGTGCGGCACCGAAGAAATGATGTCGGCGATATTGGTCTTGCAAGTCCGGACAGCCGTGGCGTACTCGGGCGTCGAGCGGAAGTCAGCAGGGCTGCAGATCCAGGCGGCGACACGGATGAGGAGCGACATGAGGATAATCCGGGTCGCACGCGTGGCATTCCATATGCTGGCGACTATCAGGTCGGAGTAGCCATCAACACGGCCAGGATACACTGGAGCGTGCCGGATTTCACCGTCCTCGAGAACCTTGTCTTCCCAGTACAATGGCGTGACTTGGTACTCGGCGGGCAGTCCGATCAGGAAATTAGCCATCTGGAGGTCGAGGTCTTGGACCTTGCGGAGCATTTCCAGCATGAGTTCCAAGCCTTGGTCGTTGCGGGACAGGGTGGCCATGAGCCGCGTCACCTCGGCTCGCAGGTCGCTGACCTCGAGGGCGAAACGCTGGTAGCGTGCGCCGATGGAATCAGCTGCGACGGACTCTGGAAGCCACCAGTTGACGCCCATGACGGAGGATGTGCCGGACGACAATGTGCGCGCGATAATTTGCAGGCGGACGGCGTTGAACAAGAGCACTGAATCCTTGTTCTGCACCATCTCTCGACCGCGCGATCTGACCAGGTGCATGGCACCCTCGATATGGGTCCGCCATGCGAGCAGACCAACCTCCTTGGCGGCCGTGATCTTTTCGAAAAGTGAGAGCAGGAGCACTGTCGCCAAGGTGCTGTCACACTTGGTCGCTGCCGGGTCTCTGAGCGCCTTGTGAATTGCTACCAGAGCCCGCGAGTGCTGCATGAAAGAGAGTTCCACCAGATCAGTTGAGTCAGACTTCATGCGGTTGCCCATGGCAGCCAAGGCAACGGCGCTGTAGGCGAGCTGGAAGGGACTATCGGGTCGAGTTTCGGAGTTGAGCAATGGCAGGAGATAATCAAGATGCCCCGGATTCCTGCCCCTGCCCTGCTGACCAGGCACCATGATGAAGTTCCATGCAAAGAAATGGCTGGCGCGTTGGTCAAGCGGCACAGCGGGAGCGACTGCTGGGAACGTCAGCTCGAGGGGCGACGTATCTGCTGTTGAGGACACCGGTGCCGAGGATGTGGGCGAAGGCGTGGGCGAGGAAGACTGTGACGAGGAAACAGGCAGAAAAGTCGAATTGTTGCCGCCGCCGCCATTGTCGTTGTTCTTGCTTGACTCCGGGACTGTGGTGTCGAATGTGATAATCATGCCCCCATCCTCGGCCGCCCTCTTGGCGGCCTTCTTGGCCGCAGCTTTCTTTGCTCGCGCAGCTGTTGCTTGGGTCTCGTCCCGGTGGAGGATATCGAAGTCGGAGCGGTATCCTGAGCAGTGCCGGCGTGATTTGATGCATTGATTGCAAACAGGCCGTGTCTCGTCGCACTGGAGAGAGATACCATGGTCAATGGGAGCGCCTCAGACCAAAAATGGAAGTACACGTTGTGTGACACGGGGCAAGACATGTCGAGAGGGACATTAGCAGTCTGTATTACTGTACCTTTATTCGCCTGGCCCTGCATGTCCTACAGCCCATTGAGGGCTTCCCGCAGTACACCATTTTGAATTGCTGCTGCCGCTTGGGCTTCCTCCGGGATCAAATTCTCTTGGTGTACGTGCTCGACAGAGCCGGTTGGTCGGACTGTTCAAATTGTTCGAATTGGATCGATGAAGAGGGAGCTCAACGAGTAAGTTACGTCGTATCGACTCGGCATAAGAGTATTACAGATAGGAATGGCTAGGTAGTATGGTGGTGCGTCGAGGTGTATGTAGGTGTATGAGTATGGCTTTTCCCTCATAACCACGTCTACAGAAAGAGAATCGCATGCGACGCCGGGTCGATGTTAAACGATCGGGGTAAGGCCAAGCAAGCGGGAGAAGGGGCCGGCGGAGATCCCGGTAATCCTTGGGAACTCCTCGTTTGCCGGGTGGAGCATCCCCAAGTAGGCCTAGCTAGCGATACTGTGTCGATGCAAGGCAATCGGAATCGTAGCCACTAAGGTTACGGCCAGAGCCAGTTGAGAAGACACTGCAGCACGCACAGATGTCGCTAAGACGATCCCAGGGTCTTGGACAGTGTGACACGGCACGCTACGATCGACTTGGTTACTGGTGTCGTCTTGGATGTGTGGAGAATTCCCAGGTCCCGGCCAATCATCTCCTGTGCCAAAGCACTCGACGTTCCTGCGGGTGTGTCAGTGTCTCCGGCCGAGTGACGATGATGGGGAAGGGAACTTGCCCCTAGCCGACAAACATCGAGACTATGCAGATTGACAGACTCACAGACAATATGCTTTTAAGGCGCCACTTGTGCACGCAATAAGCCTCTGTCTGCACAATGGCACACTTGGACTTCGACTAGTTGTCATGGACTGACAGCCGGTACCGTCTGTTGTGTCTGCCTTCTTCGTCTCATCGAGGCATTCACAGATCAACCGAGAGCTCTGGCCCAACTCGCCCCAGCATTTGCTTTCCAGACGAGCCAGATGTGCCAAGGGCATTTCACTGGGCATCCAGATCGAGACACACAGCAACTTTGGACAAGACTGGGACGGAATCGTCTCAACTCTGCGACCCGTTTGAAGTTTCGCATCGCCAATCTGGCGAGGCTCAGCCAGCGTTCATGGTTTCAAGCTTGGCTATAACGTGGCAGTCACGCCCATAACTGCCAGTGATCGCAGACTAGGCTCACACTGGCATTTATGCCGCTCGCTTACTCACGCACTGGCTGCCAAACCATCAATGTGCCCCCTGAGCTTCGCCCTGCTCTCGACGCACTGGACTGGATTAAACAGCTTTGTGTGCTATGCTGCTCTGAATAGGGTTCAGTTTGAAGGGCTGGCTGACTGGATGCTATTGCTGCACAATCTAATGTGAAGAAATTCTGATTGGGCCTCGGCGAGCAAGTAGGCTACGCGCCCACGGTTGAAATCGCATACCACTGCCTCTGAGTTCGATGTCTCACAAGACCTGTTTGAGACTGCTACACCCCAATGGCACAGCTCATTAGCGTCGCCGAGCGACGAAAGTGTTGATGAGGCCAGAGATGAAGAGCCGGGCCGCGAACACTTTCCCCGTCGTTGGTCAAATCACATTGTTTTGGACTCTGCGGGGCAATTCATTCTGATCCAGTGGACAATTATCTTCAACATGATCTTGAGCTGGCTTACCCCTCACCTGCAGAGCAAATGGAAAGAGAAATGGAGGGAAGTATTACCGCCGCGGAGAAACTGTTTGAAATCCAGCGGTCACTTCCTCTCCATCTTCAGTGGGACGGTGCTTCGGCCGCAGTCATGGCCTATTCTCATCTCCGGACCAGACCACTAACCGTGCCACGCCGCCAAGGGACCACTGAAGCGGTCGAGCGTGAAAAAAAAAGAAGCGTGCAAAAGAGATCGCCCCGCTACGGTGCGGGTCCGGAAACACTAACGCACCCAACAGTCTGGGTCGTTTATTCATTCGATTGCTGAGCTTCTGCAGGCGCGAACTGAGACCCAACTAATAGAACGCCGCCTTTGTACGATACTCTGTGAACATGAACCCCGAGATCGCCGGTGCCCCTAACGCTGTGAGCCCGACGGTGGGGTTCTCGCAGAGACATGACTACTTCTAGCGCAGCCAAGCCGCAGGTGAATCTTGGCCACCGGTGGTCTAGAAAACGATATTCGTGATGACACATCAAGTTGAGGAACAAGCAATAAGCTTGTGGTGATCAACAGGAACGGTGAGACCTGCAGCCAACCGGACGTGGCCCAATGGACCCGTTCGGACGCACCAAGAACTGGTCCCAGCAGATGTGGACATGTGCATAGTAGCAGTGAACTATAGCCGAGCAGGCCATGGGTACTGGTTCATGCCTCGGCCAGGGCCAAAGAAGCACGAAAAATAGCCCTGACTCGTTGATAGAGATGTCGTCACGGAACGGCAACTTTCCAATCTTTAATTCTTTGGCGATCAGACAAACCTGCGATGCTCCCCACGGGTCGGGTGGATGTATGCTGGTACAATAGGTACATCCTACGAGGGACAAATCCTGCACATGTAGCCGCACCTACTGCGTGCGTGCGTGCAGCAGACATCCGGAGTCGTCGTCAAAACGTCGCACGGGGTCAGAGCAGCAATGTACCATGCTGGCCGGCCGCGTGCCCTCGTCCGCGCCATGTGGCCCAAGGTGCATGGCCCAAGGTGCAACGGACGACTGCCGAGGTCGTATCTACACATCTGGGGACCCCATGGGAGGGTGGGAACTTCTCCCCACATCTAGCCACATGATATGCATGGCCTGAGCCAAAAAGCCCAACCGGGAGCTCGATGCACAGCATTGCCCCGCCCGTTGAGCCTGCACGGGGTGTCTGCTGCAAGGGAATCACCAGTTCATGTCGGCATGCTAGACGGTTGACTCGCAGGACTAAGGTGCAAGTTAGCAGGTCCAGTGGGCCGAGCTCTTGGGAGTAATTAAAATCGGCCCGGTTGCTTCGTCCTCGCCGCGGACGGTCCTCCCGATGTCTCGGTGCAGCTCTCACCGCGCAAGATGGGGAGGGGCATTGTCGTCGTCATGGCTTCGTGCACGTCGTGTATATATACTGGGTTCCTTGGCCAGCTGCAGCCGGAGATTGCGAGTCCTGCGTAAGGTCTTGCCCACCGAGCTGCAAGCCCCCTCTCCTCTCGGGCCAATATGGTCAGGTTTCCTGGTTCCTCGTCAGCCTGTGCGGTGCTGCTTGCCCTCCTCGCGGGCGCACCGCAAGCGGCACAAGCAGTCGACGTGACTGTCAGTCTCAACTATTCGACTTATATCGGCACGGCACAATCGGGCACCGGAGTCACCGAATGGCTGGGTATCCGGTACGCAGCGCCGCCTCTCGGCGATCTTCGCTTCGTGCGGCCCCAGGACCCGCCGGTGGTCAGCACTCCACAACCAGCTAACCAAGTATGTCCCTGAATGTGCAATACTATCACCTCTTCGCATAGAGATAGGGACTGATATGTGTCGTGCGTGCGTCTAGCATGGAAAAGTCTGTCTCGGCACCGACAAACCCTCGAACGCAACCGACACATCAGAGGACTGCCTTTTCCTCGATGTCTATGCGCCCAGCAACGCCACCACAACGTCCAAACTGCCCGTCTTCTTTTTCATCCAGGGGGGTGGCTTCAACGAGAACTCCAACGCAAACCTCAATGGCACAGGTCTGGTCAACGCGTCCGGAAACAACATCCTTGTAGTCACGATCAACTACCGCGTCGGCCCGTACGGGTTTCTGACCAACGGAGACGAGCTACAGCTCAACAACGGGTTGTATGACCAGCGCAAGGCTCTGGAATGGGTACAGAGTTATGTCGAGCAGTTCGGGGGGGACCCCGACCACGTTGTCCTGGGCGGGGACTCGGCCGGCGCCGCGAGCGTCAGCCTGCACCTGGCCGCATTCGGCGGACGTGACGACGGGCTGTTCCACGCTGCCGCTGCCGAATCGGTGTCGTTCGCCACGGTGCTCACGGTCGAGGAGAGCCAGTACCAGTACGACAATCTCGCACTTCGGCTTGGGTGTGTCGGCAGCGCGAACGAGTCCCTGGCATGTCTGCGTTCCAAGACGGCTGTCGAGATCCAGGACCTGAATTACAACATCCCGTATCCCGGCGCAGCGGACCGGCCACGGTACATGTACAACCCGGTCATCGATGGGGACTTCATCCGGGAGTTGACTTACACAGCTTTCGCGGAGGGCAACTTCATCAAGGTGCCCGTCATTTTTGGCGACGACACGAACGGCGGCACTTCCTTCGCGCCCGAGAACACCTCGACACTCGCACAGAGCAACATGTGGCTCAGGAACCAGTTTCCCTTTATCACTCTAGAGCAGTTCGCGGCCATCAATGAGCTGTACCCCAATGAGAACCAGACCTGCCCCAACGTCGGTTGCTACTGGCGCCAGTTAGCAGATACGTACGGGGAGATGCGGTACATGTGTCCAGGGCTGTATATCAGCTCCGCCTATGTCAAGTCTGGCATCGCGCAGAGTTGGAATTATCGGTGGAATGTCGAGGACCCAGCACAAATTGCCGCGGGCCAGGGCGTGCCGCATACGGTCGAATTGAATGCCATTTTTGGGCCTTATAATACCAACGGCAATTCGCCCGCCAGCTACTATCCGAACGGAACGAATGCGAATGCGGTGCCAGTTGTGCAGGGTTATTGGACCAGTTTTATCAGGTCGTATGATCCGAACACCTACCGACTGAATGGGACGGCAGAGTGGCTCGCGTGGGATGACAGCTCACAGCAGCGGATACTGTTTGACACGGGGGGCTTGACAAGCATGGAAAGCCTGACGGGCTCTGACCTGATGGAGAGGTGTGATTACTGGTATGGCATTGGGGTTGACATTCGTCAGAAGAGATCGACATAGTGCTAGCCTCGTGCTGAAGGTTGTCTACTATACCCATGTGAGACCCATGCGAGAAATCTTGCGCCTTTGCCGCTTCGCGTGGCTCATTGCCCCATAGATTATACCTATATAAATAATCTTCACAAGATCACAAAGGCTTCGTCAAGCCCGTGGACACACCTGGGCATGGTCCCATTTTCGTGCTTGGCACACAGCATACTCGTCCGTGGGCTGGAATCTTTTCTTAGCTGTCGACAATGTTTCCGTCAAGGTCAACCCAACGCGTGCAATGTTACCGAGGCATGAAAATGAGCCCTTTGACCATACTGGTTGTGGACAGACTTTGAGATCCGGTGAACCATAGTAAATGACACGCCGAAAATAGAAGTGATCAGGCACACTAGCCAAGGCGTCCAAGACCGGGCAGAGAGCCCAGCATTCAGAGAAAGTGTTTCCCCACGAGCAATGTGCCAAGCCCCTCCCATAGGCCTGGCTGGTGGACAAGGTGGTCCCGTGGCGACTGCCACTCAAACGGTTCGAGTCATTTCCGCATGGGGGGGCTGTAGAGCCTAGAGACCCGTCGCGCTGGGCCATCCCTCTTCTGGATTGACTGCTACACTGTAACGCCCATGGCACGAAGGCATGATGGGAATGGATCCTGTCATGGTTCTCTGTCAAACTCGGCTGCATCGGCCGCTGCTAGGGTGGTCCCAGAGGGCTTATTTACAGTAGTCGAGGGGGAGAGTGATTGGTGGGGGCCACCTCCCGGATGGTCCTGGCAGACGTTCAACTCATCAGGCCATCTTGGAGGCGTGCAGGGCCATGTGAGGGTGAGAACATTATTTATGCTTTCGTGAAGGCATCCATGCCATGCCATGCATACAGCAGACATGTACATAGTACAGTGTTGTGCGTATATTGTAGTGTGGTGCATATTTAGGGTATAGACTACTGCACAGTTGGGCAGCCGACGTCCCAACCACGGTGGACAATCTCCGACGGGACAGTGTTCCACCCACCCACCAGCCACGAACCCATGGGATCGATTGGATCTAGACCAGTGGCAGTTGGGGGAGAGGACATCTACTATGCAGAGTCAACCAGACGGACGACCCAGAGAAGGGTTTATCGGCCGACGGAGAATAGAGGCCCAGCCCCCATCTCGTCCATCCAGGCTATTCCTTCCCAGGTAGCCCCTGAAACGCGAGCACGCTATTGCCTCTGCCCGACTGCTCTGGCCTGATGTGCGGTACACAGATGCGTTTCGAAAATCCAAGGCATGAAAAACCTTAATTATCCTGATCAACGCCAGGCGCACGCCAAGCTTGGGGCTCCGGGCCCACAGATCGGCTATGCCCACAGGGCTGTGACTTGACGACACCTCAATGGCACAACGACATGTGGTCATGGAGCTTCATCTCACGAGTCCCCATCCTACATACAAGCTCCCTGAAATCCATCCCACGTGAGACACATACGCACACACGCCCACATAGAGCCAGAAAGACAGAGAGAGACAAAGACACAGACACACAATCAGAGGCAGAGGCCGAGAGAGAGCGCGCGCCTCTCCCTTCCCGCGGACCACCCAGTGGATTCTTCCGGCTTCACACTGCGAGCAGCAGCAGAGTTCATCCTCTGAGCGAGCTTCGCCTACTAGTCAGACACCCGCCCACCTAGCGCGGCGTACCTCGGAAAGCTTCACAGCCGCGGGCTGGACATCATGTCTCACCCGACTCATCCTCATCCACACGCTCCGCCGCTCCACCAGCCCCCCTCTTGCTGGACATGCCGCGTCCGCCGCAAGAAGTGCGACCGCACAAAGCCCCGCTGCCATGCCTGCACTGCTCTCGAGATCACCTGCCACTACAGTGAGGCTCGCCCGGAATGGATGGACGGCGGCAACCTGCAGAATGAGATGGCCAAGCGCATCAAGGCAGAGGTGCGGCAGGGCGCGGAGGCCAGGAGGGAGAGGCAGTATGTCCAGGTCTTGACATTGCACGAGGACCGCATGCGGAGGCCCGACGACCTGTCAGAGGAGAGGCCGGCACCGCACAAGCCGCAGATGCAGAGCATGCACCAGCGGCCGAGCTTCTCATCGCTCAACAACGCCAGCGGCGACGAGAGCCGTAGCGACGGGTCGGGCATGGAGGCCATGAGCATGACGCCCGGCACCAGCCCGCCCAGCTCGAGCGAGAGATCACCGCCCGTGTGCCCCGATTGCGTGACTGATGGATTCACGGCCCCTCCACTCCCACCGGCTCACGAGTATACGGTCTGGAAGCTGCTGGGCATCGACAACGAGCGGGACCGCTCCATAGCCATCGACGTCGAGACTGACTTCACCATCACCTTCATGGACTACGTCTTCCCCTTCCTCTTCCCCTTCTACCAGCCGTCCGTCCTCGAGGGCGGCCGGAGCTGGCTCCTCGCCATGCTGCGGAGCAACACGGCCTTCTTCCACTCGGCCATGAGCCTCAGCGCCTACTTCTTCACCCTCATACTGAAGGGCAACGAACGACATCAGGTGTGCTCGCAACAGGTCTGGAACAAGCTTGTCGCACACGTCGACACGGCGGTACGTGCCATGCAGCAAGACATGGAGGACCTGAAACGGGGCCAGGACGGCAAGACAACCATCTTCCAAAAAGGCAAGACCATGGAGAGCATTATCCAACTCCTCATACTCGAGCACTCAATGGCCAGGACATCCGACTGGAATGTCCACCTATCCGCAGCCATGGCCATCTTCCAGGAAATATTCGAGGAGTACGGCATGGGCCCCGACGGCAAGCCCGATATCCCGGCAGTCATCCAGGCCCTCAGCAGGCCGTCCTGGACCCAGGGCATGATGGAGCGGGTCGTCTGGCACTGCGACCAGGGCGCCTTCCGCTTCTTCTCCGCCTTCTTGCTCTACACTGATATTATAGCATCCACCTCCCTAGAGAGCCCGCCCCGGCTCCGCAACTACCACAACCTCATCATACAAGACGAATCGCCCAACCCGCCCTGCGAGATGCTCCGGATGGAGAGCTTCTTTGGCTGCCAGGGCTGGGTCCTCCTCGTAGTGGCTGACATTGCCGTGCTGGACGCCTGGAAGAAGGAGAACAAGGCACGGGGGACGTTCAGCCTGAACGAGCTCACCGAGCACGGCAGCAGGCTGCACCAGCGGCTGCAGAGCGGCCTTGCCCGTCTCGAGAGGGAGAGCTTCAAAAAGAGGCCCTTCGACATCACCTCGGTCCTGCGGTCATATTATCGGCCGGACGCGGCGCACCAGATGCGCATCGACGAGCAGGTCGCCGCCACGAGGATCTGGGCCCTTGCTTCCATGGCGTACTTGTCGGTGGTCGTGACGGGATGGGCGGCCGCGATGCGCACCGCCACGAGCAGTATCGCCGTCGCGATGCAACTACTCTATGGAATATCGAGCCCGGCGGTCCTCAAGAGCCTGACCTGGCCTTTCTACGTCTTGGGGTGCCTGGCTACGAGGGAGCAGGAGCAGCTGTTCACGCACATGGCATCATCGATGGGACCGCTTCTCGAGTTTGGGACCGTCGGAGAGAGCATGAGGATCATGAAGCGAGTGTGGGAGCTCCGCGACTCGGGCGGGCTGGACCTGGAGAATTGGGACATTGCTGCGTGTTCGAGGGTCTACGGCACGCAGGTTTTATTAACTTGATACACACCGAGGTTATACTTGCCATAAAAGCGAGCGGGTTTGACTTTGGTATGATTCACGAAGTATTTACGGTTTCCTGCAACTCAGGGCAATGTCTCCGGGGATGCAACATTAAGCTTTGTATAGGACTGAGGGGAGTCTGTCTATCTTTGAATATTTAATGGAAGCTCGTCTGGTATGGCTCAACATCGTAGCCTCACTGTTGACTCGGGAACCTTGGGTCTCCTCGCTTCTACCAGGTGCTTTCCGTCGCCTTCTATACATTTCGTACAAATAACAGATAATCATCAAAGACATAAGAATATACCGAAGTCATCAGGTGATATGTTACATCGGGTGTGGTCCACTCAAATACCACTTCCCGATTCCCGATTCCGTCTTTTCTAACAGCAAATCCGGATTTCGAAATGGGCCGCGTAGCCAAACTTCATTGCCCAGTGGAAGTAGCCACACCATGCACAACCTAAACATCCACTATACGGCACAGCTGATATACCCTTCAACGGCAGTCGCGGTGCTTGGAAGATTCAGACGTGTTAGCTTTCATTCTCCATGTCGGAGGAATAAATACTGGAGTGGTTATGCTCACCAGCTGACTATACAAGCAGCGCCACCTTCACAGCCCTGGATACAGGCGACCTGGGTGGCGGCGGTTTGAGTCTCGCATGATGCGATCTGTCTTCCAGTGAGCGGGGCCTCCTCTTGGGATATGTCTTGGGTGACTGGCGCGGCTGAGGTGAAGGTGGCGAGTGTGACAAACATCGCGATGCGCTGTAGTTGCATCTTGCCTACGTGCCGCGAGTGCTGTGCAGGTAATTTAGCGAGTAGTCACCACGATGAGTTTGAACAGCAAAAGTCTGCGCTGGAAGGTGGTGGAGACTATTGATTCGATTAGTATTGACTTGAAGTGCTCGATGCCATGGTTAACACCATCAAGAGGACGTCGCTGCGCCTTATATGAACAATGCGAAAGCAATGTTTGCGCATCATCATTCAAGCATTGATGAGGTTAAATAGATTAATTCCTCGGCCTCCCACCTCCCACCTACGTGGTGGTTGTGTTGTTGTCGACTTCATGTGTTCGATGACTGGGAACGACTTTCCCGGCGCGAAGAGGTATCTCCGTCCTCAACTGATAAGCATGGGTATAGCCTCATACCTTATGTATGCTCTCATGGTGTGAGGCGAAATTCAAAGTCCGAATGCGAATTCAGTGACGTATTCGGATCATGACTTGGGACGATGCTGCGAATGAGACTCATGCTCTTTGGGCCAGTGGAATGGAGTTGAGCCGCCCAACCCTACCGACGGCAGTGGGTTTCCCATATACTTACCTCGGAACAGAGCCGCCATGTGAAGGCCAAGTGAACGCTCACAGCAGAAACTGCAGCCAACACACAACTCTGGTTCATTTTGGCTTGTGATTCTATCATAGGACGCCGTCCACATGCAAATGCACGACTTCCATCGCTTCATTACGCTTAAGTATAATTCCGACCTAGAGCGGTGTACTTTGGAATAGCATCGACAGTGTTCCCGACGGCCGGACGAGGCAGGAGATGATGATCTCGATATATCGATCTTGTGCAATGGCTCAATCGGGTATACGATTCGTGGCGCCTGGAGAGCATCGCCAATAAGAACGAACAGAGCTCTCACCGGGCGTAGTTGATCAATTTGATGTTGTCGTGTCCCAATCCCTCACCATGAGGTATAAGATCCCGTGTCACTACATACTCGCCTCAATCTCTTCTGAACGTGCAAGGTGAGGCTGAGTAGCGCGATGGCGTGAAAAGGTACCATGGTCCCGAGCAGCTCTAACGCGCAAAGGTCCAGATCTCGTCGATTCTTGTGAAATATGCCTGTAGCATTTTGTGGTCAGAGGGAAGTCCAGAGCACTTCGTATGTGGCTAAGGCGCAGACTGTCGATTAATTGTCACTGGCACAGACTTCCTCGAAGGGTTCAAAGTCAATATGGTATTCATATCCATTTCAAGGCCGCTTGAAAGGCATGACAGTCAACCAGCATACAGATGCATTGAACACGCGACGTCCCGTCCACATGGGCTGAGATTTTCCTGATGCTGGATGAGGAGGCAACGTGATGAACCGCGATTCGCTTGACGCTGAGCTGCTCACAGTCCCGTACGCTCGTCCATACCCTGGCGCACAGGCGTAAATGTTTTGATTTTCGGCAGATCGTTCTCGCCGGCAGCCCGTCTGATGGGCGCAAGCACGATCAACCTATACCGCCTGATGTAATTACAACAGAAGTGAAAGAGAATGACATCTCCGTGAAGGCATTGGTAAGATCCCTCAATGATCCAGTCGTCTTCTCGACCGGGATTCGAGTATTGATTTCTCTATTAGTGTCAGAAATGCTAGGATAGTCTCATCAAAATTTGAACTTCGCTCGCATACTCCACATCGTTCTTCCCGACGCCGCTCTGCCCACTCAATGCTCGTGGGTGTTGATACTAGGTACCATAAATCTAAGAAACAATACCGTGCTGAGTCAGAGACAGACACAGTGGAATATACAGTGGGATACAGTTGCCTGATCTCGCAAAAATTCTACTTGGTCAAGAATTTCTGGAAACTCTCCTGCGCGATGGTCACGTTCCCGATAGCATTCAGCTTTTTGCGGCCATCCTTTTGCTTCTCGAGCAGCTTCTTCCGCCGAGAAATGTCACTGGCGTGCAGCTTCGCCAACACGTCCTTCCGGAATGGCTTCAGCGTCTCCCTCGCGATGATCCTCCTGCCCACGGCGGCCTGGATGATCACCTCAAACATCTGCCTGTCGACGTGCTCTTTGAACTTGGCCGTCCAATGCTTGCCCAAGCGGTCGACCTGGGATGCGTGAACGACGCGGCAGATGGCGTCGACTGGCTTCTTGTTGACGAGCAGTTGTAGCTTCTGCAGTCGCGACTCTCGCCAGCCTGCGTCTTCGTAGTCCAGCGTAGCATATCCTTTTGTGGCCCCCTTCAACTTGCCAAAGAGATCGTCGACGAGGGCTGACGCAGGAAGATCGTATTTGAGAATGACCTGAGTGGCATGAAAGAACTCAATACTGACTTGCTCGCCTCTGCTGCCCTCGCATAGCTCGATGACACGGCCCAGGTACTCTTCCGGCAGTGTGACCATGGCGTGGACGAACGGCTCGTAAAAAGTGGCCGCTCTCGCCTTGTGGTCGTCGTCTGATGGGAATTCGGCCGGATTGGTGATTATTTCTTCCCTCCCGTCTGTGTAGACGATGCGGCTGGGCACCGAAGGCTCGGTGATGATAACACTGGCGCCATACTCTTGTCTCAGGCGATCCTGGAAGACGGAGCAGTGTAGACTGCCCAGAAAGCCCAGGCGCCAACCTGCGCCCAGGGCTTCGGAATGGTCCTTCTGCAGGGTGATACTCCTGTCGTTGAGGACGAGCTGATTGATGCTCTCAGACATTTTTGTGTAGTCAGACTGGTCTGTGGGGAATGCTCCGACGAACACCATTGGCTTGGGCTCCTCGAAGCCCGGGTACATTTCCACCTTGCCCTCGTTACCGAGCGTCGTAAAGGTGTCCCCGATTTTGGCATCCTGTATGCGCTTCATGCCGGGATTGAACAGGATGTATCCGACTTGGCCTGCTCGCAGAACTGTCTGTGGGACTTGGTGTGGATAATGTATGCCAACCTCGCCAACGGTGTATTTCTTGCCAGTCGCCAGGGAGACGACTTGATCACCGGCTTTAATCGTCCCATCGAAGAGCCTGACCAGCAGGTTGACGCCCCTGAACGTGTCGTACCACGAATCGACCAGCAGCAATCGCAGAGGGCGACTACTGTCTCCCTTTGGAGGCGGTATCCTCTCGACGACGGCCGGTAAAATGGCCTCCACGTTCTTGCCGCTCTTGGCGGACACTAGGACAGGGGCGCCACCTTCATGGTCCTCAGTCCCGATCTCAAAGGTGTCCTTCAACTGCGCCACGGCCCTCTCGACATCGGCAGTTGGCAGGTCGATCTTGTTCACCACGGGAACCATGGTCAACTCCTGCGCAAATGCCGTGTAGAAGTTGGCGACGGTCTGGGCCTGAATGCCCTGAGAAGCGTCCACCAACAGCAACGCACCACCGCAAGAGGCATAAGACCGTGTTACCTCAGCCCGGAAGTCAACATGGCCTGGAGTGTCGACGAGATGCAACAGGTAATCCTGCCCCCTATACTTGTAGATCATGGTACACGTCTGCGCCTTGACCGTGATGCCGCGCTCGCGCTCGACGTCCAGCTTGTCGAGGATCTGCTTGTTCTCGTCGTCCTTGGAGATGGTGCCTGTCAGCTCGAGGAGCCTATCACTAAGGGTGGACTTTCCATGGTCGATGTGTGCAATCACGCAGAAGTTGCGGAATCGCTCGAGGGGGATGGCGGCGATGCGCTTCTCGAGGTCGGTCGGCCCCTTCCGGGATACCGAGGCGGCGGGGGACGATGCAGTGGCGTAGGTTCTCGGCGCCGCTCCTAGCCCTCGATGCGAACGTATGCCGTAGAAAGCGACGGGCGGCAGCGAGCCGAGCCGAAGGGCATTCTGGTGGTGTTGATGATGATGTGGTGTGAGCGAGGCGCACCGGCGCAGGACTGGGGGCGTTCGTCTGCTGCTGGACTTGTCAGGACGCACGATGCTGCGCACCAGGCGGCTTGACGGGCAAAGCGGCCGCAGGCATACTGATCGCATCGAAGAATCCGCCGAACAGCCGTGTATGCAAACGGCTCAGACGAAGCTCGTGGAGAGTGATGTTCAGTGAGCGAATGCAGCAATGCTGCTGCGTGCTGCGACCCCGAATTTCGACCCGGTCTCCCAAAATTGAGCCGTAGTTCTTATCTTATCGTAGCATTTGAGATGCTTAACTCCCCTGTACCCTGTGCGAGGGTTAGGACTTCTGGTCTGCATTTACAGGACCGGGGGGAGTGGGGGGGGGGGATGCTGGGAGGGCGGGACTGGCAGGCAAGCATATCACGGTGCAAGTTGAGTTGAGCTCCTCTAGCAATGTACTTTCTCTGTGTGATTGGAATAATCTTGACGAGATCGGTCAGTCTGGATGAAAATGGATAATCAAGCGAATGAATGCAATGTCATTGAGATATCTCAACCCAATGCGGGATATCTTCCTAGGTATCTTCCGTTGTAACTCCAGACATCGAATAGCCAGTCGCAATCATGATGGCTGCGCCCGGTGAGGGAGCCTTTGGTAAGCTCAGCGTTTCGTGGTATAAAAAGGAAAGAGAGAACAGTCCCACTCCCTCTACCAATCAAGGTACCTTCACATGCTCATCATCAGCAGCGAGCCTCTCGCTTTCTGATTCTCCTACTCCAATGCCTACGCATCCCCAATCATGGAACCTCGTTGTCACCGTGACAGCTTGCCAACCGTGGTTCAGACAAGCACCCACTCACTACCCCTCTTGATGAACTTGTCCAACAACATGGTCAGATCCTGCAAGACGAATCGGCAGATGTAGAAGGCGAAGAACTCGGCAGCGTGCCTAGTGCAGAGCTCGAGCCCTACTTGAGTCTTGTCCGCGTGTCGGAGACCTGGGTCTTCCACTTGGCGGGCAATTAGGTCTAAGTCATTACGATGTGTTAGTCAGGAAAACCACCAAAGCTAACATGGCCAATTCAAGGCTAGGGAGGGGCAGTGAAGGCAGCACGTACCAATGGTCTGCGCGGCGTCAAACAAGCGCGCCAACGCAGCCATGTAATGAGCATTCGGCCCGCTAAACTGCACGCCCATGGCGTCCCTCTTGCTCGGCTTAGAAGTAGGATGGTTTGTCATGGGCAGTGTTGCCAGTGACATGGCCTCTGCTCCAACCGCATTTCCAAGCTCTTTCTTGGTCCCGCTGCGCTCGTACGTGCTTCCCAGCCCGGTCGAACTCGTCTTGTTCCGCAGCCGCCGCCAGCTGAATGCGTTCTTGGCGCTGACGGAGTTGTTCCGGGGGACTGGCTTGCCGTCGGACTCGATCACCCCATCTGCGTCCTTGAACATCGTGCCTGAGCCCTGGACGCCGACCTCATTGCCAAGCCGCCGAGTCAAGAATATTTGAGCCTGCTCGAGGACATTTTCGAAGCTCTGCATCTCTTCTAGCAGCGCGTCGGCGTCCTCCGAGTCCACCCGAGAAAGCTTCTGGAGCGCAGCTGTGAGCAGATCGCACTGGCTGGTCTTCTCTTCCATACCCTTGATCTTGACCCCCTTGACCCGCCACGCATCCCTCGGCACAAACAGCTTGTTGCTGATGTACCCGCCCTTGGGGTGAGCGAGCGTCTGATATAGGGCGCGCATCAGCCAAAACGGCCGTAGCATCACATCGGTCGGGCAGGGCTCAAGAGGCAGCGGCGCATCCTCAGACGGAGTATCTGTCTCTCCTGGCGATGCGGGGGAATGGATGTCATTATCGAAGAGATGGAAGCCACCAGCTGCCGACCCTGAGGTTACGCGATCCCTGAATGCAGCTGCTACCGGCGTGGGAAGCGAAGGCAAGGCGGGTAGCCGCGCTGCCGGTGCGTTTCCAAATTGATTGGACAGTGGCGTTCCGGGGGACACGTCGGAGTACTCGTCGACATTGGTAATTGAGAGGTTGCGGGTCTTCATGCTCTTCAAGGAGTTTGAGGAGAAGTTCTTGCGGAGGGCTGGCGGCCGAGACACAGCCGGAGACTCGGATCGGCCATCCAGGGGTCCGTCGAAACCAGCAGGCACAGGTGGGGTCGGCGGTGGCCCTTGGGCCGCGAGGCCCGGGGGAATCGGCGACGGGCCGCGCAGTTGCGAGGCGGATCGTACCGAGCCGGGACCGGCAGCAAGATTCTGCCGTTGCTGCTGACCAATGAAACCAGCGGTCTTGGGCTGCTGGCCCAAGGGCAACTCCTTGCTTTGCATCGTCGGCCCCGCGGTAGCTGGCTCCTGCACCTTGGGCCCCAGCTTCTGCGTCTCGATCTTCAACTGCTTGGCATTGGTCCCCGACAGTCGGCGGTCGCGCACACTATCTCGGCCGGCCGACGATGGCGGTCGCCCAGGGGGCAGCTTGGGCAAGGACTGTGACGGTGGCGGTGCAATGGGGCCTTGGCTCTTGGACAACGAAGGCAAGGATGTGCTCTCCGTGACAGGCGAGAGAACCGTGTTCGCAGTGGGCGGGTTCGACACGGTAGAGCTGTGCCACGTTCGCGAAGTGAACTCGCTGGAGTCAGATTCACGAGGCAGTCTGTTTCGCGCCTGGTCTCCTAGCGTGAAATTCTCGATAGCGTAGCCTGTGGTCATCTCCTCAAGCATACGTTCCTCGTCATCTGAGTCGTCTCCATCATAGAAGCCTCCCGGCAGTGTTTGCTCCTCCTCCTGCAGCGCCTTCATGCGTCGGTCCCTGTCGTTGGCAAGCCGCTGCATCTCGAGTTCTGATTGCCGCACGCGTTCCTTGGCGAGTTGGACTTTCTTGAGAGCTTGTGCGATAACATCATCCTCGTCTATGACGTGATCAAGGTTCAGAGCGCGGTTAGCGGCATCCGTGGACTCATAGCCGTCATCATAGGCGGCTTCGATGGCATCGTCCAGAGCGGCATCGAATTCTGCTTCTGTGTCGCCACTGGCTGACCGGATGTGCTTCCTTCTTATCCCCATCGAGGACGACCTCGAATGCACTGACGATGCCGACGAGCCTGCCGACTCGTCTATCGGGTCAAGCCAAGATATTGACTCGTGACTATTTCCCCGCTGGTGGCCTCTTTGCGAAGACGCGGCCGGGGCGAGACGGTTCTTTTCACTTAAGAAGTCGGACCGGATGGAGACGTCTGGCCCCAGCTTTGTCGAGGGGGATATGGGCCTCCGTGGGGAGAGCGGAGGAGGCTTGTACTCATCTTCCATCGGCCGGGCCAGGAAGGTCTCGGGATGCGTTGTACGGTCTCTCTGGGGGGAGCTCTGAGAGAAGGCGGACTGGGAGCGAGTGTAGGGTTCACTGAAGTTTGTCGGTGTGGGCGTCACATATCTTGAGCCGTCCAACGATGGTTTCGGACTGTGTTGAGGTCTCCATGCAGCTGATGTCGGTCTCGCGTAGTTGGGCACCGGGCGCTGGCCGGGCTGGCTCCGCTCCGAGTCGGACCGCAGCCTCGACGGCTGGTCCTCTCCTGCCGTGGAGCCGTTCCTCGTGCGCCCAGTGGCCTGGGATGTGGAGCTTGTGCTGTTGCTTGCCGGCCTCTGCGGGAGCGCCTTGCTGTCTTCCTCGTCCTCAGGGAGCATTTGGTCCAGCTCTTCGATACGGCTCGCATAAGTTTTACGCTAAGAATTGCGAAAATCGCGTCAATAAAATGCAGATAAAAAAGCGGACAGTGAACCTCGACCCAGACTCACAATTGCCTCTAGCTTCTTCTTATCCTCGTCCCCCGCCGTGCGCAGCAAGACTTGATGTAGCAATTCGCATGCCTCTCGATAGGCCGAGCGCGCACCTTGGAAATTTTGCGCATTGTCAAGTTGGACGGCAGTGTTGGCCTTTTGCAAAGCCTTTGAAAGCATTGCCTTCTGTGAAGGCTGCTTCGAACGGCTTGGGTTTCTCTGCGACGAAGTAGAATCCGTGCTGCTCTTGAGACCCTGAGACCGGCTCCTCGAGTGCCCCTTTTCACGATGGCCAGCCCCATCTTCGGTATGTGGCATGGTGGCGTCCCGGCTGAAGGCAGAAGTCGGCAGGGCGTGTTCAGGGGTGGCACGCGCAGAAGTTGACAGGTACGAAGTTTCTCCCGGTCCTGGAGAATCATCCCAGAAATGGCTGGACTCGTTCTCAGCACCTGGCCCAGGAAAGTAGGTGGCGCGGTCTGGTCTTGGGTCCTGCCCGGACAAGGCGGCCCCGACCAGGTCGTCCTGTGACAAGGAGGGCAGTTGTACGATGGGAGGAAGGGTAGTCAGCGGGGGGACCGCAGGCTGGTGATGCTCTTCGGGTGACCCGCTGGAGGTGGAGGGGCGGCTCTTGTGCAGTCGTCTCGGCGAGGCGGAGGAGGACTGCGAGAAGAGGGCGGTAGAGTCAATGCTCATGCGCCGGGAGAATCGCTTGGCGGAGGCGGAGTTGGATGCACGACTTGAGGCGGTGGAGATGGACCATCTGTTGAGGTTCCGGAAGCCGTCGCTCAGACCGCCCAGGCTACTGGACCGCGAGTGCGACTTGGAGTGGCGGCGGCGGGTGTTCTTTGGCGAGACGGAATCGTCGAACTCGCGCTCGTTCACCGGGTCGGCGATGGGGGCGGGTGGGACGGCCGGAGCATTTGAGAATGGGTCGTGGAGGGTCGGTTGTTTCCAGCTGGCCTGGTCGACGGTGATGCTCGGGGGCGGCAGCAGCGACGAGGTCCGTGGCAGCGAGGCAGAGGAGAAGGAGGGGGTTAGGTTGACGGCGGAGGAGATGTGCGAGGAGGGCTTGGTGGGATTGTACTGGACCGAGCCGTAGATGGGCCTCGAAACATGGGTCGAGGAGTCGTAAAAGTGATGTGGGTGCTGCTGTTGTTGCTGCTGCTGCTGCTGCTGCTGCTGGTAGTAGTGGTGGGTTGGTTTCCTGGAGCCGATGGTGATCTGGGAGGCGGGAGTGGTAGAACGGGAGGTGGGGTTCGAGATGGAGTTGGAGTTCGAGTTCGAGAAGGAGGCGGAGGACAGATTGGACTGCGAGGCCGAGTTGAGATGGAAGTTGAATGCGGATTGGGGAAGGGCGGTGTTTGAGGCAGCAGAGACGGAGCCGGTGTGATGCGCATGAGCATTGGCGTGAGGCGATGGCATCTCTGTGCGGCTGGCGGCTGTTCTCCTTCCCCCGACGCAGTAGGCGGGGAGGGGAGACGAGCCAAAAAAGGAGGGAGAGAGCGCGTCAGCGGATTGATGCGGGTATGGCCCAGCCAGACGGAACTCTGTGTGTGTGTCTCTCTCTCTATCTTTCCCTCTGGCTCTGGGTGTCCCTCTGTCTCTCTTTCCCTGTCGCTCTGTCCTGCGTCTCTCTCTTAGCCTGTGTCGTGTGTGAGAGAGCGAGTGTGAGAGTGTGCGAGGGCGTCAGACTGGCCCTGCGTGGGATGGCCCTTGTCGTGATGGACCGTCCGGTCTGGGATTGGGGCGCGGATCGAAGGGGGGTGTGCGTGGTTTGACTTGCGACCGAGCGACGGATGGGCCCAAGGTTCAGCGCATCAGTGCCTCGTCGCCGTCATGCACCAACCAAACCAACTGGGCGGGCGAGCAGCCTGTGCCTGCGCCTGTGCCTGTGCCTGGGTGGGCTGGCCTGCTCTCTGCGCTGTTCTGATCTGGTGTGACGCCAATGCCAGTGTCGGTGTCAATGCCCATGCAAACAACCAATGCGAACACCAAAAAGCAAGCAATCGCCGGTTTGAGGCTCGAAGAGTCGAAAAAGAATCGGTGTCAATGCCAGATCTCTCTCCCTCCGATAAGGTAAGGAAAAGAGACCAGGGGGGTGGCGGAAAAGGGGCGCAGGAGTCGACGCGGCGCAAGGACTGGGCTCGCTAAGGTAAGCAAGTAAGGGACTCGGGAGGCCGTTATAGACTGACTATGGTCCAATCTCTTGCACAGTACGGCACTGCACTTAGGAAGGGAGCGAAGGCGACGAGGGGGTGAAGGACGATCGAAGGAAGCGTGTGTGTGGGTGTGTGGGTGGGTGGGCGTCGTGTACCTGCAGATGCTTGCTCTCTGTGTGTGTGTGTGTGTGGCGGCTGCCAAACCCCCCCTACCCCAACCAGCTTTTGTCGGTCAATGCAGAACGCAGAGCAGTGTCGAGAGCAGGGCAGACAGCCCAGTCCCACCCGCCCAAGCGCGCACGCAGCCAGCAGCCAGCCAGCCAGAGGATAGTGGGCAGTGGGCAGTACTGTAGAGTAGCAGTGGCAGTGGATGCCCAGCCAGGCTGCCCTGGAGGTCGGAATAAGACTCTGGTCGATCCCTGGGCTGGGTCTGGGTCTGGGTCTGGAACTGGAGCTTGGGGGGGTTTGGGGGCTGGGGCCTCGGTATGAGGAGGGACAGGCGAGCCAGGCGAGTTGCCGGATCGGTTGAATTGGGGTCGGTGCTAAGCTGAACAAGGCCGAGGACCGCCCATCTGATCAGTTTGCCAGTCTCTTTCTGGTTCTCTGGGAGAGAAACAGCATCAAAGAGGATAGGGTCACCTGAATCAAGCCACCGACTGAATAGAGTCCACCTAGACACAGACTGACAGCCAGGCAGATAGGTGGATACACGGCAACACTGCAGCCAGACAAGACTTCTCTGATGGGACAAAGGATCACCGCTCGACACGGGATATTTTCTTACTATATTTACTATATTTGACCCCTCTTTCTACGGCCAGCCGTGTTTGGTCTCATCCATACACTCGTTCTGATAATTCATCCGGTCATTCTGCCAGTCTATCACAGCCAGCAGGCAAGATGTAAGCAGTATAGGCCAGGCCACTGGACCAGATCCAAGGTCGACATTTGCCCATGGGCATGAGCAGTATGTCTGCCATCTGCTGGGTCCATCTACTATGTGCATTGTACCGTACCTGGGCTCTCTTGAGTGCTATGCTCCACCACGTGTCTACTGTGTGCCTGTACCTAGACTATCTGCAGCACAACATCCCAGCTGGCTGCTGATCAGCAGTACAAGACCAGTCACCTGCTCGGTGTTAATGGGACAGATCCAACTGAATCTAGATTGTGCCACTCCCTCTTTGTACTGTAGCGTTCAGTGGACAGAGAGTGGGGGTTTAAAGAGCCAGGGAGCACAGTCTGACAGTCTGACGGTCTGACAGCGGGCGATGTGGTGCTGCACCTGCAGGGGCAAGGGACGAGGGGCTGGGGGGGCTAAGGGGGGAAAAGGAAGGCCACTACCACCTAGGCCCAGGCACAGTACAGCATCTTTTCACCTTCCGACCTCCAACCAGCCAATCAACACAGCATTCTTCCACGGGCGGCTGGCAGATGGGCAGGTGGGGTTCCCTGGCCCCGCTCAGGGGTTTGTTTCCTAAATTGGATCCCTTCAAAAGATAACCTACCCAGCCGCCCCAGCTGCCACAGCACATACCTGGCGTGTAGTAGTATGGACAGAATACCACAGTAGACTACCGACAGAATACAACATGGAGGAAACGAACTACTCCTGCCACTGCGACATCGCGAAGCATCCAGACAACCATAAACAGGCAACAAGGCACAGAAAACAAATCACACGTAATACCTGGGTGTGCCCTGGTGCGCTCGAAAACCAACGTGTCTACCCACTTAGGTTCGCTACCAAGGGTACTTCAACTTGGTCTATAACGAACCACCTGGGCTATTGACGTTGATGACATGGGTGGAAGTGAAGCACACTGTTGGCAAACAATAAAGACCGCACCTGCTTTCCCAACAGTAGTCTGTCTATTGTAATCACAGTACTGTACAGTAGAATGCTTGTGTATACAGATGATACCCACCATGATGATCCTTGTTCTCGCCTGTGCCCTTTTGCCACCTGGCCACGTGCTGGTGGTGATGCTGAAATCTTCCCCACTGCCGCCTGCTCTGGCAAGTCGGCAATGCAGGTTAAAGGTCCAGCGCCCGGGACCAGGTCTCAGGTCTCAGGTCTCGGCAGGGCTGAACATGACGCAGGCACACAGGCACACGGTCGTCTACAGTCCAGATACGTCGATATTCCCCGGCGTCGTCCACAAATGTCTTCGGCCATCCACTGTGCTTGTGTGTACATACACACATGGGTCTTGTCTGGTCCAACAGCTTTCACACGTGCCATGCTGTTGAACTTATGCACTCACATACTTCGGTCGATGTGGTCCTCGGTGACGATGTGATGCATAGGTAGCTTGGTAGTCTAGCACAGGACATGCGGGTCCAACAGCGCTCTATGTACCTAGGTAGGTCTGGTTTGTGCTCTGTACAGTACAGTGCCACTGCACTTAGCAGGGCCCCTAACCACAGCGCTGGTACCCAAGTCCCAGATTGCCATCGACAATTCCTAGTACACACCACAGGTAATCAGGTAGGTAACGTCCCAGGTACCTGGTGCGCACCAGGACTACCTGGACATCTGATCTCTCACGGCTCATTGCTCAACAACCCAGGGCCCATCGTTTTCAACGGCCGCAGGTAACGGCGCCAAAATATACAGTACACACACCCACACCTACACAGCGGTGACGGGTCAAGCCCTCATGGTACCATCGCCAGCTCGCTGTCAAACACTTAGGAATGGGTATCGCGCGAGGTTAAAATTGGCCACTGATGGCTTCCGGATTGACTTCGAGCAAGCCGGGCGGTCTGTCTCGATTGATCCAGCAACATGTCCTGCATGTAGACCAGTACTTCACTTTGATAACCATTCTGCGGGATGTGGGTCTGAAACGTCGACATTGTGCCGCCGATGCAGTACCGGTTTATTTACTCATTACGAAGATGCTTCATTCTGTTACATGGCCTGCATGCAGAGTGTTCTCGTGACTGTCCTTCCAACGATCAGTACCCAATTCGGGCCTTGGAAGGACGTGCAGTCTTTCACTCAAGAGGAGCTCCCGGTGACCGCCACGTCTACTCAGAGCCTTCGGTTCGGCTTCAAATGGGCCTGGGCGGGACGGGAAGCCTTATAAGCGTTATCTTTTGCGCAACTCTGCTAATGTCCATCGCGTGAATGTCTAAAACACCACCTGTTTCAAGGCACATAAGCTCAACCCTCCCCCGGCACCCAATTCCAATTGCACGCACTCGAGCCTTCATCTCAAATGATTGTCAGCCTACCGGTCTTATGTTGGCTTTCCCATATGTAACAATTTTTTGTGAACAACTGTGTGCGATACTTCACATTGATTGGACGCCATATACTTTTTTCTAAACAAAATAAAAATAAACAATGGCCATCTGGCCGCACGAAATCTGGGTCAGCAGCCCGTGATGATTCTACACCCGCCTCCCACTAACGACCCGGGACAGGACTGCTGCCAAGGGCCCCGGCGAAGACTCTCCGATGGACTGACCTTGTGTGGCATCTAACGTGCCTGCAGGACGCCGACGACCTCTATCCCAGTCAGCACCCACCGCAACCAATCCACGGGCACGGCAGAACAACCGGTTCCAAGGTTGGGGCAAGGCACCTTGGCACCGTGCGTTACGGGACCTGCGGCTTCCGCGTCGTGTCCCATCCGGGGTCTGGGGTCCCGCCCTGCCAAGTGCTGTTTCAACTCTTCTCTCCTCGCATGGTTCGCCCGCGGGTAACACCTTGCGAGCCACCGCAAGGAAGCGAGCGAGTGGTGTGTTCTACGCATACCGAGGTGTTCTTGTGCAGAGGAGCACACTGTCTCACAGTCGAGAAGGCAACTGAGAACTTGGGAGCCTTCCTGGTCTGGGTAATTTGCAAATGGCCAAAAGCGTGTTCTGCACCATGGCAGCTGCAGTCTCTCGAGCTCGGCTTTCATGGCACGGGATATCTTTCTTCAGCCCAATAATGCTCCCTGGCTGGTCCTTGATTGGGTAGGGCGCATGACGAGGTGGAAGGACCACAACAGTACCCTGGCCTTTCAAGAATCTCTTCTCAGTCTTTCTACTTGTAGCCATCTCAAGCATGCCAACAAATATCACCAGGATGAGAAGTCACCCAAATAGAGAACGAGTATGGCATGGAACGAAGATTCAGGCTCGCTGATAGGACCTCTCCCTCTAAATTTCCTGTTAAATTGTGAAGAGTGACGATGGTGCAGTAACGTTGGCTGACTTGACTATAACCATGGGACGATTCCAGGCATCTTCCTTTCTGTAGCTCTGACCTCATTCTACATGTGTCATTAATTTATGCAAAAGTCAATCGACGGGGATGGACTTGTCAACGAGAAAGCCAAGTACTCACGACTTTCCGTCCTCTTGCTCAAGGCATGCCGCCTTCTCAGGGTCCAAGTCTTGTGTCTTGTACATGTACGAGTGCACCTCTTAAGTTGCTTAGGTAGACTTCATAGCTTCCAAATTTTAGAACAGATCCTTCGAGCTGACTTTGCTGAGCATTCAGAAAAAAGCTGTCAGGTTTTTGCAAGTACTTCTTTGGCGGTCTGTCCAAGTGTCAGCTATCCGGTCTCTTGTAATCGCTCCGTGATTGACAAACTTCACAGTTACATACTCTGATAAGCTCAGGCACTGAGCCACTCAATTTGTTTGGATCTGTCTCTGGCATTTGTCACAGGAGGCTCACAAGTAAGCTTATTCGAATCTCTATAACTATCAACTAAGCATTTTCCACAGGAACACAATCTAGTACTTCGGTCGGAACGGTGTTGGAAATCGTAGGGGTATCTGAAGTGTCATTTCGAGCGATATTCTGTTCCCAGGATCCTGATCATTGTTCTGATCTTGGTGAAAGCGATATGGGATTCCGCTGTGAAGACAGCCAAGAAGCACGGAGTTCTGGCCTGGGGAACCAGAAACACGTTAGATTTAGGCCGGCAATGCCTCAAGCATTATCGTCGCAGTGTCGTCGGAAAGGTACTGTGTTGCTGTGTATATACAGTACGATAGCCTAATTTGGTACACATTGTGCAACTTCGGATCGGCGCACCTTCTCGTTTACGAGGCTGCTGTGGGGAAAGAAGAAATGATGCGGCTGATGGTGGTGGCTGCTCCAAGACCGAATGCTGACAAACGCGACACCTGCAAACCATACGTGGCGGCCACCTGTCCTAAGCAGACAGACCATGATCATCTTAGCAGTCCAAGACACAGTGTTCTCTGCAGTTCTTCGTTCATAAAAGAGAGAAGAACGTATTGGAATCCAACGGGTTATCTCACGTCCTATCTCACGTCCAACCTCGAACCTTCAACACCACAGTACACGAGGACCAAAGCGCTAAGGCGGCTCTCACTAGTAACAATGAACAAGCTTGACTCGATCATGGCAATGCACGCCGCCCAAGGATGGGATACCAACGATAAGCTTCTCGGTGTCTCTTTCATGGTGGTGGATGAGAAAGGTGAGTGGATTCGTCGGCCCAAAACATGCCACGGGAGCATCCAGTCTCGACCACTTACTTACGCATATTGGTGCCGCTTCAAGATGTCCTATACGAGGGCTCAGCTGGCAGAATAGGCCACCACCACGAAACGGCGAAGTACACACCAGACACTTTCACATATGTCGCCTCGCTGACCAAGCTGCCAACTGCCATCTGCCTGTTGCAACTTGTTGAGCGCGGCCAAGTTAGCCTTGACGAGGACCTGAGGCCACGCATTCCCTTCTTGTCCGAGGTACAGATTCTCCGCGGATTTGATGAAAATGACCAGCCTATTTTGGAAAATAACCACCGTCCTATCACGCTTTGGCATCTCTTGACACACACTTCCGGCCTGACCTACGACATTCCGTCAGAACCACTCATGAAGTGGCGCCAAGCTGTTGGCCGGCACAACAACAACCTCACGTGGACGGAAGAGGGTTTCTCGACGCCGCTCCTGTTTGAGCCTGGTACACAGTGGTTATATGGCACAGGAATCGACTGGGCCGGACAGCTGCTCGAGCAGGTCACCGGGCAGACGTTGGAGCAGTACATGCGAGCAAACATCTTCGGAGTGCTCGGAATGCGTGACAGCGGCTTTCGACCGAAACTACTAGCTGACCAAGAGGAGCGAGCAGCTCGGACGGCATCCTTTTCCTTTCGCTCGCTGGGTGGTGCCCTGGAAGCGGGACCATCGCCGCTGCCGGATGATCACCCTCTGGAGAGCGGCGGCGCAGGACTTTTCACAACCGCGAGAGACTACGCGAAACTGCTCCAAGCCGTGTTGCAGGGCAAGCTGCTCAGTAGAGAGGGGATGAATCTGCTGTTCAGACCGCAACTGGACGAGGGACTGCAGAAGGACTTGATGGAAAAATTAGCAAGCGCCCCGGAAGGCTATGCTCCCGAGTACCCGATTGGCATGCCTGCGAACTTTGCCCTTGGCGGCATGTTAAACATGGAGGACATTCCGGGTAAGAGAAAGGCAGGAAGTATGATGTGGAGTGGAATGGCCAATTCTCACTGGGTCAGTCGATTTCCAACTCTTTTTCATACCATATGAAGATCAAAGACCTAGCTTGGAGTTCTTTCTAACGCCTTCACAGTGGATCGATACCTCAACTGGCGTCGCGGGTGTCTTTGTAGTTACACTGCTTCCGTACGCAGACCACTTTGCCGCAGACCTCTATTCGAAGCTCGAAACCGCGGTGTACGAGGACCTCGTTGCTGGGCGTCCTCTTGATGGATCGAAGAATTCATAGTATCCGCACGAAGTAGTGCTAAGCTGAAGTGCTGTCTTGCAGCAAGATTGCTGGCTTTGTATCAGAATTGTCCTTCGGCAGGGTGTGAGCTTCCTCCTGGTGCTACAAGCTGGTCCCAGGGATACGCCAACTACAGATTTACCCAGAAATATAGAGTAGCATTTCTTTGCCGGCTTCGTCTTTGCTTCTTAGGACAGCGAGTCTTGACGAAGAAGGATGCTCGCTGTAGTAAATTAGTTGCACCCTGTAGTGAAGTAGTTGCTTCCTGTGTAAATTTTGTATCGGATTGAGACTCATATGAAGATTTCGATCTCGTTTCCATACTTCGTGAGCCTCACTCTAGGTTGTACGATTCATTGTACTTATGTCAAGGTAGTCCCCCGTTGGTTTAATGGTGTCGATTCAAACAGGTTGCTTATATTCAGGGTTAGGGCTGTCGTCATTGATCCGAATTGCAGTGAGATTCGTTAGCCAGAGCATATCCTAACCTTACAATCAACACCTGTGGTAGCCCACAACGCCCCTTCGAGTAGCAGAGAACCAGTTCTGACTGCGCGCATTTTCCGGTTCGATTTCGACCGTGACTCGTCAGAATGACCAGCTCTCAAACGCAGGATGGGAGCCCATTCGACGACAATCATCGTTACGTGTCGACGTCTTTGAATTACTACCCCGTCGATGCCGGGCCTCCGATACCTGTCATAATAGGCGAGTAAGTGTCTTCCACAACCCCAACATCTTCATAAAGCACAAATCAGAATCAAAACGTACTGTAAGTGCTGATTGTGTCTGGATCCGATGAAGAAAGAGCGTCAACAACAAACGGCCCTCTGTGTCAATCGATGTTGTTGTACAAGACGTCACTGGCCATGAAGACGAGTATAAACTTGACAAGCACGGATTCCAATTTGTCCACCACATCAGCCAGGAGAAAGATTTCGATGATGAGGGAAAGATCACGGGCGTGTATTACCCTGAAGTGGAATCGCTCCTAAAAGAGGTGTGAGTCCGTCTGATGAATATGTGCAGCCATTCTTTGAGAATGATGCTGAACCGAGTCTATGACTCAGAACAGGTGCCTCACGTGTCGTCGTGTTCAATCATAGAGGGCGTCGAGGTCCCTCGGATTGGGACAAAGCAGGACTAGACAATCGCTTAAATGCGGGACCGCTCTTCAAAGTCCACATAGACCAGTCATACGATGGCGCGGAGCTGCAGCTGCGAAACATCCTTCCCGATGAAGCGGACGAGCTTGTGAAGCGGAGGTACCAGATCATCAATGTGGGTGTTTGTATCTCCGTCGCATGGGGACAGGGTCGCTAACCGGTCGTCAATGACTGCGCCGTAGGTGTGGCGACCTATCGAGACTGTGTTACGAGATCCTCTTGCGATCGCAGACGCCAGTACCGTCTCGGATACCGACCTTCTTCCAGCAAGTGTAGTAAAGCCTGATTCGAGGTCGGAGACATGGGCTGTGAAGCCGAACCCGGCTCATCGATGGTTCTTCAAACATAAACATGGGCCGGATGAGGTTGTCCTCATCAAGTGCTTCGACTCGGATGAATCTGTGGCAAGGCGTTCGCCCCATTCCGCCTTCAAAATACAGGAGCAGGACGACGGCCCTAGCAGGAAGAGCATCGAAGTTCGAGCGCTGGTCTTCTATGGCTGATTCCATGGGTCAGAGGAAGTTGTCCTTGTTGAGTCTAAAAAAACTGTTTCACCTTGATTTTAGCTATCTTCGATTTGAGCCAGCTCGATCGATCTGTGAGAAATTTGTCTGATGTGGCTGGTTTTGAGTTACTTTGTATCGACACGTTTGTATTCGAAAGGAATTGTCAACTGAGCTGTGGTATGAATCTTCCTCGATTTGCAACTTCATAAGGGCCTGCCAGTTGAGCCATCTCTGTTTCTATTACAAGGCCGAGACTGCCACACACAATTGCGGGCTTCACTGTGGTACATACAATTGGCGCAGACATTGCTTTTAACATGTTTGGCGGAGGTTGGCCTTAAGTGACAACCAACCCATAGCCCATATCCATCGTGGCATCTGTTACATTCGTCAGGGGCAGCTACACCTGTAAGCTGTACAAGAATCGCGATGAGACGCTCATTCTTTTTGGACGATGATTTCAGGTCCGCGATATGCCACGGCTTTGCACCTTCTCTCCTCTTGCGAGGCTCTTCTAATCTGTGCATAGCTGGTAGATCAAGCTGAAACAGAGGTTAATGCCCATTAACTCTGAGCAGATATAAAGCAACTTACCATAGATACGATTCTGAGGTTGGTTGGACGTTCGCCGGGTCGATAACTCTGAGCGATTTCTTCAGGGTACTTTTGCAAGATGATAGACCAGGCGGTATGGCCTTCGGGTTGCGAACAGGTTGTAGGGCTGCTGGATTGAGGAGCGAAGACTCTTCTGGGCGATCTTGAAGGAGCAGTCGACGTGTGATCAGCAAGATTATTCCCAGTTGCCGTGGAGCAGCCCCTCTGACGCGCCAAATTGTTGAGGTAGGCTTGAGAACGTGATGAGTCCGCCTGGGCAGGGGAGGGTGAGCGATTGGTCACCCCGCCCACGTTTTCATCTTCACGGGAATCGGCTGGATCAGCGTTCTGGCGTTCCGATTGACTGTAACTTCTCTTCAACCCACGCAGCAGTCTTGGCAAGTGACGAGTACCAGAATGCTCGCCTTGCCTATGAGGGTAGCTGTCTGCCCGCTCTTCTTCCAGAACAATGGGGTTATGAGTAATCGAAGCCCCAGGGGTAGACACGGGCTCGATCACATGTGGCGTGTGGGCCCCGTCTCTCACTTCGTCTCCATCGCCATTCGGTTGGCTGTTGCCTATGCTTGGACTGGATGATGATGCCAGATGATTCAACGAGGCCACCCAATTCTCCTGACAGACGTCGAGGCCAAGCTCTTTACTCAATGCTTCAATCTTGCGAATCTTTTCGCGACGTTCCAAGGCACGGGCCTCGAGGTTGGCTATGATGCGGTCGAGGCGATCATCGCTGAGCCCAGACCAGTCCATTTGACCACTGGATCTTGCATAAATTACGTTGTCTCTTGTTGCGTCCGGGGATTCAGAGTCTGCCGAGCAAGGACGATGCGAAGCTTTCTCGGCAATCCCCGGCGGCGCTTCGGTGACACGGAGATGTGTGTCGTCAACCTGCCGCTGACTGGAGAGCCGCAAGCTGTGAAGCACAGCGTCGGGCAAAGGAGGGTGAGGAGGGGAGCTCGCTGATGACGAGCTTGAAGAAGACGCACTCTCATCCAAGACGGCTACATCGGGGTGAAAGATGGAGGACATGTTCCAAGAGCTCTGGGTCATAACATGCTATGCGTTCTGCCAGTGGCATGCGTGAAATGGGGAATGTGAGGCTTTCAAGTTTTGAGTGAAGCGTACAATACTTGGTTGGCGGCCTTGTTATTCTACGGTGACGGGTGGTAGAGGTAAGGTGGGCCGTTTGTTGTTGCGACTGCGGTTTGCTCTGCAAGCGCGGGCACGTGACCTTGATCTATCTCAGCCGACTCGGTAACTGCGTGCCCCCCAAAACCCCCGGCAAACAAGCAGATTCGCATGGATTTGGTGCCTGCGAATGAAATACGAGGGGCGGAATTGATTGAAAGATACTACCAGGTTGCTTCGATCTTCAGTGGCGCAAGAAGTGCCTGAAGAGTAAGGAAGCGGGCTGTAATCAGTGGGTACCTTCAAGATACAGCTCGGGTGTCCGGTTTGCGGCCAGATTGTTAATGTATACCTCCCGTAAGGAGTAACTTCCTATGAGATAGCCCCAGGTAAAATAAGTTCCTGAAAAATAATTTCCTACAGTATAAATTCCTATAAAATGACTTCCTGTAAACTGATATCTTGTGGGATAAACCTTTGTAGGAAAACTTTCTGAGGGATGATCTTGTGAAATAAACCCATCAGAGGGTATTTTTTAATGACCTGGTTAGATTTTAGAAATTATGGTGATGTTGTTCCAATAGTGTATGTGATATGTGCGAGTGTATTGTCCGCTGTTTTGCAATGTCATATATATTTATTATTATTATTTTATAATATACAATACTATATTGTTGTGCTGCTTGAAAGACTACCGCTTATAAATACAACTAATACAGCTGCATAACTATTTAATAATTAGCAATGAATAAAAATGTTTAAAACAACTTAGCTTACGCTGCTGTAGCGCCATATATTTCCGCTCGACGTGCTGTTGTCATCACAACTATGCTTATTGCAAACAAAGTTGTAAAGACAGCTATTATAATAAGTTTCGCAATGTCGTTGTGAACAAAATATAAACTGATGATGGAACCAATCAAAAGAACAGCTGCTACAATAACGTTAATAATTGCACCCGCAAGTGCAACTGACTTCTCCTCATATCTTCCCACGCCCAGAGACCCGTTTCTTAACAATTCTTTCTGAATTCAATTAGCAATAATCAACTCAGAATCTATTTGAAAATCACGAACCTGAGCAGGCCAGTGTCGCATGAGATACTGTGACATATAGTCAGGCTCTGAAACTGTGTTGAGAGCAACCAGGTCGTTGGGATGATCCAAGAAAGTTTTTGCTCGCCCTCCAAGAACTGGAACTGGGTGCTTGAACCACATAAGGAATGTATTTAAAACTCGCTTATTAGGCCTCTGCAATTTAGTGATTTCGCTGTGAAGGATCAATGCTTCATCTGGGTTGCGGTCAGCACATTAGACTGAAATCACAAACGCCGACACTTACGATACTCCTTAAGCTTCTCACGAACTCTTCTTATAAGATTCATGCGTGACTTTGCTCCATCGTCGTTCGAAGCAAGTCGACTTTCCAGTGTTTCCCATGTCATTGCAGCGTCCCTGAGATCCATGTCATCGGTATTCGCGTCTGTCTCGTCAAGAGCATCAAGTTGTGCCATCAACGTTAGCAACTCTGATTGATAGTACAAGAGATTCCGGACAGCAAGCTCGTCGAACTTGCGGTAGATGTGGGTCTCGCTATCGGTATCAAGAGCCATCCACCTCGCTACGTTCGCATATCCCGTTCTGCGGTTGGTCGCAGGGCCAGGGTGCGGTCGTGCACCGCGCTCCGACAACGAATTCGTTTGTATATTTGAAGAGCTCATCTTGTTGTTAATAGTTTCTAAGAGGTAAGAGCAGTCCAGTGTATCTAGAGCGGAACACTTTGCTTGAAAGCACAAGTACGCCGAAAAGTACAAGAACTGCCCATGTCAAGGCGATGCTTAATGCATGCTGAAACGATCTGAAATGAAACAGAAGCGATTACCAACATTTTGTGAGACATCAGCAGGCAGCAATGATGACGATTGGGTCTAAGGGAAGCCGACTCTGAGGTGGCCCGTAGTGGCGTTGTTACACAGCTCATGTCAAGAAATCATTGGAAGATAGTTTTCTTGGTTGTGGTTGCACAGCCCAGCCCCTCACCTATCGGCGGGATTAATTGTTCCAGTTAAATATCACCTAAACACCTACGTAATTATCCGGGTACACCATTACAGAACGTTCTTGGTTTTCTTTCCTTTTAATTCGGATTATAGTGTATTCTTTGCATCTTAAGGCATAATTTTCTACACAACTTTATGTTCACTACAATCCACTCTATCAAGAAACAACTTGATGCCCATAGCCGAGCCGGACTTTAGGAATCCTTGGTTAGAATGTGTGAAGAGCTTGAATAGAAAAATGGACGTTGAAGGCGGTGAGAACGCCAACGGAGACGGTGCACTTCCCATTAAGAACAGCTCGATCCTCGCAATTGCTTCAGAGGAATGTGTTCGTCTTCGAGCAGTCACGTTGACCACTGAGCACCATGAAGGTATCAAGACGGAACAACTTCCTCGTCCTGATGAACGTTCTCTGCCTGAAGACTGGACCCTCCCAGGGCTCCGATGGACCGACAAGCTGTTTCCTCCGGAGTGGTTCCATGGCAACGAGGTTGATGACGATGAGAAAACATTCGAGCTACCTCTCATGACTAGCCATAGGAAAGAGCGGATCCTCTGGCTAAGCCAGAGTCTGTTAGCGCAATCACCATTTCGCATTGGAAAAACTCGCCATGAAAGGCTTCGAGATTACTCAGTTGCTTCCAACAAATATTATATCGATGGAAGTGTGGCCAGTCTACCTGTAGAAGCATTCCCTGACAGCGGCGCAGGCGCGTGCTTCATATCACCCGAGATGGCGTCGAACCTAAGCCTTAGTCTGACACCCAACACGCGAAAAACGTTCTACCTTGCAAACAACAAGCCATCACAATCACCCGGTATGGTTCAGGTCCCGTGGATGTTTGCCGGAGAAGACGAGCAGCACTCATTGAATTGCTGGATTCTACCGGGCTGCATTCACGACATTGTGCTGGGGAATCATTTTCTCAATTTGACTAAAACATTGACGAAGTTCATGCACCGAGTCAAATGCAAGCTTTCACTCTCAGAAAGGCCGCGACTAAGGCTCATTGGCAAACAAATACAACGTCTCACGGGATATTTGAATGGCGAAATGGCGTTAGCGATTCCAGACACTGGTTCGGATCTTATGTGTATGTCGGGCTCCTACGCTCGGAGCATGGGTCTCTCGATTGACGACAACGTGGACAACTTGCTCGAGGTTGAACTAGCAGATGGAAGTGTCTGTATAACCAGTGGTGTTGTACGGAACCTATCGTGGGCTGTTGGCGACAAGGCAATCCTATGCGACTTCTACGTACTCGAAGATCTCTGCGCAGACGTAGTCCTGGGCAAGGATTATCTTTTCGACTTGGGCGTATTCTCCAATTGCTCGGATTCATTTATCGATATCGACTTGACGGAAGATATTGTTCACTTCTGTGGCGTTCATCTCATTGGCAAACATAGTAGCGCGCTGAATATCCTCGAGGAAGAGTACCTGGCAGACCGTGAGTGACCACCAGGTTTCGAACCCCCAGATTCCATTACTTACACGTGATTTTAGTGAACTCTCCCTATGCGTTTAGTGAGATGATGATTGAAAGAGAGTTAGCGAGAAGAGATCAGATACGCGACGGGATAGCAGCCTTGGATGAGAATCAGCGGGAAGAGGCGTTTGAGAATGAAGAAAAAAGAAAAAGCGACTGGGAGACTATGAGAAAAGACCACCGAAGAATATGGGGAACGCAAACCGTTAGGCAAGAGCAAGTTGCCCAGAGGAGCAGGAAGAAAATGTGGAGGAGCAAGTTTGTGAGCATAATGTTATCCATTAGGAATGTTTATCGCTGAAAAAAGGGGTGCTCTGAAAGAGGTGCAGTATCTTAAGCAGGACTTTTCAATATAGGCGATTCTTTTCTTTCCATAATTTCAATCGTAGCATTTATCAAAGGGAGAATAATAAATTTCAAGATACTATTTTCTTAACATTTCTTATATAATTAAACTAAATATATCATAGCATAAAGTATAGCTTCAATCTGTTCGATCGCCACTGCTCATTATTCCTCCAAAGTGGAAATTCTACCAGGCGTAAATCAGGCATTACAATGAAATGCATGTTATTTGTTTAAAACGTTTGTTCTATAGCTGCTGAGAACGATTTGTTATTATTAATATTATCTTACACCGTCGTCCACTCCTCTAATATCCCGACCGGAGTGGATCGAACTGTGGTCTTCTAATGAAAACCAGGTGGAAAGCCCCTTCGGAGCCCTGGGAGCTATTCGTCTTGGTATTCCTGCTGGGAGGCCACAACACCTGGCAGTCTATTCAGCATCCAGACAAGGGCCAAGGACGAATCGGTCGTGAGGATTCCAACCAATCAGCTGTGAGATTAATTATGGCATGTCAAAATCCCGTTCAGAGACTATCTTAGACGAATAGCACATATAAATATTCTTCCATGTCTTCAAAAACAGAAGATCGTAATCCAACTCGTCGTCTGATATTTTCATGGCGTCAAAGTGGCCAAGCAGCACAGATTCAATTCTGCTTTCTTAGTAAATACTCTAGTGATCCTGAGAATGCTTAGTCTATTAGGTATCTAATGACTATGGAGGATGGGCGGAAGCCAGCCTGTAAATATTTGTTATCCCTAATAGAGAGTGGATCCCATAGGAATTAGGACACTCCGTATTAGTAACGAGGTTTTGTCTAGAATATTCCAACATGCTTTCAATGTCGCCCGGAGTCTTGTTAAGGCTCTCCAGCACGGAGACCAGTTATTCGAAGGCGGCAAATAGTTTGCTTGAAGTGTCAACCCGGGCCTACATGACCCAAGAATATCGGAAAATAACATATGAGTCATCTTTCCGGGCAAAAAAGTGCTCTGTGGCTGCCAGTATTTGCATTGTTCGAGTATCGGCGTACTGAGTCATTATCTCAGGCAAGTTCGACCCCTCGAGTCTCGGGCACTCGTTGTACTCGAACCACCGTGTCAGCAGCAACTTCAAGACAGCGTGATTATTGTACTCGATGGCTGATGTTACAAGAGTCTGCTCAGTCTTTGATGTCACATCTATGTTTGCGCCGTACTTCATCTAGTATGAGTGTGGCGTGTGTTGTGCTTCTCCCACGTGCCGCATACAGAAGGGGCGTTATACCATCCACACCACACGCCTCGGCGTCTGCATCGAAATCCGATAGCGTTCTCATTAGCATCGGTTCTGTTGCCTTGCGAGCTGCATAGTTCAGAGGAGTTCTGAATTTTACCACTTTCAGAATTGGCGAGTTTGGCATTGTACCACCTTCCAGAAGCGATCGTACGCAGATTGTCTAATTCTCATTTGAAGCGAGAGTCAAAGGGCATTGTCTCTGGAAGCGGCCTTTGCCACCGTACTGGTAGCACAATGAGGAGCTGGGCTTCAGATGTCTGCAGAAGGAGGAAGACTTCACATATACTATTGGACCAACACCGTCACACTCTCAAAAATCACAACACATCATTTCAGCGCCCTCGTGTGGCTTCACATACTTTCCCGTATAGAAGTTGTCACAATAGAAAAGTACTCCAAGAGGTTATTACTAGGGAGGGTATCTTATGGGAGGTGGTCACGAGAGAGAGTATCCTGAGAGAGATTATCTTACGGGTGATTATCCTGCCACCCCCCTTGTTCTGTTGCTTATCCGTCCCAGAGATATTGTGGCCAAGAAGTGGACATCCGACATCAAGCTTGTGCATACTACACACAACCACGGTAGAATAATATAGAGAGACACACGCGCCACAGTCTGCTAATCTGGATTAAAGGAAGATACACTCCAATTTGTGAATCAAATGTTTACTGTACCACATGCAAACCTCTTTCTTCTCATCCTTGAAACCTTCCCCGCTTACGCACCCCGCACTGTACCTCGTGGTGGGTGGGCCAACTGACATGCCTATGTGGGCCGACTCTGGCTACTCGTGGGACAGCAAGAGCCTTCTACAAACGGAATCCGTGATGTTTGGTGGTCTATGCGAGGTACCGCTTTTCCGGTTTACCAGATTTGGTGAGTACCCATATGTCAAAACATCAGGTGACATGGCTGGTACACCACTGCCCCCCTCTTTTCTTATGTCAACTGCGCACCTCAAAATCGATTCTTGCGCCCACCATTCCACATCTTTCCCTCACGATCACCGGATCTCAAGCGCAAAGAGCCCTATAACCCTAGCAATCTCTCCACGATGAAGGCACTCGTCTACGACGGCAATAATTCCGTCTCCCTGCAAGATAAGCCGATCCCATCGATTTCGGCCCCCTCGGACGCCATCATCAAAGTCCTCAAAACCACTATTTGTGGCACCGACTTGCACATCCGCAAGGGCCATGTCCCGACCTGCCAACCGGGCCGAATTCTCGGCCACGAAGGCGTAGGCATCGTCCATGAGACCGGCGATTCCATTAATCGTTACAAGAAGGGCGACATGGTCCTCATCTCGGCCATCTCCAGCTGCGCCACGTGCGAGTACTGCCGCAGGGGTATGTACAGCCACTGCACGACGGGAGGGTGGATACTCGGCAACCTCATCGACGGCACGCAGGCCGAATATGTGCGCGTCCCGCACGCCGAGTCAAGTCTGCACCCAATTCCGGACGGTGCTGACGAGGCTTCTTTGGTGATGCTGAGCGATATCTTCCCCACCGGTCTCGAGTGCGGCGTCCTCTGTGGCAAGGTGCAGCCCGGGGCGACCGTTGCGGTTGTGGGCGCCGGCCCGGTTGGTCTGGCGGCTATCATCACGGCACAGATGTACTCGCCGTCTCAGATCATCGCCATCGATACTGACCCCAACAGGCTCGAGGTGGCCAAGAAATTCGGCGCCACGGACGCAGTCCTCAGCTCGGGGGATGCTGTTGCCAGTATCAGGGGAAAGACTGAGGGCAAGGGCTGCGATACCGTCATCGAGGCTGTTGGCATTCCGGCCACGTTTGACCTTTGTCAGGAGTTGCTGGCTCCCGGTGGCGTGCTTGCTAATGTCGGCGTCCATGGAACAAAGGTGGATCTGCACCTTCAGAATCTCTGGGACAAGAACATCTGTGAGTCTTTTTCGAGGTCAAATTCATTGTTCCAAGTTGACAAAATTTCCAGCGATCACAACCAGACTCGTTGATACAACGACGACTCCCATGCTGTTGAAGCTTGTTCAGTCTGGCAAACTGCAGCCGGCACAACTCATTACTCACCGTGAGTCTCAATTACTTTGCACTTTTCAAAATAATTTGACTAATTAGAGACTCAGGCTTCAAGCTCAGCGAGATGGAAGCGGCGTATGAGACATTTGGTGACGCATCTAAGCATGGTGCCCTAAAAGTCGTAATCGATGTTGAATAGGCACTGGAGTGATTGCTTTTCAATTTTGTATCGATTATGACCCTCGATTGTGTCTCAGGAATTGAATCTTTCTTCATTATGCCAAAAACCAAACCCCGGAGAAGTCATGAATAATGTGCGATGTGAAGAGTGTAGAAATTATGTCCACCAGGATTGACCAAAGGCAAAAAGATCATTTCCGTTGGATAAGATCTTGTCGGGATTAATGTCGTCGGAATCTGTGCCAACTACTTTTCCGGAGAAAATATAAGGTTGCTATGTGCGGCATTAGGCGGAATAGTTATGTGTCTCCTTTCTATCTGGCACCTGGGGGGATAGTTGTGAGCTGATCAGAGGGACCTCTGGTTGACACGCACAACGATTTTGAACCACAGCACGCACTGTATGCTGTCGGTGCAATTTTACAACCGGGAAAGTACGCTCAATGACAAATATGAGACATTCGATTTTCAGCAAAGCATACAATAACAGGTCGATGGCTTCGGTGCGCTGCAGCTGAAGGTAGCAGAGATACGGTGGGCCGGCCCCCCGGTCTCTCTACGCGCCGCATCATCCCGAATTCGACAAGCGTGTATGTTGGTGACAAGCGCCATGCGCTGTGAGTCAGTCCCACGAATATGTGACTCTATCCTACAAAGATAAGTTTGGGTGTGCTCTTGCCTTTGCGGCTGTTCTTGCAAACTCGTCACAGGGCCAGGAACACATCTCACCAGACCTCCCTCTTCGTGCCATTCATCCCTCCCAGGCTGGGAGCCTTGTTCTGGAAAACTCTCAGGATTCATTCTACTATCATGGACTCAATGGCAAAGGCCTCGATTTCGGAAGCCCATTTCACCTCGGGAACTGGAACCGCACTTCGCCAAGCTCATTTTTCTTTCGCCCAGGGTTACAGACCACTCAATCATGGGTCTTTTGGGGCCTTCCCAAAAGCTGTTGCGGAATACCAACGGCAGCTGCAGCTCGAAACCGAGGCTAGGCCTGACACATTCCTTCGATATACGTATCCAAAGCTCCTCCAGACAGCCCGCACTGCAATAGCTCCCTTGCTAGGTGCCGATATGGACGAGGTAGTCTTCATTCCAAATGCTACGACTGGCGTCAATACCGTCTTGAGGAATATCAATTTCAAGGAAGGCCATGTTGTGGTGTACTTCAACACTATTTACGAAGCTTGTCTGAAGACACTGCAATCGGTTGCAGAGACGGCACGCATTCAGCTGTGCAGCGTCGATCTCACATATCCAATTGAAGACGGTGAAATTTTGAAAAAGTTTGAGGATACAATCAGGTCCACTCAGGCAATGGGAAAGTCTGTGAAATTGGCAATGTTTGATACTGTGGTGACGTTTCCCGGGGTACGATTTCCCTGGGAAGCATTGGTGAAGTCGTGCAAGAAGCTTGGCATCCTGAGCTTCGTTGATGGTGCCCACGGGATTGGCCACATCGATCTGACACACCTTGGTGGTTTAAAACCAGACTTCATGATAAGTAATTGCTACAAGTCCGTCAAGACGCTTGCCGTGCTCTTTGGAAAGTCTGCCACTGACAATCAATGCAGATGGCTCATGGTGCCCCGTGGTTGTGCCATTCTCTATGTTCCCTTCGCGAATCATCATCTCATCCGGACCACATTCCCCACCTCCGTGGGTTACGAAAAACCAAACACTCGGGAGGTTATGGAGCCGTCCGACTACTTTGTCCGTCTGTTCGTCAAAGTGTCGACGACTGATAATACTCCCTTCTTATGCGTTCCAACGGCGTTGAAGTGGCGACATGAGGTATGCGGTGGAGAAGAGAGGGTGCGCACGTACTGTGAGAGAATTGCAAAAGCAGGGGGCCAACGAATGGCGGAGATATTAGGAACTGAGGTCCTCGGTGGCTCTTCCCACTCCTTCCAGCAATGCTGCTTCACAAATGTGAGGCTGCCTCTGAGCATTGCTCAGCTCGATGTGCAGGAAGCAGATGGAGCAGTGATCGCCAAGTGGATCCGAGGAAAGACGGCAGAGCAGTATGAGACGTACATAACTACTAAGTTCTACGCTGGAGCATTTTGGACCAGGATCAGTGGGCAGGTCTATCTCTCTGTGGATGACTTCGAGTTTGGAGCACGGACCCTGCTTGAACTATGTAGACGGGTGGAGGCCGGAGAATGGAAACAGGGCTGAGATGAGTGGGCAACAATGATCAAGGACCTCAGTGTTCAACTAGTAACGGAATTCATGTTAAAACTATAAGATCAATGACTGGAGCTATCATATAGACCCTTTATACACCCTGGTCAACTACATATACTATGTAGAAGGGCCGTAGCAAGTCTTGTAACTTGAGGTCGTCACAGCAGTCTATTTGTTGTCGCAACGTTGAGACTTATAGCACCTTTTAGAAGTGTGTACCAATCGTTGTCGCCCAAGTCTTGATCATATGCATCTCCCATCTCGCCATCCTCACAGTGCTTGCCCCTACAAGATCCATGTACAGAACTTAGTGCACAACAAACAATTCAAGGACCTTGTATGCAGCCCTTAACATCCGTAATGCGCAAAGGTGATACCGCAAGGTGGCTCACACAAAGAAGTTAGAAGTGTATGGTGCTACAATTTTAATCATGTCTGTGCCTGCATGTTGATATGGGCCTAAATAATGTCAGTACATTGAGTTTCGGAAAACGATTAGGACGTGAGAGACACTGCACTCGCCAGGACCAGGCACATCACCCCGTTTAGCTATTGCACTCAACCCGTTAGACCGGAGCTCAAGTACCGGGTCAACCTCGGCGATAGTATAGTGAGTCATGAGACCGTTAACAGCAGATAGCACAGCAAGAAAGCCCTTCATTGTATCCTGTTGCTGGTTTGTAGTCTATGCAGAATATTAATATGAATCGTCTTGCCGCCACGGTATCTTGGTGCAGCTGGATTTACGATACAAAGGTGATACCCGCTGAATCACACAGACTCGACTCTGGTTTTCGAACATCTGGTCTGGATTCGTCCCACTCAACCTGTCGAATTCTCTATAATCAAATCTATTTACAAGTACCTGATGTTTTTGTGGCTTCCTTCAACGGTCATCAACGTGAGCGGAAAAGCTGGACTTCAGATGTCCGCTCATGAGGAAGGGAGGCTTAAAAACTTGAGTCGCTACCAGCAGTTCTAGGGGAAGTAAGAGTAGATTCTGACATCGACTCAGGCTTGCGCGCCGTCAAGCCGTTATCGATCATTCTGCAAGCGCGAAATTGATTCTCTCGTCTTGAACTCAGGGTTAATGAGTGGCTCAGTCGTCGACGACCAATCGAGTTAGGAGAAACACTCATTGTGCAGATCTGTTGGTCTGTACGATGCTAATTCTCAATCCTCTGAAGTCTCCCTTCATGCCGAGAGCTTTAAATTCCCGTGGTTGACCAGTAAAGACTCGGATCGACGTCCATGAAGTTTGCTTCATCAATGAATTGAAGATCTGTCGCTGGTTGTGCCAAGAGGTCTTGGAATAATGGCTCAGTGAGCGTGAGTTCTGTTCCGGCTCTTCCCTCCGAGTAACCTTGGGCAAGGCTCATCCCAAATGACGAGTCGCCTATGGCATCTGTCATTTTTTGAAGCCCGTCTCGATTTCTGGAATCTGAGTCCACTGCTTCCAACAAAGGCATTATTGCGTTAACGTGCTGATGGAATTCGGCTGCTGCAAGATCGCCATTGAGCTTTAGTTGTAGGAGAAGCTGCGCAGTGCATTCCAGTCGATCTCTATCCATTGAACATGCGTTCCTCTCCCAGAGAACCGAGATCGCCAGGATTGTAGCAGTGGAGAACATGTATTGCGTATCGAAATAGTCGAATACCATCAGGGACCCGTTAGTCCAATTCTCAGTCAGGAGACTATACGAGTGACGAGCACAAGTCACGCAGGCCTCAGACAGCGCCAAGGCGGATTCGGGTATGTCTGGCGCGGTCTGTGGCTGTAATAGGCGGGTTCTCAATACGTGCAGCAGAATTGGGCGTGTGGCGAGTATAAGTAACTTGAGGACTAATGAGTTAGTTATTCTACGAAAGCAAAACTGATGCGCAAAACATTACCTGATTGAACAGCAACTGCAAAGAGCACGCTCTGGGATCGCCTTTGGATTGAACCGCGGTATCAACCTTAAGGGACTCTGGGAGCTCGTTCATCCAAGTCCGTAAATCCCTGAAAGCAGCCTGCACCCTCTCCGACAGAGACTTTGCTTGAGAATCATATCCATAGATTGAGTTCATTGTCCGGGACGTCAGCTTCGCGAGGGTGATTCTAGCTACGAAATAAGAACGACCCGGGAAGTCTGCCGTGTCAATCTGCTCGTGTGGATTGGATGGCAGATCTACTTTGATTTCGCTATCAGAGATAGCAGGCGGGAAACCTAACATTGCTGACCACATACGGTCAAAAGTGTAAGCAGTCCACCATACACGGTTTCTGTGCTCTCGAGCGGCCAAGTCGGGCAAGATCGCTGGCGGAACTTTGAGATGCAGCCCCATGACAATGGCAAGTTGTATCGCCAAGCCAGCAAGAGTATAAGCCGAGTGCCTTCGGTTCAAACAGAGAGAATAAAATGACTATGTGAGAAAATTATTAGCGAGTTCACCCTTCATGGGGAGTCTGATGAATCTTTGCACTTGCGAGGAGTAACTTGACCTCGATCATGCCGATCAATGGCCTTTCAGGGATGATTTGAAGTATCTTCGTGGCTTTCGCGAAGTAGTTGAGCCCGGGAAAGGTATCACTTGACACGGACATCCTCGTCGCATAAAGCTCCCCAATCGCAAAGGCAGCCCAAAGTCTACTCCTGGTCAAAAGGCTGGTGGAGTTTGGGCTTCGAATATGCTGCTCAAGCTCATCGAATACAGCACTGCGCAGCAGAATGTGATAGCTGCGGCCTAGACGTTTAAGTGTAGTGTCTAACAAAAATCGTGCGCGCGCTGGACTGGGCCAGGTGCAGTCGGCGTCCGATAGAGTCAAGATAGTGTCATCGCTCACGAAGTCCACACGAGGGAGATGGTTCTGCTGGACATTTGATGCAACCTGTCGGAGGCGGGTTGCAAAAGCAGAATCAGAAGATTCAGCGACCAGGATTGGGGTATGTGGCACGTTCATGTTGACGAACCAAGGCGCTCGCATGGAAGCAGGCTCTCTAATCAGAGGCTCAGGTGGTCCGCGACTTTCAGCTCGGACAGTTCGTACGGAAGGCTCTATCAAATCCGCAGCTGTCCGTGAATCTTCAAGCCTGCTAACATCTTGGTCTTCAGATTCGAGTGTGCGTCCATGCCTTAGGTCTTTAGTATATGCAAACAAGGCTATGCCCAGGGCTTGAAAGACTTACTGTCGGCTGACCTTAGTCGAACGACGCCTAGCCGTTGCATAGATACATTCCTCTGCTTTGTTGGCGCGATGGCAGCCATTGCAAGGGCTCCCACCGCTGCATCGGACCTTTCGAAGGTGGCATCGTCGGCAACTCCGAAGCTATCAGTCATTGGAGATCTCGGACACCCAGAGAGGTCTCACACTACTTACGCTGTTACCCTACGCCGAGTTCGACCTGCAGAAGGAGTTCGTCGCTCGGCGATTGAGTGAATTTTGATCCGGAGACAATGACCTCATCTCGTATCGTTGGAGTTGACTCGTTCTCTGCGGACATGTTGTTGCGGCTTCGGCGACTTGAAGACTTGCCGGCTCGGGACAGCACGAAGAGCCAAGAAAGAGATCAAGCGCGGCTCGGCCAAAAGTCAAAGCTAAGACCTGCTTCGGCGGACAAATGTTCACCCGCATGAGAACGGACCGAAAGCCGAGGGGGCCTCGGGGACGACGCAGCCCAGCTTTTGAAGATGAGCTTAGAAATAATATACCATGGACCGCCATTCACTTCAATGAGCTTGAAGGTTTTGGATTCCTAGATACAGGTGCCACTGGATAGCTGGTGGCATAGGTCTCCGCGCGTTCAGACTGCGTCGAGATCCTCATGAAGCCAGTCCGTACCAAGTCAACACTTTGCCGAAGACGTGCTAATGTCGTTGGGACCGAATCGCTTCCAATTGGCAAAGGTGCATCCCGAGTGGCACGCTGAAGAGTGCAATGAGACTGGAGAACGAGACAGTAATTGCAAATCTATTCCTAATGTCTTCCAATGTACTTAGATGAGCGATACAGACGGTGTAATTTCCTGACATTCATGATATCCTCTCTCGGAAAGTAGGTCATATATTCGAGCTTAATTGCACTTTTCACCGCCGCCTGCTAACGGCTCAGCCATGACGAACTCGAACTCATGCCTACCCCGAAGGCAGGATGTTGTGTCATACTATGATTATCGAGCTTCTAGCGTACGTGGGTCTCTGCACACTGACTTGGACGACTAATAACCGCCGCTAGACACCAGTTCTGTTCGCCGGTGAGATAGACCGAGACACAATATCTGATGCTCTCAAGCTTTAGGACACGAAGGACGGTAGAGACTGGGTGAATGTTTGTATACGAGCTGCGTGAGACATACAAATAAGTTGGTGCCTCCATCTTCAGCCCGGCGGAGACGCTGACGACCATGGTGAAGCGGACACGGGATCTCGTGTACCGTCCCTACAATACCGCAAATTCTCTGTCGCCCGAGTTTCTGCCTCTGAAGAGAAATCGCGATGATGTGTACTATCTTGAGCAGGTGAAGGTGCTAAATGCTCCAAGCACGCCTGAAAAGAAAGCGGCAACCCCGGCCCCTGAACTTGCAGCAAGCGAGGCTCCAGTCACCCAGCCAGCCAGGTGTCAAACCCTAGCAGAGGCTGGTCCCCACGCTGGTCTCTGCGACCTCCATTGAATACGTACGTGTCCAAGCCAAGGCAAATGTTGCTGCTACCGTGTCTATCGCTCTGAAGAAGCCGGCCAAGAAAGTTGCATTCGATCGATCAGTCAGGGCTCTGTTGGAAGGTGAATGGTGATGCGACACGACATTGAAAATGAAAAACAACGGCAAACAACTAAGGACGCTCCACCCTTCAGAATGAGATTACCTCCACAGAATTTGGCTTTCAGGGAAAGATCGTCCTTGTTACTGGTGCTAGTCAGCGGTCGTTTGGCGCGAGTATTGTACAATGTCTATTGTCTGGAGTCGCTAGAGTTATCGTGACCACCAATTCCTACGACAAGGCGACCAAATTTTATCAGGAAATATTCGCTGAGTAGTTGGGCCAAAGGCTCCTGCCTCATATGGTCATGCCTTATAATGCGGGCAGCTACCAAGATGTAGAGGCCCTTGTGGAGTATGGGTACAATTTCTCCCAGACCGAATGGGATCTGGACCACCTTGTTCCTTTTGCAGCTACCTCTGAAACTGCGAGCGTCATAGAGTTGTACAGTGTCGAATCTCAAGGAGGAGATGGTTGCCATTCGCAAGGATCTCTCAAATATTAGGTCGAGTCGCCGTGCTCTCGTCAAAGGGCAGAAGGCTGAGTTCGATGTGGACCCTCTGGCGTCACAGTCCACTTTACTTGCTTCTTTCAAGATGTGTGCCAGCATTAAGTTTCAGACCATTCAGGTAGTCATATCCATTCAGGTAATTATATCCTCACTCTTTAGCTAATCGAACTCATCCAAACCCCACTAAAAAGCACACCTGGCCAAGAAAGTAAATGTGATAAAACCTTCTTACCCGCAGTGTCCAGGGTCCGGATTCCCACTCGGGCTATTGACACAATAGCCCATAACCGCGATTGGATCGTATTTACAGCAGTAAAGCCCAGCACAGCATCTGATGGCCCCATGATCACATGCATCGTTATTGTTTCCTTGGCACTACCAAGATTCAGTTAGCTGGTGTGAGTGTGTATTGGTGTAAATGAATATATACCCTTTTCTCAACGGCCCATGACGCATCAGGTTTGGGCAAAGCAGCTGCCCCCATGCTAAAGACAGCAACCGTGAGTGCGGTAAGGAATTTCCTATATACGGTTTTTTATCAGCATCGAATTTAAAAGAGAGACCAGAGAGAGTGTAGAAGTGACTTGCATCTTGGATCTTAATTGAGATGTCTGGTATATACGCACAGGTTGTAGGATAGTGCTCGAGATTTACTAAAGTTAAGTTTTATAACAGATACATATCGTACTTTATATATCTCTAGGCCTGATATTCTTTGTAAGCAAAGGATGGCTGATAGGCTTAAAAGTCAGGATAATAGAGATACACAGCGGATTGCAGAATTAGAAGATTAAAATGTTAGAGGATTAAGGGATTAAGGGATTAGGGATGAGGGATGAGGGGATAAGAGGATTAGGTGATTAAGGGAATGAGGGATTGAGGGATTGAGGGATTGATGGATTGAGGCAATGAGGCAATGAGGCGATGACAGACTGGAGGACTCGGGGACTAAGGGATTAGAGGATGAGCAAGCCTCTCTATGACCCCCTTTTCCCGCGGAGGAACATTATTTTCTTTTAACGGGGTGATCATTGGGCTGATATATAAGTATATACAAATGCTCGGTTCTCAACCTCTCATTAATACCACAGTCCTCACAGTCCTCACAGTCCAAAGATTTAAGTTAACTTGTATACGTCAGTTTTCAACACATATCAACATGTAAGGAGGGTCACCCTTTTCCAAACTTGTGCTCGAATGTGCTGACAAGTTGGAAGGCAATTGCTCTCCGTCATCATGTTTGCCGCTATTGCGGCCGGTGCCGCCACCCCAAGCTATCAATTCACCAACATTGAAAAGAGAGTATGTATTGAATCTCCTTATCAGAATTCTTCATCCTGACTCCAAGAGTAGTGCCAAGGGAACAACGGCGACTATTGTGACCATGCCGCTATTACATGCTGCAGTGGATTGTATTGTTGTGGTGCAACCATCGGGGGTACAGATGGCCACTGCGTCAACTCTCCTAGTGGCAATCCTGATATGGGCAACTGTCGTTAAGGCTGCGCAACCGGGGAGGAGCAGTACGGATTCTCAGTCCATGTCAAGGAACGCTTGGCTCGGCATGGAAAACTCTGAAGACAGACTTTTCAATGCTATTTCCCATGTCTTCATAAGTTTGTCTTTCCTTGAACGTAAATAGCGTGATGCGAGCCGGTTTTGTGAGATTCTGAGGCTGGTAGTAAGTCAGTACCACGCATTTTGTTGTTGTACGCATTGAATTCGCTTTAATATGTAGTACATCCTGGCGGGACTAGATGTAAGTTGTGTGGATTCTGGTTGTGCCGGCTCTATCTGATAAGTTGCAAGGAGACAATCACAACGATTCTACAAGTCAAATTGCAGCAAGGAAGATATAGGTATAAGATCTATATAGATTAAAAATGAAGCAGCTTCAAACTATCTAAAACAATGTATCTTGGAGCTTACCATCCAAGCCAACCCTTTCACACTTGCAAACAAGGACAGGCGTAAACAAGTATTGTGCAACAAATTCTATCCTAAAGACAATAGCTTTTACCCTCAATGAGGAAGCCCATTCAATCATATCTTGCTGTGCTTATACAGGACGTATAGAGATTATTGTCAGAAATAGGTGAGATGAAGCCACTGCGGCGCAGTGACATGCTAAATACTATGGATGACAGGCTGTGTAATCAGGTACGCTTACTATGCGCATGTATATGATTGTGATAGTCCGTTTATCTCCGAATCCTTCACTCCTTGTATCCTCTAATCCTCTAATCCCCTAATCCCTTAATCCTTCAATTCCTTAGTCCTCTTATGCCTTAAGTCTCTACTAGTTACGAGTCGTTTAAGCCCTGTATTCCCTAATACTCTACCGGCTTTCATCCAAAATGTGGATGTAGTGGGGAGCTATAGTGCGGACTAGAAATCATTCTGTTCACAAAGACTGCTGACAATGTAATTACTGAATATTGTGCAGAGCATTTCATTTTTTTCTCCATTCAGCAACTCCAACCGCACTTTGCTGGGCCGATTCACTGCAAGCTCTTCTTCATCCCTTCTATCCTCCACAATACTTCTATCACACAAGGCGCCGAGATGCACCGGAATCGTATTCTCAGTGGCATTCTGGCAACCTTGGCAATCGTGGCCAAAGCCCAGGACATCGTCGCCCCGGACGTCACAGAACTGACAAACGCAACCTTGAAGGACTTTGCGTTGTTCAATGACTTAATTTTGGTAAATTGTAAGGTGCTTCGTCATTACAGAGAGCCCCAAGATACTCCTATGCGTCAGGCACTGAACCTATCTGCCTTTTAGTTTATGCTCCCTGGTGTCAATACTGCAAGGCTCTTGCCCCAGAATATGAGGCGGCTGCCGCCGCCCTGGAAGAGAAGAACATCCAGCTCGCAAAAGTAGACTGCAATAAAGAGGAGGAGCTGTGCAAAGATTACGGTATCAGATCATATCCTGACTTGCAGATTTTGCAAGGTCCGGAAAACAGTACTCCCTATACTGGTTCCCGCAATTCTGAGGGGTGAGCAATCCAGATGGGCCAGGCTTTAAAGCTATGCGTACTATGCAGCTAACTACGTCTCAGCATCGTCTCTTTTATGATCAGGCAATCCCTACCCGTTGTTTCCAGCCTTGTCGCGGACAACATTACCGAGTTCAAGTCTTCCGACGACAACGTACTCATCGCATATGTGGCCGCCGATGATACGGCTAGCAAAGTAGCATTTCGCAGTGCTGCAGCAGAGCTGCGCCACAGATTCCGCTGTGGACTTCAAGTAATCGACGATGTAGACAGCAACAAAGCGAATCAGCTCACCCTACCTTCCGTTGTTCTCTATCAGCACAATGGTGAGGGAGATGATGCGGTGCTCACGCAACCCATTGAGAGTGAACGCATCAAGCAGTTTGCGTCGAATGCCATAGTACCGCTGGTGGGGGAAATCAACTCAGACACCTTTGCACTATATCGAGAGTCCGGGCTTCCAATCGGCTGGATCTTCGGCGAGACTGCTGAGGAGCGTTGGCGCCTTGCAGAGCTCCTGCGACCTGTCGCCGAGACACACAAAGAACAGCTCCACTTGGGGATCATTGACGCCATAGAGTATCGCGATAGTGCCAGTGACCTGAACATGCAGGAGGACAAATTCCCTGCATTTGCAATATTAGATCTGGAGACAAACAAGAAGTATCCGTTCGACCAGAGCAAGGAGATCACAAGAGAGAGTATTGCTGATTTCGTGCGGGACTTCACCAGCGGTGGTCTCGCGCCTAGCATCACGTCGGACCCTATCCCAGAGACGCAGGACGGTCCTGTTACCGTCGTTGTCGGTCACAGCTTCCAAGAGGTAGTTGTCAACAATGAGAAGGATGTTCTCGTCATGATTTATGCCCCCTGGTGTGGCCACTCGAAGAGATTAGCTCCGAACTACGACATTCTCGGCTCCGAGTATGCCGCCTCAAACTTCAGCAACAATATCACCATTGCCAAGATCGATGGAACTACCAACGATGTCCCGGACGGAATACCGAAAGGATATCCGATGTTGATGTTTTACCCTGCCAGCTCCAAGAATGCTCCAGTCAGGTACGAGGGCGACCGCTCAATTGACGACCTTGTCACGTTCATCTCGCAGAACGGCAGGTACGGAGCTTTGATTTCAATCGAAGAGAAAGCCAATGACGCAGAGATTTCTCTGGCAGGCGTAGAAATTGCGCATGAACATGACGAGCTATAAGATGTTGCATTGACACCGCACTGGGAGTTAGGAGCTATGAGACAGGGCTTGATACTCCTTGTCTTGTCAAATCATCAAGTATGGCGAGAAAAAACACATACAAGCAAAATTCCTATGAGTACTCAAGTTTTCACCTAGAGAGGGCCGTGAAATGTCAAAAGATGTCATGAGGTTGAATATTCTTCACTGAAAGCTGGTCCTCCTGCCCGTCGCTGTGACAAGGACCAAAAGGTGTGACCTAGAATGAGGACCTAAGAGTAAATGTCTCACTGCTTGAGTCGACTGCACCAAAATTTTCGGCCATCTTGGCAAGTTGTCATTGCTTGCCATGTTGCAGATGTAGATAATCTGCTAGAATAAGGGTGAGATGAGCTTTTCAGTAACATTCATCCAGTCCTGTAAATGTCACATAGAGGCATTATCTTGCAACAACTTAGACTGCACATGTGAGTTAGAGTTTATATAAGACTTATCATAACTATTCAGATTTATTTCTTTTTATATTTCTCTTGCACTAGCTGACTTCTTTACAAACCCTCTAACCTTGAAAAACAGCTAGATAGGTATCTTGACACTAAAAGATCTCGCTCGGCCAACGCGTCGCATTGCCCCTAGAGAAATATACGCACTCTTCTGTAGGTTCCATGGGCTATCAGAATTAAACGCAGCAACTGCAAAGTTATCGAATATCATCGCCGCGAGAAATATCCTGTGCGTCTATTAGAGCCAATTTAACGAGACATATCAACTGTCAGTATAAAACATGTTTGAAAAGTTGACTGGAACGCTCCAATAGGTGGAAGACAAGTATGATACCGATTTTTTGCTATAGGTTAGCCAGATCTAGCCGTGCTAGCTTTACTAACAAATAAAACTTGTTCCTGTATCTCTTTCTCAGTCAGACAACGTACCTAACACTAAGATGCTAGAATAGGGTTGTAAGATTAGACGGTTAAAGGATTTAGGGATTAGAGGATCAAGGGAATACAGGAACACGGGATTATAGGATTGTGGGAATTGTGGATTGGGGGATTAGGGGATGAGGACTTGATCATCCTATCATCATTGGATGTCCCTGATTACATTTTGAGCTGCATTTGCTGGAGAGCAAGACAGCTACAGGAGGTAGTAATCAAGTACTCAATCACTTTTGAAGGGTAGTATAGGGATGGTAGAACACAATATGATGCCGAGGTAGGTAAATTGATATAAATACCCGTGCCCAACTCTCTTTTATATCCGTCAATCTATACCCGTCAACCAACCTCTTCAAGAGTCCAATCTGTCGAACTATACATCTTCAACTGTATCTCAATCGGTCAACATGTAAATGAAGTCTCCTTCGAAGGTGTATAGACATTAGTGTTCTAACTGAATTAGGCGCTTTCTCCCTATTGTTTTGCTCACTACTGCGGCAGCAGCCTCTGCTTTCGAGACGTTCACGAATTTGGAGAAAAGAGTATGTATGCATTTCTTGACCTCTGGGACAATGCGTGATATTGACTTCGAAACTAGTGCCAGGGAAACCACATGGACTATTGTGATAAAACTGCGATCCGGTGTTGCGCCGGGTTATACTGCTGTAATCTCAACGCCGGCGGTACCGATGGTTACTGTTACAACTCTCCTAGTGGCAACCCCGATCCGCATAATTGTGTCTAAACATATCTCCGGGTAATGCTCACAGTGCCAACTCTGGGCATGGGAAATCACGTGTGTGGGATTTCTTATCAAGAATTTGGAAGTTTTGTGCTAGCGGAGGACTATCTTAAGTTGATCATTCAACTTTTATGCTGCTTAGATTCGTGTTTCTGTTCACTTCCTATTCGATCACTTCTCCTGGCTATGATCCTGGAGCGACCTCAATATCGTCATGGTGTCAGCAGTTGTATGTAAAGGCAGCATGTTCTGGTCTGATACATCAATAGGCTCCATGCACTAGAGAACAGAATATGATTATCATTTGCGTACAATTAGAAAAGAGAACAGGCTTTGAAAGGTACACTGTGCGTTGGCGGGAGTACAGGTCAACATATGACGACAACGTGTTTTTATAAAGTATGATAAAGTATCCCTGAATAAAATGACTAGTGTCATCGTCTTTATATATCCCCGGCCTCGGTTAGACGTATTGCCGAAAATAGAAGAAGGTTTACTGCTAAATCATTACCGTCACTGCTATTGCACGAGATGATAGTACTCGCTTTACCGTTTCGATGGTGCATACGACTGCTTTCTAGTACAACGCTTGCCAGCCCAGGTAGAGAATGGCAATTTCCTCGTACTGTGGTCTGAAAGCACTGCCGCCTAAGAGCTAAGGAGTCATTTCCAACTTCAGAAGTTGCTTGAAAAATTTGAAAAGGGATGTCGTGGGTATACCGACGGATTTGATGCCTACGACACCAAAACCGTCTCTGCTTTGCCTTCTGATGCTGCTCGGATGCCCAATGTGCATGGAGAGCCGACCCTTATGTTGGCACAAATGCAGCAGCTTGGACCGTTTCATAAATCACACCACCACCAGCTCAGAAAAGCTTTTGAAAACGAGTAAAACTTATATTTCTGGTTTACTTAAGCATTATTCTCCTGAGTCAAGGTGCATAGAGTATATCTTGATTATACTAATCACCTGTATGTTGAATATGAAACAAGATCAAGCAACTTGTATTGATCGTATAATCTGCATGCTTTATGTAGAATCTGCTAGCCCGAATCCCTCATGTGAAATGAACCAGATTCACTTTGACATATCAACCACAAGCTTGCCTGTTGCACCGTGATGTGTGTCATCTACAAGCTGATTGAGATCTTCCAACCTGTAAATAGTGACGACGGCACGCACATTTGCCTCGGCGGCAAAATTCAGCATAGCTCTCAGCTGACGGTTGCGACCTACGAGAACTCCCCTCATGTCAATGTGGCGGAAGACGAGATCGCGAGGCTGAATGACGAAGCCCTCCTTGGGGAAAGAGACGGTGACGCAGATACCGTGGTCCTTGATCAGTTTCATGCCGTAAGTAAGCGCCTGTTGAGCCTCGGGGAGAATGAGAAGAGCGTCAACACCCTTTTCTCCGGGCAGATTGTTCTCAGGCTGCCCACAAACTTGAATGCGGACATCCTCCGCTGCTTGTATGCGAGCATCGATGATGGTGACCTTGGACGATAGCGAGCCAAGTGAGTCGACAACCTGCTTTAGAAAAGCCAGAGCCGAGTCGCTGGCATCGATGGCGACAACATCGCAGCCGAGCTTGACAGCAAATTGCACGCCGAGGTGTCCCAGACCACCACCGGCTCCAGAGATGGCAATGGTCCGACCATTTCCCCCTCCTTTCTTTAGTTCCACACGGCCGGCTTCAAGTGCATTCCAAATAGTCAAGCCAGCACACATCAGGGGAGCACTATCAACAGCTGTCATACCTTTGGGGATGGGCGCAACTTGGCGTGAGTCGACGATGCAGAATTCTTGGAATCCGCCGTCTCTCGACAGGCCGAGATTGCCGGCTTTTGTGCAGTAGACTCCATACTTGGGCGGGTCACCATCATTACTTCGGCATTCGTAGCATTCACCACAGGGGTGAAATGCACGACCTGGCACACCGACAGCAAGGCCGATCTTGAGTCCAAGGTCCTTTGAGACGTCAGGACCTTCGGCAACGATGATACCGGCAAACTCATGGGACCCAACACGTGGCAGATCCTGCCACATTGCGCCTGAGGCGAACACTGCATCTGTATGGCAGTACGAGGCTGCCTGAACTTGGACCAAGATATCTTGGCCTGTAGGACTGGCTGGCTTCGGGATGTCTTTGAGGACATAAGGGGTGTTGAATGCTTCAAGAACTTGAGCACGCATTTTGTGTTCGAAATAGCATGCAGAAAAGTTACGAGGTAAATATATCGGTCAATTAACTTTGCAATGTAGGTGGAATACCATATTGCGGAGATGATGGAGCAGTCCTTATCTGTAAAAAGTATTCATCTCCAATCCATGGCACATGTTGGCGGGTTGGAGATTGGAAAGGCTGATTCGTCACCAGTGCAAGCGAGCAATGCATGGGAACAAGGAAGTGAGACGCATTTGCTACGCTGTGGTCCTTGTAGCGTTGGGCACTTAACCACTTAGAAATTGGAGACGGAGGAAGTCAAGAGGCGGAGAGTTCCCTCAGGGTAGTATTGGGTGAGTTTGTAAAATCGGAGGCGGCGGCCAATACGAAGTGCTTTGAGTCCGGAGATAGCCCGGTGATAACCCTGATGGTAGCGAGTCGTCCGCTAGCGCTAAAGTACTGCTTGTGGGTGGCGTCACCTCCAATGTTCACGCACCCACCGTTTCTGGATCCAATATCATATATAGGGCGGATATCGTGGTTCCGTCCTCATTCTAGCACCTATTGATTGGTAGAGCGGGTCTTCATGACCCTAATTCGTGCGGTTTGTCGATCACTTTCGACTGGACAGACGTTGAGTACAAAGAAGATGTCTGCGCGTCTCTCATGGTTGAACAAGACACCCTATATCAATCTTCCGGCGCGGATAAAGTTCCTGCACCGTGGTCTTGGGGCCCCCCTCGCAATATCGAGGTCGATTTTGATTCGACGACATGCAGTCACATATGGAACATCCCGGCGGCGACATATGACTAAGGCTGAGTTAAATATCGAAGATCTCTCGCAGCAGAACTTCCCACAATTCCTATTCATGGGGTAGTGCTAGCGACCATTGAAAGTCGTAATCATTGAACTCAGGCTGTGTTTAAAGGTACTACTAAACCTTTTGCCTCACACGTATATGTCTGTTATGATTGACCTTGGTGACTCCACCTACTGCCCAACCTTGAAACTTTTGAGACTTCGCCTTGAACACATAATTTTAGTAGCATAGTAGTCTATCAACAAGTTGTATTGTTCGATCTATTTTCCACTCTGTTCACGTCCGGCCCCTCTCAGGAGGGCTGCGAGGCTGAGACACTGGTCGGACCGTTGAGGTACTGCATGTGTACTCTTCAGCCTCATAGTACGACAAACAGCCTGTTGCGATGTAAATGAATAGATCTACTGCCTTTTTTAGTTTGTTAGGGCTATCCAAAACGTTGATGAGCTTCTCAAAACAAAGTCTTTGGAAACCAGATTTATTCAGTCCGCATCCGAAAACAATGGCATCATCCCTCTGCATTCAACTCTGCGCTTGGATTTTGCTCTTCAGTATTTCCTTGAGGGCTTCGGCATCCGCAGCGAACCCACTGATACCATCACGCAACTTCTCCACGGCCATCTTGTTCTCGTTGAGGTCGAAGCGGAAAAGAGACTCATCGGAGAGGTAGCTCTTCCTCTCGATCTCAAGCGAGCTGGCGGTAGAGGCGTCCAGCTTCTTGGGGACGGGCTCATTGGAGTTGTGCAGACTCTCGAGCAAACCGGAGACAATGGTCAGGTAGTCGCAGCCGGCCAACTCTGTAATCTCGCCGGTATTACGGAAGGACGCACCCATAACAACGGTCTTGTAGCCAAACTTTTTATAGTAGTTGAAGATAGTTTTAACAGACTCAACACCAGGGTCGTTCTCCTTCGTATACTCCTTTTTGGTGTTACCCTTGTACCAATCGAGGATACGGCCAACGAAAGGGGAGATTAGGAAAACGTCAGCCTCTGCAGCGGCAATGGCCTGGGGTAGGGAGAAGAGCATAGTCAGGTTAGTATTAATGCCGTGATCGCGTTGAAGGATCTCGGCGGCCTTAATGCCCTCCCATGTAGAGGCGATTTTAATTAGAATGCGCTCTTTGGGAATACCTTGCTCCTCGTACAGCTGCCGAGGGTAGCGATTTTAGCCTCTATAGATCTACTGTTCAGTTGGGGAGGCAATTAACCTTGATAATATGTAGGGCCTTGTCGACACTGGCCTTGGTATCGAAGGAGAAGCGAGCATCAATCTCAGTGGAGACCTTGCCCGGGATGACTTTGAGGATCTCCTTGCCGAACTCAACCAAGAGACAGTCAAGGGCAGCATCGACCTGTGAGTCAAGGTCCTGGCTGGCCTTCTGCGTCTTTGCGTATGCAATAGCATTGTCGATGAGTTTAGCAGATTCAGGCTTCTTGGAGGCAGAGAGGATGATGGTGAGGTTTGTGGTGGCATCCTGAGGCTTGTACTTTGCAATGGAAGCAAAATCGCCCTGGGGACAGTGTTAGAATGTTTGGAGGGAAAAAATGGGGGGGGGGGGGTTAATTGTTTTGGGATAACGAACAGAGTCACACACGACGGTGGTGCCGGTGGCCTTGAGCTGGTCGAGAGAGCTGGTCATGTTGTGCAAAAGTCGGGGTGATCGATGATTTTGGGAGATTGCGAGTTGTGAAGACAGTGTGTGTGAGATGTTAAAAGACGGGATAAGGTGATTTTTATGGTTGAGGAGAGGGCGCTCCCCAGATTCATTGAGTGGTCAAGTCCGTGTATCACCCCAAACGCCCCCAAGGCAAAGACTTTTGTCGACAACTGATCAGGATAGGACTGGTTCTGCGGCCAAGTGGGTATTCAATCCTTCGAGCTTCGACTATGTCATGCGAACATCATGAATACCCCTGGCCCCCTTCTTGAACTCAGGTAATGAGTGGGCCCGGTGAGATATGCAGGCCATGGGCCGCTCCAGGCGTAACCTGGGGCCTTTCTGACGTGCGGGGGACAAGGGCATAGTGAAGAGTGCCCATGTACTCATACCCAATCGACGTATCTGTTCCGGAGCCCATCCGCTCCAATCAATGTACATATTCTTGTTGCTACACCGGGAATTCAGTCCGCCGTAGCCTGAGAACCTGAAGATATACAAGAAGTAATCTCTTATGTATTAGAACAAATATACTTTTACATGTAACACGATATATATATTTATATATAGAACTTCGCTCAATATTTATTTTAAAATATATTCTTACTTGTTCTTTGCCAGCTTTTGTTTTAAAAAAAACAACTAAAATCTATTTTATATATATAGTATAATAAGAAACTTGCAAAAGTGCTATTGATTTAGAGAAAGTATGGTCACTTTGACAACTTATGTCGACTAACCGCTTCCAGAAGCACTAATATTCCCTGTATCAGTTTAGTATTGAAGGGGTTGGCGGGAATAAATTCAAGTCTCCGTTACGTCTCGTGCATTTAGTAACGCTATCGCTCTATCTGGGCGTTTGTGACGGGCTTATCAATAAAAGATAACCGAAAGAGAAAAAGGAATAATCATTCGAGCATTAAAGAAAGCAATGGCTTGATGTTCGAAAAGCAAAAGTCTTCGGAGCAAAACGTCCGGACGTCGACATTTTTACGGGTACCCTCGCTGTGGTTACGTTTCTTGCTTGGAGTCTCTGACCCCTGAAATGATGAATAATCGTTGTAGACCTAGGGGCAAGCAGCCATACTCGGAAAGGAGGACATGCAAATCAAGAGCCATCTTCTAGTGAATACATCTTGATAAATATGCTGAGGTATTTAACATTCAGAGTAAAACTTGTGGGTGATAAGTTTACTCGGATAGAGCCAAGTACAATCAAGGCAGGGTAATGGTTGGTTTATACGAAGAAGAGGGCAAAGGTTTGATAGGTTTTCTGGTAGTTCATTAGGGATCCGAGTGTAAGAACAGCCGCAACAGGCTGGGTTCGAGGCTCATCTTGTCAGCAGACTTCTCTACCGCGGGATCCGGTCGCTTGTTCTGGGTAAGCATCAGATCGGGACCAGGGAGGGTGGCGATCAAAGACATCTTTCTACTTTGGAAGCGAGAAATTCCGAACGACCTCTCGTATATCCACTCAAGTGATATCCGAAAAGCAGGCCACATCTCGCCCTCCTTCAAACTCGATCCAAGGCGCCTTGCTGATACTTGTATCATTGCCTAATTGACTCGACTGGGGCAAGACCGAGACTGGAGCCTCAATTAAAGCTGCAATTCGCAATTGACACGCATAAGAATCATAGTCTCGCCATCCACCTCGCAATGGATGTCAGTCGCAAGAAGAAAGCTGGTCATAAAAGTAGTAGCACCTCACTCGCCAATCGAGACCGCAATCGTGACCGAGATCAACAACGCACAGCCGTCGCGGTCCACCAGCCTCGAGTCATGCTCGAAACGGCCGGTCTCAAGTGGCCTCGACACATTAACGTTCCTCGGAAACATGCGGATAACGCGAAGCTGTTCCAGAATCTCCTTGACCGATTTCCGGATTCACATTTGGCCCGAGGCAAGGAAGTTTTTGAAAATCTATGTCCGCCAGACTTTGGTCTCTGTGAGAGCTAAAAAGCAAGCGAAAGAAGAAAAAAACATTCCTCACCTACGATCAAAGACAAGACGGGCTTTCTCGCAGGGTGCCACAATCGCGGCACCGAGCTGGCTGACTAAGCCACGCTCATCCCGGGTGTAACGCCCGTGCCCCATGTCAAGCTGCGGCCATCCGAACAGCCGCACTCGGTCTTCGCTCCGTTACCTGGACCACCATCACAACTGGCCCTCGACGCCTCGACACCGCCGCTGTACTACCTTCATTCAACCGTCACAACATCCGGAACAAAATGGCTCCAACGCAGCATGGAGGTGGACAGGTCTCATCTAAACGGCAGCTTGCCTTGAGCTGGCGCGAGGACGAAATCATTTCCGTCTTTGAGCAGACACCCGAAATCAAAGCGAACGGCTATGCTGTGACGGGGTTCGATTTCCCCCCAAAAGACCCTGTCGCTGATGTCAAGTTCCGCTACCCCCCAGAGCGAATGGCAGAGGTGAAGAAGCACGATTACGTATTCAGAGCCTTGAAGGCCATGCCATCAGACGAGAGGCATTCTTATCCCCGAGATCTACCGCACGCTCGAAAATGGCGAGAGATTCTTTCTTGTTATGGAATACATACCCGGAAGGACACTTGTACAATTACAGGAGCAGCAGGGTTGGGAATCCCGGAAGGGGACAATCATCGATAGTATTGCGAGGGCCATCAGACCCCTAACATCGATACAAGCATCCCCAGGGCAAAAGCCCGGCCCCGTTGGTGGCGGTCGCATTCAGCACTCCCTTTTTAAGAAAGATACTTCCTTTCACGAGTACTCATCAGTCGACGAGCTTGAGAGGCACCTGAACAGCAAAGGTCTTTCACCTATCAGTGCAACTCGCTCCTAGCCTATCGCTGACACACAAGTCACCCAGGTATCTACCCTGAGAGATAAGGCTGTCCCAACTATATGCCTTGAGAGGAACTTATACTTTTATTATAGAAAAAAATGAATAATTGGTTATCAGTGAAGTTACATCATACATGTTTACATAATTTCCTTCTGTATGTGAATTTAAATATAATCGCAGTGTCTATTGAACTTACAATACTGCAAGTTTAGTATTTCGGACTGATTGATCGCCCTGGGTATCAGCCTGACGTGTAGTGTTCAATATACTCGCTCCCGACATCTCGGCCCAGGCAGTCAATAAATCATCGCGGAAACCCTCAAGCGAAGTTGCGGGTCGCACATGGCGCTTGACTGTCTTCGCCCAGACAGGAACTCCTTCGAGGTAGATGGCTTTCACTTTCGCAGCGATGCAAGACTTGTCCTGTGGTACTCGGCAGGCCGCAGGCATGAAGGTCAGTGCCTCGACATTGGGAGTCTCCGTCACCAGGGTGGTCACCCCGCTGGCAGCCGCTTCGAGGGGCGTGATGCCGAGGGTCTCGTACCGCGACGGGCAGATGAAAACGCCGTTCTGTCGCGCAGCTGCGAAGAGCGCGTAGAGCTGGCCCTTGGCAAGCCTGGGGTACACCATGAAGAGAGAGCGCTTCTCGGCCGGAACCGATTCGAGAAGAGCTCTGCGGCGGGAGCTGTCATCCTCTGGGTCTCCGACGACGAGGGTTCTGACTGTGACGCCCATTTCGAGAAGTTCGAGGCCGGATTGAACTAGCAGCTCGACATTTTTGAAGTAGTCCAGACGCGCCACGGCGGTGAGAAGGAGGAGACTTGTTCCGTAGATGAAATCCTGCATCGCCTTAGGCAAGATTATGGGATCATTGCACAGGGGGACTCCAATTGGCGGGTGGAGGTATGTGAATCGGGTACTGTGGAGTCCTGCATTCTCCAAGATGCGTTGTTGGAGTCTCGAATGAGCGAGGACATGACCCTGATTGTCTTGGAGCAGGCGCTGGATGCCAAGCTGTTGCCGCCGGCAGAGAATGTCGGCTTTGTCTTGAGCACCACCGAAGGATAGTCGCGCAAGGTCAGGGGAGAATTCCTGAGCGAAATGTGAAGCAAAAGGCCCGTGGTGTGTGACACAAAAATGATAGCCTTGAGGGTGATAATGAAGGAGTGTATCGGTCTGGTAGTAGACAATAGGATGCGGCTGCTTATCCCTCTTGCTAGAGGCGAGCCGAAACGCGTCTCTGAGACTCGTAGCAATCCGGATCTTGTTCATCCGGAAGTTGAAATATAAGGCGACGACAACGACACCGTCCCAGTCCTCTTCGACTTCACAACGAACGGTAGACAACTGCTCATCTCGGCTATACAACACAATAGCAGACAGGATATTACAATCGAGAAGAACACGAAGGACAGCGAAAGTGAAGGAGCTGGCACCGACTTGTGCCGCAACAAGAGTATTTCGGCAGAAGTACCTCTTGTTGAGGACAACAATGCCGGGTGCGAGTTGCAAGTCCATTATTTTATTTTAGAGGGGAAACGAGGGGTGATTCTAATGAGGCTGACTTTCAATATTTTGAGTAGAATATTAACTTTCTGCGAGAAGAGGCGGCCATTTTATCCTGCTCCTGTTCTTCTGAATTCCTCGTGGAATCTCCCGAGGGTTTATGAATTAATACGGAACATCCTAGTTCATCACCCATACCACGCCGTAGGGAAAAATGAGCCTCTCGTGCAGATTCAGCCGTGCTCACGTCCTGGGTCAGTAGAAGAAGCGAGAAGGATCGCCGATGGTGCCTGGGTTTCCCTTCTCTCCATGTGCAAGTCACGATCGAACTACATTACTGGCGGATGGCATCCGATGATCCCCGCCAGAAAGCTTTGCCTTGCACAAACAAAAGACCTGGCGCAGCTCCTTCCGGAGGCCCCGAGGCGCGCCGGACGTGAACTTGATGTTCATCGAGGGCGAATCGGGGAACTGCTAGGATCTTCACCGTGGCAGCTCTATCCCTCGACAAGGCTTCCACTTGATCTCTTCCGGGGAGGTCTGATTACGGTTGGTGGCGAGCTATCGAATCAGCTTGCCTGGCTGGACACCCATTCTAAATCCTCCCAGCTTATATGTGGCGTAGTCAGATTTATTGGCAAGTTGTACCAATATTCTCTGCCTGGACTATTTTGTAAGCAACAATCCACCGTCAGCACGGACGGCCGCTTTACCGTAGGCACATATACAGCTGGCTAGAACTTGGACCTATATCATCTCTGATTTGTCCGGAAGTCATAGTTGCCTTGCAACAAGAGCCCACGATTTCCACCGCATCCCTACTGTGTCTTCCGAGCCACTATCGCGTGACCTTAGGCGCCCGAAATCTATATAATGCGATCCTTCAGTCTGGCGAGCGCCGCTTCGCAGAACTTTGTCGCCGGCCTCGGCATCGCCTTCTCAGCAGGCGTCTTCGTATCGCTCAACCTCCTTGGCGCCGGCGGCGGCAGGCCCGAGTCGGCACATGTAATCCAGAGCGCCAACGCCATCCTATCGTCCGTCTGGTTCCTCTTCGCCTGCGTCGGCGGTACATACCTGACCCTCCTGGGCCCGGCCGTCACCATGTGCTTCGGCATCTGCACCTACGCCGTCTACGTCGGCTCGCTATGGTACTACGAGGCCACGGGACGACAGGAGTTCCCTCTGGCAGCGGGGGCTATTGTCGGCGTCGGAGCCGGCGCCGTCTTCATCACCTCGGGCTACATCCAGGTCGCCTACTCGTCCGACAAGAACAAGGGCAAGTTTATTGCTATTCAGAACACACTCCAGGCTACGGGCTCAATCGCCTGCAGTATCTTGCCTGTGATTCTCAACCGAAACAACCTCTCGCGCGCGGGGGTCCCCATCCCCGTGTATATCACGTACATCACCGTGATGCTCGCCGCCGCTGCCCTTGCCCTGCTCGCGCTCCGCCGGCCCAACGAAGTTACATGCGGCAACGGTGCGGCCATATCAGGGTGGAATGAGAAGCGTAGTCGCCAGCAGGAGCTTGCGGAGAACCTCGCAGTTTTCAAGGAATGGAAACTGTTGTGTCTTCTGCCTGCTTTCTTGCCTGCTGGCTCGTTTCTTATCTATCTTGGCTCGGTAAACGCTTTTCAGAATTCTCTACGAGCCCGTTGACTTCTATCTTTTATTGCATTGGTCGTGCAGATCCCCTTTGGACATATTTTGCACGTAATTTTGGACAGACCGGCATGGTCCAGGCGGAAGCGTGGGCTGGCTGGGCTCGCTTTTGTTGGGGTACCTCTGTCCGTTGCTTGGTTATGGGAAGTCATTCGGACAAGGGGCTTCGATAGAAGCGCCCCACCAGCGAGGCCCGTTGACTGGAGTGACTCTGAATATGGCCCTATCATGGTTCTCTTTGTTCTTAACTGGACTGCCTCGATTCTTTGGCAGTATCTTGTGCCCTGGTTTATCGGTGCTCTTGGCCTGCCGCCAGAGAAGCTCAGCCATTACATGGGCGTGCAGAGGGGACTTTTGGCCGCTGGTGAAGCAATCTGTTTTGGTGCCGATGCTGCCAGAATACCTTATGTAGCCTTTTCAGGTGCCATTTTTGGGTTCTACGCGGCTGCTATTGGCGCATTGGTTTACATGTGCACTTTTCATGTGGCTGAGTAAGGCCGGACTTACACAACACAAGCACCTTGAATTTGATACACCTTGTCGGATTAGAAAACAAGTCCACGGCTGTCATAGCGCCGATAGAAAGGTGATGCAGTACACTCTATGGTGATTGAAACACCTAAGGTATAACAAAGACAACGATCGTCGTTTGGTCATGATGCAGCCCGCAGGTTTGGGCTGTTGAAATGGACTGCTGCCGGCGTGTGACTCAGAGTGCAGCTATGTCGGGGCTGTCTTGAGAGCCGGGGCCGGGAATCAATAGGCTGGAGTATACTTTATATTGCGCATCGCCAAGGTCGGTTTGAACATATAGAAACTTTGATCCATCACAGATGGATCCATTATTATGATACTCTGGTGGGCATGCATTCAACGGGGTTGACAATCACTTGGAAGCTCCGTTTTATTTCATCGGAAAACCTCATCGAAGTTAGAAAGTTTCTTCAACACAGCTTTACAGGCAAAATTGAGATTGTCACTAGGACTTAATCTGATCTTGTCTTTTTCGGGCCTATGTCTCTAGGACGGCTGATCACCTTCTTTTCAGCATGACTCCGTCGGGGTGGGCGTGGGCGTGGGCGTTGATGGTCGGCGATCGCCCACTGACGCTGTCTCCGCAAAAAAGACATTGGTGCGCTTGGAGAAAACATGGCACAGTGCTCCAGTATCAGAGTCACTTGGATTCTTGTCGGTTTCGAATCTTGTTCAAGTCGCTCCCTAGCTACAAAGATGTTGAAATAAAAGTTATAAAAGACTGAAGCATCTTCAAGGTTAAAATTGAAACTGTAATAATATGTGAGATAATCAGCCCATAATTTGCGAAAGCCATCTTCTCCTCGACATTCCTTCCACTATGACTAGATTGTTACCCTTCGTCGCCACATTGGTGGGTTTCATCAACTGCGCAGCTGTTGAACGACGATGGACACCCGATGCAGTTGCAACAGTTGACCTTGCCATCAACAAGGGCGCACCACAGCATCTCGCAAGTGGTATTCTCTATGGAATACCAGACGTTCCAGATCAGATCCCTGATCACTTCTACACTGATATTGGTCTACAATGGTTTCGCGCCGGTGGCGCACAGATGATTGAACCCAACCGCGGCTGGTCTTGGGGCGAGGCCGAGATGGAGAAAAGATGGGAGTCAACTCTCAGCAATTACAAGACCGTCAGAAAGTACAACGGAAAGTTCCAGCTTTTACTCCACGATCTTTGGGGCACAGAGTTCACGACGAGACTATGGATTGACCTGGCGACAACGGTGACTGGACTGATTTTGACCTCTTTCTGAATAGCGTCATTGGCAGAATCAAAGCCAACGATATGCTTCCAAGCTTGTTTATTGACATCTGGAATGAACCTGAGTGGGGCTTCTGGAAGAGACCTCAAGCGCAATGGCTTGATATGTTCGGTCGAGTCATCAACAGATTTCGGTATGTGGCTACGGCTCTTTACAGTCACAGCTGGTCGCTAATACAAGTAGATCAGATGTTGCTCTCGGAGGGATCCAAATGATCGGGCCCTCCCTATCACTGCCCCCGACTGAAGACAGCACATGGTGGTCTAACTTCTTGACTTATGTCGCTGCGAACAATTCAGCACCGGATCTTTACAGCTGGCACCACATAGAAGCCCTGGACAATCCGACTAATGACCTCCAGAATAGCTTGGTCACTTTTAACAACATGCGCTCCACGGCCGGTGCGCCGGAGAGACCGGTCAACATCAACGAGTACCTCAACCTTGCCGATGAACTCAACCCCGCAGCCACAGTATGGCATTTGTCCCGCTTTGAAAGATATGATACCTCAGGTCTGCGGTCAAACTGGCGCGGGGGCCCGGATGGTTCCCACCTCCGTGATTTCCTCGCCAGCCTTATATGGCGCGACAACCACGACCTTCCATACCATCCAAACGGCGACTGGCAAGCGCTCAAGTACTATAACACCAATATGACGGGTTACCGGGCTGCGACAACCGGGTCTGAGGATCGTATTTTCGATGTTTATGCAACAGTTGGGAGCGACAAATTACGTGCCCTCGCTGGCGTGCGGGTAAAGACGGGCACCTGGGCCCTCACTTTAAAAAACCTGAGTGCAGTGGGGCTGCCCCCGGTCGGGGAGTTAAGGATCCAGACCTGGGGTTTCACCTACGAGATCCCGGAGGCAGAGTTGGATGCTCCCACGGACCGCGGCATCGCCACACATTCTTACACAAACGACGAAATCACTATCGCCATTTATCAAACCGAAGAAGACTGGAAGACTGCGTGGGCCTTTGAATTTGAGATTTAGCTCACTTGTCTGTATTCGCCAAGAACACTGGCCAGTTGGGTAATGGTCGTAGGGATTTTCCGCGCGTATTCGAACGTGATAGGAACGGGCTCACATTTGAGAAAAATCGACCATTTGATGTTAGCATATCTCATTTGATTTCCGCAAAGACTCTTGCAATTTTTGTGTATTAGATCTCTGCAGGTAAGACCACAGCGCCGTTGCACTGATGAGGCCTAAGCCACCACCCCTCTGGATAACTTGAGTGGGTGCACGTTTTTATCCTTCTATGTTTTATTCCATGTTAGTACTAAAACTTTTGTTTGAATAATACCTATAAATCAAACTTTTAAAAACTAACATTGACAAAGATTGAAAGAATTAGGTTAGACAAATGGATATCATATAAATCATTTGAATGAAAGTCTTTGCGATTGTATCAACAAGACATATTCGTGTTAAGACGCATTCAATTATGTCGCTGCTTGACTTGGTACCATTCCTACCCCTTTCGCTTGCCGAGGAAGACAGCCTTGGGGTTTAACAGCCACGCCCCCTGCCGCTTCTCCTCCTCAACCTGCCCAACCAACCGCTGGAGCTCCCGCCCCAGTTTCGGATCTAGACGCAACATTTGCAACGCAAACTCGTCCACCGACGCCGTATATACATCATTCCAAAACATACCCATGACCGGCGAGTCAGAATACACAAGCCTCCTCACCTCGTCAAATCCTTCGTCCATCAACGTGCGGTCCAGCGTGGTCAGCCAATCCCGGGAGCCGAGCAGCAGCGACCCGTCCGACGCGTTGAGAGGGCTGGCCATCAAGCGCCTCAGGTGCTCCACGCCCGGGAACTCGCCGGCGGCCGGGACCCTCTCGGAACCGTGGACAACCTTGGCGTCGGCGCTGTAGTGCTCCTCCCACTGCAGATAGCCGCCGGGCTTGAGCAGCTGAGCGACGTTGGCCAGGATTCGCGCGGGCTGCATGTCCTTAACGACGACGGCGACGAGGCGCATGTGCACGACGTCAAAGGTGCCGCAGAGCGCGGGCGGGGGCGGGGTGAAGAAATCCCACTGGTGGAAGATGGCGTTTGGAGGGGTGAGGGCATGAGGGGGGAGCTGCGCGAGGCTGATGTCGAGGCCATGTAGCTGGGTGGTAGAAGGCAGCTGGCGAGAGAGGTCGGAGAGCCAAATCCTGTGTCCTGGTCAGATAGGGTCGAGAAGAGCAGATCAGCTAAGATCAGATAGATGGGAAAGATGCCATATTCTTTTCCTACCCGCTGCCTGTTGCGACATCCGCAATGCGCGCATCTGGAGCCAGTGGTGAGATGTCCGGGTGCAGATGAAATCGATAGGTGTCCTGCCAGAGGTAATACTGGTAGTTAAGCCTACGGAGGATTTTGATCAGCTTGGCTGACATTGCACGAAAAGCCAGCTCGAAACTCGCCTCGAAGTCGCATTGGCAGTGCGCTGAAACACGTAACCATCGTCCTTGTCGGCAGCCATTGCTAGAATGGTTCTTGATCTCCTGGTGCATTCAATTTATCACACGTGGGTCGTTGGTCAAATAGAAGATTACTGTTGCCTTACGTCGTTGGGAAGTGTCTAGAGGACAAGGAAGATTTGGCTGTAACCATGAACTCAGCATTGGGCTTAAGGTTTGTCAGCGCTCTCCGTTCCCCGCCAACCAACTCACCATTCGGATCCTTGAATCTCGAATCACCAACGGTCAAATTCTTTATTGCATGGACGGGGTCGCTATGTATAGAGTACATGCCAAGTCCAATCTTGTTGCAGCCACCGAATGTAACCCCTGTCCCTACCCCAACATCACTGGCATAGAATATGGTTGCGGTATTATATATACCCTGTCATCCTAAATTGTCCTCGTAGGCTCATCATTGCCGAGCATAAACTGTGGTATATATCTGAGTGTATAGTAATCCTATAGGGTTTTCGCCTATTTCTGAACACGAGAAAGGAGGTTGCACTGTACTATATAACATAATCACTTGGCCCGAGTTTCGGGTGTCGCTGATTGGGCTCCCACATCTCTCCACTGCTCTAGCAGATATCTAGATATTCAATGTGAATAGCATCAGGGCGTCCGAGACGAGACGTTATCAGCTTCTTTGCTATCACAGCTTCTTCTATAACGACATTGCGGAACATGGCCTGCCACTATCAAGCCTTCCGAGTCCAGATTAACACCGGCGGCAGGCTGACTCCCATCGTTGGACCGCGCGTGCCTTCGGGCCGATATAGTATTTCTGCGTGCGATGAAGTTATCGATGAAACCCGATACACGGTGTAATTCCAATTTACTGGTTATTGGTTCGGAATGTCCCTCACTCCGATATGCGATAATTATTCGCCGTCAACATGGACGACGCGTGGTATCATATGGCGCGGATCGCCCTATCCGAGTTCAATTCGTATTTCTTCCTGTATACCTAGACGGTGGATTTTATCAGGTTACACAGGTAAGTTTACTACGGAATCAGACAATTCTCAGGGAGCTCACGACACCCGACTCGTCGGGAAGGTTGCCCACCAGCCCTTAAGCACGAATGGACGCAACATGTCTTTATCCGCCGCCAAGAATGCCCGCGGAAAAAAAATAAAAAATAACGAGTGGGTGCGACGAGTACAGGCCCGACTCCGCGTCCATGGTCTATGCCGCGACGTAGCGTATCAACGCCCTGGCCGCGGCTACGAATCAGTGAGCATCAGCGGAACCGGGGCTGTAGGGTAGAAGGGGAAAAGAACGTGGATACTACTATAAAAGTTCTAAAATAATTGTTATTTAATAAACATAAAAGTTAACAGCGTTAGCATTCTCTTCCCGTATACAGTTATTTGTCCTGATGAAAATGATTTTTAGAATCCAGGCCACGATCACTACTCCGGTCGAAAAGGCTATACCACCTATCATAGCTGGACGATACAACGGTGCGTCTGCATCGTTCCACAGGTATGGAGTGTAAACGAAAGAGAGGTTACCCAACGTATTAGCGATTGCCAGAACGGCGGCCTTCTTCTCGTCCGTCTGACCCAGTGTGGCTGATGCCCATGCCAGGATGATGTTGTTAACCCCATAAGTTGCTCCTATAAATACAAACATGGAGAAGTATCGTGCACCAATGTTATATGTTGCCATCGCGAGTACGAACCCTGCGATAGCTATAGCTTTCGATAGCGTAACGTGCCATGTGCGCTCATTGAAATGGCCAGACGACCAAGACACTGCGATGGAGGTGAATGCCCCAAAGAGATAAGGAGGGCAAGTCAGCACCAGAGTGACGGTAGTACTAAACCCTAGTGTCTCAACGGCGGTCGGCATATAGTTTTTGAAATTGTTGGCGGACAGGTGGAGGTTGGCCATGAGAGCAAACAGCCAGGTCCGGTAGTCCATGGCGGCATCTCGAAGTCCTGCCCAGGAACTGGTTGCAACACGCTTCTCGGTGGTGTCACGCGCGATTCGGGCATGTGCCAGCTGACGCTCCTCGGCATTGAGCCAAGGGGTGTCGAGTGGCTTGTTGGGAAGAACGAAGAACCCAACAATAGCGACGAAAACTGGGAAGTGGTAAATACAAGGTGACCAGTAAATATACATATCAAAAACATATCAAACATTCTCGCTTACAAGTGACCACTCCCTGAATCAAGAAGAGCCATCGCCAGCCAGAAAGGCTACGGTGGCCATCTAAGCCAGCAAACACACCAGCAGCGATCAGTCCCGAGAACGAGCTCGCCAGTAGGTTACCGGTGTAGAATACAGCTAATCGAGTCGCTGTTTCCTTCCTTGTATAAAAGAGACTGATAAGGTAGCAGGCTCCTGAATAGAATGGTGCTTCTGTAAAACCGAGAACAATCCTGACAGCAAAAGTCAAATATTAGCTCGAAGAGAAGATGCTCTCTACTGCTCGCTTGGATAATACCTGGATGCCAGCATTCCATGATAATCTTTTACCAGAACTGTCAATGTAGACACGATTGACCAAGCTATCATCCAACTAGACAAGTAAAAGGCTGGCTTGAGACGGGTAACTAGAATGTTTGACGGAATCTGACCAAGCAGGTATCTTCACAGCCGACCACGTCAGTCTTACTGTCTTGGAACCTGTACAATAAAACAGAGAGATAGACTGACCCAATGAAGAAGACGCTGACACATGTATTGTAGTCCGAGTTATGCATATTCAGCTCTTTTGTCAAGTTGTTCAATTTTCCATTGACAATCGCATTTCGACAGAGAAAGTTAAGGAAATACATGAACCAAAGAATCGGCTAGCACTATATTAGCCACACTAGAAATAATTTGAAATCGGAATCAGGTTAAGGATAATTACCATGAGATATAAGTCTAACTTCTTTACCAAGGCAATCTCCTTAAGATCAACCTTGGCTGCGCTGCCAAACTTATCAACCTGCCGCTCATCCTTGAGATTTTCGCTAAAGTCAATGTGCTCTACCAATGCTTCTTGAGCTGGTTCAATCTCCGTTCCGTGTTCAGTCTGAGATTTAGAAGTCATGTTGTTTCCTAGGAGGGATGGGATAGAATGAGAAGAGAGTTGCACGCTGGAGAGAAGGCTGTGAAGATAGTCAGGCTCTGCCACGGCAGAGATGCCTGTCTTTTTATACCGCTAATGCCTAAGAGACTCGCGAAGGGCCTCGGTTGTCATTTCCCTGACCGCAAAATAGAATGGGATTGTTAAGAAAGAAGGCTATCGGAAGGCATGGGGAAGGGGCGGAGTGCAATACAGATGTGCAATGTCATCTACGAATGTTTACCAAAGTGGTCAACGCCTGTGATTTCTCCGCATTTTACCCCGGATTCTCATCAAACGCCCCAATGCGGAACTGCAGCAATGTGCAGCCGTGTCTGGGGAAAGTGGAGTATTCGTCTGGAACGATAACTAGGACGTACATTAGGTCGGGCGTTTCACCGCCCGTCTATAGCCGCGCCCGGATAAGCTTCTTGTCTCCACTAGTCCATTATCCGACATATCAACTAGATGCCTTCCGAAGCTGCGTGGACAACCGGCCTCGGCCGTCGTCCTCCCGACCTCGACCAACATATAAATGATATCACACAGATAGCATCAGTCTACATGATTACAGAGTAGTGGAAAGACCTTTTACAAGTTCTTCCATGCCTTTGCGAAGCTCGCGTGACTTAGTACACAGCATATCATGTCTACAACTACGACTTATACTATTGCCTCTCAAGCCCGGGCTCTTCTCTCGCGTGGGACAGCAGACGAGCCCAAGAGGCCAATCCCAACAATTGATGAGCTGATCAAACGACGTGCTGTTGAGTTGCATGATGCGCCTCTGATCGGATACCCGAGACAAGGCACAGTCGATTTTGAGGAGCACAGCGCACGAGCCATCGACAGATACGCTGATGCCGCCGTAGTCAAGCTCCAGCATCTGGGATTCAAGGCTGTTGTATGTCATCATTTCCTCTTTTTTGGCGCCGAATTACCTTCTCAGAGGGTCTTTGCATTGGTCAATCACTGCATAGTAACGCCGAACTGCTGACTGTGGGCTTGCCTCTGATAGGAACCCACCACGGAAAAGCCCCCCGTCATTGGAATTTTGGCCCAGTCTGGGTTGCACGTTGTCATCACCATTATCGCACTTTCTCGGCTTGGCTACACAGTATTCCTTGTATCCACGAGGCTTGCCAGCCCAGCTCTGGCTCAATTGCTGCACCTTACTGACTGCAACACTGTCCTCACGACTGAAAATTTCCACTGGGCTTTGGCAGAGGTCCGAAAAGAAAGGGCGTTGCTGGAATGGAAGCCAATTTTGGTCCATCTAGATTACTACGGTGTAGATGCCCCAGTATTTCACCGGAGCTACGACCCGGACAAAGAGACGAACAAGACAGCTGTCATTATCCACTCATCAGGATCGACTGGACTGCCAAAGCCTATTTTCTTGACTCACGAGAACTGCATCGCAACATTTGCTGCCAATCTGAACATGCGGGCGCTCATCGCGTCTCCTCTCTTTCACAGTCATGGTTTCTACGAGACATTCCGATCAATATACTCTGGCAAACCCATATTCCTTGGCAACTATGCCTTTCCGCTCACAAGGCAGAGTTTGATGGACATGGTTGATACAGTGAAGCCCGAGCTTTTTCATGTTGTACCTTACATGGTCAAACTCATTGCGGAGTCTGAACTGGGGGTGAAATGCCTTGCAAAAGTGAAATTAGTTTTGTTCGGGGGGAGCGCCTGCCCCGACGATCTGGGAGACCGCCTTGTGGCGCAAGGTGTCAATCTTGTTGCGAATTACGGCTCGTAAGTCTCCTTAGCGTCCCTGCATGGATTAAAGATAAAAGCCTGTCACTGACTGGCCTTGTTTAAGAACCGAGATTGGTCGGGTGATGAACTCGAACCGATCGCCTGGTGACTTGGCATGGAACTACGTGCGAATGCTTCCTGCGGCAAAATCACATGTTCTTATGGATGAAGTCAGCCCAGGGCTATTCGAATGTGTTGGGCTGGACGGACTCAAAGCAAAATGTGCTACAAATTCAGACGATCCTCCGAATTCATTCCGGACAAGAGACCTCTTCATACCCCACCCCACACGAGAGGGCCTTTGGAAGTACGTCTGCAGACTGGACGACCGCTGCACCTTGATTAATGGAGAGAAGGTCCTTCCCATACCCATCGAGGGCTGCATTCGCCAGGACGAAAACGTGAAAGAAGCCTGTGTTTTCGGCGAGCGCAGAAGTTTGCCTGGTGTCTTGGTTATCAAGGCTGATAGGGCGTCTCATGTCCCCGACAGCGAATATCTGGATCGTATCTGGCCAGCTGTGGAGGCGGCGAATGCGAGGGCCGAGACGTTTTCCCGCATTCCCAAAGAGCTCGTGGTCGTTTTGCCGGCTGACACAGGGTACCCGAAGACAGATAAAGGAACTTTTGTTCGGATTCCCATGTACAGACAATTCGACACTCAAATCAACGCTGCATATGATGAATTCAAGAACAAGCAGGGGGGAGGCAACGTTTGTCTTTCGGGAAGCGACTTGGAAGACTTTCTTATTCACAGAGTAAATGACCAGCTTGGGGTTGAGATGACTTCCGCTGAGCAAGAATTTTTCGCGTCCGGGATCGACAGTTTGCAATGCATGCAGATATGGAACCTGATGAAAAGAGAGCTGGATCTAGGTGGACGACAGGCCGAGCTTAGCCCGAACGTGATGTACGAGACGGGAACCGTCAAGAAGCTCGGGCGATATTTGACTGCGTTGAGGACGGGAGAGGAGACTGCCGTGGATGATGAGTTGGACAAGATGGAGGATTTGATAGCACGCTACTCCTTGTTCAAGCCTCATGTTGGGAGCGGCTCTGCAGCACCACGGAAAGAAACTGTGGTAGGTTGAAACCCCTTCAGGACGTTAAATGAGTCCCTAACCTGGAACTAGCTTTTGACGGGGACGACGGGTGGCCTCGGTGCCCATGTACTGGCACAATTGGTCGCAAGACCCAGTGTTGCCGCTGTTTGGAGCATGGTCCGGGCAGCGGACGACGCCGCTGCCGATCAGCGGATCAAGAACTCACTGAAGACCCGGGGGTTGCAACTCAGTCAAGAACAAATGGCCAAAGTCATTCCTGTGGCGTGTGATCTCGGTCGTACAGATCTAGGATTGGATCCTGAAAGGCTCTCCCGGCTGTTGAATAGTCTCACTTGCTGTATCCACAGCGCTTGGGCAGTCAACTTCAACATCCCTGTGCAAAGCTTTGAGAACCAGCACATCAAGGCCACCCACAATTTGATCCAGTTGTGTCTATCGGTGTCGACTCCGCAACCGGCCTGCTTCTTTTTTTGCTCGTCCGTCTCGGCTGCGGCGGGGAGCCCGCGTCCTGGAACTGTACCCGAAGGCCCAGTAAGCTCCCCTACATTTGCGCAAAAGACTGGGTACGCCAGATCCAAATATGTGACAGAACATATAACGCGCAACGCGAACAAGAGCGCAAATGCTCCAGCACGAGTCCTTCGTGTCGGTCAGCTTGTGGGTGATAGCCAAGTAGGGCAGTGGAATGCCTCCGAAGGGATCCCCATGATGATACAGACGGCTGTGACTCTGGGGGCTCTTCCTGCTCTTGATGAGGTAGGTCTTGAGCTAAATAACACCTCAGTGGTGACGAGGACTGGAGTTTCTGACCGAACACAACAGGAAATGACCTGGCTTCCTGTGGACTACGCTGCGGCAGTAGTGCTCGACCTAGCCAAGATTCCAAGTGAGGTCGATGTAACAATTACAAAAGACCGCAGCACAATTCGTGATCCAGAATTAGTCTACCATGTTCTTAACCCACATCGATTCCACTGGACGAGGGAAATGATACCGGCATTGGCGAAGGCCGGCCTCCAGTTCGAGCTTCTCCCTACTAATCAGTGGATGGATCGACTGAGACAGTCGGAAAAAGATCCTGTAAAGAACCCTCCGATCAAGCTGCTCAATTGGTTCGAAGGGAAATACGGTTCTGCAGAAAGCTCGTCAAAGACCGAGACGCTTGAATATCTGACGAGCGAGACCTTGAAAGCAAGCCCGACACTGGGTGCGCTACCCAAAGTCACAGATGAGGAATTCATTAAGTGCATGATTAATAGGTTGAAGGAGGATTGGAACGGCATAGGAAGGTGATAGCAAGTGTACTGTGGTTCTTCTCACTCATTAACATGTGTGACAGTATGAGAGTATGTTTAAGTAGTTGCCTTAAATCAAGTTTATCCCTAGTTCGCCTTTTATCTTCTGTTATATATCTTTTGTAATGTACATCATTTTCCTTCAGTGAGAAATTCTTTCCTATAAAAAAGGCTGGTCCCATGGGAAGACGGTTGACATTTGAAACCACGAGTCGAGAGAATCACTGTAATCAAGTTGTGAGAATCCCATATCATCCAGCCGCGGCGTAAGCTGGTGGTCACTTTGAGTGTTGCCAGTCCTGACTGCTGCTTCTGGAGCCAATAGAGCATTTCGCGGACGAGAATTGACGCGTACGTTGTTGCTATCATAGGAACCCCTGCTCGCCGCTGTTGTAGAGGTGGCCTTTGCGGCTGTGTGCTCAAACCATAAACCCCACAGAAGCCCGGCATACTTAGACGCAACATGATCACTGTCTGCACCAGCTGCTTTACGCAGTACAGCGATGAACTGCCTCATAAGTGCGGTTGACTCTGCGTGTGTTCCTGATGACAAAGCACCGGAAGTATGCGCTTTATATAGGAATACCGCAGAGTGCATTTCATAGCTAGCGAGCTTATTTGTCAGTGCGTTTCTTGAGCTAGGAGTAAGCAGACTGAGGGAGGAAGGGGAGTTGGGGGAGGAGAAAAACGAATTAACTTGCAGGTAGAACCGTGCCGGCATATAGCGTAAGTGCTTTTCAGGATTGATATCGTCAACAGCAATTTTCAGCAGAGACCCGGCAGCCTCTACAGCCTCGTAAATATGACGAGCATCGGGGCTTGCCATGATAGAGTCAGGGAAACAGCCATTGTAATCTTCAACTGCTATCGAACAGCGATATAGGGCTGCCTGAAATGCAAATGCAGTGACGTAGAGGCGCAAATATTGCTGCATTGATTCAAGACAGCTTTTCAGGTGGCGTGACACGGCCAGGTCGTCCCACGTACGCCTCCATGCCACCAATGACCGTCTCGTATCGTCAATATAGGTGGAGTAGTCCCCTCTTTCCATCAACTCTTTGGTACGTTGCTTGGATGCGAATAGAATGTCGTGTGCATTTCCGAACAATGTTGTGAGCTCGATTTGCGCTTGAATGAAGGAAGCAAGATCTTCATCGTAAGAGTGCAGAGGTTGTAGAGAGGGGAAGTCTTTTGCGGTAAATCGTGTCGATAAAGATGGGCCTCGACACCAGAAAGCCTGTCCCATACGAATGGAAATCTGGCGGTCTGATAGATAGGTGACTGCATTTGGTGCAAATGAATCAGCTTCCAGCGCGGAGATGAATGAGGTGGTATATCGAGGTGCAGGGCTCACTTACAAGTCCAAGCCAGTCGCTTGCGTTGTGTCACAAGCCCACCTGGGTCGTTACCGTGGCTGCCTGGAGCTCGAAATGAGCTATCTTCAAGCCGGAGAAGGTAGGCCAGTCTTACGGCCAACCCAATAATCGACCACGTTGCTCCCTCTCCGGCGTTGCTGTCATCGACGCGGGTCCATTCGCCGAGCAGTAGAAGGCCCTCGACGCAACCAACGGACCTCGAGCCAGGCGATGTTCCGATGACAAGCCCTAGAATGAGGTCGCGCATGTATTTCCACATCGAATCATGCAGTCCGACTAAATCTGCGCGATCTCTCGAGGCGACTGACAGCACTGCGGTAAGGAGAAAGGCTTCTCTTTTGGCGTTCTCAAGGATGGCGGATGGCTGCAGAAGATTCCGGGGGACAATGGGAAAGAAAGCATGGTAGTTGTCAGCGTAGCTATTGAGCAAGAGTTAGATTATCGGTTTCAATGGCGGACAATCATCAAAGAATGAATGACGAATCGTGTGCAGTACCTTGGAAAAGGAGTCAAAGCAGAAGTTCTGAGAAGTGGAAGTTGACTCACTGTTGCAATAGATGCCCGAGCAGAGAAACATCCAGGACGCCATCACGCAAGGGGGGGTACGATGAGATGATCGCGCCGTTGCCAGGCGCGAAGTTGTTTACGGCAAATGGCAGGCTTGAACCCTCAGACGGAAGTGACGCCGTCATGAGAGGAGTAGGGATGGCATGTTCTGCTTGGCTATACATCGGCTCCACGTCTCCGTCAGTCAAAACATTCTCGGCGTTCACGTCCATGGCAGAGCCTGATCGCGCAACTGCATCATTCTCCTCGCCATGCTGTTGTGCACATGTATTTGCCAGTATCAATAGCGCATCTGACGGATTCTGCAGGCTGTCGCCGTGTACTATGTTGTTGTGATGGCGATTTACGGTATGCCATTGTGACCGGCTGCGTTGACAAGGGGGCGGGGACGGCGACGAGGATTCGGCAGCAACTGTAGCTTCCTGTGTCCTGGGCTGCGGTGATGGCTTGTTTTTTCGTCGCCGCAAGCGAGAGAAGTCACCTCCACGGCGTGAGGCAGCCGGAGTGCACTCATCGGCGACACCCTCGCGGTAACATTTGGCACACGGAGGCTTGCCATTGCCTCCACTGAGCGAGCGTCAGTCCACAGGTACAAGATTGGCTGGAGCAGCATCGACTCACAAGTCACATCGCGACTTGCGTGCCCGGCATCGGACGCAAGCTCTGTACTGACGAAGACCGGTACCTCTTGTCATGTTTTGAGTCAACGGCTATAGACGATGAACAATACTCTACGGCGGAGATCCGCAACGTGCAGCAATCAGGCCCCGGAAGCAAGGTCGAGGAGGGGGAAAGCCGTAATAGCAAAGGAGCCAGGAGCCTTGATCTTTTGCAAAGAGCCTCTCGTTGATTCGCCCAAGACAACCCCCGCTTCCGAGCAATCCCCTTCAGGTGCGATCGTGGTGACTATAGCATGTGCAGGTGGAGGCTACAGACGGCAGTAGACGGCACTGGGCGGCACGAGGCGGCCACGAGTTGAGCGTCTGCTCGACACTTTATTCCTCGTCGAGACGACGATGACCCCGCTCAGTGGCGGGGAAGGATCCCCCAATGGCGTTTCTGGGGACGCCTCCCGTGCACCGCGCCATGGGTGCGCCCAAGGACGTATTGAAAGCCAGACAGTCATCGCTGGCACACACTGGCCGCCGATCCATGAGTCCCGTTGCATCTCACGCAGCTTGGAGTGCTGGTCCTGTTACAGCAATAAAAAGGTGTCCTCCGCCCGACGTGGATAAGACTGCTGGGCAAAGAATAAAAACAGCAAGTCAAGAGCAACATTATCATTGATAGTGAGATATTGCTTCGATCAGGCAGACCCAGCAATACACATTCGCTGAGAACGTTTCCAATCCATTGCCGGCTAATCTTTTTACATATTGCAATCATGGCGCCCGGTGTGATTGATCCTGTGCAAACGTCCACCTTTGATCATGCCTCCACGAAGAATGATGGCCCCCAGAAAGACCTGTATGGTCGCTTTCACCCAGTCGATCCCGACACGCTCAACCTGGAGTCCAATTTTGGCCGCATGGAAAAGGGTTCCATTGGTTTCCTGCAGCCTACGCTCGCCAGCACGCCACTGGAAGTGATGCACGAGCGCTTCAATCGTGATGGGTACCTTTTCGTCAAAGGACTGCTCAACAAAGAGGACGTCCTGGCCTGCCGACAGGCCTATTTCTCGCATATGTCACCAAGCGGCCTCCTGAAACCCGGCAGTAATCCCGTGGACGGATTTTTCAATCGTGCTCAGGAGCCCCGAAAATACATGCCGCCCGGTAATCTGCGCCGCTTATTTGGAATGGAAGGAGATCGTGAGAGTGACCTCTATGTGGAGCTCATGATCAGTGCCCACGAAGCATCGTTCTACCGATCCTTTTGCGAGAACAAGGATCTGCGAGACTTTGTTCAACTCTTTACCGGCATGGATTTCGAACCACTTATGTTGCAGCGGACGATGCTCCGAGCCTTCGTCCCCGACAGCGAGTTGACTCCCGTGCACTTCGACCAAATGTACCTCCGTGGTGGCCCACCTACAAGTCTGACCGCCTGGGTGCCCATTGGCGATGTCTCACTCGAAGGCGGTGGGCTCATGTATCTGGAAGGCTCTACTGATATTGGAAAGCGTACCGAGGACGACTTTGCGCGCAATTCTGGCAATTTGACGGATGAGGAACGCGTTAGCGCCTTCAACAAAAACATGAACGACGGCGGCTTCCTCAGTCGGGACACGGTGGAGTATGGGAAACGAGCGGCGAGGAAGTGGCTTCTGACACACTATGAGGCTGGCGACGTAATTTTCCACAACCCGTATATGGTGCATGCCAGCTGCAAGAACAAGGATCCCGAAAGCAGGATCCGGCTAGCTACGGACGTACGGTTTGTAGACCCGGCTAAGCCTTACGACAAGGTAAGACAACTTAACCAGACTCAAGAGCATTGTGATATATTTCCACAAGATGCTAACGTTGTGTAGCGATGGATGAAGATTTACCGTCCTCTGGATGGTCTGTAAACTCATTGCAGGTCTGGGGCCGGGAGTGTTGGCACTAAAGGGTCACATTCAGATCCTCACGCTGGGGCAGCGTCAGCACGGCAGTGTAAGAGTTTGATGGTATGATGTTAGCAACATGGCAATAATTTTTTTTGAACCTGAGTCTCAACCCTATTTTTGACGGTCTCTTGTGTGAATCAATTGATACCATGATCGCGCGGCTATCTCAGCCACTCTCTCAGCTGTCGAGGCCTCTCCAGTGCCAGGCCCTCCACTGAGCAGGGTCACTAGTATGCTTCAAAACATCTTATCCAAGACTGCGGCGCTCTCCTGAAGTCAAGCCATTGCCACCCTGGTTTTATATTCCACATGTGCGCTAACCTCTTCGGACCAGGCTGCTATTTATATAAGGTGAACAATGTAGTTTGTATACTTCGCTGGCAGAGAATGCGATAGAACAGGCTCCAATCAGACTCGTCCGTTTTCACGTTGGTTCGAGGGGGATGCAGTGTCAAGGCGCGGTATGCAGGGGGCGCTTTCCACACCAAGAACAGGAGGCGCGCCTCCTCAGACACCCCCATAACCGCCCGCTACCCTGGTATCCCGCATGCGTTTGATGACTTGGGTTGCCGAGCCGAACTGCAATGAAATACTGCTGCCTAGTGTTGCTGGAGCAGTTTGAATTATCCCGCAAGAGAGTAAAATCGAATCGCACCTTCACACACTCTCTTACCGCTAGTATTGACTATACACATTCCTCTAATCTGATCATTACAGCTCTACAAAATGTCGTCCTTTGAAGACTTGCCTGATGAGAAAAGCCCCGCGTCACTCGGATCGAGGAAGCAGACTTCACTGCCGATCGCTTCGAGAAAGTCTCCCAGAAGCCGTGAAAAGGTCGCGAACGATATGCAATTTGGGTCGAAGTCGTCTTCGCCGATACCAACTCGATCTGGTCTAACACCTGATCAGCCTCGAGTGAGACGCTCTTCATTCCACCTCCTGGCTCCAGATATCGAAACCTCCTCCAACCAAGACCCACTGCCTCCTGGCACAGCCGAAGAGGTTGACTCCGAAATGGAAACACCAACCAAGAAGCCACTGCGTAGGATCCGACCGAAGTCCTCGGAGCCGACCAATCCGGCTGAGTCTTCGATCAGTCGACGGACAGTGGGGATAGAAATTGATGCCGCCGCCAATCAAGAACCTAGAAGGCTGCTCCGACCGCCATTCGAGACGTCGCATACCTCGCCAGAGATGCAGGATGAGACGGCGAGAAGAGGCCAACGCCCAAATGTGACCGAAAGAGCCGCGAGCGACACCGCCACTCCTGTGAAAAAACTATCTGGAATTCAGCTTGACGGTGATATTGCAAAACTCATCAAGGACGGTCCCACAAGAGACAGAGACAAAGAGAAGGTGAATGGGTCAATTTACTTCTACATAGTCAAACCACGAAGTGATAACGTGCGACTACTCAAGATCGGCCGGACGGAAAAGCATCCGAACGAGCGCCGCATCCAGATCAAAGGTATCTGCGGGCACTTGGAAATCGAAGAGCACCCCAGGGCGGTCGCTCGAGACATTGCCTTCTATGGATTTGCCGAGAGGTTAATACATAAGGAACTGAGCAACTACCAATACCCGTGGCTATGCGACTGCGGTACCAGGCACAGAGAGTACTTCCAAGTCAGCGAAGATGTCGCTGTGAAGGTGTTTGAAAGATGGCGGGACTTTTGTGATCAGAAACCCTGGGACCTCAGCGGGAAAATACTCCCCGTATGGTCCCAGAGATTGCAGAACAGGGTCAGGTGCCGCACCGCAGAGCACAATTTCGACCACCTCGAATTCGCTAGGCACTGGGATACCTTCACCAACCCAATGTCTTTTGAGCGAATTTTATCCGATTTACTACGTGTTCTGAAGCTTGGATTTCCGGAGCGCTGGCGGAATATTGCCCTGGCAGAGTTTCTCACGATCGTTTGCTTCTCGGGCTACTCTTTCTTAACGAAACTGTGGACTGTTATTGTTGTCTCAATGGTTTTGATTGATACAGTATTCACGGAAGACATGCATTTTACTACTCGCATATCTCAACTTATGGGAGGTGGCTTGCAATCCTTGATGCTGGGGCAGACATCTCCAAAGGATAGGAAAGTGGTAGAAACGAAAGGCTTAACGCCCGAAGCCAACCCAGGGGACGTTCTATATGAGTCATCTAGTAGAGCTGAGGCTCATCAGCTACGGAGAGAGAGCGCTGCTGCGACTAGCCAGCCTTTGATCGACATGACAGAGCCTATCAATGATGGAGACGATCTTGGTAGTCCTGAGTCTGCAGCCAACAAAGATAGCCCCGATAAGGATGCTCGCTCGTCTACAAGTGTTGACGTGACCTCAACGCGGAGCAGTGTCTCAAAAGGAAAGGAGTGTCTGTATCCACCTTTTCAGAAGTGTGCAGATGGACCCGAATGAACGAATGAGGCATTATCTTGAAACAATCGACTGAAGCTGTTGGCGGAACGTTGACACGTATATGACAAGGGAGGACCGGTAGACCGCCTCAAAGTAGTGTGTAAAACACATCCCCAGTGTCCTTCCTGAGCCTATAACTCTGAGTCCTTATCTCCTCTCTTAGTATAAACCTAAAACCATTTATCAGCCCGTAATAGGCGAACGTTTAGGTATGCTGAGGTTTCTTCACGTCAGTTTTCTGGTATTTATATTCCAACTACGGGTCCCATTAGCGGTTGTTATGACATTTAAAAACTTGAAGTAAGCTTTAACGACACAAGCTTGGTATTACCTCCGGCCTTGGAAAGCTCCTGGGCACAGAGAGTCATTTCTTCCCCGTCCTCACCAAGGCCAGTATGCACAATTTAGTAGCTCTCTCCGTTCGAGTGGACGACGAAATTTTAGGACATTTCTCATCATCCAGCCATCCAGCTCATGTGACTTGTGCGACAGCAACTATAGCCTTTGAAAGGTCTCAAATATGTCGGAGCACCGCACAAATTGCGCCGAGTCATTGATTGCTTCGAGTTGAAGTCGTGAGAGCCACACAGCATTATTATACAATCACATGCACTATTGGACAATACCGCCCCGGTTAAAGAAAAGATATAGTTAAATCTTCACTGCGTAGCCGCACATGGCTTGCGAAGACCTGGACTATCATCTTATTTTGTCTATTATGACCTTATAAGGACCCTATAAGGGCTCAGAAGGTTACGACTCATCCCTCTTGCAATGGGGGTTGGTGGATCCAGGCTATTGATCGGATATATCAGCTTTGGTTCTAACACAAGAAGTGTCATAAGAAGTAGGATGAACATACACCACAGCCGCCTGAAGGAGAAGGCCCCGTTGCCACCTCAACAACCTTGTTCGTCTCCCCGCCCTATTTTGTAAAGAAAGAAGCATTTCAGAGAATCACCACGGAGACCTAATGGTTTGAGCCAGCGGTCTCATACTATTTGGTTGGGCACGGCCAACGCCGCGCTGACGAGGGCGAGAGTCAGCATCGCCCTGAGCTGCATGGTGAACGATTTTATGTCCGAGTTTTGTTGGGTCTGAGTTAAATAATAGTGTTTTGATACCAAAGTGCTTTGTAATTCCATGGCGTCGATGCTAATTACTATTCTGGTTGCCTTCAGCGCTCTGGTCTGGACGAGATTCGGGCCGCAACCTACCGAGCTGGAACAAAGTGTCACGACTATGATTATCTGTTATGACCCCCTGATAATACATATCGAAAACTACTTGAAGAAAGAGGAGGTGGAGCACCTTAATACAGTGGCGTAAGCAGCCCGGCCATAAAAGGGATGCGCATGATAAACCTTGCAGTGATTTCAAGACGTCTCCTCTTTGAAGGGGGGGGGGGGGGCAAGAGGGGGAAGAAAGACAGTGAGATAGTGAGAGGGAGCGGGAGTCAATCCACAAGAGTAACATGCGGCTTTGGGACCTAGGGAAACATCAGCGTTCTTCCAGTCAACGGTCCGAGACGAGACAGGGACTGAGGTACCCTGAGAAGAGCGTACAAGCCGCACTTCGTGGCTGCCACACAACGACACGGTAGTGCAGGCGGTGCGATCGCGCGCGGCGCCTTTTCAGGGACACACACCCACGTCGCATATTGAGGACCTCCAGGTAACCATGTACCAGGCTGGCCAGCAGTACATGCCGCACTGGGATCCTCTTTCCGGCGATGAGGGTAAAGACCGGCTCACGACCATCTTCGCCATTCTAGCGGACAGCTGCGACGGCGAGCACGACCGCTGCGGCACGCAATTCCCTGGCATCTTGATCGACTGGACGGCCGAGGACTCGCGCTGGTGCGAGATGGTAGACTGCACCGAGAAGGCCCTGATTCCGGCCGCGGGCAGGCAACGCCATGTTTTGGAGGAACCGCAAGGATGACGTGTCGGTCCACCCAAAACCGATTTACGCCGGGGAGCCGATCCTGGAAAGCGTCAAGATTGGACTCAATATATGGACTGATGGTGAGCCTCGGTGGGCAGACGCTGATATGGATGTCGGGAACAGATGACAACCCGAAGAGGGGAAGAAGGAGATCGAGAGCGTGGAGGTACGTCACGGGTTAGCTCTCCTGGAATTCGAATTATTACGCACGTGTAATATATCACTTAATGGACATGGGATCTCACACGGCAGAAAGTGCAATCGAGCTGCTCGTCCATTGGACTTGCGTGGGAGTAATGGTGTAAATGGATCAGAGATCCCATCGCTTGGGACCAGACTCCGTTCCTACCCTCGACGAGGTTGGGTCCAATGAAGTCCGTAACACGCACTACTTGAGCAGTCAGTGTGGCCAGTCGCGGCAGCGGCCTGGCTGGCTTCTGTGACTCGGCTTTTGCTCGTGGCAAGTTTGGCCGCGGGGTGTGCAGCTCGCGGATCAATCAATTTGTAATCATGCCCTCCTCACTTTAAAGCAGGGCCTGCATTTTCTTCAGGCTTAGGTTGACTTTGGAACACGAGTTTCTTATAGGCCTCCTCGGGTAGGTACAGACAAGGTCCCATTTTAACGCCGGCATGCTAACTCTGTGTGAAAATTTAAACACTTTTGCTCTTCCGTCCCAGCAATTCGTTAAATATAGAAAGTAAGAAAGTAAATGCATATGAATGAAATCGTGCATAGAAAGTGCCCTCGGTGTTATTAATTACCTCCGAGTTTCTCTCGTTTTCAACGATTCCTTTTACAATTCTCTTTCAACCTGAATATCAAGCTTCCTCGGTCCATTAGTATGAAATCAAGATTTACAAAATGTTAGAGTTGTTCATCAATGGAAATTTAGCTGGTTAATTCTAAAGATTGGATTTAATTATAATTCCAAAGTAGCTCTTTTTCTTATAGTATTCCGAGAATAGCAGACGCTGCTTAGTTGATGCAAATACCAAAGACGATCGAGGCCGAATTCCGCTTCAATTAGCAAGCTTATTCAACTCCTATGAAGTGATCACTCTGCTCAAAGGAGACGATGAGAGCTCAGCGGACGATCTTCGGTCCAATGTTGATTTCAACACCAGAAAAATGGAAAGGAGCTCTCCATCTCATCTTGCTGCCCGTTCCAATGCATTGAAAGCTGCGAAGCTGCTCATGCAGTAAATTGAGAATCGCTCTGAGCCGTGGCCACCGACGGACAAGAATAATCAGACCCTGTTCCACTTGGCGGCCGCAGCAGGAAATGAAGAGTAAATCGAACTCATGAGCAAGTTGTCGATGAAATATGGTCTTGATCCAACAGCTCAAAGTTTGCTGTGCAATCCGAATGAGACATATTTACAGCGTTCAGTGCTGCGTCGCATCATGGACATGTCTCTAGTATGCAAGCTTTCCTCGACATTGACGCTAAGGCGGGGAATCTGTGCGGAGATGAGTTGAAGAAAACACTGCCGAAACTGGACGACGTCGATGGCGACACACCCTTCATGTATGCTTTACGGATTCGGCTTCGGGATGCTCGGACAGCGCTCGAAGACATAGCTGATGATTGGCGAGGCTCGTGGCCTCAACGTTGACAAGATGATCCTGTATAATCATCATTTGGGACCCAGAGCCTAAGCATAACAGCCTTTCAACATCGTCCCGTGTAAGCAAAGCATGATGCATAATTGGCGATTTCCATTTTTTAGGCATCAAACATTCACCTGACACGTCCATGGCCATTAACGGTCTATTTACGCGGACTTCACAAGTACTGGAGAGGGGACTGGCGGGGTTGAAAGTTTTATATGTTCCTATGAGACAAGATCACTATCCGTTCTCCTTTGCATCCGGCTGACCTCAGACGCCGCTCGCGGAAGCCTTCATCCCATCTTCGCCTAAGTGCGCGGCGTTGGATACCGTGTCACTGTCGTTTACAAAGGCCTTATCGCCGAAGGCTAGCGCAATCTCCTCAAGAGTGTGATTAGCCGTCTCAACATAATAGAATTTAGCCAAAGCCACCGAGATCAGACAGAACCCCGCGATGACAACGTAGTAGTAACCTCCAATTCCCGCGAATGCGTCAGGGGCCGACATGCCGATGGCGAAGTTGAACACCCAATTCGAACATGTGGCAAGAGCCATGCCTTTACTACGGGCACGTAGGGGAAATATCTCAGCTGGGAGCAACCAGGGCATGGGACCCCACGTGAACCCGTAGATTGCATTGTACTGGGTTTGGAGTAAGCAATTATTCTTTTCATATCTCGCTGGGTCAGACCTACGATAACCACGAAGGCGTAAATGCCGTTAGCACGCACAGTGATATCGCGTATATGTGCCTCGGTGAAGGCGCACACTATACTCAAGGCGATTGCCATAAGGATACCTATATTTGAATTCAGCTTTGTGAACATAGTCTCAATGTGCCGTTGAGAACTTGGCGTGACTCATTATCACAATGCTTACCACCAAGAATCAACAGCGGACGTCTCCCCCATTTATCAGCTAGCCACCAGGACAGGGTTGTAGCGGCTACGTAAGGGAGCGAGTTTGCTGCTGTGTAGAGCAAGGACTTTGACTGGCTCATGCCAGCCCTGGCCAAGGTTGTGGGCAGGTAGAAGGATATGACGTTGATGCCGTTGAGTTGGGCGAACATTTGCGCGGTGATTCCGACAATGGTACGCTTTCGATAGCGCGTGAACATCTCCCGCCACGAAGATTGCCCGAGTGTTGCTTCGTAGCGCACCGCTTCGCTGATTTCGAGCATGACTTTCTGGACGTGCTCCGCCTGTGTGTCACCATCTGGTGTGTGCAGATCGGCGACTGTCTGAAGGCATTCCTGGGTGAAGCCGTTCCGAGCGAGCCAACGGGGTGTCTCCGGGAGTATGAAGGACATAGCGAACAGGATGAAGGCGAGACCCATCTGGATGAAGTACGGACCCTGCCACGACTCGCTCTTCGGGACGAGATGGTAGAAGCCGAAATCGACCCATGTTGAGAGTGCATAACCTCCAATAAGGAATGTGTATTCAACGCCTACCATAAGGCCACGACGGTGCGGTGCGGCAATTTCGGTCTGAATGACAGGGACAGTCATGGAGAGAAATCCAACGCCAAATCCCTGGATAGTTCGGCCGGCGACAAAAGTCGCGAAGTCGGGCGCGAAGGCTTGAATGAAGGCGGAAGCAAAGTAGATGAAGCCTCCCAGCCGGACGCATCGCTTCCTCCCAATCATGTCGCCAACATTGCCAGCGATGAGGGAGCCAATAGCGGCCGAGACCTGCAGACACGCGACGAGGATGCCTGTGATGGATGGATTGATGTTGTCACTCGACCCCTCGACACCTCCGTAGTCCGCAAAGAATTTCTTGAGGAACACCGGATTGACCAAAAGTCCGGCAACAATACCTGGGATCCTGCGTCAACTGGACATCCACCGATATAGGACGAAGAAAACAAGAACCTACCCTGATCATAGCCAAATAGGGCATCACCTAGACTGCCGAAAGCGCAAGTCATCCATAGCAGAGGTTTTCCCCTAAAAGGATAGCGAGCATGGACTACCTTCGGCTTGACCTTCGCTTCGAGCCATGAGACAGGTGGTGACGGTAGATCTGTGAGATTGGAAAGAACAGGAGCGGACTCCAAAAGCGTTGGCGCAGGTGGCTTCTCCATAGTTCTGACGCGGTGACGAGATAACTTCGATACACCGAGTTAAGTTGAACTCCAGATTATTTACCCCGTGGGGAGGCATCTGGGGATATTTAAGGCATTGGTGGTATCAGAAACTACTTTCTCAGCTGCTTGGGCATTCCCCTTGACCCGGTACCGACGGAATCAGGCCCAGAAGTTTATGCATCACGGTGCATGCGGGGACCTGCCATTGGCTTCGTCGACTTGTTCCCATTTCTAACCATCTTCATAATTAAGCTAGCAAGAATTGGTCAACAACAGCCAGATCCTTGTTTTACCCCAGATCTGGGGTTGTGTTGAAACTCACCCTGCCCCTGTCATGAGAATCGGGGCACCTGGGCACTGGAGAAGATTCAGCATCCGCCGGAACCGTAGCCGTGCGCCAAGCGAGTCATTGGCCAGCGTCTGGACTTGCGAAGCCAGGGGAACCGGTTCCACTTCGAAACCTACAAGAATATTTTCAGCCGTGTCCGATGCTAGCGAAAGAAGGTGACTAGCGCCATTGCAGGTACGGGTTCTAGTAAAAACGCAAGGCTCGGTCGGCATTTTTCGGAGGCCGAGATCTGCTGGATCGGCTGTTGTGCTGGATGAAGGTTGGTATAGGATACCAGGATGGCGGCGAATGGAAAGTAGCCCCGAGCTTCTGAACAACATCCACTGGACATGCCTCCGCCCCCAAAGATTTAAGTAGGTGTCGGGCACAGTATATTGATTTCGCATTCACAAGCGTTACTGTACTTGACCGCTCCAAGTGGAGTCCCAGAGCCAGAAAAGACCGTTTGCCCCGTAATCTACAGCATTAGCATCATGCCCTAGCGGCCTTGTAGGTCCCTGAAAGTCCCCTGTTGCGTGCCCGACCTGATGTGATTGACCTCCGGTTAGCGCGCCATCATTTCTTGGAAAGTGATCAACGCCAGGCTCCAAGTATTCGTCCTGAAATGGTGGAATAACTAATATGTGTCAGCATCAAGCGAGGGATCTGGGATGGTCTTGGCGACGTACTCTGCTGGACCGAAGCTAGACTTTGATTCAGGCGTTCTGCAAAGCTCGGGTCGGAACCGTGTCCTTGCTCAGTCCCGTGAACCAAAATATTGATTACGGATTCCGACTGGGTAGGACAGGCCCTCTCCGGCAGTGCGCAACTCGAGTCGACGTCACCATGAGGCAGTGTTACCACGGCGTTGTTTACGACTCCTGAGGGTGGGGCAGCTGGTCCGATCATAGCCTCGCTCTCACGCCGAAGAAGCAGACGTATGAGATTCTTCAACACGACGCTACTTTGGCTAGACAGCGACGACCTCAGACCCAGCAGCTCTTCCAACCGGAATACCCTAGTAATAGGCCGTTTGACCGCTTGGGCTTGGTCAGAAAGCGGGTCCGAGAGAGCTACCAGGATCAGCACAATCGCGGCATTAAACAGGTTCATGGCTATAAATGCCACGAGGTGGCTGTCCGTGGCAAGCTGAGTGAGCTGCGGCAGCTCGGTCACGCTGGCGGTCCTGACTGCCGCGTCCCAACAATGTTCTGAAATCGCACTTGCCTCGACTCTGGAGTCCTGGTCTCCGTGAGATGAATGAATACTGGCCCGAGAGGTCAGCGTCTGTGGCACTGTGTGGTTTGCTGACGGCGAAATCATTTCCGAGACGCTTCCGTTGGGTCCTGGACTGCTCAAAGACAAATTTTCAATCTGGCGAGCCAGAAATGGCCGATGCAGCACAATCAACAAGTTGTCAAATGTCAACTGCAAGGATAGAGACTGTAAGAGACACGCCCGTGTGCTCCATGCCGTGGAGGCTGGAGTGTAGTCCCGTTTCAAGTCCAGACACAGCTCTGACGGCAAGTGGCGGCGCCAGGATGAGAGGCGCTGGGTCACATTGCTGATTAGCAATCGATGCTCCGAATCGAAGTATTGGCATGTTGAGCGCGCGGACAAAGAGCCGAATATCTTCTTCAGGGCTGGGGATGTGATGAGATATAACTTGGTCAGTTCCCTCTGATACGGTGAATAGCAAACCCTAGCCGTTTCTTTGTGAGCTGCATCCGGCCTGAAGAATGGTGACTCGGTGAACTCTGCGGGCATCTCGACGTTATAGTCTTCGTCATTTATGCTAAGTGGACGCCCATACGAGATAGAGGCAAATCTGAGTTGTTAGAAATCACATAGTAGCAGGAGGACGGAAAGGCCGGACTCATACCTATCCCACGTGTAGATAGTCCACCATACTCGTTTTCGCTCTTCGACGTCGTCGACAGACCCGTGCACCTTGCTGTGATGCAAGCCCAAAGCATGAGACATCTTGATGGTGGCCCCTAGTAGGGCGAAGGACAGATTTGGTCGACCATGATACACATAATGTGATCCTAATAAGATGAGGGTCTGCACTGCTGATACTGAGCGTTGGTCCATTATCTGAACCAGTCGCATCTCCACAATCTTGAACAAATCGTCACTCCATAACCTCCAGTCTTGAGTTCCGTCCTGGCTAGCCTTTTTTGATTGGTACCATGCCGCCATACCCAGTACTGTCGACAGCAGCGTCAGAAACGGGGCTTCGGCAGGGTGCGCATAGCCATCCTCGATCGACTGAAGTTGTCGGCGAAATTTGGGTTCGTATATGACGAGGGAGAACCAGTAGACCGCCTCAAAATATTCCTCCAATAGCAGATGAATTGTGACAGTGTCAGGGAAACGACCTCCAACGATAGTGGATATCGGCAGACGATGGTAGCCGTTCCTCATAAGAGGGGTTCGGGAACCTGCTCCACCGTCCGGGATAGCTGATGTGTGGTTTTCGTCAATTGTTTGGCTTCCTAGACGATAAATCTGCCATTCATGTTCAGGTCAGATGATCATCGAAACCAGGAAGCATATACGCCTCTCTCACCTTTCGAGCGATGCCCATTGCCGATTCAGTCTCCCCGTAGTCCAGCGGCACCCACGAGGTGCCTCGATCCCTCAGGTCTGTAGCATAATCGCTTTCAACACTACCTGCGGCTCCTTCTTCCTGCGGAGACGAAAGCTGCTCCGTCGGAAGAGTGGCTGCAGAGCGGTCATCTTCAATACTTGCAAAATGAGGCCGTCTATCACATATCAGTCACGTGTGGACTCCAAAGAAGCAGATAATAGGACATATGGATACAGCTGTCGACTATTGACTTACTTTCGCAATTTAGACACACGACGCTCGCTGCGAATCTTGGCTCCGCTTTTCGGGATCTTGTCTAAAGTTGCCTCCTCACAATCGGCGTTGGCTCGCACGCAGAGGGAGCATGGCCTGAACGAGTCACACTGGCACACGTCAGCATGTAATTCGACCTGGAGATCATGTATATGGATACCTACCCTGCTCTTGTTCCGACGGCACCTACTGCACGCGTTGGATACTCGAGTGGGCAGCCGGCGGCTAGCAATCGAGGCCGGTGAGCCGTCGTCCGAAGGCTGATGTCTGAGTTCCGACATTGCTAATGGCAAAAATTGAACCATGAACAAGACGGAACCGAACGACAAGTTGTGGAAGATGTGCTCTATGGGGTCCGGCTGATGGGACTACGGTGGTCGGGAGCGAAGTTGAGCGAGAATTAGCCGAGTCCCCAAACACGGATCCGAAACCCGCGCAGATTGCCAAAGAATTTGGCAGGGTTAGGCGGATCCGGCGGCACCCCTTAGCTCCCTACTTTTACCGCACCAGACTATGACCACGGAACCGACTCACTGCCAAGTCAATACCTGGTACAGCACGGTACGCCACGGCAATTGGAGGACTAGTTTTAACCACTCCTGGCAACGGAACTAGAACCTTTCCTCCCTCCAGGGCAACCAACTTGCGACGATAAAAGTTCGCCTTCGTTCATATTAGTTGCATAAGTTAGTATCATGTGATCATTACACTTGTGTCTACACATACTCACATCCAGACGCAGCCATTATCAATTTTGTTATAGCCTTCATCATCATCCGGTGTCTCCCAACTCTCAAGAGCCACGCAGAAAATGTCTGCAGACTGTTCACTCCCCGGCCAAGGCTCACGAAATTCGAACCTGTCTTTCATCCTCAAAAAACCACACGACGTCGAATTTGTTGAACAATCAATGCCACAACTTTCATCACCCAAAGATGTCATAGTTGCTATTAACTATACTGGTATATGCGGGTCGGATGTGCATTACTGGGATCATGGCAAGGTCGGTCACTTCAAAGTGGAAAATCCTATGGTTCTGGGCCACGAGTCCGCTGGAACTGTAGTAGAAGTCGGCAGTGCCGTGAAAGGCCTCCACCCCGGTGACAAAGTCGCTATCGAGCCTGGATCTCCGTGTCGGTGGTGCGCTGAATGCCTGTCTGGTCGGTATAACCTCTGCCCCGACATGGTTTTTGCGGCCACACCTCCTTACCACGGCACGCTTACCGGCTTCTGGGCTGCACCATTCGACTTCTGCTATAAATTGCCGCAGGAGGTATCTCTCCAGGAGGGAGCCTTGATCGAACCGCTCGCAGTTGCAGTACACATTGTGAAGCAAGCCCAGATAACGACAATACCTGGTGCAAGTGTCGTCGTTATGGGAGCTGGTCCAGTAGGCATTCTGTGCGGAGCGGTTGCCAAAGCCTTTGGCGCGACCAAGATCATCGGTGTGGATGTAATACTGTCAAAGCTGGAATTTGCAAAACGTTTTGGCTTTACGCATGTGTATTTATCGCGACGAATCTCAGCCGAAGACAATGCTAAGGCACTCCTTGATCAATGTGGTCTAGATGGGGGTGCGGACATTGTTATTGACGCAAGTGGAGCGGAACCCTCCATTCAAGCCAGTCTCCACATCATTAGGGCCGGAGGCACCTATATTCAGGGCGGTATGGGCAAGGCAGATATCAACTTCCCCATAATGGCCTTGTGTCAAAAGGAGGTCACAGCCAAAGGCAGTTTTCGGTACGGGCCCGGTGACTATAAGCTCGCGGTCGAGCTCGTGGCCAGTGGAAATGTCCAGGTTAATAAGTTGATTACCAGGGTGGTGGACTTTAAAGATGCTGAAAAGGCATTTCATACAGTAAAAGAGGGCCATACATGGAAGGTTCTTATTAGAGGGCCAAATGAACCCTCTGTTGTTAGTAATGGAAAATGAGACACTCACTTAGAGTGTAAACTTTGGCCGTTATCGGTTGTTTGTGACTGAAACCGCCCACAGTCAAGTACATCCTGTTTTGTGTTGATTCATATGTAACACGAGCTAAAGCACGGAGGCCCGCTCCACGGCCACAATATTTATGAACTACGAACAAAGGGGAACCATATAATAGCCTCCTATAGGAAACCCTCCGATGAAACAACCTTTTACATGGAGGGAAGAAGTCCACCTGGAGGTCTTTTCTTGATCATAAATAACAGTTTTGAGCTATGTCGTTGTACTTCTTTTATAATCAATACATCATGGCGCTCAATTCTCCGATGACTTGAAATCATACATGTACTCCACCTCCTTCCGGTGGACATACTTACCGCTTTTATCCACCATGGTTTCTCATTCAGCAACGTCTCGTACACCCGTGCGAGAATAAGGCCACATTGCCCATCACAGGCTTATTTGGACTCGCGTTCAATGCCCCCTTCCTCACTGCTGGCAAGAAGTTCGTCATTTCTTCGCCCTCGAACTTTTCATTCTTCTTGCCGTTTCATCGATACGGCTTGCCGTCATCATGAACCTACACTTTAACGTCCCAGCACCGATCAATCTTCTGATTTCACTGCTCTTATCAGTAATAGAGATCATTGGTCTACATTGGCTAGTGAATTCCCATCCACCACGTAAAGTTCAATGTAATGTAAAGGCCTAGGGTTATTACGGAGATATACCAATCCACGACTTTTATATACACCTTGGCAGCTTTGGAAATGCAAAGGTTAAGCCATTAGAAGTATTGTTCCCTAAATTGGCCTCAACGGATTACAACATCTCGTTCCGCGCTTTCTTCTAACCATGCTTTGAAATCTGACCAGTTGTTTACCGTAAGCCTCGCCAGACCTGCCCTCTGGTACTCGTCCGGATTGTTTGTTCTAGGGGATTTCAAGGCCTCGCCCGATCTTTTATGCTTTATGGAACCATTGGGAACCAGAAGAAGACAATAGAACTCAGGACAGCCATTTTCCGCCGCAGGATCATCTTCCCGATCCTTCACCACAGGCAAGCAAAATGTTGGCACTGATCTTTTGCCTCTCACTGCGAAGGACTCGATATCGAGCTTCCCAACTGAATAATCAACAAATGGCAGGGAGTCACCATTTTCGTCGCGGATTATCACAGGCCAGGGTTCTTGTCGCTGTAGATGCTCTGCAGAATTTCTTCGCCGGACCACCGTGACCGGCTTGAGGTGCCCGAAGAGATGGATCCATCCGTCATGAACAGCTCCGTAGGAATCCGCGGTCGCAAACTTGAGCCTAGCATCAATGAAACGTGCCGCCGGCCTGTATCCGAAACCCGAACCACCTGCAGTGTAGCTGACTTTGGCGTGCAGACTCGCCCATGACCAGGAGGGTGCAAGGTATTCTTCTGGTATCCTCGGTGTGTCATAATAGTCGCTCCAGCAGAGATCTAAAAGTACAGTCGATCGCCAGAGACCAGAAAGGTACTCGTCTTTGTCATCTTTGCGAAGCTCCGCCGTCTCCCTTGCCAGACCTGATAGTGCTGGCAGCTTGTCGGTGTCGTATGTGAATTTGCGTGTGGAATAGTCCTCAACGATTGTATGCCAAAGCGAGTGTTTGTCCCAACTCTCCTTGCCAGGCCCATAGAGTACAGACGGACGTTTTGGTGTCAAATATGCTTCTGTATGTTCGGGCCACGCTTCGCTGGCTTCCAGCTCTCTACATTCCCAATACACCTCCTCCTCCGCGAAGTGTACAATGCGCTGGGAGAGAATTCTCTCTTGGAATACCCAGCCCCGATCTACCAGATGTCCAAGCTTCCCTCCTTCCTTTTGTTCCATTTCTGGCTCGTTACTGGTGATGTAACTGCTCTCATGAAACCCTGCGGCCGGTTGAGAGGACAACAGCGGATTTGAAATCAATCGAAGAGGCTGAATGCCAGCTGGGTTTCGCTTCCTGAAGCATCCTTGGCTTTCCTGGATAGCACAGCTTGCGGAAATAGTGACTACGGCATGTTTGTAGATGAATGCCATCCTTGAAGCCTCCTGGCTCCAGTCTCCCCGCGAGTCCTGAAAGATGCAAAGTCTGTCGATCCAGATATACTTGAGGTCTAAGTGATGAGCAATGGTGAATGTGTCGAGGATTGTCTTTGGAAGAACTCCCATAGATACGCCTTTCCGCATGCCTTCGACCGTCTCCTGTTTCAACATATAATAATCTTTCCCGCTGCCCCAGCGGTAGCTGACAGCGGCATATCTTGTACCAGGTGCGACTTCGGTTGCGAGTTGGAAAGTACCCGCTGAGTGATCCATGAATATCAATCTTGTGGGCTGTTGAGAATCCGATGGCCAGGGAACTTGGCACAAGGTGTGATTCTTCAGACAGTGCTCTACCCATTGATTGATCTGAGTGAATGTCGATGCAGAATCTGTTGTCTCAGCTAAAGTTGGACGCAATTCCACCGCTTCGCTACTATGCTCTATGATTTGTCAGGAAAAAGCTTTTGATGGTAGCAGAACATACAGAGGTGTCACCTACTTCGAACCATTCTAACATAGAAATTCTTGGAGAAACCATGAATTGGCTCCAGGAGGATGTTCAGACAAAGGCAGAATGTAATGTTGTTCCAATCTTTGAACGCCACTTTCAACCCACCATCATGCCAGCCAATCTTTTGATTTTCCGTTCTGTTCGACCGATGCCTGAGAATCTCACGCCGTATGCCATGCCAGAGTAGCTGGCACAAACGACAACTCCCTAGCCGACTGAAACAGCAATCTATAAGCTGGAAGAGTGTATCATGATGCGGAATCCAGAATCGTGCTGGCGGAGGCCCTTCCTCCTCTTCAAGGTCCTTCCAAGAGTGCATTGGTGGCGGCCGTTGAATCAATGCCTTGCAAGGGGAGCATAGCTGGGCCGGGGGATCAAGACCTTCATCTCTCCCGATGATCTCGAAAGTTCCTGCGTAAGTGACGGCCGGAATTGCTCGCTCTATTAGCTGCCGGCTTCGGTCCTCATCCAGAAGCGCAAACACATCATCCAATGCCGACCGGCTATCTGCGCGAACACTGGTCTCGGACGAACTTGAAGCATCAAGAATGTGGACTGATGGATTCATGATGGAGGAGCAGTTCTGTCACAGTCCCGACTTGGCGTACACCTGGTAATCAGTCCATCGCACTACGAAAAGGAAAGGAAAGGAACCTACCCAGAAGGGTGTCAGCCGTGCAGCGCCACATACAAAGAAGCGGGGTCATAATCCCAAAGCGGGGTTAATTTCGTAAGTACTCTTTTGGTTAAGGGTCACTCAATGTGTCGCGGTTGAAGTTCTGTATATTTTTGGTGGCATATTCAAGAAGTGTCCGGGAAATGTGAACGGATCCAGTCAACCGGGTCAACTGTATTACGGAATTTTACTCAGCATATTCTGCTCGAAATATTCCACACAAAACGTTCTTTAATTTCACTCTATCTTTTGCGTTGTAGCATATGATAGTTAAGTTTCTCCCGCGCCTCAGCAATTGCAGCTCCCTCAGCAATCAATTTTCGGATGCCGCTCTCACTCTCCTCGATCTTGGCCGCTATCTCGGCCACTTCACGGGCCCGGTTCCGCGGAACAACAACAACACCGTTGGCATCAGCGACCACAATGTCGCGAGGGTTAACACGTACTTTACCCACACTGATCGGCTCGTTGACGCCTCCCACTTGCACACGATCTTTGCCGGTTCTCATCCAACGTCCGGCAGAAAAGAGTGGATATTCATCGGTCAAAGCACGGTTCACATCGCGGCAAACACCATCAATGACAGTGCCTGCAATGCCTCGTAGACCAGCGTATTGTGTAAGGATGTCGCCCCAAACGGTACAATCTGTACGGCCACCGTTATCGATGACCACAATATCGCCTGCGGCAACATCATCAATGAAGTCACCTACACTTCCCGGCGGATCGTCAGCTGGCACATAGCGCACTGTAAACGCTGGCCCGACGGTAGTCTTCTTGTAGTTGCCCAGAGGCAAGATGCCAAATGCCTGTCCGGGTATGACGAGCTTGTCGAGCGCGTCAGAAACCCCAAGGGTGTCTAATTCGGTGAACAGGGCAATCAACTCCCTATCTTCAGCTGCAGTATCCCCGGGGTTCTGCGGTGGGGGCGAAAAGCCCGCCGCGCCTGTTGAAGGTGATGCGCTCGCATGGATGGCTGCAAACTGTTTGTCGTGCATGACTTCGGAGACAGGGCGACCCGCTCGTACGGCTTCAAGCATGCCTTTCTGTCGATCTTCGATTCGTTCCGCCAGATCTAGGACCTCGGCGATGCGCTCGGCCGGGACAAATACCGTTCCACAACTGTCAGCGATCACGTAGTCGTCTTGCCTGACCGTGACGCCTCGCATCTGTAACGGTTTTCCAGAGTCGACTTGCACTATGAGGTTGCGGCCGCTGATCATAGTGACACCGCGGCCGTAAACGGGAAAGCCAATGTCACGGCTGCCATCGATGTCGCGGCTCATTCCATCGATAATGGTTCCCCGGATCTGTTTCGCCTTAGAGGCATTGGCGAGAATGTCGCCCCAGCATGAAATTCCATCGATGCCGCCGGAAACGACGAGAATGCGGTCGTGAGTTGTAGTCGCATCCACAACTGGAGTGAGCAGATGGACCGTTTCAGCTGCATCTGTTTTAGGAGCTATCGTCACCGTGCTAGCACGCCCGACAATCTTTGGACAGTCCCACAGCGGCTGCAAGCCGAAGGTCGCTCCTTTGAGGCCTAGAACATCTAAGGCATCGGACACGGTATTGGTGTCTAGCGAGAAAAGACGGTCGAGAAGGGTAACGTTGCTCATGATGCTGGTAATGCTATCCTATCCGTGAATTACATATGGGATTCCGAGGACAACGCTTTTGGATGAGATAAACAATATAGAGAATGGGACTACACGGAGAGGCAGATATGGAGGAGCATGGAAAGCAAGCGGTTTTAGAAGGCGTGTGAGGTGGGATGCTATGTATGGCATGCCGCGTCTCGCACGCCCCCCGGCCGATCATGCCGGGCCGTTGTTTCGGCGTTCAGCGCCTTTCGGCATCGGCGTCGGCCACACGTGCCTCACAGAGCCGAGCTTCTACAACTTATTGGCACTAGCAGGGCTAAACAAGAGAGTCTATCTAGAGAGTGTGTGTTCTTCGCCGCCCGCTGTCGGCCCCACACATCTAATATTTCGGCGCTGATCAAATGATCATGCCGAAGCCGAACGAAAGCGAAACTCAAGCTCCGTAATATGCCAGGTTTTCGCACGCAGCCAGGAGCGCCGACGATCGGTTCGGTGGAACAAACTACGAGGCCAGGAAGAGCATCAAAACAATTGTTATTAGCTTGCCTCAACCTACATCTACCCAGGGTTAGGGTTAGGGTTAGGGTTAGGGTTAGGGTTAGGGTTAGGGTTAGGGTTAGGGTTAGGGTTAGGGTTAGG